TCGCATGCGAGGACGATGCTTCGGCTGCGGTGCCCAAGGTCATGTCAAGCAAAACTGCCCACACCGAGAAACCACCTGCCGCTACTGTGGACGTCGAGGACATCTGGAAGCAGTCTGCCAAGACAAATTCATGGGACTCGGACGAGACCGAGGCCGACGCCAGCAACCTCGACGCCAACAGATATCCGCTACGGGACCCGCGCCATTCTCCCTATTCCCAAACGAATCCGTCCAAATCGCGTCCTCGACCCCAACATCTGCTCCTGCACCCGTAACTGCTACTCCGAGCCCCCCTAACCAGGATTTTTCCAATCAGATTGGTCAAATAAGGGAATTACTTGATCGTGCTAACGCTATGTCCTCCTCGTCCTCTGGCTTTCAACAGGGTTTTTAAAGAGGGTACCCGCTTCGGCTGCACCGAGAGTACCCCGTAATCAGTTTGTTATGTTCGCTACTTCCTCGTATGACTCGCACCCATCATGTACAATATCGTCAATCCGGGAATTAAACTCTACTTCCCCACATTTCCGAATTCATGCGAGACTAAGAGGAAGGAATCACAGTATAACAACTGCAGCCATGGTAGACTGTGGAGCTACCGCCCTGTTTTTAAACCAAGATTTTGTCACCCGGAACCATGTAAGATGTGCACCCCTCCATAAACCAATCGACGTTTTTAATATCGATGGAACACCTAACCGAGCTGGACGGATAACCCATTTTGCACGTCTAGCACTCACAGTGGATAATCAAGAGCGATGGATGGACTTTCTGATCACCAACCTAGGAGGTGAAGACATCATCCTTGGACTCCCCTGGCTACGGAAGGTAAATCCGGAGATTGATTGGGAGAAAGGACGACTTTCAGTAAAGCCTCCTCGAGTAACGATAGAAGAAGTCCCAGACGAGGAGATCTTGTACTCTCATCTAGCCGCCACTCACACAGAAACCCCGATCCTCGAACTCCCGGAACTGGAACCTCCCGCAGAAAACCCCCACATTGAGGTGCCACTAGAAGCGACCCTTGAACCGAGTGAATCAGCAGCGGTGGAAGAACCACTAATACACCGAATTCGAGCCAATCATAAAACTCGCCGGGCATGGGTAAAAGCAGGAATTCTAGAGGAACAGACGGAGGAAGTCTGGTGCGCCGCAGGATTCACTTACTCCCAGCAGCTAGCAGAGGAAGCCAACCGAGACAAACCCGTTAAAACCTTCGAAGAAATGGTCCCTGAGCAGTATCGTGATTTCAAGAAGGTTTTCTCAGAATCCGCCTCCGAACGATTACCTGCCCACCAACCTTGGGACCATGCGATTGATCTCGTACCTGGAGCACCGGCAACTATGCGTACCAAGATTTATCCCATGTCCCTAAACGAGCAGGAGGAGTTGGATCGTTTCCTAGAAGAAAACCTACGGAAAGGCTATATCGTCCCCTCAAAATCACCAATCTCATCACCGGTCTTCTTCGTAAAGAAGAAGGATGGGAAACTCCGTTTCGTACAAGACTACCGGAAACTGAACGAGTACACTGTGAAGAACCGATACCCGCTCCCATTAGTTGCTGACATCATTAGCCGACTTCAGGGAGCCAGATACTTCACGAAGTTTGATGTCCGCTGGGGTTACAATAACATACGGATTAAGAAGGGGCATGAATGGAAAGGCGCGTTCGCAACAACCCGAGGCTTGTTCGAGCCTAAGGTCATGTTCTTTGGTCTCACAAATTCCCCTGCCACGTTCCAAGCACTTATGAATGCTATATTTGCTGATCTCATTGCAGCCGGCAAGGTGGCAGTCTACCTAGATGACATCCTTATCTTCAGTAACGATCTCGAGGAACACCGACGAATGGTACGGGAAGTATTAACTCGGTTAGAAAAGCACGACCTCTACCTACGACCCGAAAAATGCGAATTTGAACAACAACAGATTGAATACCTCGGACTCATCATCTCAGAAGGGGAGGTGAGAATGGATCCGGTAAAAGTAGCGGCTGTTCGTGACTGGCCAGTCCCTACTAACCTTCGGAAACTACGAGGGTTCTTGGGATTTGCAAACTTCTACCGACGCTTTATCCGGAATTTTGCCAAAATAGCACGACCTCTGAACGACCTGACGAAGAAAGACACCAGCTTTACCTGGACCGACACTCGACAGAAAGCATTTGATACCCTTCGAGAAGCCTTCATCTCCGCACCGATCCTTGCTCTATGGACACCAGACAGGCCTACTCGAATCGAGGTAGACGCATCAGGCTTTGCCACGGGAGGCGCCCTTATGCAGAAGCAAGACAATGGCCAATGGCATCCGGTAGCCTTCAGATCGGCATCCATGCAGCCAGCGGAACGGAACTACGAAATCTACGATCGAGAAATGCTTGCTATCATTGAAGCACTGAAGGATTGGAGGAACTTTCTAGAAGGACTCCCTCAACCATTCGACATCATTACGGACCATTCGAACCTCGAATTCTGGCGCACTGCACAAGATCTCACCCGCCGACAAGCCCGATGGGCCCTCTATCTGTCACGGTTTGACTTTCATATGATCCACCGCCCTGGCAGAGTAAACACCCAAGCTGATGCTCTCTCCCGCATGGCAGTTCATCATGTATCGGACAGCGATGATAACCGACAACAGACAGTCCTTAAACCTGGCCACTTCGTAAAAATTGCAGCTTCGATCCTACAGAACCCCTTAGAGGATCGTATCCGGAAAGCCTCAGAACGGGAAGCACAGGTATTGGAGGGTCTCAAAACAGTCAAAGAGCACGGACTACAGCGCTTGGCCAATGGGATAGCCGAATGGGAAGAGGACAATGGGTTGGTCTACTACCGAGGTCGAGTATACGTACCAGCAAACGACGACCTACGCACTGAGGTACTCCGTCAATGCCATGACCATCCAACTGCAGGACACCCCGGACTACACGGGACACTCGACTTGGTCAGTACCCATTTCTGGTGGCCTACATTGCGCTCTTTTGTGGAAAAATACGTTGAGGGATGCGAGGTTTGTGCCCATAAGAAGATCCAGCGACACCCACGAGCCGTAACTCAACCATTAGATGTACCATCCGGTCTATGGGAAGAGGTAGGGGTTGACCTGATAACACAGCTACCTAACTCCCAAGGCTACGATGCTGTCTTGGTTTGCACAGACCTGTATGGAAAACAAATTCACGCTATTCCTTGCACCAGCTCCATCACAGCCGAAGGCGTTGCCGATATTTACTACCGAGAGATCTTCCGTCTCCATGGTCTTCCTCTTCACTTTAAATCCGACCGCGGACCCCAGTTTGCAGCTAAACTCATGCGATCCCTTCTCGCTAGGCTAGGAATTAAATCAGATCTAACCTCCGGATACCGTCCTCAGTCTAATGGCCAAACTGAACGAGCAAATCAGGAAGTAGAGAAATACATCCGCCTCTATGTAGGACGACGACAAGACGACTGGGCAGAGCACCTTCCCATGGCGGAGTTTGTGATTAACTCACGGACTCATTCTGCGCTAGGCATGTCCCCGTTCGAGCTAACCTACGGCTATCTTCCCCTGTTCAATATCCCAGTGGGCCAACGCAGCGGTATTCCAGCTGTGGATGACCGTATACGGATTCTCCGAGAAGTGCGACAAGATGCCGGAGCTGCCTTACACCTAGGAAAGAAACAACAGAAGGAGGGATACGAACGCGGGAAGCGGAAAGCTCATCAATTTAAAGTTGGAGACCTAGTCTGGCTCAGTGCAGAGGACATTAACCTTCAGCTTTCCAGTGAAAAGTTAGGAGATCGACAGCTTGGCCCTTATCGCATTCTGGAGAAAATTGGCCCTTTAGACTACCGCCTTGACCTTCCCCTATCCCTAGATCGCCTCCATCCCGTCTTCCATGTTGATAAACTATACCCCTGGAAAGGTAACTCCATTAATGGCGAAATACCAACACCACCAGAGCCGGTATACTTAGAGGATGAAGACGAACCGGAATACGAAGTAGAGGAGATCTTAGACAGCCGGGTTCGATGGAAGAAGTTGGAATATTTGGTTAAGTGGAAAGGTTACGACGCAGGGCACAACTCTTGGGAACCCGCAGCCAACCTCAGTCGAGCACCAAAAATTGTTCGGGCCTTTCATAAAAAACACCCAACAGCGGCAAAGCCTTGACCATCGAGGGCAATGGTCATAAGGAGGGGGGTAATGTCATAAAGTACGCAGCCCCTATCATTTTCCTTTTCTCACCGTCTCGACGCCTTTACTTGTACGATACATCATCCCATCACTGTCAAACCCCCATCGATTACTGATCCATCGATTACTGATCCACCTGACCCATCTTCTCCTTCTACTGACTTCCGCCACCTTCCTTGTTCCTAAACTGTACAGTATTACATCGTTGTTTCTCGCAGACCGGATTATGTATATATAGCCAACCCTCCACAGCCTGGTCCCTTATCTTGACCTCTCTGTCATTATCTGGGACCAGGTATGTGCTTACTTATTATTACCTATGACTACGATACTCAATATATCTCTGTCATTATCTGGGACCAGCTTGCCGCCGTTCTGCTTAGTCGCTCCGCCTTGTTGCCTTGTCCAGTTGCTCCGCCTCACCGTTCTGCTTAGTCGCTCCGCTTTCCCGCTCCGTTAGTCACTCCGCCTCTGCCGCTTCGTGACATTTTCTGTCCTTGTTTTTCTCAATTTTGTTGCCGGTTAACAGAACTTGTCACGATCGTCTGCATCTTCCCTTCTGTTCTGACTTCTCCCAGAGTAAGTCTATGAATCTACCATTCTGAAGGGCCCCAATAACACTCGCGGATCACTGGCACAGACCTCGAATCCCCCACTGTTCGAAGCATCTATTTCTGTTCAAGTTATCGTCTTCCTCATCCGACCCACTGACAGCGGTAAGTTTCAAATTTAATTCAGCACTTGTACTACCCTTCTCTCAAACCTCACATTTACTGCCCAGGATACTTTGCCACGCCGAACTAAACCAAAACATCATGCACTTCTGCGTCGCCACCTACCTGATCATGGGCCTTGTCGCCCAGTGCACGGTGAATGCCCTTATGTATCCCGTAGGCTATGTGCGTGTTTTATCTTTATTTTCTTCTTTCTTTGTTTTTTTTAAAGAGGGGCTCAACATTACAAGCAGAGAAAAGATATCTTTTGGTCCTATCGACTTCTCCCGAATGCCCATTTTCCTGCACACTCTGCTCTTACACCTACAGAAATAAAGGAAGCGGCAAAGCATCTGGTTGATACAATACTGAAAGAGAACTCGCATGGAATACCTCGTTTGAGGGCAGACAGTCCCGAATTCATTGGTGATCCGGATTCTGTCAGCATCAATATCACATCCACAGTCGAGGTTGGCGGATTGATGTGTCCGTGTAATGCAAATTTGAAGGTCGATCGCGAAAAGGGTTCGATATTTACGGAACTTTATCTGACTGGGGTGCATTGAATGTCTAGCGGCGCTCATCGGTGTCGAGCTCCACATGCTTTTGATCGCGGAACTCGACAAGTCCTACGCACTGGTCAGTGCGTCGGACTGAGGACGGGGTTGACAAGACCGACTTGGCGTTAATACCTCAAAATCGGGCCTTCGGTTACTGTTGTCAGTCGTCCGGTTCCCTTATCGAGCACTTATCTCAGAACTCCTCTGCATGGCTTGGTGTTTGAGGGTCCATATGTTAGTTTCAGATTAGTAGTGTACACGCAGGTCGGATCTCCCCTCCCTCCTACTTAGAGAGTAGGTAGGAAGAAAATAAAGTTAGATTTTTACCCCCCATCTTTTGGATCTAAGTACAACCAAGCAAAAATCGTACGAATTCTCTCAGTTCGAGCCATTCCTCAGACCAACCTAAACCTCCCGTCGTACTCGAGACGGATCTACTTCGTGTGACGGACTAGATCTCGTTTCATACCTGGAGCCCACCGCGAGGGGGGTTTCCCGTTTTCTTTGGATCTTGCTCCGAACTAGGAAAACTCTCGCCAAAAAGAAAATACACGGTAGATTATCACGACGAGTCGTCGTACAGGCCTACGAAATCGCCTGTCGGTAGAAGACGAAGCTCTTTTAGCTCAGTTCCATCAAGGGCGTATCGACTTTGACTTCGACGAGCTACTGTCCCCAGTAGACAGCACCGAAGCCACTCACAACAGCCTATCCAGACTAGAGGAAGAGGTCGGTAGTAGCGAATTTCGTGACCATCCTACAACACCTCTCTCGAGCTATTCACCAACCCTACCTTCACCCCTGACTCCATTATCCCCTAGTCCCTCCCTACAGAACCTTAGTCCATTGATAACTCCGATGACGACTCCTCTTCCTAAACGAGATGAGCGTTCCGCCCCGAAGTTCGACCCGAAGAATGAAGCACTCTTGCCAAACTTCTTCGAGGAGTTCGAACGTACCGCTAAAGCGGCGGGGATCATCGAGAACAGTGAAAAGATGAAAAGGACAGTCCTAGGGTATCTGGACGCCAAGACTATGAAATTCTGGCAGTCCCTGGACACCTTCGACGATGATGAGAAGACATGGGAGGAATTCAAGACCGAAATCTTAGATTACTACCCTGGTGCCACAGGAACAGCTGAGGTCACCACAGAAGAGTTGGTCCGGGTCGTCGAAACCTATCAGAAGAAGTTGATTTCAACAACCCAGGACCTTGCGGAATACCACAGAGAGTTCGCTGTGGTGGCTAAAGCCCTACGCACCCAAGGGACGCTCTCTGAAATCCTTATTGCCCAACACTACGTCCGTCCCTTTCCAGAAAACATCCGGACCCGCATAGACACCGGACTCTACGTCCATTACCCCACTAAGAAGGTCGGTCAGGCCTATACGATCAATGAGATAAGGAAAGTTGTTACCTTTCTCCTATCGGATGCCTCGGCCCCGGTTAGCTCTGGAAGTTTTCGTAGTGGGGATCGAACGTCGATCCCCCACCCTACGACCATAGACACTCCGGTGGTTAAAACAGAACCCAAAGACTCCGAAGATTCCCTGTCGCAGCAAGTGGCCGCACTCACCCAAATGATGCAGCAGCTCGTAAAGGAGAATAAAAGCAGAGATACCGGGACACGCGAGCCACGACCAGATCGAACTTGCCCGTGGGACGGGTGCACTAGCAAAGTGCTGAAAGATTGTCAAGACTTGGCAGATTGGGTCGCCAAGGGAAGGGTGGAGCGGAACGAACGGGGTTTCGTTCAACTGAAGGGAGGACGAGACCTACCAAACGAAACCAAGTACAAGCGTGGACTGGTGAAGACTCGATTCGAACGATATTTCGAAGAGAACCCATCGGCCAAGACCTGGATCCTCGATATCCCCCAGACTCCCAAAAATCCCTTGCCTCCCGCGCTAGCCGGAATAGATGTCAGCCAGCACAACGCCTACACCCTCCACAGTTATCAAGGACCTTCCATGCTAGCAACTGCGGCGACTTATACCCTCCAGGGAGAAAGCGACCCGACTGAAGCAGCCGCTGTGAGGGATTTGATTTTCAAAATGGAAACTCGTCGATCAAAGGGACGTACCGACGCGAATAACTCCTCGACATCTCCACCAGGTCAACCTCCCTCGTCAAATACTAATGTCGGGACCCAACCAGATCCCGAACCATCGAAACCAATTCCTCCAAGAATCGTGTCTCCCACTAAACCGCCCAAACCAATCATCGGAAAATTACCGGACAATTACGTTCCCCCACAAGAAAGGACGGTGGGGATACAACCCAAGGAAGACTCCAGGAACTACCGATACCGAGCACCGATAGAAACTGAGGCCGCAATCGAACGAGTGATAAAAACCGGTATGACCAGCATGGTATCACTAAGGCAGGACGACCTCCTAGCAATCGCGCCGGAATACAGGAAAAAGGTAAAAGACTCAATTACAAGCAGGCGGATCGGAGTCGATGGAGTACTGCTTGAAGACGTCGCGTTACTCGAATCGGTATTGATGTTCGACATCGACCTAGCAAACGGCATGTACCCGGTTCCGGTCACACAAGAAAGTCTACAAAACTTCTTCACTGACTTTGGGGACGCGAGAGAGGGCGATGGTTTTTATGTGGCAAGAGAATCGCATAGTATCCGAGCCGTTAACGCAACAATCGGAGGTAGGCCAGCACATTGCATCCTCGACGGAGGATGCAGTATAGTCGTTATGTCAGACTCGGCCTGTAACGCGTTTGGCTTCGCGTTCGACCCAGAAAAACGGATCAACCTTCAAAGTGCTAATGGCAATACCGATTGGTCACTGGGACTAGCAAAAGACGTACCGTTCCGCTTTGGCGATGTGGTAGCCTTCCTCCAAGTCCAAGTGGTAGATTCCCCAGCCTATGACTTCATTTTGGGCCGGCCCTTCGAAATCCTGATGCAGGCTTCCTACAAAAACTTCCTTTCAGGTGATCAGCACCTCACACTAACAGACCCCAACACCTACAAGACTACGACAATCCCGACAGTTCCCAGAGAGCCTCCGCGGTTCAGAAAAGAGGACAGTCGGGAGTACCGAGTTTAACTCGGTACTCCGCGAAGGAGAATTCCACACTGACCAACAGTGCTCCTTCGTGTATGGAGTTCGAGGAGTTACAGGAGGGTAAAGAAGCGGCGTTCATCGTTGAATTGAACACCGCCGAAGTATCAGCTGACTCTTCGGAATTCCGAGGATATTTCTCTATTCCACTTATTTCCGCCAGTCTCGGGGATCCCCCGAACATCGATGAACTTAATTTAGCATTCTTACACGCTTACGCGTACTTTACCTACGACACGCCCACTTTCGAATCGTTCTCCCTCTGCTCTGCAATCCCAGCTGGAGAGCCACCCCACCCGTATACTGACCGCCATCCGAACAAGAGTCAAACTCTTCTTCAACAACAAAACTTACATACTCCTCACCACCAAAAATGTATATCCGTTATTCCAAATAAAAATCTACTTACCTTACCTACGTATGCTGCGACTAAAAAGAGGTACAAGCCCGTCGAACGACGCACCCAACCAGTCCCAGCAACGCTGCCAGAAAAGTTCCGAGTGGTCCGACACTTCCCATCCGACCCCTTGGAGCACCTACCTACATTAAACCCGACTCCCCCGCCATTTGTCCCGACTGGCCGTTATACGCTAGAGCGCAAGGAGTTTATGGACTCAGTCCACGACCCGAACTTCCTCTGGCCTCAAGAAATGGCAGCTATCCACCACCTAATGATGCTGCACGACAAAGCATTTGCCTGGTGCGAAGAGGAAAAAGGACAGTTAAATCCGGAATATTTTCCACCAGTAGAGATGCCTGTAATTGAACATACACCCTGGCGAGTACCGACTCTACCGATTCCACCTGGACTGATGGAGCGGATTGTAGAAATCGTCCGGGAGAAAATTTGCACAGGGGTTTATGAACCATCCAATTCGTCCTATCGGACACGGTGGTTCGCAGTGGTCAAGAAGGATGGGACGTCACTACGCCTCGTCCACGACCTCCAACCACTCAACGCGGTCACCGTCCGCGATTCTTCTATTCCCCCAATCCTTGAAAACTTAGCTGAAGCATATGCTTGCCGTTCCGTTCTCGCAACTCTCGACATGTACGTAGGATACGACGAACGTACATTGGCGATCACCTCACGAGACTACACCACCTTCCAAACGCCTCTTGGCGCGCTCCGCCTAACCTCAATCCCCATGGGCTGGACCAACTCCCTACAGATCTTTCACGGGGATGTTACCTTTGTGCTGCAACCGGAAATTCCAGAATATACCATTCCCTATGTCGACGACGTCAATGTTCGCGGTCCCCCTACCCGTTATGAACTCCCGGCCGGGGGATTCGAAACAATACCTGAGAACTCCGGGATCAGACGGTTCATTTGGGAACACCTCAATAATCTCAACCGCATCCTGACACGCATGGAATATGCCGGGGGTACCTTCTCAGGTTTGAAGACCTTACTCGCAGTAGCAGAGGCGCTCATTACCGGTCACCGTTGCTCATACGAGGGGCGCGTACCTGATCCTTCTCGATTAGAGAAGATTGTCAACTGGGGACCCTTACTCAAACTCACAGACGTCCGAGCATTCCTTGGCACCGTGGGGGTATGCCGTATCTTCATAGACAGCTTTGCGGAGAAGGCGGAGCCCTTGGTGAGACTTACACGAAAAGGTATCCCTTTCCAATTCGGAACAGCCGAGTCCAACTCTCAACAAAAGCTCAAAGACGCTCTCGTATCGTCGCCCGCAATACGTCCATTGGACTACTCAAATGGTGCGCCAATCGTGCTTTCCGTGGACTCCTGCAATATTGCAATCGGATATATACTCATGCAACAGAGCCCGGAGGACCCAACGATTCGATACGTGAATCGCTTCGGTTCAATCACCCTTAATGAACGGGAAGCGCGCTATAGCCAGGCTAAGCTCGAGCTGTATGGGTTATTCCGCTCTCTCCGAGCCACACGCTTATGGACGGTCGGCGCGCAGCATTTCGTGGTGGAAGTGGATGCATTATATATCAGGGGGATGATTAACAATCCTGATATCCAGCCCAACGCCGCCGTTAATCGATGGATAGCGGGGATCTTACTCTTCTCATTCACGATGGTCCATGTTCCGTCTGAGCGCATTGCAGCCGATGGGCCGTCACGTCGAATCCGCCAGCCCGGAGACCAACCGGAAGACGATGACGACTTCGAAGACTGGATAGACCAAGCTAACGGCTTTATGCATTTTATCAACAGTTCCCCCTCTGCCTCTTCATCCCTCAACACCTTGGTTACCCTCCCTATCTTCGTAGCAGAACCTATTACACCACATGAAGACGTTGACCTTGTCCCGTATTCCTCAGTACCCAGATCGCACCGCGCGCGAGCAATTGACAACCGGCTCGATTCAATCAGGATCTATCTGCATTCCCTAGAACGTCCCGAAGGCTTATCAGACACCCAATACCAGCAGTTCATCAAGTATTGCCTCCAATTCTTCATTGACTCCACTGGACGCCTGTGGCGAAGGGATCCACAAGGTAACCACCGCCTAGTCGTCCCTCAACATCGCCGACTGGCAATCGTCAAGGAGGCCCACGACAGAATGGGCCACAAAGGGGTCTGGGCCTCTACATCGACTATTCGCGAATGGTTCTGGTGGCCTCGACAGGCAGAGGACATCAAATGGTATATCCGTACCTGCCACCTATGCCAACTCCGCCAGACCGAAAAACTCCGAATCCCCCCAGTCGTAGCGGAACCGTTAGGCCTCTTCGCCAAATGCTACATGGACGTTATGGAGATGCCCAAGTCAGGTGGATTCAAATACATTGTCCACGGGCGTTGTTCCTCATCCGCCTATCCCGAGTTCCGCAAGCTTCGCCGACAAACGGGAGAAGCCATAGCGAACTGGATATTTGAAGACATCCTGTGTCGATGGGGCACCCTCCGGGTCATCGTCACTGATAATGGCACCCCGTTTGTGCTCGCTCTCGAAATCCTCGCGAAACGCTACGGCATACGACACATCACAATATCAGCTTACAATTCTCAGGCTGCGGGAGTAATCGAACGAAAACACTACGACGTCCGGGAGAGTATGATTAAGGCCGCCAAAGGCGATGCTAACTCATGGTCCCCGATTGCACCCTCCGTCTACTGGGCTGAACGTGTTACGCCTCGACGCTCCACGGGTGCAAGCCCTTACTTTCTCTCACATGGGTGCCATCCCTTACTCCCTATGGACATTGAGGAAGCCACATACTTGCTCCCCCCCCCCGCATCAGTCCTTTCTACCACAGACCTCCTCGCCCGACGGGCACGAGAGCTTCAAAAGCGGTGGGACGATTTGGAGGACATGCGTAAACGCGTCCACCAAAATTGGTTGGAAGGACTTCACCGTTTTGAACAACAGCACCTCCACTCAATCAAAAATTACAACTTCAAACTCGGGGACCTGGTTATCGCTCGGAATACGCGGGTTGAAAAGACGTTCGGCGCGAAGAATAGAATGCGGTACATGGGTCCCCTCATCATCATACGCCGAAACCAAGGAGGGGCGTACATTGTAGCAGAATTGGATGGGACTGTATGGAGAACTCCTGTAGGTGCTTTCCGGGTCATTCCGTACCTAGCACGTTCCTCCCTGCCATTACCGAACCTAGATGAGTTCCTCGACATCTCCACCAAGGAGTTAGCCGAACTCGAAGCCTCGGAAGACAATGACACCCTCGACGGAGAGGGACTACTTCCAGAGTAGTACCCCCCCCTATTTCACTTTCTCATTCCCTCTCTCTTTCTATTTCTCTCTTCTCTACCTTTCGAGTTCGAGTACCCTGATTTCGTACCATACACGCAGTTTTGTTTCATTTGATATATATATTATGCTTTATAAAACTTCACAGCTTCGTCTACACGTTCCCCAACCAGCTCCAACCCCGCTCAATGCCTTCCCAGTGGTCCGCTCCCCTCTCGTACTCCCGTACCAAATTGTCCCGCAACCACCGGTTACCAAAAACAGTACCGTCGCAATGGTCATGACTCGGCTCTGTGTGCCAGAACTCGTACACGAAGGTAACAGCCCTTAACAGAGTAGCGAAACTGAAGAATCTACAGGGTCGGTAAGCAGGCGGTGGTAGGAGGAGAAGTGTGCGTTCCCACTGGTCACTGCCAAAGTAAACCACTGTCCTCGACCCCGCTTCCCCATTCCCCTCCTCGAGTATTACCACCAGGCGCTCCCGCTCGAAAGCCAGTTTCTGCAACAAACCCGGATTCCAGCTAATAGCCGTCGCTACAGCAACGCGAGGCAACGTCGACAGGGTACCGGTAGGGAGTTGCGGAAGTAGGTCGTAAGACTCTAAAGGAAAAGCAGCGAGCGGAATGGCCCCCACAGGGACGGTGCGTGTTTCGGCCATCGAATAGGCCCACACCATCTCGTAGGCAATGAGGGGATCATGGGGCCGAAGTTCGAAGCGTTCAAGAGCCTCGGTGTATAACCCGCGGTGGTACTCATAGTCGTACCACTCTTCGCGTGCAGTAATGGACATCGTTTCGTTTCCTCCTTTTTTTTCTCTTCGGTCGATAGTACATTGTACGATGTGCACATCGCTCCTACTTATACGCTCTCGGGCTGTTCATGTTTTCTTTTTTTAGGTTAGGTTCCGTTACCTGTTTCAGGACCCGTCTTTCCTTCCCCTATAGTTTCTCTTCAAAGTGGAGAGGGGATGTCGAGCTCCACATGCTTTTGATCGCGGAACTCGACAAGTCCTACGCACTGGTCAGTGCGTCGGACTGAGGACGGGGTTGACAAGACCGACTTGGCGTTAATACCTCAAAATCGGGCCTTCGGTTACTGTTGTCAGTCGTCCGGTTCCCTTATCGAGCACTTATCTCAGAACTCCTCTGCATGGCTTGGTGTTTGAGGGTCCATATGTTAGTTTCAGATTAGTAGTGTACACGCAGGTCGGATCTCCCCTCCCTCCTACTTAGAGAGTAGGTAGGAAGAAAATAAAGTTAGATTTTTACCCCCCATCTTTTGGATCTAAGTACAACCAAGCAAAAATCGTACGAATTCTCTCAGTTCGAGCCATTCCTCAGACCAACCTAAACCTCCCGTCGTACTCGAGACGGATCTACTTCGTGTGACGGACTAGATCTCGTTTCATATCGGACAAGGGACGGTAGACTGCAGTGAGAATGGAGGGGGTAAAAGTACAGGGTAGGATAGACATACATTGTACTACAGCCAAAAATCACCATCCGAGTCCCCGTATTCCGTCTCTGAGACAAGATTATGATCATGAGCTAATCAAGTCCAACCTGGCTTACTGAACGTGGTGTCATTACCGTGTCTCATCCGACCCACAAACATGATTGCGAGCGAAGAGCGAAGCGAAGCAATACTGGCCATACTTAGGGTGAAAAATTTCGTCAATTCTATATTCGCAAATCCCACGAGGTCACAGCCACCGCCGTTTTTGGTAATTCCTGTGAATCCCTCGTTATCGAATTCAGTCGCGACTGTCTATCTTCCATAAGGCAATGGGCCGATAATATCCTTTTGTACGCATATAGAGGGAAAGGTCAAATGTATTCTTCTGTAATAACCCAATGTCAGTCAATGATATCGTGTAGTTTGCGGGGGAAAAGACGTCCCGCGAAGCGGGGCACGGACAGATATTGGTTTGGAAAGGAAATCCAAAACCAATACGTAGCAGGCCATCGACGTCGAATCCAGTACGCAAGGAGTGCAAGGGTGTGAAGGAGAGATATCACATGAACCCAAACATACCACACGGAGCCAAGCTCCCAGAGCACCGCTCGCTGAGGGTGAATGTGAAAATTGACCGGTCCACCCGAAAACCCCAACAGAGCATGGGCAAAGTGAGATGATATTTAAGATAGGTCAAATTCTAGATCTTCTGTAGTGAATGGCAAATTGTATGATGATGCGAATGCCCTCATACGTGATTCCGACTGCATTGCTTGAGCCACTGCTAATGGAATAACCTTCTCCAGCCTTCTCCAGTATATAAGGAAACATAATGACGTCCAGCCTCCAATCTTCATGATGACCTCTGGAGGTACCCCAAGCAATAGGTATGCCAAAGATCCACCAATACGGAAACTATGTCCAAAGACCTCCTCGAGATTATGCAGTCTGAAGATGCCGGTAAACCAAGCAATAAATGCCGATTTGACCCAGATAGTCCACGATGAACCTTCTCTGAATGCAAAAAATGGAGTATTTGGAGGAGGTGAATGGTTGACCTTTAGATGATTTTCTACTGCCGCGACTGGACATAATGGATCACCCGGAATTTCAGTGAGAAAACATTCACCCCCCTTTTCCCTAGTGGTCTTTGTCCATGGTAGATGGAAAGAGATAGTTCGTCGTCCCCCTACTACTGAGCGTGTGATTCGAGTTGAACAGAAAATGTCATGCTCCGGCGTGACCTTAGTTGCTGATTTTGGGATAATTTCACCCAATCTACGGCAACCCCAGTATGCTGTAGTTGCTATCGCCCATGTGGAAGCGCCGTGAGGTGTTGAGAGGTCAAGATGTGAATGGAGAGCGAGAAGATGGTGACGCTCGATTGGTCCCCATTGAGCGCGTTTAAAAACTGCGCCCTTCCGTTCTGCGGCTTTCTTCAATGATGGGAGCCATCCCTCCTGACCATGCCACGCTGCGTTGTTGTATAGGTGCCATAATCGAAGTCCACTCAGCCAATTCTGGATGCACGAACCGGTACATGTCCCCATAAATTCTGCAACAAATGCACCCAAAAGTATAGCTGAAGCGGGCATTCTCGCCCCCTCCGGGATTAATTCTGCATCACAGAATTGATTGAAACGAAGTAGTCCTGCCCCATAAGACTGTCTAGTGTCATGTGTTGTAGCTGTCAAGAGACCTTCAAACATCTTGATTAGTAGACGAGGCGAAATTTCGATATTGCAATTTGATTGCATATGTAATGAATATGGTGTAGTCCATAGTAAGACTCAACGATCTGCAGGAACATTAACTGGGCGATATATGCTGGGGGCCAATGTGTTGGATGGTCCTGGGCGTCGTGCCTTTTTCTTGGGCAGAGAAAGTGCTGCTGTAGCCCGAATATCGAGAAGATGTATTGGGATCGGGAAGGGCTGGAGACTATTGGTATCTGCATTTACCACATGGAGGATGGGTGAAGGTGTGATTTTAATCCTGATTCCAAGGTCAGACTCCATCAATGCATTTGGATCGACTAATTTTCCAGTACTGCGGTTCGAGAGAGTTTGAATTGTAGGATCATTGCCGTTAACGGCTGTCCTTATAGGTGCATTGTAGATACACAGAAATGGAGATGACATTAATGGATAGGTTCATACAATAAGGAAGATAGTTCTGCAGGCAACAAAAAAGATCTGGTAAGATGGAAAGATGCCACGCCTAGTACACCCCGTGATATTGGATCCGCCGGATTTTCAGCCGATGGAATATATACAAATTTCGGAATGATAAGATGTTCTGCAGATATAAGATAAGTATGATGAACGCAAAGGTTTGTAGCGATATTCCGGCTGCGGCCTTTTTCATGTGCTCCAATAGCGCCTGTATTGTCGGAGTGCATAAGGAGATGGATATTGCGGTAACCAAGTTGAACGATGAAATACATGAGAAGCTCTAGGGCAATGGCCTCGAGCCAACCTATGTCCCGGCCTGGTACCTTCCATGCTGGTAGAAGACCGAAAGCATACCACTGGGTCCCGATAATGATGCCAATGCCCCATGAAGTAGAAGCATCAACGAATATGTGTAGATCCTGGAGTGGCTGCAAAGGATGCAGTTGACGGAAGAATTTGGGTATTGATAGCTGGTTTTTCCACCATTTCAGAGTGCTTATCAAAGACCCTGATGCACGACGGGTGATAAAACCGTTGTCGAGAAATTGAGACATGAAATTTGAGATAGATGGAAGATACGAAGATCCAGCAACATAGACAAAGCATACGTGCACCAGGGAACCATGGATGATTTGGATATCTAGAAGAGAAAGACCTTCGTGCCTCTCAATTTTATCCAGAAGTGCCACCACTCTTGCGAGAAACTTGAACCGTTTTGGCTCTGGCAAAGAAACACGACGGGAAATAAGATCCCAAAAGAAACCAAGGAAAACCATATCGAATGCAAAACGAAGCCCGGTCTTGGTTGGGTGCCATGGTATACCCAACTCTGCGATGAGGGCCATACATTCATCCCGATTGAATGAATAGCTGTATGGTTCTTCCGCGAAACGACCAAGTGGATCATGAAAACGCAAGACCATCATATCATCTTCATATTTGAATGGCTCCACCTCGCCATGGCCTAAGGATTGCCAGATATCCACGGTTGCATTTGCTATCTGGCCTGAATTACTGCTTGCCGGTTGTAATCCAAATGGGTGACAATGATCAATATAGTACTTCCCTTCCACACATATGACCAGGTATGGTTTGTGAGCCGGGATGACTGGGCAAGTACGATGGAAAGCTTTGATATCGAAAGCACAGGCCTGGGTGCCCTCTGGAGATGATGCGATCTATTGATACCAGATATTATAACTGTGTTAGATGTGCAAAGTGATATGGGATATGGGGAGATAGAGATAATCCTAGCCATATCGAGATAGGGATATTGATATTATGATGTATAATGTGGGATATGGGATGTAATGGATGATATGGATCAAAAATGAAGGAGAGACTCACCGCATCGGCCACACGAGAAGGCATATCAAAGCGTGTCGGAAAGTCTTCCTTGTCCACAAAACTATTTACCGAACCCATATTCTGTGCATCTTTGGAAAGGTGGCGGCAAATGCGCACTTTTGGTGGTAGATCTGGACCCTGGTCCTGTTTCACTACAACGAACGGAGAACAATAAAAAGGTCCCCCGAGTATGTGCTCCGCTTCTGCCTGGGTGAATGGTCCAGACATTCTTTTAGCCTCTAGTTCTGTATTAATGTAATCATAAATGTCAAGATGTTCTATGATGGAGGGGTGATTTGGGATGATAACTGTTTCTGTGAGGGGAGGCATGTCACCAATTGGAAAACCAGATATAAGATTATTGACCAGAAGGGGATACTTTTCAGATAGACCACATTCTGCTAGAAGTTTGGCAAAGGCCTCAGCATTATAAGGTGTGATTATACAATTGTAGATCTCTATTTTGAGGGGTGTAGCGTCGGAGAAAGGAGTGCGATGTAAGATAGTAGATGAAAAATCTTTATACAACAGGAATCTTGGATCAGATATTGCAGAATCACGCGCGTATGACACCGTCGACAACGCGGAGACATCCGGCACTACGAGAGAGAGCAGCATGTTCTCGTCCACAGAGGCTACAGGTATGGAGCCGCCCATCCTCGTGCTGGTACTGACAGCCATTGGCAAGGTTGTAGGCAATACAGATGCGTTTTGATTCTTTTGAGCTGCCCAGGGGCTTGGTAGTCCGGAGCTCGCCATCCTGGTAGACTGAATAAAACGGTTTTCCATCACTGAAAGTGACGGCGGTGATTGGATGGGAGCGGAGTAGATGTGACGACGCGCAAATGAGACACGTTGGGGTGGAAGAGCGATTCGGCGAGTCTGCAGCCCGAAAGGAACGTGGAGAATCATTTGAGATAGTACGATGGGCTTTCGTTGCTCCTCTCCCTTGTGAGTCTGACTCTAAAGGCCGCTTATTGGAAGATGACGAGGATAACGAATGTGCAAGGAGTTTTATCTGCGAAAGAATCGCGAGGTTCTGGACGTAGTATTCCTGACTAAAAAGAGTACCTTCCAAAATCTCATTTCGTGATTTTCGCTCGAAATTATACCAGATAGGATATGATGCCTCGAAATCTGGATAGTTTTTGAAGAAATCAACGTGTTTTCGAAATTCTTCTGCGTACGATATGATAGGAAGAACAGAGAGGTCGAGTTGCATTACAGGAATAGGTGACAGGATTACTAGAGCTGACAAGTAATTTTCCATACACTTTTGCCACTGCATGGGTGACACACACGTATGATCGTCGTCGTTGCCCCACAGTGTCATCATCTTGAGCATGTCAAAGACAATCACCTTCAGCGCCTCTGCCAAAGAGCCCTCGGACATCGGTTCCATTCTGTGGACTTTTGTATGGAGATCGTGAAGCCTGTGTTGAGCCAATTTAAGACGATCATGGGTGAACCAATTGACTGGGAGGTAAAACTTGTGACGAATGGAGTAAAGAAAGACATCCGGGATGATTGTCCTAGGCTGTTGACCAGAAACGCGTTCGACCGGGTTTGAATGGATCAAAGACCCTGCGACTGGAAGTGATTTTGTAGTTTCCTTGGTTGCCGTCCCAATTCGGCTTGAATCCTTCTGAAGTTTGAACCGCTCTAGCTGCATCAAAATGAAGGTAGGAAGTGGTCCTACTCGATCGCATATTGCAGGATTGGAAGCTAATAACGCGAGCTCTTCATTCGAGTAAGGATAGAGAGCTAACAGAGGAGGACCAATGTCCGGAAAAACTGTTCTGTTATTCCAGCAATTCACGGTGGCTGACATGCTATCCTCATTGTGCGTTTCAGCGATGCAATTGTGAGCGTTACGAATACGAAGGGAATGTCCTGTGGTATCCAAAAAAGGTGGGATAACTAAATGCGCCTGAAAATCAAAATTATCTGGTATAGGTGGCGGTATTCCTGCGTTAGGGAGTATGTTGACCATTGAAGATATATGAATAAAGCCAAAAAACGAATGCTTAGTGATAAGAGAAAGAACGAGTGAATTCTTGTGTACTGAGATGGATGCGAAGAGCAAGAGACTAATTGACGCGCACACAAGTTTGGTAACCACTCGTCGCTGCCGGGCCGTCTGAACTAGAGTTTCTACCCAACTTTGAAATGATATAACTCCTACTCCCATTGCCTTATCTAACACTTACGCTAGCCGGAGCAAGCTCTCGTAGCTTCAGCTAACAATTACCTTGTACATTCTTACTTGCTCAGTATAGCATCTTTGTGTAATCATTGTAGTGTCGATAATTGTTTTACGGAGGTGCGCCAGCACCGACACCCCTCGAAACTAGAATTTCGAAGCGAGCACCACATGTGAGACGTACTTGGAACGGACGAAGGAGGCCAGAAGGAGGCTCACATGCGAATGCATGTTACGGACATCTTCCCCCGCATCTGGAGCAATATCTTAACTCGGTTTCAGATGCCTGGGAATGTGACGGACAGCGAGCCACAGCTAAGAGCATCTGCATCGTTGAATCCTCGTTTGCGAAAATAGCACAAAGAATCGTGATGGATCGAAGGGTTTAGGTGCGTACTTTTCGAATGTACTTGCAAACAAGTTTCTTTTCAAGTTCCGGCGTTGAAAGTTAACAAATCTTCAGGTGCTGATAGCGTTTACTGGTTGCTTGCAGAATCAGAGTCATGAGAATGATATTATCATGACTAGATTTTATTGTGTGCTATACATTTAGTTACATACAATAAATATGAAGTTCCGTTTGTACAAAAAATAAACGGAGCCTCAGTCACATAAAACATACAGCGCCTGAGAGAAATCACAGCTCGTGAGAAAAACATCCACTGACTGCGCCTCAGCAAAATGTATGGAGCTCAGCTCACCAGTATCATATAATGTACCATGCTCATGAGTGATATGTAAAGTCGTGCAATGCAGTTTGGTTATTTTACTAATGCACGGCGCTTAAGATTATATGTAACCAGTGGCTTTATATTTACTATGGGCTTATCTAGGACAGTGGGTATAGTAGCGATCTGATAGCAAATTCATCAGTAAAGTCAACAATGCTAGATAGAGTAGGTGCGGCAATCTGGTGGCAAATTCAGCAATGGTATGCGTATGGTGGCGTAGTATGGAGGAGCAAGGCTCAGCAAAGACAGCAATGGAAAGGCTCAGTGGAAAGCAAGTAAGTCAAAAGCAGAAAGCAAGTAAGTCAAAAGCGAGGCAGAAAACAAATCTAAACTTGCTTCCAAGGATCAAGTCTTTCCCTGGACTTGTCAGAAAGGGGAGGTTTGTAGTATGTTAAGAATGCAGCCATGGAATTAGAAGGATTAGAAGTGGAAGTACTAGCTTGGGAAGTAGACGCAGTAGCAGAAGTATTAACTTGTGGAGTGGAAGAAGTTGGTTTTTCAAACAGGTTGGAGGCGTACTCTCGGTCACTAGAGTAATCGGTCCGGAAGCCAAGATCGTCCTCTACCTCATCCACTGTAACGCCAAAAACTATTTTTGTTATCAACTTTTCTTCAAAATTTGTTACAAAACTTACATTTCCTTGCACGGTCTGCATTTCTCAGGATACTCCTCATATGAGGTGATCCTGTTTGCCTCAAAAATGCTCGTGATCTTGGTTTAGGAGTATTGGTTGTATCTTCTTCAGCTTCCTCTGTTTGCGGTTCCGAAGAAGACCCAGAGTAGCTTCTGAGGCCACTAAAAGAAGTAGAAACTTTAGGTATAGAATAAATTAGAACCACCAGCGATATGTGTCTAAACACTTGCCTTTTCTTTTCTTTGGAGGACGCTCATCTTCTCCAGAAGGTTCAGATTCTGATCGAGGCCTCTTCTGTGTAAAAGGTGGCCTCAAAGCGCCTGTGAAAATGTTTAAAGCAGATTTAAGACAAATATATCACTGCGTACCTTCAACTAGCTCTTCTTCCTCTTCGCTATTTCCTGATACTGCCCCTGTATTAACAATTTCCTCTTCGTCTACTTCAGTTTCCTTGCCTTCTTGATAATCCTTCTGGTCTTCGTCGGAGGTATTCTCTTCTGCTTCTTCACTGCCACAATCCACAACCCTTCCTTCTTCTTCTTCCTCGTCATCTTCGGTCGCAGAAAGCTCAGTATTTTCCTCCAGGGTGTAAAATGCAGTAATTGGTGTAACGTTCATTTGCTTGCCTTTTTGTATAGCCTCTTGAAATAAGCTAAGTCTTCCTTTGCTAATAGGCTCCCTCGTAACTATAAAATCAGTTAGTGCTTGTCTTAAAAAAAAGAGAGCACTTGCTAAAGTGGAGCTGACGGGCATTAGTGTTTGCAGATCCATGTTTGGTAGCAATCCTCCAAAGCATTTCTCCATCTGGGAAGAACGCACTTGGTCCTGTCAGCGGTAGCATTCCATGGGTCCTGTCCTTTTTGCACAAAATAATTTCAGGAAGATAGGCGTGGGCTGGATCACTATCGTGCTTGGGATACTCTGGATTTGACTTCTTGCGGTACATGAATCGAGAGTCCATGTATTCCATTACCAGAGGACACAAAGCCCGGAGCCTATCTGTCACCTCCTCATAGGTATCTTTTCTATCGAAGACTATGGGTTGACTGATGGTGGCTATTTGAGCGCAGCCAATATCAACAAGGCTAGTTAAGTCTCGATAAACCTTAGTGGGTTTCTGACGAGGGAAATATCCCTCCTCCTTATATATAAATAAAGTCAGAATTAATTTTGCTTTTAAATTTATTGCTCTTACCACCAAGTATGTTCCCACAGGATAAATTGACAAAGACATTACTTTGAACTCAGTATGTACCTCCGCTTCCTGAACAGCCGTGGTGGCAGGTAACCCTAGTTAGAAAAAGTGCAATTGAGAAAATGAAGGCAAGTCCTTACCGCTTTTGCTTTATTTTTTACCAAAGAGTGGTTCCGCTGACTGCTCTTTGTTCTATTAGTCTCCTCCTTAGCTTTGCTGAGCTTGGAGCTAGACGCAGAGGAGGCCTTGATAGATGCTACTACCGCTTTATGGGCAAGAGTAGAGCTGCCTTTTCCCTTTTGAGTGATGTTTCGCAAAACCTGAGCAACATGACTATCTTCTGGCTCCTCGGAATTGTTATCAGAATTGTTGCCTGGCATTTCCTCCTGGTCGCTTTCACCAGTGTTGTTCGGCTTTGCCTTCCTTGAGAAGCGACGGAGTTGGTCTGTAGCTGTGGCGGAGCTTAACCTGGACCGGGAGTTTTTGTTTTTATGTTTGGAGAAAAGAGCGTGCTTGTTCCGAGGCATTATCCAAGAAATAGAAATTTGAATGAGTGAAGATAGAGGCAGTAGAAAAGAAAGACCAAGTTGTGCGTGACTTTGGTTAATCCTTTGGTGAGTAATTACCTTTTTAGTCATTTTTGGCGCCGGGTGTTTGTCATTTCGAAAAATGTAAATTCACTCAGTTATAGTACCACAATTAAGAGGTGAAAAAATTAGATAAAAGGGTTATAAAGTAGTAGGGAAAACTCCTTGTTCAAGCCAAAACTTTGCATCGCAGTTGGTCTCCATGCCTGCCTCCCTTGCCTCCCGTAAGGTGTTGATACCAAGTTCTGAAGTCTGAAACATGGACGCCTGGTTAAACCAAACCATTGATCCTCTTCCTTCTGCTCTTGCCCAGGCGGAGTTTTGATCATGGGAGTGGCAGTTGCAGAAGTACAAGGGAGTTGAGTTGTCCCTGGTGGGTTTCTCTCCGTTTTTAGTGGTGAAGATGGGGAGGTCTGCAAAAGTTTGCTTGTAAGCTTGAGTTTGTAAGATTGAGGGGACGCTTACGCTCAAGGTCAACATTGAAGTGCAAGAAAAGAGATGAGGGATAAAAAAGGAAAACCCCCGGGGGTAGCTCTAGGGCTATACCCGCCTCCCAAATCACAAGCCAGCACTTCTCTCGGTGATCAAAATGACCTACTAGTACTTAGTTGTATGCCTGAAGACTGAGGGGCAGCTTACCGAAGACAAAAATCATGCAGACACCGAAAGCCGTGTTCTTCCAATCAACATGAGGTCGACAAAATACTCTTGGTACACCATTCCTTGCGGAGTTGAGGCAAAAGTTGAAAAACAGCCCAAACATTGCATGAATTCCAAATTTTACTTTCATGTAGTCAACGGAGTCTTGGTAGCGCTGGGCAATTGCCGGAAACCTGATTCGCAAGATGTTGCAGCCATAATTACTAGGTTTGTCAGCAAAGCAAAGCTTACATGAAACGCAAACTCACGTAAGAGTGTGAAAGATTTGACCAGGATTGAAGGCCCGAGTAATGGCAAGGTGATTGTTTTTCTGAAACTTAGTGGCTTCCGGGCGCTTGGTTGTGGGTTAGGCCAGCTTGCTCAAGGATAAAAGTAGCTTTACCTGGCGATTATTCCTGTCATGCCCTGCAATAGAAAACCAATGGTCACCTCGGGAGTTGTTCTGCATGTCGTCCTCAGAAAAGCCGTGAGTAATGGATTGCACAAAGTGCGGAATGGCGGTGTTGACTTTGGGAAGAATGTCTTCCAGAATGTTTGGGGTTAGTTGGGAGCGATAGAGAAACATTCGGCTGCTAAGATCGCAGACCGCAACTGCGAGGTGACTAAGATCAAATTAGTGTTGCCATTCACACTCAGGTTACCTGGCACTTACGGGACATATGGAATGCGAGTGATGCCCTCGAGGATGGTTTGTGCCACCTGAGATGCTCCTTGAGTTAATGCCAGTTGTATCGAACTTCTCATGTCCGCGGAGGCTCTAAGTCCCATCCAAGCAGGTTTTGATATTCGAGAGTCCCTGGGCACATCAAATCCATCTTGTACTGTGTGGACTTCAACTACTCTGGCGTGCTTCTGGCCTTGCCACCACGCGTTGTATTGGCGCTTGCGTTCCGCTTTCCATTCCTTCGAAGAAAGGTTTGCGGGGCGGAGTGCGTGGAATTTTTCTCGGGTGGGCGCGTCCATGGGTGAGCTGAGCAGAGCAGGGGATCAGTCAGGAGGGGCAGCGGCTGTGGAAATAAGAGCAAGCAAACCGTTTTTCATAGGACACGCTGGGAAATTGCGGTGGACTTTTGGTTTTGGCGATGCAGGGTGGGCGTGAGGTCTTTTTCCTGGGTCTGGGCGTGTTTGCGTTTGCGCGTCTTTTGCGCTTTCTAATGCGTCGGGTCAGCGTTGTGAGGACTTATGAGTGGGTGCGCAACGCACCTCGCGGACTTCTTTTGCTCCGCGTGAGTTGACCACTCTTCGCCGGATGTACCGTCCGTGTCCTCTTCATCACGCTCCGCGTCCTCTTCGTCATGTTCGATGTCCTCTTCCTCGGAGTTTTGCTGGGCGTTGGGATTCGAGGGCGTTGCAAAAGCATTCGGATTCGAGGGCGCCGGAAGAGCATTCGGATTTGAGGGCGTTGGAAGAGTGTTCGGATTCGAGGGCGTTGCAAGAGCGCGCGAATCCTCCGAGCGGTCCGCAGTGAGGTCCTCAAGAGCCTCGAAGTTGACCTCCTCATAGCCTGAAAAACTGGACTTCAGGGAAAGCTCCAGGATGCTGAACTCTGGGTCAGTGTTTTGAAGATTTTCATGCTGAGTAAGGTGCCTCAGGAGGCCAACTTGATGAAGTTGGATGTGTCTGGGTGCCAGGGTGTCCACCTCAGCTGGGTTCAGTTGGATGTCCTTCAACAGTGGAAATCTAAAGGGGTGATGAGCTGGATTCCTTGAGGCAGGGCAAAGGGCTTACCTCTGAGTGAGAAGCTTCATTGCCTGCCTTGCAGAGCGTCGAAGTTTCATGGTGGGAGTTACAAAAAGAGAGATTTCCCAGGACTTGTCACATCAGGCCCATGACAGAACGCGGCGGCACATGACGTGGGTGTCACGCGAGGGCGTGTTGATCAACAAACCGCGGTGGGCGCGTTCGGGGAGGCGCGGTGAGGGTGTTAGTCTGGGAGGCACGGTTCGGAGGTTGATCAGCGGGTGGGGGAGGGGTCGGTGGGCAAACGGCAGTCGCGTCGAGGAAGCAGGACGCGGTCGACGCGTCGATGAACAAACTGCGGCAGGGCTGCCTCGTCTTTGGGTGAGCGCGATGGATGAGCGTGGGGTGGGGCAGAGTGTCTGGGCACACCTCTGGACTTAATTCCCTTACTCTCTGCCCGAGACACCCGCGGCTCTGCAGCATTTGCACCGGGGCACAGTGGGAGGCACGCTTCTGGACTTAATTCCTCCACTGTGCCCCTTGGCGTCAGCGCACCGGCTTTCCCTGGACGACTCGCATGCATGCCGCAGCAGTTGCACCTGGCTGTGCAACCGAGAATGGTGGGGAGTTTTTGGCGGATAGAGCTGTTTTTCCCGGCGCTTGTACCTTTAAATTGTCACGTGGGAACTCTGACCGCGAGAAATCACCTCCGAAGTCTGGTTTTCCTGACCTCTCAGAGCCTCGGCCTTTTTCTCCTTCATCCTTCATCCTTATCAGACACACAATAACCCCTCAAACATCGCAGACACGAATCCCTTCATCCTATGTTTGTCCATATCAACGTCCAGCATCTAGTGCCCACTTCCATTGTCAATCCACACCCACAATCCAACATTCCCTTCTCAATACCGGTCTCTGCTATATCTCATACGTCAGGTTCTAGCAATAGTCATCGCACTTCTCAGTCACCTTATGTTGTCCTCGCATTGGAGGATACGTTCCGGATTCCGACTAGGGGTTCTGATTCTGCGGAAGAACTTGACTCCAGTGCAAGCGGCTCACGGCGGTGCGGATGTAATTTGCAGAGAGATTCAGAAGAAGATCTGGTGGTCATTCCTCCACTTGGAGATCGTGAAGTCAAAGACGCTTGGGAGGTGTTGGCGTTGGTATTTCCGATCATGTGGATGAAAACTATGATTGGAATAGCAACGAGAGGATGGAAATTGACAATAAGCTGGATGAACTTGGTATGGAACCGGAGATCGAGTGGGATTGTATTTCATCCCAGGTACCCTGGAGAAGCTCTTCTCCCGGCCCCTCTTTGAGTCCCCCACTGTCTAATAATTGTTGGACACCGCGGTGGAGAGTCGAAGCACTTAGTAGGATTGGAGCTCGAGTTCTGGATCGGACTAGTAGTGGAGATGGTGTGGACATGGACAACAACAATGCTTCCACGTCTGAGGGAAATAATGGTGGTGACTTCCGAAGGTAGACAGATACTAGCTGGCTTCTGCTATTGACTGCCTCATACGTTTTCCCTCTTTAACCAACCAATTTTTAATATCTGAACTTGTTATATACGTTTGTGAGACAGTGGTAGGCTAACTACAGTGCAGCAATTGTAGAACAATCAAAGCTCTGAGTAAATTTGTGCTAATCAGACCAGAAATAAAAAGAAATGTGTCACTCACGTTTGGAACTTGGGATGTTGAAAAGCTCAATAATTTGTAAAACTGCGGAGCGAAAGATGTCAGGAACCGTTGGGTAGTCTCCATATGACCTCATGCGGTCCAGAGTACGAGCTTTACAACCATCCTGAAGGTTTTCAAATTTAGTTTCCTGGACAAGCTGTACCAAACCATTATAAGACAAAGGCAGCTTCGTCGGATGTATAAGCTCCACGGTGATGTTCTGATACCAAAAAAACAACCATGACTTTTCACAATACTCATGAAGTTCATCTGGACACTCCGGAAACAGCATATCCCTTGGAGCAAGCTGGAAGGGAATAGCTGCTAGAATAAGTCTTGCTTCTTGTATACGCTCTCTTGCCTTTGCGATAATAGGATAAGCAAGTCCAATTGAAGATTCCTGGTCTGTGCTGTGGCACCTCAGAGGTGTATTCAGCAGGCCCATCACAGCTGGTTCAATCCATTCCCGAACCTGGGGGTGGGCTCTGTGACGCCAGGCAAGTCCAAGAAGCTGTGCAGAGGGGAGCTTCAGCCCCACAACCTTGCTCATAGCATAAGACAAAGCCCCATCTGCCTCCAGAAGGGCGGAAATGTCTAGAAGGTTGAGTATATTTGCAGGGACCTTGTCATCGAACTCGTTCCAACCACTGGAAGAAAATAAGGCCAAGGATTATCCATCAATTGAATATTTACTAACCGACAGTTCAAATACATAAGAAAACTTTCAAATTTCTCCGCGGTAATAGAAGTAGGAAGAGCAATAGGATTACCCTCGGTGCCTTGGTTTGGAGACTGAGTAGAGGGAGGAATGCCAAAGATATCATCCAGGACCTTTGAGCGGCATCTCAAACTATCTATGGAAACACGGTACAGAATAGTTTGTTGAGGAGGAAGCTCCTGAGGGCATTATAAGGATGCCTAACTTCAAAAACATAGAAGGGAGTTCCTTACCTGAACTGCGCTAAATACCACCATAATGCCACTGTCCCAGAACTGAGGAGATCGACTTGGTTGAGGTGGATTTTGGAAAGGAGCCTGAGATTGATAAGGAGGTGGAAAACTCCCAATCAAACCTCCATCTGCAAAGGGAGAAGGCTGCACTGGAACAGGTTGGTCCATAAGGTCTGGTGCGAAGAAGGCACTTATCCTTAGGCGCTTATGCTTACATAGCAACTCTACTCCGACCAAAAGCCTTCAGTGGTGTATACATGTCCCTTCCAGTGCTTCCCACTTCAAGAATCCAAAGGTCTCCAAATCTTCTCAGCGCAGTTGACCTTCTCAAATCCCATTATAACGCTGCTTCTCTACTATTAAGCCAAGGGAGTTTTGAAATACACCGAGTTCATTTCCACAAAAATGTATTAACCAACCAATCCCTGCCACTGCTGGATGAGATTGAGAAGTCTAGATTGGAGGAAGATATCCCTGTCCCATGGATAGAAAACATGGGTAGTGCTTTTGGGTTGTTGATTAGTCAAATATTACAAGCTGAAAAGACTGCCCTGGGAAAGTAAGCGGTATTATAATCTAATTATCTTTGGATTAACTTAGTTTCACAAAGTGAGACTGTTGGAGTAGATTATCTGCACCCAGTTACTACCCTTAAAACAGGAAAACCAGGAAGGCCAAGAAAAGTCATTAATCCAGTACTTCTTCAAGAAGCTATGGGAAGGGGTCGCCGGATATCTATAACCACCTTGGCTAAATGCCTTGGTATACACCGTCACACTCTCCGTCGGGAGCTGAAGAAACATGGGATAGACTACAAATTCACTTCCTTGACCGACAAGCAGCTGGATGAAATTACCAGAGTATTTAAACAAACAAAGCCCAACTCTGGTTTCCGGTATCTGATGGGATTTCTTGGTGAACACGGGCTAAAGATACAAAGAAGAAGGGCTATAGGCTCTTTACAGAGAGTGGATCGTCTGGGAAGAGCACTCAGGAAGAAAAATCTGATCAGCCGCCAGGAATATAAAGTGAAAAGGCCTAACGCACTTTGGCATGGCGATGGCTATCATAAACTTATTCTCTGGGGCTATGTTATTCATGCTTTTGTAGATGGGTTTAGCAGAACAGTGAGAATTTTCTTTTTTTCAAACTTTTTGACTAAACTTAAGCTCTTTATGAAGATTACTGCTATGAGAGCCAGTACCAATAACAGGGCTTCTACGGTGTTAGATCTATTTCAGGTGGCTGTTGAGAAATATGGCCTTCCATCCAGAGTTCGCCTGGATCGTGGAGGAGAGAATGTTGAGGTAGCAACCTTCATGATTCTTACTCGAGGTCCCAACCGTGCCAGTGCTATGTGGGGAGCCTCTACCGGAAATACTCGAGCTGAACGCACCTGGCCCGAAGTAGGTTCACAATTTGCTAGGGCATGGAGGGCTTTCTTTTTCCGCCTGGAAAGAGTCCATGGTCTCCAGCGTAATAATCCCAATCATTTATGGCTCCTACATACTCTCTTTCTGCCCTCAATCAATGAAGACTGTGATTCCTTTGTCCGGAGCTGGAATTCACATCCTATATCAGGAAAGGGTCATAATAAGACTCCTAATGTAAGGATTAATTATCCAACTTCAAAGTTATCTAACTTCAAATTCCAGGATATGAGACTTCTAGGACAACTTGAGCATGGAATTTATCCTGACATCAATGGCGGTGTCCATCCAGAAGTTTTGCAGTACTATAGGGTAGAAGAAATGGAAGATAAGGAAGAGGCGGAAAGGGTAGTGATTGCCAACATCAGAGAAGAGCAACATTCCCAATACTATCATGAGCCAGTGGCTGTCCCGAAACACAGCTCACCCTTCCAAGAGAACGGGAAAGAGGTAAAGATGTTTGCCAGGCTTTTACAAGAACTGGAGTCTTCGGACTTTATTCCCTCCAACTACAGACTAACACCAGGAGAATGGGAAACGGGAATTTATCCTATTTTTGAGACAATACCTTTTGGGAAGAGGGGCAATAGACGCCTTGAGGTTCCCCTTCCACCTCACATCTGGCTAAAGCGGGCTATTCAGTGGGTTAGATGCTTAGTTATAATGGATTCTATCATGGATTCTAGGCAATAATATGTTTACATTTTGCACTTGAATACAACCTTTGAAATAACTGACTCATGAGCACGGTACACTGTATGACACTGGTGAGCTGAGCACGGTACATTTCACTGAGGCGCAGTGGATGTTTCTCTCACGAGCTGTACATTTCTCTCACGCGCAGCACATTTTATATGACTGAGGCGATATTTATTTTTTGTACAAACGGAACTTCATACAATAAAGATGATATTGATACAGAGTAGTGGGGCGTTGAAAGAAGTCAAAGTGTTGGCGTTACTAATAACGACCTCCAGAAGGGTGCAAAGCATCCGCACGATTCCTATGTGCTGCAGCCTGTGCTTCAAGCGCATCCGCTTGCCGATGTCCCCCTACAGCAGCTTGCTCCCGTTGTCCGGCGATGATCTTGTTTTCGCCTTTAACACTACATGCAACAGCGCGTCAATATTATTCATGATTAATTTGGAGTATTGAAAACTCACTCCATGGAAGCACTCCCAGCGACTTTACCTATCCCACGTTCGACTTTGCCTTCGATTTCTTCGAGTTTACCGTGCATTTTGCTTGGGTTGGAGGGTGCACCTGAACCTGCTCCAACTCCTCCGGCACCTACACCTGCGGCACCTGCGCCGGCTCCATGGGCACCAGTGTACCCATCGTTGTAAGCATTAGCACCGGCGTTGGGAGCGTTCCGCCCTTGATGCCGTCCGAGCATCTCACCACCCGCTCCACCAATTGCTGCATCTCGTACGCCGTCTAGCAAGATGAGCGAAAACAATCAATAACTACGAAGAACACATATTCAGAGGAAGTTTAACTCACGTCCATGACCATGGCCCGCAGCTGCACCTGCCCCTGCACCGATCAGCCCGTCCCTGTTCCCATGTGTACCTGTAGCGGTTCCTCCTCCGTGGTGACCTGCTTCATGGCCAGCGAAACCACCTAGAGCGGCATCACGAGCTGTATGCCCATGGTGTCCTTCGTGACCAGCGAAACCACCTGCTCCAGCACCGAGAGCGGTATCGCGTCCGGTGTGGTTAGAAGTGGTGGTGGGGTTGTTGTTGTTGTGGAGTCCGAAAGGCATTTGTGGATATGTGTTGATTGAGTTAAGTTGTTTAGATGTGGATGATATGCGTTAAAAGTTCTGTGCGTTTGTTTTTCTTTCATTCTGGTGAGTATATATATGTTCAGAGAGCTCCGCTCCGAAAGAGGATGACGAGTTGGAGGGGTAATCGTGCGTAATTGGATTTTTGCAACGGCGACGTCATTGCTGGATCTGGTCATGAGCTATCTTGATTTTCGATTACTGGAGGCGCAGCAAAGCATAATGACATCATCCCGGGCCAACGCAAGCGGAAACTGTCGGGGCGAATACCTGTAAGCTTGAGCTTGAGGCCGAAACTTCAATTTATTGTAACGCCAAGATGGTGTACGTCGATTTGCATTTTCAAACCAAACCTTTCACGATAAAATTGATTCAAGTGATAGCTATAAAGAACAAGACATACTCTATAAGTATCACCTGCGAATGCCATTGTCAGCGTAAATATTACTGCTGATATCGAAGAAAAGAGTAAGTAAACCGACGTCTTGCGAGTCGAACCTCCATCCTCGATGATCACTGTTCCGGTACAAAGATATTGATTGCGAATCTTGTACAGAAATTTATCTGTACATTCAAGAGAGAGAGCATCAATGTGTTGCGCGTGTGTAAGCAGACTGAACGATACAACTCACGATGTCTTCTCGTTTAGCGTCTCTACTCACCGAGAAAATCCCTGGAGGTCCCATATCGACGAGTTCAACAGAGGTAACTGTTTTGCCAGATAATGTGACGAGGGCATTTTGTTCCTTGTTGTCACTACACGCAATATCTCAGACCAAGAATTCAACCAGAAGTTTAAAAAATCACTGACAGCCGCAAAATCTGTTTCCTCTCCGCAAATTCCGCCACCTTCTCACACATCTTCCCCACCGCCTCTCCCTCCATCCTCTTCTTCTCCCTACCACTAGCCTTCCTATACACCCCCGTTCCACTCAAAACCTGACCCGATTTCTTCTTCATGATAATCACAGGAATAGCCGTCTTCGACAGCCTCGCGTCGTGGAGCATACCAGCAGCGATTAAATCCCCGGCCTCGCGGAGGACTTTGACTTCGACGAAAGCATTGTCGTCGGGTTTTCCGCGAAGGACTTTCATTATGAGGTCCCCCGTAGGGTGACCCATATAGTATTTCTCACCGGAAAGGAGGAACATGGCACGGTTGTTGGCACCGTCGTTGGAGATTCTGGAGCCGACTGGGACGTTGGTTAAGGTGTTCTCTGGTACGGTATGAATAAGCAGAAAGATTGTAGCAAATGAGGTTATTCACTGAACACCGCCTTATCCTCATCTTGGAGAGTCTTGTCGTACGTATCCAAGATCCATTTTTGGCCATACAAATTCCGAGATTGAAGCACGGGAGTAGGAGGTAGTTGGGGTGGGGAGTAGACGGTGTAAGTATCGGTGATAGGGTACGCATTAGTACACAACGACGCGCCCAGTACAAATACAATAATGAACATAATGGATGTATGGGATCCCGAATTGCGAAATGACATGAATAGAGTGAGACGAGGGGGGATCCGGTGAATGTGCTCGCTGACCAGCAGAGAGCTCTACGAAGAGAAGAGAAAAGGAGTTGAATTTCATTCAAGATTTCGAATCCCGGCTTCTTATCAAGCGGGTCCCAGGAACGACCAGACTCCGGGTCGTAGATATCTATCTGAAGGCTGAGTTTGATATCGACTGATATTACAAATTGTTCAAGTCTGGAGAAGGTTGAAGATTTGGACGGTATGAAATTGAATTTTGTGTTGGCCCAGCTGGTTGCAGTGACTACCAAGTAGAGGAACTCATGATAGAGATAGAAAGGCGATAGCTAGCTTGATCAATGAAGGTGTTGAAGAGATAATGATGGAAGATAGAACAGCCGATTTTTTCCCACGACGCACTCTTCCGTTAAACACTCACACTACTTATTACATCCTTTTTTCTCCGTTCTACTTTCGGGGAACGAGTTATGGTTCGCAGAGACAGGTCGTACTCTCCAGATTCGTCGAATAAAAGGGTAAGACACTCTCATCGCTCTTCACCCCGGTCTCCATCGCCAACGAGGCGCAGCTCCCAAAGGTCCAGCAATAGGAAATACGACGATGAAAGAGACAGGGATTGGGATAGAGATAGGGAACGTGACCGGGTGAGAGAAAGGGATAGAGACAGAGATAGGGATAGGGACAGGGATAGAGAACGGGACAGAGACAGAGACAGATACCGGGACGACAGGCATAAAGAAGACCGGAGAAGAGACCACAGAGACGATAAACGTCTCTCCCCATCCAGAGAACGTGACCGTGACCGTCGTCCAGCATCACCTCGCAAAGACACTCCGAGAGACTCACCTGCTCCAGGCGCAACACCGGCACCAGCTACACCAGAGGACGATGCCATCAAAGCTAAACGCGCACGTCTCGAGGCATGGAAGAAACAACGGGAAGCCCAAAAGGCCCTCGGTGAAGCCAAGGCAAAAGCTATGGCCCTGGCTGGCAAATCCGCTCCACCAGGTAAGTCGTTATGTTTCCATGTAAAAAAACCGGGAATTACCAGATTTCACATCACTTGATCCTTTTCTGTTCTCTACAGCACCCAACAACACCACCAACAACAATGTCGAGCTTCCCACCAAACCAGCTCTCGCCGCCATCAAAGGTCTCCCAGCAAAACCCGAATTCGCTGCCGCCGGGTTCAAAGGTCTCCCTGTGAAACCCGACTTTGTTAGCACAAAACAGCTGACGATGGATGATTCGGTGGAGACAAAGCGCAAGTTGGAGAAGCTGGAGGATATGCCTGCCGTGGATATGACTATGGGTGGAGAAGGTGAACCCAGTGTCGGCGACCTTGAGGTGGATGATGATGACGAAGAGGCTAATAGGATGGACCTTGCTATCAAGAAAGCCGCCGCTGCCTCCGCCGCTATGGACGTTGTCGAGGAGGACGAAGCTGATCCTTTGGATGCATTCATGAGTGGTGTGAAGGAGGAAGTGAAGAAGGTGAACTTGGAGGACATGAAAAAAGCCGTGTCTTCTAACGGCCGACTTAGCAGACGTATGGATCAAGGCGACGACGAGGACGACAATGTCGTGGAAGGTCCAGGTCCCGACGAACTTGACACCACCGAGCTCAATCTGGAAGATATCCTTGCTCTCGCTGCGAAAAAGGCGAAGAAAAAAGACCTGGCTGCAGTCGACCATTCTCGCGTCAAGTACGAATCATTTAGGAAGGAGTTTTATGTTCCTCCGCCTGATATCGCTGCTATGACTGAAGAAGAAGCTGATCTTCTCCGTCTCGAATTAGACAGTATAAAGATTCGTGGCTTGGACTGCCCCAAACCAGTTGTGAAATGGAGTCATTATGGGCTTCCAGCAAACTGGTGAGTTCTTTTTTTCATAGGAATCTTGACACGACCCTCATCCTCTTTGTTTTCAGTCTCGATGTCATCAAAAAGCTCAACTATACCGCCCCCACCTCTATCCAAGCCCAAGCTATCCCTGCCATCATGTCTGGACGGGACGTAATTGGTGTCGCAAAAACGGGTTCAGGGAAGACGATTGCTTTTCTATTGCCTCTGTTTCGTCATATCAAGGACCAGCGTCCCTTAGAGCAGATGGAGGGTCCCATCGCGATTGTAATGACCCCAACGCGTGAACTGGCTGTGCAAATCCATCGAGAATGTAAACCTTTCCTCAAGGTGATGAATCTTCGAGTGAGCTAATCAATTCTCTTATCTTATTAGACTTGTGTGTGACTGAAGTTACCTTTTCCAGGCCGTATGCGCGTATGGAGGTTCACCCATCAAAGACCAGATCGCCGAACTCAAGAAAGGTGCAGAAATCATCGTCTGCACCCCGGGCCGGATGATTGACCTCCTCACCGCCAATTCTGGTCGCGTCACGAACCTCAAGCGAGTGACTTATGTGGTTCTGGACGAAGCGGATCGTATGTTCGATATGGGTTTCGAGCCTCAAGTCATGAAAATTATCAACAACGTCCGTCCCGACCGTCAGACTGTCCTCTTCTCCGCAACGTTCCCTAAACAGATGGACTCTCTCGCACGGAAGATCCTTCGAAAGCCGCTTGAGATCACTGTCGGAGGTCGGTCTGTGGTCGCAGCAGAGATTGAGCAGATCGTCGAAGTTCGGGCAGAGGATACCAAGTTCACGAGGCTGCTAGAGATTCTGGGGCAGATGTATAACGAGGATCCCGAGTGTCGTACGCTGGTCTTCGTCGATAGACAAGAAGCCGCAGATAACTTACTTCGCGAACTTATGCGTAAGGGGTATCTCTGTATGTCGTTGCACGGAGGGAAGGACCAGGTTGATCGTGATTCGACGATTGCGGATTTCAAGGCCGGTGTGGTGCCGATCGTTATTGCTACTTCGGTTGCTGCAAGAGGGTTGGATGTGAAGCAGTTGAAACTTGTCATTAACTATGATGCACCGAATCATATGGAGGATTATGTGCATCGGGCGGGACGTACTGGAAGAGCAGGGAACAAGGGGACATGTGTGACATTCATTACGCCAGAGCAGGACAGGTATTCTGTGGATATATACCGTGCGCTCAAAGCTAGTAATGCAACCGTTCCCAAGGATCTCGAGGAGCTAGCTAATGGTGCGTTCCCCTCCAGATTCTGAAGCTACATGAACTATCTAACTCGTACTTTCAGGTTTCTTGGACAAACTCAAAACTGGGAAAGCACAAGCTGCAGGCTCTGGCTTCGGTGGTAAAGGTCTTGACCGGCTTGACAAGGAGCGCGACGCTAAAGAGAAGGCTGAACGTAAAGCTTATGGTGAACCAGAGGAAGAAAAGCCTGCTGTCACGGAGGAAGCAGCCCCAGGCGGCGCCACCGCCAATGCTGCCGCAGACGATATGACTTTCGGAAACTTCAAAGTCGAAATCAAACGTGGTCCGGCACCGGATTCTTCCAAGGGCTTACTGGGCGTCGCAGGCGCTGCTGCCGCTGCACGTAAACTCGCACATGCCAAGGAGGAAGAGAAAATACAAGCCCAAATGCGTGCTGCTGAGGAAGCCGCCGCTCGTGCCGGCAAGGATTCTCCTGCACATAAACAAGCTTTGAGTGTGGTCGCGAAATTGAACGCACAGCTGAGGGCGTCCAAGTTGGTCTTGCAGTCGCAGTTGGCGTTTGAACAGCAGGGTGGTGTAGTGGATAAGAAGAACAATCCTGATTCAACGGACTTCCATGCGATAATACCGATTAATGACTATCCACAGAAGGCGAGGTGGAGAGTTACGAATAAGGAGACGATGGTTCAGGTGAGCTGCAATTGGTCCATCTTGAGTGCTTGAATCTAATACTGAAAACTATCGTTCGTATAGCTCATCGACATGACTGGTGCTTCCGTCACGAACAAGGGAATATACTATGATCAAGGCAAAGAGCCTCCCCTCGACGGTCCTCCTAAACTCCACCTACTGGTCGAGTCAAACGAAGAGTATAGAGTAAGCTTACAATGTATCCATTCTACCCATGCACATAACTAATGCGTCTGTTCATCCAGGTTGAACAAGCTGTTCGCGAAATTAAACGATTGCTTATTGAGGCTTCTGCGGCTGCTCTTCAAGCCGAAATGCGTAATCCTACTGCAACTGGCAGGTATAGTGTCCTATAAGTGCAGAGTATTCGTTATTACAGTATATCCTATTTACAATCGACGTTATAAAATACTGTAAACAGTAATGCATCGTTCAAATACATTGAGGATTCGATCCAATGGAAAAAACCGAGGTAATCGGAGGAGGGTACATACCGTTTGCAAGTCCGGAGCTAAAATAGCTGAGAAATTTGTGGAAGATAACGCTATTCCGGATCAGCCGCCTTTTACTCAAGCCCTTTCGATGTTTACGGAGACTTTGACCCTCTTTGACCTCGGTCTTCGATGCACTCTCTTCCTAGGATACGATGACTGTTCGGAATTTTCTTTGGGGCCAAGCTCCATCTACGAAACAAGAGAGGAATCTTCTGTTCAAACTAGACTTCTTCATCCTCTCGTATACCTGCTTGGTGTATTTTACCAATTGTGCGCGCAACACCATGTTGGTATTTCCAAACCATTCATCTAGGAAATTTTCCAGATCTGGACCGCTCAAATATCAATAATGCCTACGTGTCTGGCATGAAAGAAGATTTATCTATGGAAGGGACGGATTTCAATAAAATTCTTACTATCTTTACCTGTGGTTATATTGTCGGTGAGTTCAAATTACTTGAAGGTTGAATGGGTTGCTGAATATGTCTGATCTGCATAGGAATGATACCAAGTTTGTCTTGCTTCAATCTGTGCTTGCTATCCGAACGAGCAAAATATAGATAATCTCATGCTCCAAATACTTCCACCTCGTCTTTGGTTGCCGTTGTGTCAGATAGTGTGGGGGGTCTTGACATTTTGGTACGTCGGCCTCTCTCTTTGCAGAGGCAAAACAATCAATCCTCAGACAATGAGTAGCACAAGCGCAGTGACCAATGTTCAGCAGGTATTCTCAACATCCTTCGGATACGTAGGTCATTGCTAAAATGGGTTTCACTGTAGGTCTACGCAATCCGGTTCTTCCAAGGCATCGCTGAATCCTCGACATTTGTTGGGACCCATTATATTCTCGGATCGTAAGCGGTGGTTCTGTCCGACTTTAGATGCGAGACTGACACACACAGGTGGTATAAGCCTGGAGAGTTAGGCAAACGATCAGGCATATTCACAAGTTCTGGATTAGCAGGAACGTTGTAAGTCGGAGCTGCGAATCCTTTTCTTGCCTACCTTACGCTACCTAATTCAATCAGGTTCTCGGGAGTTCTACAAGGCGCTGTATACAGGTTGGTGTTCTCGGAACCTCGAGGTGGACAGAGCTAATAGGGATATAACAAGTAACCTCAATGGGGTATCTGGACGAAGTGGTTGGCGTTGGCTGTAGGTGCACATCTCAATTTTCCATGTTCCATGCTCTCATAGTGTTCCGCTGGATAGATTTATTATTGACGGAGTCATAACTCTCCCCATTGCATTATATGGGTTTTGGCTCTTCCCCGATGTACCAGCTACCACTAAAGTGTTCTATCTGAGCGATGAAGTAAGTTTGCACGCTGTCGTACAGATAAATCCTTCTGTGTTCATGAGACAATTATTCTGCAGGATCGACAATTAGCAGCTTCGCGACTCCAAGGATATGTTGAAGTCAGACATTCTCCACTATCCTGGAAGCTAGCCAAAAAAGTGTTGACGCGATGGAGGTGGTATGCATGCAGCCTTTTGGTAATCATTCCCATTTTCTTGAACAAACTGCGATTGTTGATCCTCTCCATGATAGTTTGCCATTTCCGGTGAAACGGAAAGTTTTGGTTCAAATAATTTAATGGGACAATGGCTCAAAGCTATCGGTGGATATTCCGTCGAGCAAACGGATTATTATCCTTCTGGAGTTACTGCTTTTGGTATCCTCTCGACGCTGGTCTGTGCAGTCTGGACAGATTACACGCAAGTGAGGTGGCCAGTACTTGTATACATGTCAGTATCCTGCATTGTGGCGAGCGTCTGCATCCTGGTGTGGAACAGTCCAACCGGTTTGAAATTCTTCGCATACTGTAAGAGGTTATTTCAACTGGAAGCTTATGCGCGATCGTAGTAACCCTGCTATAGATCTTGCAGGCGCCTCTTATTCAGGCCAGGCGACAACTTTTGCGTGAGGATATTCTCAACACACCTAGAATCTTATTCACGAGTAACGATATGCAGATGGGCGAACCAGATTTGCGCTGACGACGATCAGGAAAGAGCAATCGTTTTGGTACGTCTCCAACTTTTTTTCGTCGTGACTGGTACTAATTTGCCATCCCAAGGCATCGATGAAGTAACTACCTTATTTCGTTCTTTGCAGTCCTAATACTAATTAATGTTACCTCACAGTATGTGGAACAATGTCGTCAACGCATGGTGGTCTATCGTCTTCTACCCTGCCACAGATGCTCCGAAATTTACGAAAGGGTGCGTCTCTGTTTACTCTCGTGATGAACATTCTGACTTAAGGTGGAATGCAAAGAATGATTGCAATGATCGTGATTTGCGTCGCGACTCTCGCGGTGACTGGTCTGGTCTGGTATCTGGAGAGAAGGGAGCATAGACTTGGCAATAGATTGGAGGATACTCCTACAAGGGATAGCGAGCAGGAGGAGAACCAGTCAACGAAGGAGAATACATAGTCAGAGTAATACGGCTCGTCAGAGCTTTCACAAATGAAAAGCAGCACTTGCGATAAACGGTTTTCTTAAACTCTGACTACGCATTTACATGGTCCATATTCGCATACAAGCAGATAAGTTTAACAAGAGGCAATTAAGATCTACAGCATCCATCCACTAAGGTATAAAAGATAGATGAAAGCGTACATAGTGTCAAAACATAGTGTGCAGTCCGATCGTGCATCGTACCCAAAAAAAACGAAGTTGTCCAATCTCTGAATCTTGGGTATACTGAGAGTATATTACTCCTCACCCAAAAAATCAATTGCGCGTGGTATGGTTGATATCATCAAGCCTTCCCTCCGAAACTCCCTGTACTCCGTAACTTCCAAAGCCACACCGCTAAGAGCCCTACGACAACTAGTCCCACAACTCCAAGAACAACACCCAACGCAATCTCTCCTCCCTCACTTAAGCGGTGGCCTGAACACCCGTCTTGTATCGCATCGTCACACGGTTGTCCCTTTGGCTTCACTTTCTCGTTTGCCCCCACCGTAACTTGTGTGAAATACGGATCAATATCATCTGTCACTATATGCATCGCCGTCAAGGTGAGCATTGGCGCGTTATAGTCTAGTGCAACTTCATTCTCGACCCAATCACTTCGTATGTCGAAGAATCGATCGAAGCGGTCAGGGCCTCCAACAACGGCGCCGTAGAGTACGTAGGTATTTCCTTGGCTGAGAGGAGGGGAAGTATCAATCTGACCAATATCATCTCCGCCGGAAGACATTGCCGAGTGGGGATTTATAGGGGAATTAGGATGAAGACCAACGATGTAGGGAACGAACATGGGGTTATTTCCTAGCGTATAGTCGAGTTGAGATTGAGCAAAGGACTGTTGGAAAAAGGCTTAGTAGTACCGGGAGTTTCAGTGATTGCTTACTTACGAGATAGGTCGCCTTCTTGTCATTACTGCTACAGAGTCCAGATGCAACATATCTTGTCAACAACATCGCGGCGTTCAGCGCCGGATTGAGTGACGCGTCATTCGAGTCTCCCGAATAGTATAGTAGACCACCTGTTGTGAAATTATATTAGATATGAAACTCCGAAGATTATTTACCTGAATGCACCTTTCGTCAAAGACGCATCTCCTTTGCTACTCGAAGGGTCCACCACGACATCCAAATATCTTTCCGCTTCCGTTTGCCACTGTGAGAAGTTACCTGCTCCTTCAAAACCTAAAGATGACATCTGCGCAAACAATATATATGTCCCAGCAGTTTTATCGTCCCAGTTAAACACTGAATTTTGACCCGCAAGATCGAACTGGCTGTAGTAAGATTCAGCAAGGGAGTAGTACTGTTGGGGACTAAGAGTGGTGATGTTGAGGGTGGAGTTGGCATTTTGCGACGCATTCACAGCAAGGCTCAACCACAGGCCAGCCATGACCAGCTCATCACCGTATCCGCTACTGGCATAGCTATCCTGCACCTCCGGAACACTATTCTGATAAAGCGTCATTCCTCCAGACGCATTGACAGCAAGTTCGTATAGCTCGACGGCATGAATGAGGAGGGTATCTGCGTAAGTTGTATTTTTCAAAGAAGCGGGAGCAGTGGAATTGACACTGCTCTTTCCTATAGTGGTAGGGCTCAATGTTCCTCCGTAATATAAATAGGAGCAAGAAGCGAAGGCAGCAGAGACACCTGCTGCTGCGTCTGTGCCAGGGGAAGTATCGTTGATTTGAAATGAAGGACGTGGACCTGGGATGTTCTGATCGCCACCCCAGTAGGCATTGTCTATACCGGCTGGAAGAGTGAAGTGTATAGGGTTTCAACATTGGCAGCGAAGGAGCGCCACATAGCGTACTCACTATCAGCGACCTCGACATACAGAGTGCTAGTATTTGCATGCATCTTGATCAACCAATCCAATCCCCAGCGAAGCATGCTGTCCAAATAGCTAGTTTGATTGCTCAAATCATAGCCCATACCAAAATCTATACCCCCCCAGCATATCGAGTTTAGTGTAAATGACAGCGGGAAAGAGACCTTGATGTAGTCTGTATGACGGGAATCAATTTGTTGGGTTTTAATACTACGAGCATCCTCACCTCCAGCATCATAATACCCTCCAGTCAAATCTAATCCGACATCGCTTCCATCACTAGTTGCGCTATCATTTCTCCAGCTGACTCGGTTATTGCTCGGTAACTTCCCGCTCCTCTGCGCCTCATAAAAATACAACAGATCGCCTAGCAGAGTAGACCATTGTTCATTCGGGACGGAAGTATTACTACCAGTAGTGGCAACTGCTCCGGCAGATGCATTAGCTGGAAGCCAGGGTGGTGAAGGGAGAGATAGTTGGGCGTAAACTTGTATCGAAGCGAAAGTAAGTGTTAGGAGACATGATGGAAGTAACATGGGGATGAAAACGCCGCACGGACCACGTCGTTGGTTTTCAGAATCAACTTAAAATCCCAACCGCGTCACGTCACCGTATTCAATATACGCCCGACTTGGACAAATTCACACCGCTTCCCTTCAAGCTTCAAATAACGACATCGACAAGATGTATGTACGGCGAACATGACATGCATTATATATTTATTCGTTCGCAAATGGATTACTTCCAATAGACAGCCCACAGACCCCGAAATGCGAATATTTTCTAGTAAACTTCAAGGACGTACCGCTCCTCCTCCTTCAAACCCTCTAGATACTCTCCTGCTTGGTCCTTAGACATTCCTTGATATTTCTCCAATGCCCCACACAACGCCTCATACATGTCCGGAACAGGCCACGTTGGCCCACACAGATAGAATACGCCTTGATCGTGTTTTAACATCCTCGCTAAATCTTGCGCATCTTCCAGCATCTTATGTTGGATGTACACCTTTTTCAGGCCAGGAGGTCCATCGCGAGAGAAAGCTAGTCCAGCACGAGTAATGATGCCGTCAAGAATGAATGCCTCGATCTCCTCTCCGTAAAGGTATTCTTGGGATTGGTGTCGAGATCCAAAGTAATAATACACTGGACCGATCGCCTTGCCTTGAGATTGAAGAAGCGCTTTGTGTTGCAAGAATGCACGGAATGGAGCTGCTCCGGTACCCAGACCAGCCATAATTAGTGGCTGAGTGTCATTTGGAGGGAGCTAGTACGAAGTACATGTCATTGAACTGAATGGACGCCAAGGCGATGATATGGACAATACCTTCATGACACTAGGCTTGATGGACACAGTTACTTTCTGTCCAATTTGAAGGCCTGCGAGGTATCGCGTGCACTGTCCGTATCTCGGTGAGCCTATAGATCGATGCTTTATGAGATGAAATCATGATACGTGGACATCCGCACTCACCACTTGGAGTCACCCAATCAACAGTAACGACCAACAAATCCACCCGATCGCCGACCACACTTTGTGCACTAGCAATTGAGTAATGCCTAGGCTTGATGTCCCCTACAAGTTCACAAAGCACCTCAATACCAGGCCGAGCGCTCGAGTACAACTTCAACACGTCCGCGAACGTCACTGTATCTTTTTCGCTCAGCTTCTTAAACGTCGAACTTCCTTCAGCCGAGCCTATGAACTGCAGGGAATATTTGTCCGCTTGTGAAGTCGCATATGCTGCGAGATCGGTGTAGAAGGATTTTGGAGGACGTCCGAATAGATCGATCTGTTGTTGTAAGGCTTGAAAGACGGTCCGAGTATGATGCTTGTCCTCGCTTCCGGGAACGGGGATTGTGATTAATCGATTCGGATCGACGCCATACCATTCACAGAAATCTGTTACTTCCTGATTGTCGTTCCATCCATGAACACCCAGCGCCTCCCCAATAGCATACTTGAGTCCTGTACCGCTGGTGTTGAATTCGAGGTGAAAGACATTTCGATTGTACTCCGTTGGAGTTAAACGACGGTTGACAGTGCAGGTGACAAGGAAAGTACGCTCAGGAAGTTCAGGACGCAGCGAAGGGTGCTGTGGGAACTCTTCGTCTGTGGACACTGTGGGAGGAGCGAAGATGGTTGGGAAGAGCAAATGTTTGGCCGCATCGTGCCATGAGCCCAAACGAGCTCCGTTGACTACGGTATCACCTTCATCGGTTTCCACTGCAATCGCGTTGAATTCAAATTCCTTGAGTTCAACAGGTTTCTCTTCCGCAGGTGCTTCAATAAAGAGCACCTCTTCCAGTGCGTCCCAAGTCTGCGAATTGAGTTCCGTTAACTCTACACCTTCCACAGTCTCACCGTAGGATCCGATTGCCAACGTAAGTACGTTCTCCTCCGTAGCGGCTGCGCCCAAGTACATCCTCATAAAAGCCAAATAAGCAACGATATTTGAGATGACATCCTGAACTTGACCAATAGCGCTCGTCAACTTCTCCGCGACGTCGGTGACATTGATTATGAAGGGACGAAGTTCCCTCTCTACAATAAGCCTGGTAGCCTGGACCGGGAGATTAGAGAATAACTCTTCTGCTGTCCATGTAGTTACAATCAAAATTGTGGAACGGGGTTTGGCATACTTGAGAACTGAATGTGTCTTCAGGATCGTCTGATCCATTATAGCAAGGAAATCAACTTCTCCACTAGTCTGGGCATCATATGGCAGGACCAAGGGGATGGGAAAATCCTCAGAGTCCAATGCACTCCGAGGAGCCAAGAGAATGCGACTGGCAGTAATCCCTCCGCGCTTGGAAAAGACGTCGTGGTCTATAGAGAGACGCGAGGAGAGAGTCCGGCTCGTGGAAAGAGCGCCTTCGACAAGTAGGGGGAGGTTCGAGAGCGTCGTGCTAGGTGTGGTGAAAAACATCAATTTCTTCATTATAGCAGGTACCGGATCCTCCAACTCGGGAACAAGCGTGGCCAAAAACTCCTTGAACGAGTCCTTTTGAGAAATATACACCTGGGTCTGCGAAGGTGTGATACGGTGAGAGTGGACAGTGGGTGGGTTGATCGAGTCCAGCAGAGTACTGAAAACATCGATATAAAGAGGTCCCTTCGTAGTTGCATTCGGAACATCATCGAGAACATGGACTGTCTTTACGGTGACTGGTAACACGGAGCGAAGGGCAGCTTCATCCCAAGGCCTAAGGACATTGACTGATACAGCAGCAAAACCGTGGCGACTTTTGTTGGCAATGGCCTTGGCTGCCACAGCTAATGGCCCATTCAGCGCCAGTACTACTGTGTGCGCCTCAGCGTCACCGACGTAGTCAAAAGATGAATACCCTGCTCGCTGAATAGCTTCGGCGACAGATATATTTCCGTAGTCCTTTTCGGGAAGCGGAAGAGTAACATGGCCTACTTCGCGAGACGAGCTAAAGTGGTCGAAGATGTGAATGACATGAGAAGCAGAAAGCTGGTACGATAACTGAGTGAAGTGCACTGTTTCCTGAGAAGTAGCAGAAGCTAAGACCACGATATTTTCTGGGAGAATCGGAAGGACAGTGGCAAAATTTGCCAGAGTAGGAGACAGTGCATAAGTCTCACCAGCAGGGGTGATGTTAGGAACCTGAATCACAAGCCTACTTGAGGCTGTTGCGGGAGGTAGATACGAAAGCGCAGGAGCCATCAGAGAAAGCCCCTGCGGCGACGTGAAAGCAGTCAAAACAGCTCCATTGGCGGTATCGGAGCTAGTTCCTTCTGACAGCCTGCCAACGAGACTCAATCCTGCACCAGCTCTGGTCTGTAGATCTACCACTGGGGCGGTTCCATCTTGTGCTTTGGACCAGATCTTTGTGAGCGTTCCGAACCCAACTTGTTCCGCTAGATCATAGATATAAACTGAGGAAGTCGTTTTTGCGCGAGATGAGATGTATTCCACCACGGTGGAGGCAGACACTCTTGGGTCTTCGAGGAGTTCCTCGAAATTAGCTTCAAGCACAGCGCCTACTTTAGGAGAGGCCGGAGACACGAGAGTGACTGAAGAAGCGAGAGACGTTGAAACTTGGCCGGGAACGTCGATGGCCATGGTAAATGAGCAAGTGAAAATTTGACGGGTAGGACTTCATAGTATTCTCTTCTCGAACAAGATGAGCAAAGATGAGGTTGGTAGCACGCCTTACTAAATTGTTGACGGAAAATGTTGTCCGGTTTATTCCTTCCGGACTCCCGAAAGACACCGAGCGGATAGTAGTCACATGTCTACCCGCGGAACCTGCCGAAAACTTGTCGGGCCGAGCAGGTCAGAGTGTCCCTGAGCGCCGCAGATCCCTTTTATCTTGGACTTTCTGGTTATAAGCTCTTTTCCTTTTTCCTCTGAACCTCTACAACTCCTAACTTGCAAGATGGTTGGCGTTCACAAGATCTCGCACCCCATAGTCAACGCTGAACTCTCCAAGTTACGACTCAGCAGTACAAGTTCCAAAGAATTCCGCGAAGTGAGTACTTATGCCATTCAAGAAGATCATGAAAGATTTCAAAGAACTTCTTGTAGGGCATCAACCACATTGCTCTAATTCTGGGACTCGAAGCGTCAAAAGATTTGGAAGAAGTGACGTTCGACGGGGTGAGTGATGCTTCAGGTCTTTCTTATCGATCCATCCTCGCTGACGCCACGTTTCTCTTAGCAAACACCCATAGCGGCTTTCAAGGGTACAAATATCAAACCTCGTGTTGGCCTAACTCCGATTCTGCGTGCTGGCCTGGGAATGACGGATGCTCTGGTAAGACATCCGTTCCTCCCACAAGCAATAGGATAATGACCATAGGCCTTGTCCGCAGTTAACTCTTTTCCCGTATGCTACCCCTTTAACAATTATCACTATCTTCCACTTACAGGATTTAGCTCCGCACCTGTGTACCATCTCGGAATTTTTAGAGAAAAGGTTACCCTTCAACCTGTCGAATGTGGGTCATGAGTAACAACATGAAAACTGGTGAAGCTACTAATCCGCCTGACAGACTACTCCAAGTTGCCAGCGCAACCTCCAGTCGACATAGTATATCTCTTAGATCCTCTCATTGCTACTGGAGGGACCGCCGTTGCCGCTCTCACTATGATTGTCGATTGGGGCATCCCAGGTATATTCCTTTTGTTCGCGGACCTTCCAGCATCTCATATAGTATCTTCAGTGGACAAAATCAAACTTCTTTGCGTACTTGCTTCTCATGAAGGATTAAAGAACGTACAAAGCGGATTCCCTGGACTCGAGGTCACACTCAAACCAAATTTTCCGTAATTATCATTCTAAATGATTACATTTGTATAGATCTGGGTCGCAGGCATTGACGAAACATTGACAAAGGAGGGATTGATTAGCCCTGGTTTGGGCGACACCGTAAGTAAAATAAGACTGTATTTTCCGGCAACTTCTAACGATGTCAAATCCAGGGTGATCGTCTTTTCAACACCTTGCGCCCTTGAATCAGCAGCTTCCGAATGCGATAAGATTAACCGTAACATTCTATAATATTGTTAGTACAGTACGAATAAAATCCTATTTCGACGCACATCGACGTTTATACTCGCAGGGTTTTAGGGTGTCAGTTTTGGAAAAGATGATATCCCACTCGTTTGAAGTTTTGAATCTGCGAGGAACTTTTCTGAACTCGAACAGAGTGAAATGTGAATTCCTTTCGTCCTGCGCAGCTCTGATCAACGTCAGTTACGAGCGAATGGGTGGCAACTTACTTTCGACTTCAGCTTGAAGCCGATAGATGAGACTAAGGACACAAAATTTTCTAGGTTGCGAAATCTACTTGTGACTTCCGCTATCTTGAGCTCTCCACTGATAAGAATGGTAAATTGACTGTCGTCTTCGATTAAAGATGATGTTACATACTTGGGCTTTAGGATCCTCCACGCCTCACGAATTGACTTCGGCCAATTTGTACTCATGAGACTTAACGAGAATACCACGATATCTACGATATGAGCTTCGCCCTCGGACAACGATCCTTCGGTACCCTCTGAGCCCGGTAATGGTAGTGTACCACAGATATCTGCCTCCACAACATAAGGGCTATGAGAAACCAGGTCGAAAGACAGTACAGATATTCCTTTAGGAATCAAAGCGCGGGCGATGGCTGCATCTCCACAGCCTAGATCAGCCACGATTGTATTGACATGATACGATGAGAGGGTTTCAACATAGTGGTCTGCGGGATTCGTAGGCCACGATAATACTTGCTGTCTGAAACCATTGTGATACTGCATCTAATAAGCAGAATGATTGAGGGGAATGACGGTAAATCCACCTCGGTGTAAACGGTAGGATCCTCCTGCATCATCCGCTGCGCATCTTCACTTTTACTTTCATATAATGTTTGATTGAGCATGCTACGTTGGCATGTATGAGACCACTAAAGCAAAGTCACTGGTCAATTTGGACGCTAACCGGAACCGTGCCCCTTCCAACTTCTGCTTCATGTTCTTCTGCATGCCCGTCAACCCAGATGACGAATCGAGATCCTTACTCGACCGTTCCGGTTGCTCCTCAGAATCTGGGGGACGAGAATCATGGCTCCGTTTAGTTTTCTTGGTTGCTCTGTCCGATGCCTTCATCAATGGCATGGGCAATGAAATACTTTTCTTGTCCACTTCTGCAGTCGGCTGAGACTCCTTTGTCTTTCGACGCGGTTTGGGCTTAGAGTGGGAAGCCGCATTTGTTCTTGCATCGCCCACATCCCGCTTCCCAGTCAACTTTTTGACAAGTTTTTCGAGATTGATTTCTGCAGAGTGTATCCTACTCTGAGTTTCAGACCCTGCGTCGCTAATAGGTCTTTTGCGCTTCCGAGACCCAGCCTCTGGCACTGGATCGGCTGGCATTGACCACCCTGGAACATCGAATAAAGGCATGAAAAAGAAAAGCAAAGAGGATTTTCAGTGCAAGCGCCCGCAACTAATCCAAACACACGGAGCGCCGGTACCTTTCATACTAGTATAATTCTGAATTGAACCTCTTTGACTGCGGCTACTCCTTGAACACACCTTGTTTTCATGCGGTTGCATACTTGCTTAGCTTCCTAAAGACGCAAGTGAACCAATGGTCCTCTTCGATTAATCATTCTATTACGACATTTACTACCAAGTTCCCGTTGTACACTGGCACTGAATGTTTATGACTGTTTACATGTAGGACACCTTTCTTCGATGTTAGAAGAGTATTTTCCAAGGTTTCTATTCAATCTACTAGATAACATTACCACGATCGATTTCCGCAGGGACTCAGGCTTCGAAGGGCTTCGAGCGCAGCTATATGCTGGTTATCCTGGCCCCGAACAGGTGGCCTGCAGTGACTTCTTTTCACCTTATAAGCGCCTTTGGCTGTATTTTATAAGTCCATCAAAGAATTCGTCCTTTTCAACGGTTTCTTTTCATCTTTTTCACTTTTCAGGCCCTCAGAAAAGCGTTCAATATGGTGGTAACTATATCCCCTCCGCTAACCTCCAGCTCCTGCTCGACGTCGTCCGTGAGTCAGAACCCAACTTACTGACTTCTCCGACATGTTCAAGTTTCGAATCCTTGCAGGACAAATATGATTCGAACGCAGAGTGGGAACTTCTCGACAGAGAGCCACTGAAAGATTCCTCTCTCAGCTCCATGGAGGCCCATGAACTGAAAGATGCACCAATCATAACGAGAGGTGCATTTCTTCGTTGCGGGTCTTCCACCAGTACTCAATATGGTGTTCTTGGCCGCGTAGTGGCATGCCAGTAAGTCCTAGGCCATTCATTACTCCCAACGCAACGTCTCATCGAAATCATCGCCTTCTAGCTTCAAAAAAGATGTTCACACATTTTCGGATTCTCGCGTCTACTTGAACACGGTGAGCTCATCTTGTCCAGTCATTCACCTATCAACTGATGTTTTGTTTAGAATGCTCCTATGTCCACACTGGTATGCGGTGTCCAAGGTAAATATTTTACCTCTGCATATTAAGCTTTTCCAATAATACATAGGCTTTAGGTTCTGGGAAGTCCCATACCGTTTCAGTGATTCTTGAAAACATGTTCATCTCAAGCTCATCCCTCGGAACTTTATCTAAGCCACTTTCCGGACTAGTTCTGCATTTTGGAGAGGGTGGTGCGGGTTCTGGCCCTTGTGAAGCCGCTTGGGTCGGAGTGTCGAATCATCCATCCATCAAGGCTCCGCAGGTCAAGGTGTATGTCTCCAAATCATCACTCAACACCATGAAAGGTATCTATGCGCCACTTACCCAACGAGGGAACGTGACTGTAGAGGCTCTGTCGTTCGACGAGTCCGAACTCGATGCTCAGGCTTTTCTGTCATTGATGGCTGTTGGATCTTCCGACAACGCCCCGCTTTATATCCAAATCATTCTGGTAAGCTGAGCGAATCAGTACTTTTTGTGCCCCAGTCGCTGAGCCACGTCAACAATTAGTCTATCTTGCGGGAACTTGGAGAATCATTTTCTTATCAAGCGTTCATGACCGCACTGGAGTTGAAGAAGAAGACCTTCAACCCAGCTCAGTTATCTGGCCTTGAACAACGTCTTGCTCTCTTGACTTCATTCATGGCCGGAAAAAAGACCAAGAAGCTCAAGTGGGAAGCCTTAACAGAACGAAAACACCGTTTTGCACCTGGACAATTAACAATTGTTGATCTATCTGACCCTTTTATTGACCCAGCATCCGCTTGTGGGCTCTTCGAGGTGCTGACGCGGCTTTTTGTACGTGCAGAGGTTAACACAGGAAAAGTCCTCGTTATTGATGAGGCTCACAAAGTGCGTATTCACCGAAGGACTTCATTCGCTCGCCGATCGGTGATGTCTGAGTAACATTTTAACAGTACCTCTCTTCAAACAATCATCCTTCTGGGTTCACAAAAGCCCTGCTCAGTCTTACCAGGCAGCAACGACATTTGGCCATGCGGGTAATCATTAGCACTCAAGGTGAAGGATGATCGTATTTCTCATTATTTTATATCCTCAACGAATCCGATTTTCACAGAGCCCACCGTTGTCAACCCGGTCTTACTTGATTTGTGCACTGTCACAATTTTGCACAGGTTCTCCTCGCCTGCATGGTGGCAACATCTCGAGAAGCACGTTCCTGCAGACTTTTCGGATAATGAGGCATTCGATAAAGTTGTCAGGCTTCAGGTCAATGTCTTTTGAGATTTCAACTTGAAACAGTACTAACATACTTCTTGTATCTCCAGACTGGGGAAGCAATTGTTCTCGCTCCGTCCGGACTTGCTACATTCCCATCCCCTGCGAATGGAGAGCACAATGTTGGTCAGATCGGTCGACGCTATCTGATACTTAAGACTCGAAAGCGGGTCACAGTAGACGGAGGGGCCTCTATCCGGGTCATTGATTAGATCCCTACAAATCACTACGTACATACCCACTAGCAATTGTGCATCTCGGTGCTTGTCATTTGTATCCATATTATGTGCTAACATACAGTACAACTTGTGGCCTAATGTTCCGTTATACAACCAATTCTTTTTCTCTTTTTCGACGAAAGAAACCTATTTTAAGTGCCCTTGCGAGACGAGTCCACCAATATTCATTCTGGTAAGTCCATATCATTGTCAATGTATAAAGCGCAGCGATGACCGTCCCCAATATGCAAACAAATATAACCAGAATAACCCCAATAGAAATTCGATCGGCCGTGTTATGGTTGCCCAAGCTGTCCAATGCATACGCCAACGTGGATATCGTGAAAGTGATGATAGCCCACACGAGTAATACCGGGGGAAGACTGAGGAGCATAGCATGTCCGTAAAAACCCAGTAGGCTGTGTTGGGCATTGCGCATGTATGTGAACTGCATGGATGTAAATAGTTAACCTGATGGCCACCTGGAGAGAATACGTACAGAGTCGACTGTCCGAAACTTTGCTTGATGTCTCCATATTGCAAACACGCCCACTATGATGCTGCCTAGAGAGCTAAAAGCGGATACAAGTGCTGCGATCTCCATGATATGAGGAACATTGGGTACCGCCAAAAGGCCAACGGTAGCAGAAAGCAGCACGGTCGACTGCGTTTGAAGGGGTCAGTGAAGCGAAATCTTCACATATAATGACGTACGATCAGCAAAAAATGGGAATACTCTCGGACTAAACGATCGATATATGTTTCCCAATTAGCTTGCATGCCCGCCAATCGGCCGCGATATTCAAACGACTGCTTGACAAGTCTCATATATGAGTGCGGAATGCCGAAGAAGACGCAGTTCATGATAAGACGCAAAACCGGAAGAACAAAATTTGCAGGTAGAGCAGATGAGTCTGAGTGGGCTTTATGTTGTGTGTATTTATCATGGCGGCGTTCTGTAAATTCTTTACGGGTGAGTTGACCGTACATCTCCGCATCTCGAAAACTACAAATTTCACGTAAAAGCCACGCAAGGAAGGAAGTTTTGGCCGTGGAATTGTCGTAGCATGGCACTTAGTAGAACAATCATAAGGGAAAGTTCATGTGAATGTGAGAAAAACGGCTCACGTTCGAATTCCTTCACGCGTCTGAGAAGTTCTTCGCATTCCTCTTTTGAAAAAGGAACGACACTTCCCGCACCAGAAATCAAATTGTCTGCCTAGTGTGATGTTTAGAATGACAACGTGTCGAGGAGAGGTATGTATACGAACATAAAACCAGGCTAACGCGTCACAAGCATCAGGTACTGCTCGTGCAGGGCATGGACGATGAGCCGAATGTGTCCATATGAAGTTCCAATACAGCCTTCTACGACGATTGACTGCAAAAGAAGGTATTCATCAACGGAGTATGGTAGAACTGAACCGAATGGATAAATTACTGACGAGTCTCGGGATCCATATTCGCAAAGGCTCCATCTCGCGCCTTCTCGTACGCATGGGCCGCAATGCAATATTTATGGTTAACAAACAATGCGAGATTCCACTGTCCCCTATTGCTGACGTTCAGTTGAACTTCCATGTCTTTCTCGGAACCCTCTGAATCCCATACATCGAGACCCAGAAACGAAGAACTATATCGGATACCAGAAAGTATTTCTGGATCTCGAATGTCCTGGTCGGCAATAATTTGGCCGTTGGAGAAATATATAGATCCTTGGGGGTGGACAAATACTTTCCAGTCACTGGTTGTGGAAGAACTAATGGAGTGTTCTTTCTCTGAATCGTTACTGAGGTCGTTCATCTGGTGCTCGTCGAGTACAGCAATGGTATCGAGAGTATTTGATCTGGTCATGAAAGAGTACAAAGACGAGGGCAATCAATTCATCTGTCAATAATTGAATAAATCAGTCGATGCTTGAAGTTTTACAAAGAGCTGCAAACAGGCTACTATAGACCGTGACGCGTTTTTCTTACAACCGTCTACGATGAGTTTTTTCGCAAATAACACAGGAAATTCAGGTCAAACTGGGGCTGGAGCAGCGGGTGGTAATATATTCGGTGGTGGCGGTAACGCGAATGCAGGAGGATCTACTGGCACGCCGAGTATCTTTGGGAATACTGGTTCGTGATTCGTGTTTTGCATTTACAGCTGACTGATTAACAACATTCATACAGCCAACAAACCGGCAGGATCCATCTTTGGTGGCGGGAACTCTACGTTAAATACAGGAACAGGAAGCGGGACGAATCTTTTTGGAGGTGGAGGTGGAGGTGGAGGTGGAAGTGGAACATCGACTTCTACACCTTCTTTGTTCGGAGGAGGCCCAAATACCAATAACAATACCAATACAGCCAATAATGCATCCGCTGCAAACCCAACACCTGCCCTTTTTGGAGGAAGCCCGTTTTCATTACCAAAACCAACCGAACAAGCTAATGCGCCAAAACCTGCTACATCTAGTTGTACGTTCTTCGCTGTAAGCCATTGTTCGCATCGTAATCCATCCGTACAGTCTTCAGCAACCCAACACCGAATCCCGGTATGTTTTCTGTATAATCCTTTCACTAGCTAAACGACTTTCAACTTCAACATATACAGGCTCATCAGCACCTACTCTGAACACTGGACTTTTCGGCTCAACAGCCCCCAAGCCAGGCGAAAATAATGCTTCATCAACGTCAGCGGCATCTGCACCTGGTACCGGAGGTACTGGCTTACTTGGTGGAGGATTTTTCAATAAGCCTGCCACTCCCGCGACAAATACACAGGCTGCTGCTACTCCGTCAACATCGACATCCCCTTTCTCTCTTGGCGGAAATGCTGCTGGATCTGGAACTATCCCTACGGCTCCATCAACCCCAGGTCCGACTACTTTTGGCTGTCGTCAACAACTTCGCATCTCTGATCTACTTCCTAGCTTTGGGTGCAGGTCTTTTCGGCACCAAACCCGCTGAAAATGCGGGAGACAAGGGCAAAGCTCCCGGTACGTGTTGTATCGGATTGTGTGTTCGAAATTAATTTCTGTTGTGTAATACAGCTGTGCCTACAGGAAACCTTTTTGGTGCCCCAAAACCCGAAGAGAAGAAGGATGGAGGCGCTGCCGGTACAAGTGCGCTTTCTGATCAACAATTATTGGCCGTAACACTCATGTCATGTCCAGCACCATCAGGGGGCCTGAGTTTTGGTGTATCAAAACCAGCAGGTGAATGTTTGTCATTTCGTCGATCTGTTCTGCTACTGATGCCTTTGCTATAGCAGGTGGTCTATCAGGCATCTCCACTTCGACCACTTCGACCGCACCCCCTGTCGCCGTACAGCCACCGTCTATGCTACGAGGCAAAACCATTGAAGAGATTGTCAATAAATGGTCTAACGAGCTGGAGACCCATGTCAAGGAATTCAACAAATTCGCTGCAGAGGTGTCGGTTTGGGATAGGGCACTTATCGAGAATTCAAATAGTGTATGTGTTTTCTCATTACTGCGTTTGATGTCATACTGATTCAACCCCTTTAAGCTGGCAACACTCTACAGTCATGTTCTAGCCGCAGAACGTGAACAGAACGAAGTCGACCAATCTCTTGATCATATCGAACAGCAGCAGAAGGATTTAGCTGCTACACTTGATGCATACGAGAAGGTCACTGAAGAAATATTTGGTGGCCAAGGGGGGAGTTTACGTGCGTTAGACACTGGTCCTGCGGATACTGAGAGGGATAAAAAGTACGTCTTCCGATATCATATCTCCACCGAAACCTTACTAGCTTTCGTTACTACTTCTGTTCTGCTTCTAGCTACATGCTTGCGGCAGATTTACAAACGCACCTTGACGATCTGTCCGGTTCCCTCACACAAATGATTGAAGCTGTCAATGGCTTGTCCATATCATCAGGACAATCTAGCTCCGGTGATCCAAGTGCAAACGGGAACGATAGATCACAGGAAGATCCTATGGCTCAGATCTCTCAGATATTGAGCAGCCATTTGGATAGCTTGCAGTGGATTGATGGAGCGGTGAGAGAGATTGAAGGTAAAGTCACAGAGGTAGAGAGAAGGGTTGGCGAGTCGGGACACGGATCGAGCTATGGCGGCGGAAATTCGAGTGGAAGCGGGATCGGTGGAGTGGGCGTGAGATCAAGAAGTTTTCGTGCATGAGCACTGGGTTGGCGAATACAAGTAGGTACTTAGTAGAATGATTCACAAAGAGATGCTTCTTAGATGCACACGCGCCTGATGGATAGGACATTGCGGGATATTGTCTCCCAACTTCGAAATATTCCAACAAATGAGGGTATCAAGGAGGTTCCTGTAAAGTTTTATGATTAGGGGGAGGTTGCTTACTATCACTGGTAATATATTGGCACAATTGGCTCTGAGAAAACGTACTCGACGGTATTTACTACAAGTCCATGATTTGGAGATAGCATACTTGACTTCCAGAATCGAGCCTGTACTATATACATGATAAAACCCAGATAAAGCCAGAACTAGACTACTACTGACTACAGCCTGTAAGAAGGTTCGGGTCCTCTGGCAATCGCGTGTCTTTACTTCACGCACTGCCAGGTATGGTATCGAACTCCTCCCCACAGTGTGGACAGCTGCAGCACACCGGCTTTGGATCCTCATAGATATTCCAAGTGGCTTCTGCTTTGTACGACATTTTCCACGCATAGATGATATCCTGGAAAATAAAAAGCATCTAAGGTTTTCATCAGGACAATCAGTCAAGATTTGGTACTGACTGTGCGCGAGCCAAAAATTATAGCAGCTCCTAGAGGTACTAGATATCAAGCATTATTTTGAGAATGTCAAATAGGGGGGAACATTAGACAGACTGATTGGTAATAGTATGTTCCATTTATCATTTGTCGTCCCACTGCTGAAAAGCCCACCAATGTTGAGTCTACAGAGTTCTCAGCGATCATTGTTACTTGAGAAGCAAAGGAGAAACCCACGCGAAAGCTCCGAAAGGGAAGATTGTAAAGATAATGATCCGCCCAAACTTGTACCATGCGAAAATAGAGATTTCGCCGTCAGTCACCTTTTTGAGTGTTACCCAGTTGCGGGAAAGATGCATCGAGAGCAATACTAGGGATGAGCAAGTCATATCGGTTGTGGTTCAATATTTTGAAAAAGTGATGTTCACCTTCGAACACCATCATTCCTGCAGTACCTAGACCAATCAGGATTGCGGCTGTGGTACGTCTATGGAAATGATTATGAGTATGTTTCCAATAAGTACTTTTGTACAAGTGAAAGGAATGAAACTAACGGGACATGACTTGTTATATGGCAATAACGACGTGTAGAATCAATTGTGACTGTATTTGGAGACTGGGCCCCAACCTGAGATAAAAACATTGAATGTCAAGTCACTTTGCTGAAGGAACATAATACTTACAGCCAGAGACACGATGAACATGATGCAGGCCATGACCACAGGAGTTACGAGGAGCTACCATTGCTTGATCATCAAAAATCGAGAAATCAGGATTCAGTGAAATCGATATACACCATGATGTTGATTCGCAATAGGTACATCTTGTTCGTTGATATGTTCATAGCTAGTCCAAAGTATAGCTATCCCGCCAATATTAGTTTTATATAACCCGTTTAATGTCTATAACTCACCTGCAGTACATAAGCCCAGCCTGCAAATGAGACTCTGTGAACAGGAACTTCAGTAATACTGATGATTTTGCGATGCGAAAGCTGACAAGACTGGTGCCCCATAAACCAAAGAAGCCTGGAAGAGGCAGATCCCATATCCAGGTTGAGCAACAGAGCGTTGACCGATTGGAAGAAGTAGCAGGTAAGAAGAAGAGTAAAAAATGCTGGAGGCCATCAAGGCCATCCAAGTAGAAGTTCTAGATACCATTGGGGACAAGAGGGCGGGTAAAAGAACGAGGGTGGTCATCAAGAGACCCACTACATTCATGATGTCGAAAACAATGATTGTGTTGGTCTCTACTGCCGCTGTATTATCACGGCCCTCAAAACCTTTGACGAGATGTTAATCTATGTTAATATCTCTATCATGCAACTCTGAGCAGAATCTTGCCTGTACCTAGAAGAGACGTCAAGCCTCCTGCCATAGTAGCTGAAAGAAGAGAAAAAGAGAAAGAGTGACCTGGAGTTGCATTCTGCTAGCCTTATACTGTGTTACTTATAGTTATAATGCCACGGTCCATCTCGAGGCTTTGTTGATCGGCGTTTACAAGGATGATTGATTTGATTGATTTTGCTTGGTTACTAATCAGATCAGATCGTCACGCTTGAGAGCTGTTCATCTCAAGCCGCATGCTCCTCAGATGCTCCTTACATCTATGCTTTGTAGGCGAATAAGGAGACTGTCGCTACCCTGCTAAGTTCTCACAATGCCTCTTAGCTCGAAGACCCGCCTGTTTCTCTCTTATGCTGTTGATTGGTATGGCTTCTCTCATACCGTATCTGCAAAACCTGTATCCTCGGCTCAGGGTTCGAAAGCAGGCTGGAGGCAGCCAAAGCAGTCCAGAGAGCATGCTGCTTCCACTGCTGTTTACTGCTGTCCAATCGTCCTTCCTCTTGCGAGCATGCAGGTTTTGCAGACCATGTCATTTCAACATGTTTGGTTTTTTTTAACGAATTGCACCTCAACAGGACTATACTCATTGTAGTGGCGTACGTCGTTCACTCTAGCTTCTGGGACAAAATCAATCATCTCCCCTTCGCAGTCTCTTCGCTCATTTCTACTTGAACCGTCTGCAACAGTTTCCTGAGTTTGACCTGACCGATACATCCATCCAGTATTCAATTAAAGAGGTACAAACAGTTTCGGTAGGTTGACGACAATCTCAAGGCGTTAAAGATTGAATCGTGTTCATCTGTACTGTCATATCAAGAACGGGCTATTGATCGCTGTCTTGGTTATTCCATATTTGTCCATCGTTGCCGGCAATCTCTTGTTCAACTTCCGGGATTGGTGGGATCTACATGCTAGTTTATTGGGCTGTGAGCAATCATTTTTATTTACTCATTATACTCTGATGATGGTTCGTGTTATGCTAGTATCGATTAGCTATTCTGCTTCTGGTAGTTTCGTTCAATTCGTTCGTGTTACTGCCGGAAGGCCGCGGCCAGGTAGTACCCTTTCATATCATTGGATCCTGCCCAGCCTTACGTTTTCCAGACTTCATTGCGAGATGCGATCCAGCTGCAGGCTCCGTGAACAGTGCATTTTTTGGCCTGACGAACATCACAATATGTCAGAGCACGGACTCCGCATTCATCAAAGACGGAATGCGAAGCTTCTTCAGTGGTCATGCCATCCTTTCCGCTGCAGGGCTTGGTTTCATGAGCTTGTATTGGGGTGGGAAATTGCATTTGTTCAATCAAAAGGCATACACCGTGCGTTGCGTTTGTGCGATTCGTTCCCAAGTCGCTGATTGATAATCGGAACGTAGTACAAAGTGTGGCTGGTCTTCTCCCCACTAATCCTTTCAATCTGGATCTGTTTGACTCGCGTCGCGGATCGCAGACATCACTGGAACGACGTGGCGTTAGGGTTCTTTCTTGGCCTACTTTTCACTTATATAATTTACAGGCAATTCTACCCCTCACTTGGCGATCCAGAATGCGATATACCTTTTCGTCCGAGGGTCATGTCTGCGGAGCCCGAAGATACTCGTGGTGGATCTACCGGTTTGCGGCTCCCTACTCGTAGGCCCGGCTGGATGCGGCTAGGTGGCTCTGCTAACAGAGGTCCGGAAGGAGAGCTTGAGTCCCTTGGATTCATGACTACCCCTTTCGATTCAAGACACGGTGCGTCCTGTTGCGGGACTCTTGCATCCACCTATGTGCTGACATAGACAGCAGAGAACGGCGCAGAGAATTATCCTCTGAACCGAAGAACTTCAATACCTCCAACAACATCGTGAAGTCCTCTTTTATTACTCTTGATGAATCTGTACGCTGTCTCTAAACCACTCTCAATACTTGCTTATCGTGCTGTCGACTTCGCTGCTGTTGCATCCTACATTTCCTGTGTAATTACTTGACTGTATTGGGACTGTGACTTTGTAACTTAATTATCTTCGAGTAGTTGTGCCAACACCTCTGGCTGTATAACACCGTCGCACGTTGTATGTCTCTCAATAGAGAACAAACAAACCAACTTCTGTATCGAGTCCCTACTGTCCACATCAGTACGGCACATCAACGGTTCTGCCTTCCTTTGCACTCTTCTTTGCTAGTTCAATCATCTCAATGACTGCTGTTGCCTCCTCCCACTTGACCTTTGTTTCAACGCCCTCTCTGATCGCTGCTGCGAGATTACGATACAAATCCGCATAACATCCCGGCTCTTCCGATGGCCATACTGATTTAACGAACGTCATACCGACAGGATCTGTAGCGTGTTCGAGTGCACCCCAGAGTATTTCGGGTTCGAGACCATAGCCTAATGAGGGAGAGGTGATCAGATTTTCCGGAGTAAGGCTTGCAGTGCTGGTACTAGTAGCGGTGACAGGAACTGCAGTAAGACTCTTAAGTTGCTCTTCCTGAACATCCACGCCGTATTTGATGTAAGATCCTTTCTGACCTAGGACGTTGAAGCGGAGTTGAGGAGAGTGAACGGAAAGGGGGTGAGCGCGGAGGATGGCGGTAAATGGGTATGGCAGAGCGGATCCGGCTGGGTAGTGCATATGAATTGTGAACTGGTGGACGAAAATATCTTGTATTGATTACGAGTTGAGGTATTGAAAGTACGGAGATCACTTACATTATCGTCTACATCAGGATGTCCTACTCCCCTCAAGTTTGATGCAAACGCTGTGATCTGTGTGGGTCGACCAAACAAGCAAAGGGTCTGGTCAATCAGATGCGAGCCGAGGTCGTATATTAGCCCAGCAGCTGGACGCGGCTCATCTTTCCATGACCCTTTCAATCCAAGGCGATATCGGTCGAAACTTGTGATGCCAAGATATCAATTGATCATTTACCAGAGGAAACCACAACAACGGCAGCTTACTGCGATTCGAACTCAACCACAGTCCCCAAACTTTTCGGGTCACTATCCGGCAGATCCAATAATTTCTTCAATGCCAAAAAATCTTGATCCCATCTGCGATTCTGAAACGCATACAAGACCTTTCCCTTATCTCGAGCTAACTCGCCCAACTCTTTTGCCTCTTGTACACTGGGTGTAACAGGTTTATCCACTAGAACATGTTTTCCTGCTTCCAGCGCGGCTTTGGCTAGAGCATAATGCGTGTCATTCGGGGTACCAACCAGAACTAATTCGATCTCGGGATCGGAAAGGACTTCCTCGAGAGTTTGGTAAAGCTTTACTTCAGCGGAAGAAAGGTGGAAACGGTCACAAACGGTGCCGGAGGGAGTACGGGGATTGCGCTCGAGGACGCCGTGCAGGGTAAAGAGCGAAGGAAGACCGAGAACAAATGGGACATGGAAAGTAAGTGTTGCTAGACCTGCACCAATTGCACAGCACTTGATTGGTTCCATGAAAGGAGCAAGCAAAACAAGAATGCTAAGATAGGCTCGATAAGCACCATAAGCATGTGATATTAACAAATGAGAACCTAACTGATGGCGAAGCCGGCGTGGCGCAATGGTAGCGCGTAGCTTTCCTACGGTGTTGGTTAGGCTGAAGTTGCGGGTTCGATCCCCGTCGTCGGTTTATTTCTTTTTCACATTTTGTGATGAATCTATATCTCTTGATTTGCTAAACAATTAGTTTTTGTACCGCTAGATCATCCTATATTGCCCGGTGAATCATACATTGTATGACTAGCGCAGGACTTTTTTGCCACATTCAGGTTTGGGAGTTCCTGGTTTCTCCTGATTTATGGATTCTTGGCTGGTTGAAATGGATTTGTACAGTAGTTAGAAAGTCGGGGTTCGGAGTTTGACGATACGATACAGACCTTGGGGGTGGTAGACTGGGACTTGAAAGATGCTGACAAAGGGATACGTCGCGTAATCTAACTATTTGTTGAGCAATGGCAGAGCAACTTGCGATGTGAATCGATTGAAAACATTGATTCTTGATCATTGCGGCTGTACTTAGGTGCAATAGGCGGATAACGAAAGACAAACACTGATAGCATTGCAACGTCCAGATTTGGTGTAACTAGTGGTAGACATACCAAATAGGAGAACAATTACAATTACGTTGATGATAATAGTAGCGGGGTGCGCCTTGTCATAAACATGTGATCGTTACATGACTGCAGTTTAAGAGCGTTCAGTCTTCATTGTCCGAGCATTTTCCACTCTTGAGCTCAATCATACATCGCCAGAAATATTCCCACTTGATCCATGGAGCAACCACGAGAGAATGTTCTTGCAACCGAAACTCCAATTCCTCAGCAGAAACAGTCTCAGGATCTGCCTGTCGTCGCGAAGACCCCCGCAAGTCACGAAATCACGACCGCCGAAGACGCGGTTCCCCAGCGTGGTTCGGTTTTGACCGAGTTCCTTGAAGATGTTAGAGATAGGGTTGTATTATCTCTCGATGATTTTGCAACCCTTATCCTCAACATTTCCGCTGATTGGAAAGTCGAAGAGGAATTCAGCCTGCGACCGGAAAGCAAAATAGTTCAAGATGCTTTTGAAGCGTCTCTGAAAGTTGCGATAGGAGCGGCAGAGGGTGCGGGGAAGAAGGGGACGGACCCCATAGCACATGAGAAGGAGTTGCACCGGCCCCTTAGGAATCTCTTGAATACATTGAGAGATGGGGAAGGTCATCTAGGCAAGGACATCAATGAAGAAACGCTCTTTGTAGATCCTCGCCCGGTTTTGGCTTCTCTATTGGAGAGGAAGTCTGATTTGAGTGGAATATACATTCAGCTACAGGAACTCTTAGAAAACAGAAGCCTTTCAGATTACCTTGCGGAAAGAAACATAACTGGGATTTTTTGGGGACTCTTGATATCGTTTGTTGAGGTTGGGTGCCAGAAGAAAGATTTCGTCGAACTGAACATCCGCAAAGAAGGTGAGTCAGCGTAACTATCCTTCACTGCGTGATATTCACTTACCTTACCATTTGGCGCAGAGGTTGTAACAGCCGCAAATAGATCATCACAGTTTATGGTGTCCACTCCATCGCAGCATGGAACAACAGAAGGTTCGCAAACGGCCTTCAGTCGTTCGCGATCACCTCCTTCAAGTTCACAAACAGAAGCGATATATCACAAATTGAACAAACGGGTGAGGTCAAATGACGAAGTCGGTCCTGCCAGTATAGGTACTTTATTCATTCATCTCACGGAGACTTGGTATCAATACCTATTCAGTCATGCGGCCTCAAAAGAAGGTGAAATTCCGGTCCACGTCGCTGTCCAATTCACAGAGCTTGAGAGGGTCTAAGAAAATACGGAAGAGCACAGGTGACGCTATATCGTACCTTGTGCATTCAGCTTGGAACTGAGCCCAAGATAGAGGATTGCCCCGCTTCTGCAGGCCGCATACAGTCAGATGCATTGCCCGTTACCCCGCATCCAGTATCCCCGCACAGTGCTTCTACTCTAGCTTCTGCACCCACCCATCTGCTATGTGAAGACGAAGATAGACTTCACGTTAACATTTGGAGTGAAGATAAAAAGAAGACAGTGGAGATCGCGACGGTGCAGGAATATGCACAAAAGGATGGGATGAAAAGTTTTGGGAATCATATCGAGTTCAGTTCAAGGGGTGTCGAAGACAAGGTACGTGTTGTTAAGCAGGTCGTGGTAAACAATTTGTTCCTTCCCTCCGGCCCGATTTCACATCAGATTTTTTCTCGCATTCCATACTTGAACATTCTCTCACTATAGTTTTCTTTCCACGTTCAGTCCTTCAAGAATGATGAGTGGAAGAAACTTTTCATTGTCATGGTCTGCCAGCTCAAGACCCTCCCTCGTACTACGAAAAACGCTGGATCCATTCCAACTTTGTACATAGATGGCATCGAATACCTTCAAGATCCAGAGTTGTTCTCACATACGTTCGCACTTGATACTCAAGACTTGATCGACGCTATCTACTCTTTTGTTGGAACCGATGGGTGTTCACGGAAGGTCGTTATTGAGTCAATTCTCCATCATGCGGAGGATGCTGTTGGTTTGTACGCAGTCGTTGCTGAGGTAGAATGCCTCTGCATGGAAGCTGACTGTACATGGAATGGGGAGAGGAAGATCGTGAAGATCAGTTTCATGGGCACGGATCGGCAGTCAGAACAAGGACTTATTGGGGAGGCTAGATCGAAAGCAGAATCGACTGGAGAACTCTGGGCACTCAACCATCTTCCAAATGCCATCCACTCACTCAGTCTACTCCCTAACAAAAAGAAAACGTTTCACAGACGTTTGAAGACCTATCTCAAGGACAAATATGAGGAACGAGTGATGCATATCACAGTTTTTGAGAAGCTTCATCCGCTTTCCGAGCTGGAAGATCCAAGGGATTTCGCGCAGGTATTTTACGACGTTCTACAGAGTACGCCTCCCTTCAATTCAATGTATCATCATCTCACTAAGCCTCACATGTCATCTAGTTCACCAATGGCTTTATGAATGTGCTGGGATTCTTCATCGTGATCTCAGCTCGGGTAACATCATGTTCAGACGCAAAGAGGGTAGGATTTACGGTGTCTTAAATGATTTCGACCTTTCTTCTCGCATTGAAGATTTGAACAAATTCCCGACATTCAATGTTGTCAACCACACCGGCACTAGGCCGTTTATGTCGTACGATTTGCTCAATTCTAGCTGGAAGAGAGGTCATCTGTATCGCCACGATTTGGAGTCCTTGTTCTACATCATCCTTTGTCTTGCATGCCGCTACCGCAAACCTGGAGTCCCCGCCGACGAACCTAGGCCTTTTTCGAAATGGTACAGCGGTAGTGACAAAGACATCTGTGGCGAAAAATGTGTCTTTCTCTTCAACCCTTACACTGATTTCCCTATCCAACCTTACTTTGCAGGGTTTACATCCTGGCTGTGGCTGCTTTTTGAGGATTTTTGTGCTGGTTATAAACAACGACCAATCTACCATCGTTCGACTTCAAAGAAATATCCAGAATACTTCTATGATAGTGAAGGCCTCCGCTTTGACTGGACAACGTTGAACAAATGTGTTACCTATGCTAGAATGCGGTTGATAATGTCCTCATTCGAAGGGCAAAAGCTCGAGACGCGGTGGATAGGGAACCAGGATCATTGAAATTTCTTTCTGATCTACATGTTTTTCATTCCAATGTTACTGTAGTAACTCTATGGTGTTCAGATAGGTTGAAACTTTTGACCTGTACTAGAGTGTTCTTCGACCTGTCGCAGGGTATATATCATCCTAGATAGGTTGATTGCTCTCCCTCAGAATGATAGGTTGCAAACTGACCTAAAAAGACCACTTTCAACCTATGAGTCTTTTTCGAAACATCCTACCAAATGGCACGCTGAATTAGGTTGTTTTCCAACCTGTATTTTGATGCCTTTCGTCGTTCAGATTCTGTACACAATGCACAGCTCTTCAGTCAATAATTGGGATAGACTGAGATGCTTTCATTCAGGTATATATACGTATGTTAAAACAAGGTAGAAAACGCTGCTTATTGCCGAACCTTTAGGTAAGGCTCTTTACAAAAATGTCTCGTAGAATGTATGTTGGCCCTTGTCCCACCTCCCACACCCATATATAGGCAACAGTTACTATATATCAATTCGGGATACACCGTATGAATGAGGTCATTGCCAAACCTTTAGGTAATTCCAAATTCCAGCTATGTACTTCAAATCATGATCCTCAGAAAAATGACATGGAGCACAGTAGTCTGGAAGTCTCTTGTCTACTATACTAATCTAGATTACAGCAAATTGCAAAACCAGAGGCGGGTCGGAAAAAAAGCTGAACTGATGGCCAGCTGATGGCCGACAGCGGCAGACCTGCCAACTCAAGTTCTGCCCGCCTTGATCATCATACGAGCAATGGAGTAGAGATGACTGGAAGAGTGGGCACATTGCGTAGATTGTGTACCTATGACAATTGATACAAATTCAACATAAGGTAGCAATTTATCTGTAGAATGAATGGAAGGCAGAGAGACTGACTGCTATCTCAACACCTCTCAACACTGTTCGTGGGGTATGGACAGCCGACAGGATTTTTCAGACTTCTCACTATGTATGTATGCGCTGAATTGTTTGTATTCCCATTCCTGCTTGCCTAGCAAGATCTGACTCAGGGCAGCAAATGCTGACAACAAGGCCTTCTTGGTATGGATGTACCAATACTGTCAAGTCCATGCCTCGGGCCTCCATTCCGCCGCTCGGTATTCCGAAGATCTACCTTTATTGTAATCTCTCCTTATTGTTCTTTCTCGCTACACATACCCTTTCGTTCTAGTCCCTCCTTATTGTCTTTTACTTTACCCTGCAGGTACTACTTGTATAGCTCCTAGTAGTTAGTCTGGCGTTCCGCACCGATGCGCTGCTCCGTAGATATAAATACTGCCTGTACGCTACTGTAGTTCCTCAGTTTAATTATCAACTTAGATTCCCTCCTTAACTCTGTGCTCCTCTAAGGCTTCAGGCTCAATGCCTTGAAGTACGTTCTACTCTACCTTAGGACTTAGACGTCCTCTGGTTCGCTACTCGTCACCGGCGATACCGCCGCTCCGACTTGGCTGCTCCTCGTCACCGGCGATACCGCCGCTCCGACTTGGCTGCTCCTCAGCTCCTCCTTTCTATACTCTCGATCTCCGGGGACTGAAGGCGTAACGGCGGTGTTGTTAATAACTTCACTACTGTCCCATTCGACCTCCCGCACTTAGACACCTTGTGACCTCTGGCACGGTTACACGGTGTACATGATCTTAACAAATACTTAATTTGAGCACATTGTAGAGTCTTTTCATGGTCGAAACGTTGTGTATTTAGTGTGTATTGTAGGTGTATTGTACAGCTGTCGATGGCAGTGACCTTGCTGCATCCCGGCCAAGGTCGGCCATCAGTTCTGCAAATATTTGGACCCGCCTCCGGTTTTGCAATTTGCTGTAAGTAGAATGCCAAAAAAACCCACAATTTAGGGAATATTCTGAAAAAAATTTACTGATTCCTGAGTCTTGCACAAAATAAAGCAAATCAGTCAGCCTTGTTAGGGGAGATACTCCATATGTACACTTACACTCACTCTGCCGTTTCTTTCCAACACTATGTTGTAAATAGCACTATTAGCTTATACTGTACAGTACTACCTAGATCATGCAGAAGGACATTTTTGGGTCCCTCAATTGCTTTATACACAACTGAGGTGAGCTCAAAGTACCTTTACAATACAGACAACATACTAACTCAGCATAAATATATCCTAACAGGTACCTACAGCAATTTAGTTGCTTTGTACACAACTGAGATAGATCCTAACAAGCCTGAGCTTGAGCATCTGCAAGACATGGATATTTGGCTAAGGGCCAAGAATCCCAGCAAATCCCAGAACCAAAAGCACTGAGAGCAGGCTACTCTGAGTGCTCTCACTGCTGGGAAATGCTCTTGACTGCTTTTGGACCCTTAGCCAAAAAATCCAGGATTTGCAGATAAGTGGGGGATGGATTATCCAGCTAATTATCCTGTAAGTAGACTTGGCATAATGTTCAAACTTATAGATATTTGTTAGTATATGTTTAATCTACATGTTTAATCAGTATGTGTATGATGGGATATACTCTTGAGCTCACCTCAGTTGGTAATGGAACAACTGAGGGAGCTTGGGAGTCTCTGTTGTGTGTGATCTACTTGGAACTGTATAGTTTATGGTAAGCACAGCATATACATGTAAGGTGTTTTGTGTAGTCAAAGCGGTGGTATTGGGCTATACGTATGCATACGGAGTTGGTCCAACATTATTCCCTTCAATCTTATTTGTTTGGTGGTTGGCCACCACTTTCATAAAGTGTTTGGCACCTGCCGCTTGCGGCCTTTCCCCCAGTCATACAGTAACATATATAAAACTCCGGCAATGAACAACGTCGACCGCGCGCGCGAGTGCCGTTAGCGCTGTATATCAGATGATTCTGATCAGCTCAACATAATAAAAGAAGCACGACTGGTAAACTTACTAATGCCACGTCGATTCTGATCCATTATTGACCGTCACCCTCATCATCATCTTCCCCGCCCACATCTCCCATCTCAGCATCTGTGTCCTTTGAGGAACCCTGAACAAACTCGGGTGACTGCCGTTGGACTGAAGTTGAACCCTCTGAACAAGCTTGGGCCCGGCTTTCCTTTCTGGCTTTTTTGCGGCACGCTTCTCTCTCTTTCTCTCCTGCCTCCGAGCTTCTCGAGCTTCCACAGCTTTGCTTCTTCGAGACTTTCCCTGATCTCTTTTCGCTGCATTGGACTTGAGGTAAGCATATTTCGGTGGAATTTCCAGTTCACCGCTACGATAAAGAGGCTTGCGCTTGTTTTTCAGATACTGTCGTATCATGTCAACAGTTGCCCAGTCATTAATGAAGCGTTGTAGAAATTTATGCCGGCTGCGCATCTGTAGATGATATCTAAGGTGAGGGTTCTATGTGGAGACTGGCCGAAGATGACTGACTACAGCAAGAATCATTGCTTTATCCGCTGCAGGGATATCAGCCCATGCATTTTGCCAAGGCAGACGGGACTGCATTACAGCCTCGCGAACGCCACGCTTTTAGCAACAACATAAGCCTTTGAACAAGTGATGCCTGATAGCCACTCACCAGTATTGCCTTATACTTCTTAATACTCTCCGAACTTTTAGCTAACCCCATCTCAACACAGATTGAGTAATCCTTCCATGCCTGTCCCGATGGTTTTGGGACTGTTGGTTTATACTCGGGCTCTTCCTGGTTCAAGACATTGACCGCATCTACTTCAAACACTTTCAAAGTGTAAGAACATTTGTCTGCATCATTTTAACGAAACGAAAACTCACTTTGTCTGGTATTCTGTGCAGGTGGCCCAAATGTGGAGTCTTTTGTATTTGGGTGATCACATGGAGTCTGTGCATCAAGTCGGGCGCAAGCTTCAGCCAGCTCTTTTTGAAGTACTTCATCATAATGGTCTTCATGGTCTTGCAGGTGGCGAGGGAATTCTAGTCAGAGAAGAGACATTACGCTCGGTATGTAACAGCTCACCTTCAGGTTCCATCTGGTTTTCGAGGTGGGCATGACTGGCGGCAAGAGCTAGTACAACATATAGTCAATTATTTTCTGAGTTGCTGTTTCATGCACCCACCTGGCTGAAGTAGTGCTTTTGCAGCAGCGAGCTGCTCTTGAAGCATTTTGTTCTCCTTTTCGCGCAGCTCCGCAGCAGCTACAATTTATATATATATTGGTCAGTCCTGTATAATTCTTTTGAGTACAGACTACTCACTCTCAAATTGGTTCATGCGGATCAACAGGTTCTGAATAGTCGCTGCATCACCAGCACCGGCATCTGCTGGAACTGCTGATTTTTCATTACTGGCACTCTTGGGCCGGCCACGTTTTGAAGGAATTGTTGGTCTGTTTTTATTTCGGAGGTTCTGTGACATGTGTATGAGCTATAAGTCAAATTGTAAGGAATGGGTGGGCTTGAGCTCGAGGTTGAAAAAACTGCGGTCAAGTTTTTGGGGTGACAAGTTGTGACGTTGAATGTCACCTCCAATTTTTGTTTGTGTATACGTATGTGCTTTCTTCACTTGAATGACAATCATCATTATTTTCTTGTGCTTCATGCCCCCTGACCGATCTGGAAAGAAAAAGAAACCTGCCACCATTCGAGTGTGGTGCTTGCAATGCAAGAAGATGACTACGCAAAAGCATGAGCGCACTTGTCGACACTCTTCATTTGTACCTCTACCAGTTCCTCCTCCAATTCTACCTTTTCTTGGTGATGGAGTGGTGGATAGCGGATCTGAATCGGAATATAGCAGTGACAGCTCCAGCCAGCAGTCACATCTCGAACTGGAACACTCGCCTATGGATATCAACTCTGGTATGAGTGACTCCGGATTTGAAAATCAGGTCCCTGCTTCCCCCGGTGATAGTTCTGAATTCAGCTTCGAGGCTTTAGGTATCCATGATCAATGGGCCTATGTTAAGCAGCTTTACGGTGCTGCTTGGGAGGTTACACCAGACTTAGGAGAACATGAAGAGAATACCGAGTTCCCCATGGAAGATGGTAGAGCTGCTGATCAGGATTCCGAAGGCGAGGAGGATGATTACGGTGACATTGGGCACATTGACTGGGAGGAATTTCGAGGTTATGGTAGAGGTGGTCGACTGACAGCTGCAGAGCAAGCTCGGGCTGAATTCTTCAGGGAATTCACTAGCATTAGTTAGTCTAAATTATTCGCTTTCGCAAAATACTCTAATGATTTTATAGAGGAAATGCTCGGCAAGTATGATCTTGCTATTTGTAGAGCCTTTGCATACAAGGTCCAAACTCATACCACAGATCGTGCCTTCAAGAAAACACATTATGCGTTCCCTTCTGATCCACCCCTTCCAAAGCTTGATGAGATACGCTCCTGTGTGGCAGCTCTCTCCAGTGTCGAACCTGAGGTCTATCACTGCTGTGTCAACTCCTGTATTTGCTACGTTGGATCACACGAGTTGCGCCAAAAGTGTCCATTTTGCAATGAATCTCGATACCACCCAGACGGAAAACCTCGCAAAACTTTCATTTATATCCCTATCATCCCTCGTTTGCAGGCATTCCTGATGAATCAGAAGATTGCTCAGCAGATGCAATATCGCCATGAATATTGTAATAATTCTGACATATCATCTTCCCGCAATATCAACGATGTTTTCGATGGTGACGAGTACCTCAAGCTCCAGAATGAGTTTGTCGAAGTTGGTAATCGTAAACTGTCACATCGGTACTTCGATGATCACCGCGACATTGCACTGGGTCTCTCGACGGATGGATTTGGCCCATTTAAACGGCGCAAACATACCTGCTGGCCATTGATTCTTTTCAACTACAATCTCCCTCCTGATATCCGCTTCCATCTTGAGCACATATTGGCTCTCAGCGTTATTCCAGGTCCCAAGAAGCCAAAGGATATGGATTCATTTCTATGGCCATTTGTCAGGGAAATGCTTCGTTTAGCTCTCGGAATAAGTTCTTATGATGTTTGCTCAAAGAAAATGTTTTCACTACGAGCATATCTCATTCTCGTCTTTGGTGACATTCCTGCGGTATCGATGGTTATGCGCATGACAGGCCATAATGGGTTTTCACCATGTCATATGTGCAAAATTACTGGTCTCCGTGTTCCAGGAGCATCTGGAACAACCCACTATGTTCCGCTGGATTGTTCTAAGCACCCAGATGTTGTTTCGGAGATCAATGAGATAAAGTGCTATGATCCAGAAGAGCTTCCCCTGCGGACTCATGACGAAATGTTTCAGCAGGCTCATCATGCAGAAGCAGCTCCTACCGAGGCTGAAGCCACACGCCGATCTTGGGCAACAGGTATCAAGGGCCCATCTATTTTGTTCAACCTTAGGTCACTACGCTTTCCACTCTCCTTTCCTTATGATTTCATGCACTTAATATGGGAAAATCTCATGAAGAATCTCATACTCCATTGGACAGGTTCATTTAAGGGTTTAAACAGTGGCTCCGAATCATATGAAATTCCCGATACTGTTTGGAAGGCCATCGGTGAAGCTACTGCCAAATCAGGTTCTACTATTCCGTCAGCTTATGGTGTACATGTTCCAAACATCGCAGCTGATGGGGTCTATATGTCTGCTGAGATGTACTCATTTTGGACCCTCTACCTTGGCCCTGTTCTACTCCATCGTCGATTCACATCAGAGTGCTATTACCATCATTTTATTCAACTCGTCCGCCTCCTCACAATATGCCTTCAATTTGAAATATCATCGGTAGAAGTTGAGGAAGTCCGTGTAGGGTTCATCAAATGGGTCAAGGAGTATGAACGGTATGTGGACTGAAGCACTATTTTAATTTCTCTGGCTCATTTTCCATAGTATTTATTATCAGTATTCTCCCGAACGGCTCCCAGTTTGTCCGTTAACTATCCATGCACTGTTACATATTGCACCCAGTATCAAAGCGACTGGCCCAGTCTGGTGCTACTGGGCATTCCCAATGGAGCGGTACTGCGGGGCAATCCAACCTGCGATCCGTAGTCGTCGGTTTCCATTTGCTTCCCTGGCTCGATATGTCCTCGAAGATGCACGCCTAACCCAAATCAAAGTATTCTATGACAAAATTGATGAATTATCTCTACAGTCTGTACATAAAGGGCTCGTTCGTGGTGCTTGTCAAGTGATTTCCTGTTAGTCTTGAGTTGATCTATACATCATTGTGATTGGTACTAACAGCAAACTAAGATCCTTCATGTTGTCTTCTTCCACCAAAGCTTCCCGGACCACCAGCTGTGTCATCTTTGACACCACTTATCGGTGCATTAAGTACTTGGTTTCAAAAACGTGTTGGAGTGGTTAGGAAGAGTCTGGAGATGGCTCATATCGAGAACTGGGGGAAGATTCAATGTATAGACTCTGAAGCAGGTGATACAATGCGAGCATCAGAGGCAAGAAGAGCAGGAGATGACCACCGTGATGCATCATATGTCCGGGTAGGTTCCCTACTGCAAAAATTCTTATTCAATCACTGATATTCATGGTTAGTATGAGATGCTTGTGGACAAACATGCTCAAAGACGGAATGTAAGGTCTGAATTTGTCCCTCAGACATTTTTTGGCCAACTTCAACGTATCTATTTAATACGTTTCGACACTCCCTGTCCTGATTTGGGCCTACAAGAACCAACTACCCTCATAATGGCACAGATACGGGAATGTAAGGTTGGCGACAAAAACATTCCAGGGCTTGACTTCCATTTTTACTCCACCAATGGACAAATTCATGTCACCGATATCACCAGTGTGCAGTGTGTTGTTGGGCGGGTCCCTTGCGGTAAGAATGAATGGTGTATTATTGACAGAAGTGGTGTATTGGGTCACGCATTTTTCCTTGAAGATGAAGATTGATTGATTGAGACATTAACTAGTACTACCGTCGACATAATATTTAGACCGTTTCGGGCTCGGTGTGCTACAAACAAAGGCTCCCTGGAAAGACTCCCTTTCATACCACTGAGAACTCTGAACAATGTCAGAAGACCATTTTCGTTTCAGAATGTTGCTATGTGTAGAATCTTTGAGAGGCGTCGACAGTGAAGGACTTGACGCTTCTAATAGTGGTGAAATGAATAGAGTCCGATGGCTGAAGGCAAAGCACTCACCTATTTGAATCTCCTTTCCCATTTCCTTAGACCTTGGGGAGAGAGATGACTCTACAACTCTATTCTCGTCACAGCCAATGTCAATTACATTCATGTCCGCTTTCTTCTCATGGACTGTATTTTCACTATAATCCTCGGGCACAATTTCGCCAGTTGGAAGACGTTTACGATGCTGAAACAAGAGCTGGTGCACAGTAGGCTCAACTAGTGTCGTATCTGAGGTTTCAACTCGGGGGTTAGATGGAGTTGCCTCGGGTCCAGGATTCGAATAGTCATCAAATAGCGTGATAGTCTACATAGAAAGCGGTCAGTAAATGTACACACATATTCCAAATACTACTCACAATGGGTCCTCCAGGGTTAGAGCCTCGTACTTCCACTGTAACTTTGCAGTTCACTGCTCCCACTTTTTTGTCTGTTGACATAGCATTTGGGAGGTTCCCACTTCGTATTGTGATGGATATAGGTTGGGTAGAATGTATAGTGAACGAGCAAGACATATCAGTAGGGATATGAGTACGAGCAAACCCACTGAAAATGTGGTATGAAGTAGGCCATAGTTTGATTGATCTGGTTGAGTCCGAAAAAAATTAGGTTGAAGTGAAGGGTAAATAACAACCTATAGATAACCTATCGATGTGCGAGATTCCGAAAACATTTGGGCACCCTTTCTTAGGTTCTTTACATCAACCTAGCACTAATTGATACCAACTTAGACTAGGTTACCGCTGATTTTGACGCTATTTTAGGTTGCCTATCGACCTATTCTACCTTCACAGTGTAACTTGCAATGTGTTCAACCGTCATTCATATCTGTAATTTTTGTTGTAGGAATACTCCCCTTACGACGTGTCCGTAGACACTCTTGCTATGATCATACTGCTCCCATGCGATTTCAGAGCCGGTTCTCAATGCTACTTTTCGAGTAATGTGTATCATTAGGTTGTGAAAACTAGTGGGCAAAAACTGAAGAACAATAGAGAGTATATAGATAGAAATTAGAATCAATTGCGCGCCTTGCCATCAATGACATCTGATCGTTATATTTGAGTCACTTATGCACATCGGAAACTAGTGTTTCAAGAAAGAGTGAAGAACAATAAAGAGTTGAGATGGCACTTTGCCGGCAACGACATGTGATCGTTATATGCAAGTCACTTATGCGCGTCCTCTCATTGTCCAAGATTCTCCACTCTTGAACTCGCTCCTCCACCAAGGAAAAATTTCTCCGTTATCATGGAAGCTCCGCCAGAGACTAAACTCGCTACCCCGACTCCCCTTCCCCAGCAGAAACAGCCTGATGCTCCACCTATCGTCGGGAGCACTTTTGAGAGCAACGGAACGGCTTATCACACCCGAAATGATGCTCCGCAGCATACTTCGGCTCTGACCAAGTTTCTCGAAGATGATGCTAACGAGAGGGTCGTATTTTCTCTCGATGAATTTGTGACCTTCATTCTTGATCTTCCAACCGATTGGAAGGTCAAAGAGGAATTCAGCCTGCCACCGACAAGCACAGCAGTAACAGAGGCACTCGGAGCATACCTGAAGGTTGCGATAAAAATAGCGGAGGGTAAAAGGAAGAAATGGAGGAATGCTGCAACAAACGAGATCGAGCTGAACCAGCCCCTGACGAAAGTCTTGGATACGTTGAAAGGCAGAGAGGAACAGTTAAGCAGAGAGCTTGACGAGGAGGTCTTCCGCGTTGAAAATCCTCACCTAGTATTGGGTTCACTGTTGAAGAGAAACCCAGGCTTGGGTGGAATATACAATCAGCTGTTGAAACTCACCGAGAACAAGAAACTCTCCACATACCTCGCGGAGAAAAACATTTTCGGGGTTTTTTGGTGGCTCCTCCTCTTGTTTGCAGAGCTCAAGCTCAAGAAAAGTTTTGCCGAACCAGATATTCAGACAGAAAGTACGTCACACGGGACACCCGTGAATGAATCATCACAGTCATCGGTCATTGAAGGATTGCGGCCTGGTTCGACGGTCGCTCCGCAAGCATTACCAATCCCTTCGAATCTCAGTCTTTCAGGACGTCCGTCACACCCCAAATCGAATAAGCGGCTGAGGTCGAATGAAGAACTGGATTCTACAAGTATGTGCCCTTTACTGACTTTGGCGAGGCTAGGTACTGACAAATGTTTCCAGTCGTCCGGCCGAACAAGAAGTTTAAATCTCGTTCAACGTCCCGGTCAGAGTCACGAGCCTTTAGAAGATCTGAGAGAGGTTCAAAGAGAAAAGGTGAGGCACAATCTTACTTTTGGCATTCGAATAGATGTTGAAATCGTAAAAGTTAAGCACCCGAATCCTCCGCCCGCCGTCGAGATCCAATCCGTTGCTTCTACACCTTTCCCATCAACTCCATCCACTCCTACAGCCACCAGCTTTGAGGGCAGGGATGGACCTCGAGTCACCATTCAATGTAAAAATAAAACGAAAACGGTGATCGCGACGTTGCAGGAAGCAAGAGCGGAAGGAATGTCAAGAGCAGAGCAGAATGTAATCCAGGCACAGGGCCAGCACCCAACTTCAAGAAAATGTGCGACAGAGATGATTTCGACTGAATCCATGGATGTCGATTTTACTTTCGCGCATTATCGTGGTTCAGAGGTCGAGAGCGAGGTGAGCGTTTCCTTTCATTATTCAAGCAGTGGTCGTAGTTGGAAATAAAGAGCATCCGGCCCGATTCAATTTCCACGAGTTTTCCTCTGTTCTCCTCCTGACTTCAACTTTGAATGAACACTAATCAAAAATCGTTATCTTCTTTCTACCTCACAGCACAACAATGAGTGGAAGAAACTCGTTTTGGCCATGATATGCCAGCTGAAGAAGCTGCCTACGGAAAAACTTGTGTTTGTTCCTACGTTGGTCCTCAATGGCTTCGATTACCTTCGGGACCCAGAGCAGTTCTTACAAGAATTTGCTGACGATCCGCAAGGCTTGATCGACGCTGTCTACTCCTTCAAAGAAGTTGACGGTCGCACGCGGCAAGTTATCATCAAATCAATCCTATATCATGCGACGGACAGTGTTGGCTTGCGCTCGATTATTGTCGACGTAGAATGCCTCTGCACAAAACCTGGCTGTGAATGGCATGGGAATGGGAGAAAGATTGTGAAGATCAGTTACATGTCCACGACTCGGACATCGGAACCACGACTTATCAAGGAGGTCAGATTGAAAGCAGAGTCCACCAGCGAACTCTGGGCACTCAACCATCTTCCAAATCCAATTCACTCACTCACTCTACTCCCCAATAGAAGGAAAGCGTCTCACAGACGCTTGAAAAAAAATCTCAAGGAGAAATATAAAGAACGAGCGATGCATGTCACAGTTCACGAGCAACTTTATCCGCTTTCTGAGTTGGAAGATCCGCGAGATTTCGCGCAAGTGTTTTACGACATACTACAAAGTACGCCGCCAATCTTTGATTTAATGTATCCTCATCATCTCATTGGCCCTCGCGCGTTAATCTAGTTCATCAATGGCTTTATGACTGTGGTGGAATTCTGCATGGTGATCTCAGCTTGGGCAACATCATGTTCAGACGCAAAGATGGCAAGATTTATGGTGTCTTGAATGATTACGACCTCTCTTCTCGCGTCGAAGACGTGGACAACGGCGACAACCGTACGGGTACCAGACCATTCATGTCTCTTGATATGCTGAATTCCTACTGGGAATGGGGTCACCTTTATCACCACGATCTGGAATCATTGTTCTATGTCATGCTTTGTCTTGCTTGTCGCTACCAGAAACCTGGAATTCCTGCTGACGAACCCCGACCTTATTCGGAATGGTACAGTGGCACCGATATACAAGTATACGTCGAGAAGCGTAGCTTTATGTTCACCGTTATCAAGGCTGATTTCCCTGTTCAACCTTATTTTGTGGGGCTTAGACACTGGCTGTCGAAAATTTTTTGGGAAGTACGTGCTGGTTATAACCAGCCTCCACTGTATTACTGGCTTGATGGCGACGAGGTGGAGGAGATCAAGAATTATGACCGGTACGCATTGAATAAACCCGTCACCTATGCTGGAATGCGGTTAATAATGTCCTCCTTTGAGGGGGAAACTCTCCAAACTCGGTGGTCAGGTTGGAACCGGGATCATTAACATACTTGCTCGAAAAGTGATAATACCTTCACTTTAAATAAGAGTTAGACTTTACTAGCTTCAATAGTCACGGTGTAGACAAATCATGCAGTGGTTCGCCCGCGGCAATATTATGTTCAGACGCTTAGACCGCAAAATATACAGTGTATTGAACGATTTCGACCTTTCCTCTTGCGTCGGAGATATGGATAATGGTTCCACTTCCGGCCCAAGTACCGGTGCCAGACCGTTCATCTTCTAAATTCCGCTCGGAAGAGTGGGCTCTTTTATCACCATGATTTGATTTTCCTGACCCGCCCTGTTGTCCTTGCTTAATATCGATCTATTCAACCTTACTTCGCCGATTCCGAACCGTGACTCGACCTGTTGCACAGGGGTATCATGACGTCCCCGACCACCCGCGAAGCCTCAGGCAGTGAGTACTGGTATGTCTGTTGATCGAGCTTTGAAGAAAGAATTACCACCAATTCGAGTGGCAGACCCTTGATGGAAACGTTCGATATAGGGTCCTGAGACAATCTATATATGTCCTCTTTTGGCGACGAAACTTTCGATATTCGGTGGGTAGGCTTTCACCGAGGTTTGTGTTTCTCCATCATCATTTTATGCTTTTCCTTTCTGCTTTTTATGTATATACTGTATGTAGCTCTTGCCTATTTTTGATAAAATTGTGTTGTTCTACCTGTTTTCGAACTATTTTATATGACATAGGAATCATCGGAACACATACAAAAAGATTTTGAATGAATTTTCAAAAAACCATTAATCAGTCCACCGCAATCCTAAGCAGGTCTCAAAACAACCCTACAGCAAGCAAACACTTACCCTCCGAAGCAAAAAGAATGAAACCAACTTCTCCGTTCCCTGCACTCCCCCCTACACTGGCTCATGTCATCGTCTTTTTCCCATTGATATTCTCATGGTAGGTTTATTGTCTGGGATCACGGAGCCTCGTGTGTGGGGACACGGAAGTCAGGGCCTTGAGAGAGGTGATAGGTCAAGTCAGAGATGGTGGAGTTGGTTATTGAGTTTACGGAGGAGCTGCGACATCGTTCCGGTCGATTGGAGGAACTATATAGGAGGCTAGTCAGGATAATGGTATTCCCTGGTACTCCGCCTTCGCTGCCGACTATGAGATATAATCCAAAATGTTGACTAACTGCAGAAAGATTTCGTGGATCATATAAACCATAGTATACCATATATACAAATTACATTTACAGAAAGGTTGAAATATACAAAATCTCGTCTGAACTTACATGGCATCAACATCCTTCCTCCGCGAAAGGTACCTCGAAAAATCACATATACATATTCTCCTGTGTCCAATAAGGGAAGAAACAAGTCAGCACCCCACATATGAAATCATAGCGGAGAAGTTGGACAGAAACATCTACCAGTTAGCTATTACTCACCGCACCAGGAGGCATAAACTCGTCGTTGTCGGGATCCCCTTGACCTGGGAGATTATGTGGTCTCCTTCCCGTACCACTACTTCCGATTCCACTTACACCACCACCAGGGAATAGACCAATTCCAACGCCCCCAGGACCAGGCCCAAACATTGGCCCAACAGGATCAAACCTTGCACCGGGAGGTGCACCCATAGGTGGGAGAAATCCGTCTCCGCCCCATCGAGGCCCCCTTCCTCCGATACCTCCGATACCCCCTCCACCGATTCCTGGACCAAACCCACCACCACTTCCTTGTCCTTGTCCGATCCGCCCACCAAATATGGGATGATCTGGACCAACGAACATGCCATCGCCACTACCGGACTGTGGGAATAGCGGAGGTGGTTGGAAGGAGCCCCCTGGGATGGGGTCTAGATCTCTGCGACCGATTTCGAGGGGGTTGTTTGGCGCAATGTGCGAGGACGGGTTCCGGGTAGGTGGGAACCGCATAGGAAACTCCTCCTCGTCTGGGTTGTATCGCGGGATCGTGCGTGAGGGACCGGGTCGGACCGGGTTTAGTGAGTGAGTGTTGTTCGTCGTAGATGTAGACGATTTATCATCGAGATCAACTTCCTCAGTATACCCGTCCTTCCTTAACCCAGGGACGAGTTTTTGAATGATTTTGAGTTTGAACTGGGAGACAAAGTCGGTTATGCGGGAGGAGGAAATGTAGCAGTGTACAAGCGGCGATGACGAGGAGGAAGAATTGGTGTCGGTGTTGAGGATGTAAGGGAACGAAGAAGGCGAAGTAAAATCATCTGTAGATATGTCGAGAGTTGATGTTTTATCGCTCTGTAAAGGTAGAGAACATTATCAGTACTAATTTTGACCGAACATGACAGTGTCGACACCTATATACGCACTTCAACGGCAATCGCATTAACAACAGTCCTCTTTCCCAACTTCGTCAACTTTACAACAAATTCCAGACTACTTTGCTCGTGTTTATACCTAAACGTGTATCCTCCAGGTCCATGCGAGTTCCAGTTTTCTGGAAGAGAATTACTGTTGATCTCGTTATTATTATTGGAATCGTCAACAGCAATTAATCGAAAAGCGAGAGAAGATAATATCGCATGGGACAGCACTGCCAAAGCATCTTGAGGGGACTGAAGAGATTTTTGGTTAGGTGGGAGGAGAGTTGGTATGAGAGATGTTAGAGCAGAAGCGTCGAGGATGTTGGCCATCGCTGTTAGTAATAAGAAACTGCGAGTGCTTGTTATCACAAGAATCGGAATGACGCGCATCCGTGGGAACATGGATGGGCGCTTAAGTATTGGAGAAATTCCAATTCCCGGTTTCCGGGCGTATATAGGGCTTTAGATTTTTGAACTCTCTCTAGCTTGCCTGGTCCATTACAAAAAACGGAGGTTCGGAATGAACAACTTACGACCGTACGCGCATCTTGGGACTATAGAAGAATCTGGATTGTCAGATACTCAATTGAATGGACACGAGGAGGATGCAGAGGAGGATCGATTCGTGTATGATGGCGAAAGCAGGAGTGTTAGTCAGAGTCCAAGTCATAGAGAGGAGGAGGAGGAGGAAGAATTCGTGTATCCTGGGCTGAATGACGAAGATACCACGCCTCTTTCGCCTCAGGAGTCTCCAAAGCCACTGACACCCCCAACAATCTCTGAATTGTCTTCTAGACCTCGCTCTGACCCACTCTCTGAATCACCACCTGACTTGGTGCTTCAGGCTCAGCCACAGGAACAAGCACCTCAACCTTCACGCACGCACCCGACTCCCGCACAGCTTGAATCATCTTACGCTGCTTCCTCCTCCGGTGACCTCTCCCTGCTGCAAAAGATCTTTGTCACCGCGCATGAAACGGGTGGTATCTCGGCGTTTAGTTTGGCCAACGACGCTTCGACAAGGACTGGCTTGACGGCGTTACACGCTGCAGCGAGTAGAGGGTACGAGGATGTCGTTCGTTGGTGTGAGTTCTTTTGTGGAAATCAATACTACTATTCATTAAATCATTGTTTTCACAGTGATAGAATCTTGTGGGGCTATGTCAGACTTGGAAGATAAAGAAGGAGAGACGGCGTTGCATAAGGCTGCGCTGAATGGTCATTTACATATCGTCAAGTATCTCCTTCCTTCGAAGCATGCAGCGAATTCCTCGGATGCCTTGTCTAGAGCTTCAGTGCACGCGCAAGACGCCGATGGATGGACAGCACTACATAATGCGTGTTCAAAGGGATATCTCGATATCGTCAGGTATCTTTGTGAAGAAGGAGGTGCTACGGAGTCAGTGGACGACGACGATAGTGACCAGCCTCCTGCCAACGGCGTGAATATTCGCAGTAAAGCAGGCTACACTCCTCTCATGAACGCCTCATCCAAAGGCCACCTCCCTGTTGTTCGTTACCTCCTTTCCAAACAACATGCCGATCCTCTTGTGAGGAACAACTGGGGAGAGACAGCATACGATGTTGCTGCCGCGGTGTTTGAGGTTTGGATATGTGAGGTTTTGGAGAGAGCGGAGAGGGAATGGTGGTATAACCGTAATTCTGCACACTCCAACCCAAATTCTCCGTCAAAAATTCCATACAATTCCCTCGCAATACACACCACCATTCCTCTCGTCTTATACGAAAACCAGCGGCTCGATGCGCGTCTAAAAACACTCGCTACCTCTGGTGGGAAACCTCGGTTCTCTGCTTCCGGTCTCGGCAGGCGAGGAAGGCGCGCGCCGTTCGAGTTGAGGATACTATCTGTTGACGACGATAACAAACGACAAAATGAAGGAAATGAGGATAACACAGTTAATAATAATATTTATCAACATAATACGACCATCCCAGCCTGGCGAAGCACTGTTCAACTCCCGCTCCTCGATAGCCCGTACTCCCTTCCACGGCCAGGCTCATATCATTCTCAATCACAAGGATCTACCGGTCCAGATAGAAGTCAAGAAGAGAAAAGCCATTTCTGGCTCTCGGATTGGACTTTGGACGTCACACACCCTGGGGTCGACGCTGATCAAGGGTGGCAATACGCTAGAACTTTTGAGGATCCAGAGGAAGAGTGGACGCCAGAAGTCACGGGTGCATTGGGGAGGGTTCTGGGTGGAGGGTTGGGTGGATTGAGTGGAGTTTTGAGGACACCACCTGGACTTGGTCGTTCTTCTTCGAATTCCGACTCTAGGTCGGGATCAGGTTCAAATTCTACCTCGGCTACTCCAACCCCGACAACCTACGTCCGTCGCCGTCGCTGGGTCCGCGTTATGCGTCGACGTTTGGATATCCTTCCTCTCCCCTTCTTATTCCCAGATGGAAAAATGTATCTGGTGCGTGAGGATGGGGGGTTGGTTAGGTATATCCATCATCCTAACGTGAGTGATGAAGATGCTTCTCATCCTAGATCTCCCGCGTACTGGGATCCCAATGCCTCCCCCGATGAGGTTGCGTATTCGTATGGCGAAGAAGGTCATCAGGAAGGACAAGAATTAAGCACGATTCCTTCTATGTCTTCGAAGGCTCAGGATTATGTTAGTCGGGCGAGGTATCTCGTTGGTTCTCAGACATGCGGGCTTGATTCGGATGGTATCCAAAATGGTGACAATGCAGGTGGATCACTATCTGCGGTCGACGCTCGGAGAACTATAGCTAAACTTGAGAGAGCGACGATGGAGTTGAGATTGGGTGTTTCAGGTAAGTATTTCACTATCAACTCTTCTCCTCTTCCCTGTGTGGTCTTTTGAACTCACCTGCTTTCCTTTGTGTTTTTATTTTGCAGGAGACACTGACATCGAACGAAAAACCCAGGCCCAAGTCCTTCTGCATACATATACCAGGGAGCTGGAGAGACAAAAAGCTAGTGCGGAAGTGCAGGGCTGGGTTTTAACCACTCCGGGTGCTGGAGAAGGTATCCACGATGGAGATGAATACGACTACGAAGAGGACGACGACGACGACGACGAATCATTCCATTACCCAATGTCCCCTACTAATGCAAGTGGGAGTACCAGTATCCGGCCATCCTCCCGGTCTAGCTCCTCCAATCGACCGGAACCAGGCCGCAGCTCCTCCATCAACTCAGCAACCAACTCCACCATCTCTGACTTGACCCACCACCTCTCTCAAGCCCCTGAGTTCCGTGTCCCCACACATGAGGCTCCGCGATCCCAGACAGTATCTCGTGCAGGTTCCGGGTGGGGATCAGGGACCGCCCGATCTACTACATGGGTTATTCCAAGCCCGCAATATGTTCATCAATGGGAAAAGGACGATGACGTGAGTCAGTGCAGGGAGTGTAGAAGGAGGTTTAGTTTTTTGCTTCGGAGGGTAAGTTATTGCTTGCTTTAGGGTTGTTTACGAAATTTGTTTGATGGATTGTGGGGGACTAATGGTTTTTTCTTCTTCTTTGCTCTATCTTCACGTCGTGGTTTTACAGCATGTAAGTTATCCCTTATCTATTACCAACATTTGTACTTACTGTCCGTTCGCAATGACAGCACTGTCGTCGATGTGGGAAAATATTCTGCGATAAATGTTCTTCCCATCGAGCTCTCCTAGATCCTTCTGATATCGTACACGAACCAGGATCTGTTGCAGAAACATATTCTTCGAACCGATCGAACTCTTCTGGCTCTCAAGGTTCTCAAGGTTTCTATTTTGTCTCTTAGTCTTACCTTCATTCTCACTCTTATCCTCGCTTCTCTTCACACCTCCCAGGCTCCTCGAATACCTCCTCTTCCTCCTCTCCACCACAATCCTCATCCTCCTCGCACCGCGTCTGTCAAACCTGCTTCGACGAAGTCAGTGGTAATCTCCCCGCCAGTGTGCATGGGCTTCTTCGCAGTGCAGGGGGGATCGCGGGCATGGAGAGGGTTTTCGTAAATCAAGAGCGGTTGAGTATTCCCGATCCCAGGAATAGCACGGCAATGAGGAGACAGACTAGTTCGCAATTGAGTGATTTGGCTGAGTGGGTATCTCCCGTTCTTTTCCACTCATACTTCATGGTCTGCATTGATCTCAATCATTATCTTCTTCAGGTGCCCCGTATGCAACCGCATCCTGGAGCACGTCGGGACCGCAGCCGAACAAGAAGCGCATGTCAAGAGTTGTCTAGAAGGTGGCTCGGGAGCAACCCAGCAAGCTGCGAAATATCTGGTGTACAGGCTTCCGGCGGAGAGCACGCTCATCGGAGTTGAATGTAAGTCTCGGCGTTTGTGTTCGATTGGTCTTACTTTTCTTCTTCATCACACAATAGGCGTGATCTGTCTAGAAGAGTTTACAAAAGGGTCGATGGTGGCGCGGCTTAGCTGTTTTTGCAGTTTTCATAACGGTGAGTGAGATAGACGTTTCTTTTTTTCTAGTTTGAAATTCATTCTGCTGCTCCTTCCCTCTCGACCACACATCGTCTTTCACCCTTCTTCCTCCTCCGTCCTCGTCCATGAACCATTACCCCTCTCCCCATTTCTCCGCCCTCTGTTGTTCCCCAAAGCCTGCCTCTCCTCATGGCTTCAACGAGGCAAAGCCTGTCCCGTTCATGCCCGTTAGATGTTGCGGTCGCACCAGTGCCAGTGACTGAGTTAGTCACTAGTATAGTACATATCAGGTCACTCTAATGAGCATTATATGCCTCAAGATCGGCTGTTCCGTTTTTGGAACCACACCTTCTGGCGCCGTGTATCTATCTATCTATCCATCATGACTCACTTGCATGCGTATATCCACTTTGTTTTCGGTCCCATTTTGACCATGTTTTCTTGAATGTGCTATGCATATGCATCTCAACACCCACCAAAAACAGTTGAAGTAATAACAACGAAATACGGAAACTTTGTTGTTCACTTGCGTCACACAGCAGGCAAATGAGTAAGGGTAACTCTTCGTCGACCACCCAGCACGAATTGCGCCATAGATTCTCATCACAGTACTTGAACCTCTGTACATGTCTTCTAACTATCTATGTCAGGCAAGGGGATATGTTCACGCAACCTTTCGAACATACATGTGTCAGATTATGTCCAATAGCACCAACGAAAGAATACCTAAGACTACGATGAATACAACTTTACCAAAACCCCCCCGGATAAATGATACTACAAAAATATGCGTTGTGAAGACATGGGTGGCCCAAGGCAGGCATACCGGAGGTCAAGTATACTTTCAACGTGGAGCCTGACCATCCGACCAGCGAGTTTCGAGGGGTTCATCCTTGAAAGAAGACATGACACGCCTGAAACGACTGTAAGTCACCTGCCCGCCGAGAGTCTGCCAATTGAACGACGCTTGGGGTTGCATGTCTTCCGGTAAATCGAGGATAACTGTATCATCCACAGGTTCGAGTTGAGGTCGAGGACGCGCATGATAGCCCTCTGAAATGAAATAACGGATACGCTTAAGCCACGGTACGAAATGGGCGAAGTAAGGTTGAATAGGTAGATCTTGAGCAAGGAGAAAAGGGCTGGTCAAGAAGGTGTTCTTGTTACCAAGGATGTCCTGATCAGACCCACTGAACCATTTCGAGTAAGCTCGTGGTTCAGTTGCAGGCACACCCGGCGCCTCGTAACGACAAGCAAGGCAGAGTATGATGTAAAACAGTGACTCAAGATCATGGCGGTAAAGGTGACCACCCTCCCAGTAGGAATTCAGCAGATCAAGAGACATGAATGGTCTGGTACCTGTACGGATGTCGCCGTTGTCCATGTCTTCGACGCGAGAAAAGAGGTCGAAATCATTCAAGACACCATAAATCTTGCCATCTTTGCGTCTGAACATGATGTTGCCCGAGCTGAGATCACGATGGAGAATTCCACCACATTCATAAAGCCATTGATGAACTAGATTAACGCGCGAGGGCCAGTGAGATAATGAGGATACATTGAATGGAAGATCGGCGTACTTTGTAGTACGTCGTAAAACACTTGCGCGAAATCCCGCGGATCTTCCAACTCGGAAAGCGGATGGAGTTGCTCGAGAACTGTGACATGCATCGCTTGTTCTTCATATTTCTCCTTGAGAGCCTTTTTCAAGCGTCTGTGAGACGCTTTCCTTCTGTTGGGCAATAAACTGAGTGAGTGGATGGCATTTGGGAGATGATTGAGTGCCCAGACTTCGCCAGTCGATTCTGCTTTCGATCTAGCCTCCCCAATCAGTCCTTGCTCTGACTGCCGAGCTGTGCCCATGAAACTGATCTTCATAACCTTCTTCTCATTCCCATGCCATTTACAGCCAGTTTTCGTGCAGAGGCATTCCACGTCAACGATAAGCGAGTGCAAGCCAACAAAATCCTTCGCATGATATAGGATTGATTTGATGATAACTTTCCGAGTGCGACCGTCAATTTCTTTGAAGGAGTAGACAGCGTCGATCAAATCTTGCGGATCGTCAGCAAACTCTTGTAAGAACTGCTCTGGGTCTCGAAGGTAATCGAAGCCATTGAGAACCAACGTAGGAACAAACACAAGTTTTTCCGTAGGCAGCTTCTTCAGCTGGCAGATCATGGCCAAAACAAGTTTCGTCCACTCATCGTTGGGCTGTGAGGTACATAGGAAGAAGATAACGATTTTTGATTAGTGATCATAGTTGAAGTCAAGAGGAAATCTCGTGGAAATTAAATAAATCGGGCCGGATATCTGCTCTTTATTTCCAACTACGACCATTGCTTGAATAATGAAAGGAAACGCTCACCTCGCTCTCGACCTCTGAACCACGATATTGCGCGAAACTGAAACCGTGATTTATGGATTCAGTCAAAATCATCTCTGTCACACATTTTCTTGTTGGGTGCTGGCCCTGTGTCTGGATCACATTCTGCTCTGCTCTTGACATTCCTTCCGCTCTTGCTTCCCGCAACGTCGCAATCTCGACCGTTTTCGTTCTATTTGTACTTTGAATGGTGACTCGAGGTCTATCCTTTTGCTTAAGGCTCGTAATTGTTGGAGTGGATGGAGTGGAAGGAAGAGGTGTCGAAGCATCGGATTGGATTTCGACGGCGGGCAATTGATCCAGGTGCATGTTGAGCAAAGGATCCGGGTGCTTAACTTTGACAGTCTGAACATCTAGTCGAATGCCAAAGGTCAGACTGTGCCTCACCTTCTCTCTTTGAAAGTCTCTCAGATCTCTTAAAGGCTTGTGACTCTGACCGGGACGTTGAGTGAGATTTAAACTTTAACTTCTTATTTGGCCGGACGACTTGTAACATTTGTCAGTACCTCTCCAAAATGAATAAAGGGCACATACTTGTAGAATCCAGTTCTTCATTCGACCTCAGCCGCTTATTCGATTTGGGGTGTGAGCGACGTTCTTGTGAAAAAGTGAAATTTGATGATTCGTTCAAAGGTACTCCGATCTCTGCAAGGAATACAAGGCGAGTCAACTATGGGAACGGGAATAGTCCCTGTAACATACCTGCTCTCTGGATATTTGGATCTGCAAAACCTTTCTTCCTGAGGTTGACCTCTACAAACAAAAGCAGGAGCCCCCAAAAAACCCCGAACATATTTTTGTCTGCAAGATATGTCGAGAGTTTCTTGTTTTCTGTGAGTTTCAACAGCGGACTGTATATTCCATTCCTCTCCAACAGTGAACCCAATACTAGGTGAGGATCCTCAATGCAGAAGATTCCCTCATCATTGTCTTTCGTGAAGTGTCCCTCTCCATCTCTCAATGTATTTAAGACTTTTGTGAGGGGGTGGTTCAACTCGATCTCATTCGTTGCAGCATTCCTCCACTTCTTCCTTTCACCCCCCGCTATTTTTATCGCAACCTTCAGGTATGCTCCGAGCGCCTCTATCACTGCTGTACTTGTCGGTGGCAGGCTGAACTCCTCTTTGATCTTCCAATCGGTTGGAAGATCGAGAATGAGGGTCACAAATTCATCGAGAGAAAACACGACCCTCTCGTGAGCATCATCTTCAAGAAACTTGGTCAGAGCCGAAGTACGCTGCGGAGCATCATCTTGGGTGGGATGAGCAGCTCCGTTACTCTCAGGAGTGCTCCCGACGATAGGTGGAGCATCAGGCTGTTTCTGCTGAGGAAGGGAAGTCGGGGTAGCGAGTTTAGTCTCTGGTGGAGCTTCCATGATAACGGAGAAAATTTGCTTGGTGGAGGAGCGAGTTCAAGAATGGCAAATGACTGAACAATGAGAGGAGGCGCATAACTGACTTGCATATCACGATCACATGTTGTTACAGGCAAAGCGCGTACTCTCTATTGTTCTTCGGTTTTTGGACCATAACATTGCTGATGGCGCCGTGTATCCTATCTATCGTATGTAAGGCAGTCTATCCACGAAATCAAAATTGTGGCGATAGAAACGACCGCCCTTTCAAGTCTTTCCAAGTCGATTCTAGAGACACGAAAAATCTGGTACCGGTACGTTGGTTGAAAGTCAGATCATTGTTCATATCTCGGACTGAAGAGGAAAGGTCGAATCAGAAACACCATACAGTCATTAGGTCTGTGGCGGCTATTGATGGCAGAACTTCTCTTTGTAACTAAACAATTGTTTGAGAAATATTCATTCGAGGTCGACGTCATCATGTATGTATTCCAATGATCCGTAAGTTAGAAACAGTATAGATACAATTTTTCCAAATCCAGTGGAAAGTATATGGGTTTGAGGTACAGCAAAGCAGAAAGGAAAGGCATAAAATAATGATGTACATCCTTTTCCGCGGACATCGAAGCTATTATAGGTCAATTGTCCGGGTTGAAGCCTGTCCACCGAGTGTCGAGAGGTTCTTTTTGAAAAGAGGACATAAATTGTCTCAGTACACTATACGTAACGTTCCCATCCAGGGTCTGCCAGTCGAATAAGGTTTTTGAAGGCAAGTGTTTCTTCAAACCGGGATATGCAGACACATCAATACCTGGTCGGGGACGTGCATGATATCCCTCTGAAACAAATTGGTGCATGAGGTTGAGCCACGGTTCGAAATCGGCGAAGTAAGGCTGAATAGGTAGACCTTGAGCAAGGACAAAAGGGCTGGTCAAGAAGGTGTTCTTGTAACCAGAGATGTCCTGATCGGACCCGCTGAACCATTTCGAGTAAGCTCGTGGTTCAGTTGCAGGCACACCCGGCGCCTCATAGCGACAAGCAAGGCAGAGATAGATAGATAGATAGATATATACGCGGCTCCGTCGAGTCGACGGGGTCCCACAAGGGAACAGCCGGGCCCAGCAATCTTCGCTGCAGCGAATGCTCATCCAACCTGGGATGGTAGACTGCAGCTAGAATGAAGGGGTTATAGTACAGGGTTATTCTTGTATACATATAAGAATAGAGCGGAACAAACACAAATCACTCCTCTTCAGACTCATAATCGCTATCCACATGTTCCGAGGAGCCATCTAAACCAGTGTCTAAAAAGAGTTGCCAGAGAGTCACGACCTCGTGGATGAACTTAGCGGTGGGGACGATTAGGTTCCAGTCGAAAACTAATAACTTGAGATAGTGTAGCGCAGTGGGATCCGAGAGGTTTGAGCTGCGTGGTAGCGGCCGAGACTGTCGAATGGACAAGAAGAACTCGGATCGGAGAGAAGAGATGGAGGTAAGGGATGGGCATTGAAACAAAAGGTGTTGTGGAGTTTCTCCCTGCCGATTACATGCACGACAGGCTCGGTTGAGAATCTCTGTCGGGGTGAGCTGACGAAGGGGTGAGGCGGAGGCTCGGAATACTTGGGGGGTGAGGTCGCCGCAGAGGAGTTTGGTGACTGAGCGACGATGCGCGTGGTTCTTGATTTGAGTGAGGTAATGGCGAAGTCCGATGATTTGCAGTTTTGCCGGACCTTCTTCCTTCGGTTCTAGGCGATTTCTGAGTAAAGAGAGTTTTGACCAGGTGTCGATGTGGGATTGTAGTTCGGATTTTGTGGAGAACTCAATGGTTTTGATCAGAGTGTCAATACAGTCACTGTTGAGATCCCGAAGGTGAGGCAGGCGGTGGTGGCCCGGGAGTTGGGAGATGGCATAGTCTAAGTCCGAGAGCCAGCATGGAGAGCTAGCGCGGCGGAGGTTGTCGTTCTCCCAGAGGGCCAGGAGTGCGTAGTGAGAGGGGGGGAGAGCGATGAGGTATTTGAGGTAACGGAGTGCAAGCGATGCGCGGCGGGTGCGAATAGGCATGATGCCCGATTCGGTGAATAGTGGTGTGATAACAGAGTTGTTGGAGAGGTTGAGCATACGGCGAAGGAAGCGTAATTGAACGTCTTCTAGAATCTGGATAAGACCAGGGTCGGTGTCAGGTATGATCTCGCATCCGTTGGTCAGGTGGCAGTCCACGAGCGCGGTGTATAGTTGTTTAGTGATAGAGGGAGGCATGCGTCGATTTCCAACAAGTAGATCGCAGCCAGTGATGGCGCGCGCAGTCCCGACAGCGGCGTCACGCTTTTCGGTATAGTGGGGAGCGAACATGTTACGGTGGGTGGATTGAAAGAAGATGCCCACATATCGGCCTACGTCACGGAATTTGAGGGGTTTATCGGAAAGTGTGAGTTGAGGAAGGACCAAAGGGAGGCGACCAAAGAGCATTAGCCATGACTTTCCGGGGCTGACAAGAAGGGAGTTATTTCGGCACCAGATCTCAAATGTTCGGAGATGGCGTTGCAGGCCAGCGTGACCTCGAGAGATGAGTACGATGTCATCTGCATGTTCGAGGTGTGAGATAACTACCATTCGGAGCTCGACATCCTCGGGGTCAAAGGATAGGTTGAAGGTGGAGAGGAATATATTCCAGAGGGTGGGAGAGGAAGGGTCACCCATGAGGACTCCACTGAACGCATGGAATTCGTGGGACAGTTGGCCATTGTGGGCGATGATGTAGGTCATTTGGTTGTAAAGTGATCGAAGCCAGTCGAAGTACTTGCCAGTGAGACCCGCATCGGAGAGTTTGTTCCATAGGGAACTCTGGTTGGTAGAGGGGAAGGCATTGGAGATATCGACAAATGCTAAGTAGATGGTTTCCCCTTGTGCCCGAGCTTTGTCGATGATGGTACGGAGGATGAATGCGTTGTTGTTTGTGCGGTAGCCTTCCCGAAAACCATTCTGAGAAGGTGGGATGGTGTTGGATTGCTCTAAGGCTAGGCGGAGTTTGTGATGTACAAGGAGAGAGGCGAATTTGAGGACACAGCTCTCGAGGGCAATGGCACGGTAGTTGCAGGTTTTAGTCGAATCTTTACCAGGTTTAGCAATAGCAATGATGGTCGAGGTGAGCCATGATGAGGGAATTTCGCGTTGTTCGATAGCGCGTTGGAAAAGAGGGAGGAGGAGATCGTTGTCAATGTCGATGAGGAGGTCATAGGTAGCAGCATCGACACCCGTGGAGTTGGAGTGGGTGGTACGTTTGAGGTATGACTTAATTGAGGAAATATCATCGAGGGATAGAGGGTCGTTGAAGGCAGGATGAGTTGAGGGTGGAGAGGGGAGTGGAATAGCGTGCGCTCGAGCGTCCTCGGCAGCAATCAGGGTGGGGTCAAAGGAAGACGCGGAGGGGTCAGGGGGGTTCATGCGAGGGATGAAGGAGTCTGTAATTTGTTGCAGGGAGACTTTGGGAGATGGGCGCAAGGGGCGGCGGATGTCATTGTAATAACGCCAAAAAGCCGCACTCCCGGCGCTAGCAGCATTGGACAATTTTGAGCAAATTTCGTCTTGTCGTGTCCGTTTATGGCTGCGGCCTCGATGTGAGGATGGGCAGGCAGGGGGAGGGTGAGGAGCTGGACGTGGAGCAGGTTGAGGGGGAAGTTCAGGTAGGGAGGAGGAGACCTTTGGGATGTCAGAGGGAGTGGTAGGTTCAAAGGGGGGAGGGGCAGGGGAAGATAGGAAGTCCAGGGAGGAGAAAGGTCGGGGAATTGTGAGAGATGAACCCAGCTTGGCCAGGTTATCTGCAGCATCATTGTGAGCATTGTTTGAGTGACCACGGACGTGGTGAAAAATGATAGGGGCTTCCCGTGAGGCAATCCAAAGGCTGATGGCACGCAGGATGTCCCCATTAGTGCAAGTCCAGTTGCATTGAGCTTCCTTCGGAGCGCGGTAGACGATAGCGCGAATGGCGTATTCGGAATCTGAGAATATTTCGAGACGGCGTTTCGTGTGAGATTTCTGGATTGCGATGAGGACAGCCAAGAGTTCGCCGCGGTTGTTGGTTTGTTTTCCCGTGACACGTGCCATGGTGTTTAGTGAATGAGACGGATTACCGAAGAAGACACCCGACCCAGCACGGGCATTAGGTTGGCCCACATTGGCACATGAGCCGTCTGTATAGATCTTGAGGGGGGGGAAAGGGAGCAAGGACTGTGAGGCATGGCCATACAAGATGAGCAATTGAGACTGGTGTGAGCGAGGTTTGGAGTGAAGTATCCTGTCCTGGAGGAAATCAGAATCAGTGAGTAAAGGAAGGTGAATTGCAGGTCGGAGAGGAGGAGGTCTAATGGGAACCCGCGTAGGAGAAACCCCAGGGGAGATAATTTTGAGGGTGATGGGGGAGTGGTCAGACCATTTTGTTTCAGGGCTCACGTTAAGCTCGGATACGAAAGGAAAGAGAAATGGGGTAATAATAAAGTAATCTATTACAGAAGTCAAGGTAATGGGGAGACCTTGAGCATCGCGACGATGTTGGAAGGATGTCGGGGAAGAATGAATACCAGGTAACGAGGTGGAGCCATTGAGAATCGTGAGATGGTGGTCGTTGCAGAGATTAAGGAGAAGTCTGCCTCGTGTTGACACGGTAAGGTCGGACGATACGCGATCCGGGTGTCCCGAGTGAGGTAATAAATCACCAGTTCGGGCATTAATGTCACCGGCTGTAATGGAGGGGGTGTCGAGTTGCATGAGAACGTGAGTGTTTTCTATGAAGGCGTCCCAGGGATCGATGTCCGACCAGTCGCGCCAGTTTGTGCGTGAGGACTCGGGAGGGATGTACACGTTGCGGATCAGTGTACCGTTGACGTCGACCACCAGTAAGTCCGGGCTGGAGAGGTCTTGGCGAAGGCAGCAGGGTACATTGTCCCGGACAAGAGTCGCGACGCCGCCCCAGGGATTCTCGAGGTCATTATCAAGACGGCGGCGGTTTCGTACGAAGGATGTGAAGCCAGGTGGGGTTTTCATGAATGTTTCTGATTGAAGACGGGTTTCTTGTAAAAGGATAACGTCAGCAGTGAGCAGGAGGTCAAGGAAGTCAGAGGAGAGGAAGTTGAGTAGATAGCGGCCGTTGATGTTCCAGCTCATGATTCTGAGGTGAGAAGAGTGTGTATTCAGGGAGGGAGTGGTAGGCGAGGTACAGGAATCATAGTTAGAAGTATGTAAAGGTACAGGAGTGAGTGTGTGTGAGGCGGGACAAGGGAGTGATGGGCTGGTGGATGAATGAGTTGATCTACTTAACAATGCTCTCTTCTGAGTTAAACGTCAATAAACACTGCTGCGTGTCATGGAGATGTCGAAGATCTCCGGGATGTAAGGTTGGTGAGTCTTCCAGGTTCGCATGAAGGTGTTGAGGGATGCATCGGTGAAGGACAGACGGATGACGTAGGATTTATCCTCGCATGCCTTGACATGTTCCGCCAGGTCCGGTAGAGGAAGACGGGCTCCGCGTGCCTCGAAAAATGGTTGCCAGCGACCAATCACCGCGATGATTGCAGCGGAGGAGGTTGGGAGGGCCCACCGAGCAGGTGCCACCATGATAGTAGAAGGATCATGGCCTAGTTGAAGGGGTGAGGCAATGCGAGGGAGCTTGGACGGAGAGGGATTAGTGTGATCATGTTCGGAGCGTGGGCGTTTGACAGAGGCACAGGCAGGGAGGGAAGGGCCATCCGTGATGCGAGAGAGAAGATCGCCGAATGATCCAGTCTGGAGCCTCACGGTGCGAAGAGAGTCTTGAGTGTCCGGGGTGAAGGTAGGGAGGGGAGAAGTGGGTGTAGATAGTGGGGAGGGAGTGGGCAATGGAAGTGCAAAAGGTGGGGAAGAAGGTTGCGAGGTGCGGTTGAAGTCGCTGAGGAAGCCCGTGAAGTCGGTTTGGAGTTTGTTGAGGGCTGTTAGTAGTTGGCCCGAGACAGATCGGTCTTGGGTCAGAAGCTCATGTATATGGATGAAGTTCCGCTCGATACGAATGTCCCGATCTCCCGCTTTTTCTTTGGGTGGGCGTTTGTCCAGTTTGAAGTCAGGCGGATAAAGAAGATTGGGAAACGAGGATTCTTTCTGAATGGTCGTTGGCGCTCTCTTCTTCCCTTTCTGAGCTGAGGTAAACCGACCGTCTTGGCCGGCCGGCTGCTCGGGTAGTTTCGATGGGAGTTTGGAAGATGAGTTCCCTTTTGCGCCAAGCTTAGACACGACCAAGCCACCCGCCGCGGCGAAGCTGTCACGGGATTGTGAGGCAGATGGGCGGAGTGAGGAGGGGCTAAGGAGAGGGGGGCTGGAGGCATGACCAGAGTCTTGAAAGTGAATCGCCCCATTGGAGTCGTTTCGGCGGATGATTGCGGGGAGGAAGTTGTAGTTTGGACGGGAGGCGATGAGTAATTTGAGCTGGTCTTCTCTTGTAGCGGTGGTTCCAGGGGAGTACCAGCCTGACAGAGGGGATGGATGTTGGTCAGAGTTGACTCCGATGTCAGGGTCGTCGTTGCTATTATGCGGGTCGATAGTGGTGGGTTCGGGGCTAAGTTCCTCCACTCCCAGAGGCTCGCCTGTACTTGAGAGCGAGCCCAGGCTGACACCATCGGCGTCGTCCCTTTCTAGAGAATCCTCGGGGTGATAGGGGCCCAAGGGGTCCTCAAGCCAGGTAACCTCGCTCATGGTCGAGAGGCCGTCAATGGGGTTAAGAGGGTAAATGACCAAAGGGATGAAGACTGTGTCGATAGTTTAAGAGAATTGTGATGTAGAGACGCGCGAGGATGTTTGATATTTAGAGTGCAAGGTGAAAAGGGGATATTGAGGGGCTTGCTCGACCCCGGGGGGTACTGCCGGAGTCAGTTGCTGACTTGTGAGTGAGTAGTGTACAGTAGACCACTTGAGATTCTGCAGAGAATTGGCGGACTTGAGGGACCTTACGACGCGTTGAGGTTGTGTTCAAAGCTTTGATAAAAAGGCTTTGCTTGACTAGAACGAATACGGAAATTTTGTGCTTTGACGAAGACATTGACTGACGATTTACTACTGCTACTGTTCAATGGTGTGTGCCAAACATCAGGCTTCTCTCCAACCGCGACGAATAACAGCTTCTGTATGATATTCATCATAACTTCAGACCATTGATACTCGTCCTCAGTGAGGTGAGAGAAATCGGACCGTCCAAGAATTTTTGGAACAGACGTTGGGATCCTCGGGAAAGGCAAAAGTAGGAGCGTTGCTTTCAAGTCGGGACGCGACGTTGTCTGGGGTGTTGATGCTACATAGGACATAAGAGCAACCGAGGTTGTGGAATGCACAAAATTTGGAGGCGAGAAGCGTTCAGCCAACGATGAGATTGTATGATCGACTTGATGAGTAGAAAGATAGCGGATTGGTGCATCCTGGAGTGCAATCGGCTGTGAAGTAACGTAGATCGGTGTTGGATACGTATCGAGAAGAACGATGCTGGAACAGAGTATGATGTAAAACAACGACTCTAGATCGTGACGATAAAGGTGACCACCCTCCCAGTAGGAATTCAGCAGATCAAGAGACATGAATGGTCTGGTACCTGTACGGATGTCGCCGTTGTCCACGTCTTCGACGCGAGAAGAGAGGTCGAAATCATTCAAGACACCATAAATCTTGCCATCTTTGCGTCTGAACATGATGTTGCCCGAGCTGAGATCACGATGGAGAATTCCACCACATTCATAAAGCCATTGATGAGCTATGTAGATTAACGCGCAAGGGCCAGTGAGATGATGAGGATACATTAAATCAAAGATTGGCGGCGTACTTTGTAGTATGTCGTAAAACACTTGCGCGAAATCTCGCGGATCTTCCAACTCAGAAAGCGGATAAAGTTGCTCGAGAACTGTGACATGCATCGCTCGTTCTTTATATTTCTCCTTGAGATTTTTTTTCAAGCGTCTATGAGACGCTTTCCTTCTATTGGGGAGTAGAGTGAGTGAGTGAATTGGATTTGGAAGATGGTTGAGTGCCCAGAGTTCGCTGGTGGACTCTGCTTTCAATCTGACCTCCTTGATAAGTCGTGGTTCCGATGTCCGAGTCGTGGACATATAACTGATCTTCACAACCTTTCTCCCATTCCCATGCCATTCACAGCCAGGTTTTGTGCAGAGGCATTCTACGTCGACAATAATCGAGCGCAAGCCAACGATATCCTTCGCGTGATAGAGGACTGATTTGATGATAACTTGCCGCGTGCGACCGTCAATTTCTTTGAAGGAGTAGACAGTGTCGATCAAGCCTTGCGGATCGTCAGCAAACTCTTGTAAGAACTGCTCTGGGTCCCGAAGGTAATCGAAGCCATTGAGAACCAACGTAGGAACAAACACAAGTTTTTCCGTAGGCAAATTCTTGAGCTGGAAGATCATGGCCAAAACGAGTTTCTTCCACTCATTGTTGTGCTGTGAGGTAGAAAGAAGATAACAGTTTTTGATTAGTGTTCAAATCATAGTTGAAGTCAAGAGGAAAACTCGTGGAAATTGAATCGGGCCGGATGCTCTTTATTTTCAACTGCGACCACTGCTTGAATAATGAAAGGAAACGCTCACCTCGCTCTCGACCTCTGAACCACGATAATGCGCGGAACTAAAATTGTGATCCATGGATTCAGTCGGAATCATCTCTGTCGCACATTTTGTTGGGTGTTGACCCTGTGTCTGGATTACATTCTGCTCTGCTCTTGTCATTCCTTCCGCTCTTGCTTCCTGCAACGTCGCGATCTCTACCGTTTTCGTTTCATTTTTACAATGAATGGTCACTCGAGGTCTATCCTTGCACTCAAAGCTGGTGGCTGTAGGAGTGGATGGAGTTGATGGAAGAGGCGCAGAAGCGTCGCATTGGAAGTCGATGGCGGGCAATTGATCCAGGTGCATGCTGAGCGAAGGACCCGGGTGCTTAACTTTGACAGTCTCAACATCTAGGTAAATGCCAAAGGTAAGATTGTACCACACCTTTTCTCTTCGATAATTTCTCAGATGTCTCCAAGGCTCCTGACTGTGACCAGGACGTTGAGTGAGATTTAAACTTCTTATTCGGTTGGATGACTTCAAACATTTGTCAGTACCGAAGCTCTCCAAAATGAGTTAAGAGCACATACTTGTCGAATCCAGTTCTTCATTTGACCTCAGCCGCTTTTTCGATTTGGGATGTGACGGACGTTTTCCTAAAAGACGGAGATTTGAAGGGCTTGGTAATGCTTGCGGAGCGACCGTCGAATTAGGCCGCAATGCTTCAATGACCAATGAATGGGATGATTCATCCATGGCTGTTCCGAACTCTGCAAGGGATGGGAAGTCAAGCCAACGTTAGGGGAGCGGGAATAGTCTACGAAACGTACTTTCGTTCTGAATATCTTGTTCGGCACAACCTTTCCTGAGCTTGACCTCTGCAAACAAGAGGAGGAGCCACCAGAAAACCCCGAAAATGTTTTTCTCTGCGAGGTATGTTGAGAGTTTCTTGTTCTCTGTGAGTTCTAACACCTGACTGTATATTCCACCCAAGCCTGGCTTTCTCTTCAACAGTGAATCCAATACTAGGTGAGGCTCTTCAACACGGAAGACCTCCTCGTCAATCTCTCTGCTTAACTGTCCAAGTCCCTCCCCACCTTTCAACGTATCCAAGACTTTTGTGAGCTCGTTCGTTGCCGCATTCTTCCACTTCTTTCTTGTACCCTCCGCTATTTTTATCACAACCTTTAAATATGCTTCGAACGCCTCTGTTACTGCTTTGGTTTCCGGCAGCAGGCTGAAATCCTCTTTGATCTTCCATTCAGCTGGAAGATCGAGAATGAGGGTCACAAATTCATCGAGAGATAATACGACCCTCTCGTTAGCATCATCTTCGAGAAACTTGGTCAGAGCCGAAGTACGCTGCGGAGCATCATCTTGGGTGGGATGAGCAGCTCCGTTACTCTCAGGAGTGCTCCCGACGATAGGTGGAGCATCAGGCTGTTTCTGCTGAGGAAGCGAAGTCGGGGTAGCTGGTTTGGTGTCAGATGAGGCTTCCATGATTCAACGATGAGATTTTGGCTGGTGGAGGAACGAGTTCAAAATTGGAAAATGCTTGGACAATGAGAGGACGCGCATAATTGACTTGCCTATCACGATCACATGTTGTTGACGGCAAAGCGCGTACGCTCTATTGTTCTTCGCTTTGTGGACCACTAATTTACATTGCTGATGGCGCCGTGTATTCTATCTATCTATGACTCAGAAATTGCATGGGAGCGGTAAAACCGTTACTTGTATGTATGTAAGGCAGTCTATTCAGGAAATAAAAATTGTGGCGATAAAAATTACCGCCCTTCCAAGTCTTTCCAAGTCAATTCTACATAGAGACACGAACAGTCTACCGGTACGTTGGTTGAAAATCGGACCCTTGTTCATATCTCGGACGGAAGAGGAAGGGTCGAAATCGTTCGACCGCACAGTCAGTAGGTCTGCGTCAGCCATTGATGCCAGAACTTCTCCTAGTAACTAAACAATTGGTTGAGAAATATTCATTCAAGGTCTTCATGTGGGTATTCCAATGATCCGTAAGTCAGAAACAGTATAAATACAAGTTTTCCAAATCTGGAAAGTAGATGGGCCTGAGATACAGAAAAGCAGAAAGGAAAGGCATAAGAATGATGGAAACCCCTTTCCGGAAACATCGAGGCTATTATAGGTCAATTGTCCGGGTTAAAGCCTGTCCACCGAGTGTCGAGAGATTCTTCTTGAAAAGAGGACATAAATTGTCTCAGTACATTATATGTAACGTTCCCGTCCAGGGTCTGCCAGTCGAATAAGGTTTTTGAAGGCAAGTGTTTCTTCAAAGCTGGATATGCAGACATATCAATATCCGGTCGGGGACGTGTATGATATCCCTCTGAAACAAGTCGGTGCATGAGGTTGAGCCACGGTTTGAAATGGGCGAAGTAAGGTTGAATAGGTAGATCTTGAGCAAGGACCAAAGGGTCGGTCAAGAATTTGTGCTTGTTATCACAGATCTCCTCATCGGACCCACTAAACCACTGCGAATAGGGTCGTGGTTCGGGTGCGGGCACACCCGGCGCCTCGTAGCGACAAGCAAGGCAAAGCATGATATAGAATAGCGACTCCAAATCGTGGCGATAAAAGTGACCGCCCTTCCAAACGGGATTTAAAAGATCTAGAGACATGAACGGTCTAGTACCGGTACGCTGGTTGGAAGTTGGACCATTATCCATATCTCGGACGCGAGAGGAAAGGTCGAAATCGTTCAATACACCATATACCTTGCCATCTATGCGTCTGAACATGATATTCCCGGAGCTAAGATCGCGATGAAGAATCCCAACATATTCGTAAAGCCACTGGTGAACTAGGAGGGTACAAGAACAACAGTAAGAGGGGGTGAATGTAAGGAACAGAAGAGCGACGTACTTTGTAGGACATCGTAAAACACTTGCGCAATCTCTCTGGGGTCTTTCAACTCTGAAAGTGGATGAAGCTTCTCCAAAAACGTGACACGCATAACTCGTTCCTCGTAATTTTCTTTCAGATGCTTCTTCAGGCGACCCTGAACCGTGGTTTCTTCGTGGTAGGGAAATGCGATAGAGTCGATGACTTCTGGAAGATGATTGAGTGCCCAACTGTCGCCGGAAGATTCTGCTTTCGACCTTGCTTCCCCAATGAGTCCGTCTTCTGAAGGCCGAGTCTTGCTTGGAAAACTGATCTTCATCACCTTCCTCTTCGTCCTCGTCTTCTTCTTCCCCTTCTCATGCCAGGTGCAATCAGCTTCCTTACAAAGGCACTCCACCTCAACAACGATCGAACATCGACCAATGATGCCCTCGGCGCGGTAGAGAATTTTGGTTATTCGGACTCTCCGCCTGCTGCCATCAGTCCCTGTAAAAGTATAGGTAGCGCCGACCAACTTTGACGGATCTTTGTCGAAATTGTAAGGAAGCTGCTCTGGATTCCGTAGGAGATCAAAGCCATCCAGGTCCAGGTTGGGAATAAATCCGAGATTTTCCGTAGAGAGCTTGTGCAGTTGGCAGACCATGGCCATAAAGAGCTTCTTGAACTCGTCGTTCACGATGCCAAAGGGCTGAAGGTGGAAATAGAAAGGTTAGTCGATGAAGGTTCAAGCGAAAATGCGATTGTGAGAAAATTTAAAAACGTGGAGAAATGGACCCGGTCCGAAGACGCGTGATCTCTAAGACAATCAAATAGAACACTTACTTTGCTTTCGACAACTTTTGATCGGTCATAGTACTGGAAGCGCAAGCTAGTGTCGTCCGCCGTGATCCCCACAGCATGATTTCGAATAAATCCATTCGAGAGCATTTCTTTGGCATAACTCGCGCATTGAATCCTTGTAAGATGCTGTCCCTGCGTCGGAGTCAACATTTTTTCTGCTTTCCGTTCTGCCTCTGCCCTTTGTAAATATTCCTGCGACGTCACGATTTCCACTCTCTTCTTCCTGCCGCCCCGATTCTGAAGGGTAACTCCAGGCAGGTACTCGTCTTCATCGCTGCTTGATGTAGAAGCGGAGGGAGTAGACGGAGGCGTAGAGGCAGTACTAGATCGCGATACCATATAGGCTATGGAGGGCAGTGTATCCGACTGTGTGCGCGATGAGAAACCTGGGCGCGTTACTGGGTAAGTTGAATTCAACAGAAGAGGTGATAAACCGTCCCACCTGCAATTTTTGGTATTCTCTTAGACCTTCTCAAGTGTTGCGAGTTTGCCTCGGAGGTCGAGTGAGATTTGACTTTCTTGTTAGGACGGTCCGATGGAGCTGCAAATATCAGTTCGTCTCAAGCCTCTATGAATCAATAATGTGCACTCACTGGTTGTATCAAGTTCTTCATATGGTCTGGGGCGTTTGATTGACTGCGACTGCGATGGACCTGCTGGAGGAGCAGCCAAAATCGAAGGTCCTGCTGCTGTCCGTGAAGCTTGATTTGATTCATTCAATGATCCATTGGATGCCACCGACTGCGACGATTCATTCGTCGGTGTGCCCGTCGCTGCAAAAAATTTAACTCAATTGTACGGGAGGGAATTTAATCCTGTAAATATACCTTCTTGCTTATTCACATTCAGACCGACAAATCTCCCCCTTTCATGCTTGACCTCTATGAAATAGAGCAAGAGTCCCCAAAATACACCCACGATGTTGTTCTCTGCGAGGTAATCCGAGAGTTTTGCATTTTCGGTGAGACCAAGGAGCTCAGTATAGATCCCCCCCAGGTCTGGCTTCCTTGCCACTAATGAGCCCAACACCGGACGGGGATCCTGAACGTAGAAGATCTTCTCATCAATGTCCTTTCCTAACCGTCCCTCTCCGTCTCTCAATGAGTTCAAGAGATTCGCAAGGGGTTGGTACAACCCGCTTTCGTTCCCCGCAATGCCTATCTTCTTCTTCCCTTCACCATCTACCTCCCCTATCGCTACCTTTACATATGCCGCGAACGCATCTTTCACGACTTCGCTTTCCGGCAGCAGTGTGAACTCCTTTCTGACGTGCCAATCAGTTGGAAGATCAAGGATCAGGGTCGCGAAGTCGTTCAGAGAAATTTCAAGGCGGTCGCTGATATCATCTTCAAGGAACTTATTGACAATCTCTGCACGCTGGGGAACTTCGTCTTCGGCGTGAGAGGTGAACCTTTGACTCGAAGGAGTGGACTGGACGACAGGTGGAGCATAAGCCTGATGCTGTTTCGGCTTAGGAGTGTGAGGAAGCGGAGGATGGGCTGCGATCTCATTCTCCAGTACTGGTTCCATGATTGGGTTGGGATGTTATGGGTGGTGTAGGCGCAAGTTCAAGAGTGAAATTGTGCTTGGACAATGAGGAGACGCGCTTAAATGGCTGTCATGTAAGGATCACATGTTGGCGCCCCATCCATTTTATTGTTCTTCAATTCCAATTTTGGTAAGTTTGAGATTGTCCACTGGCTTTGACATTCATGATAAGGATCTCTCAGTAAACGTTGGGCACGCCCAGGAAATAATGAAGCGGTCGTTCCATATATGTAAACGCTGTAAATGTGTTGTGTCCATACGTGTCTCTCTTCTCTGGCTTCCTTTGCTTGCTGTTTATCTTTTGCTTTGTTTCTTCTGATATATATGTTTCGGATGTTCCTTTCGCATATGTACATAATCATGCAAGTTACTATACAGCGAAAAACAATGACATTCGATATGCATACATCGTCTTCTGTCAATGTAAATGATTCAAGTTTATCATTATCCCGTTCCCTCTTTGGTGAAGACGTCATGCTCGTTGACTCATATCCCCCCATTTTCGTTGGCCGAACCAGCGACGAGAAGGCAACCAAGGTCCCAGCACTCGAGCTGTCCTATCTAACACTATTCACATATAAAGATAAGTATATACAGCCTGAGTGGCATAACGAATTTTGGTCGCTTTTCGTTGATGGTACAACAACAAAAATAATAATCCTTAGCGCCGTGCTAGCACGCCAAATCCCCGACTCTGAAACACTGATGCGACTAACAAAGTCAGAACGGAAATTCTGCATTTGAAATAAGTACATTTACTACAATAGTACGTGTAATTAAAGATATTCGTAGCAGGTAAATAAGCAATGTGGTAGCATTGGTGGACTGTCGCGTATTGAAAGTGAAGCTTGAATGAGTTTGAAGAGTATCAGCGTTGAACGGTGTTAGTTGAAGAGTCTTTTGTACTACTCCGTTTAGTTGTTGATATCGATTATTGAGGATCTAGCAAGCCGTCGCAGCGTTGCTGGAGTGTGGTGTGTTGAAAATGTAGCTTGACCAAGGTGAAAGAGTATCAGATTCGGTCAATATTGATTGAGGAGTCTTTTGTAGTAACGAGGCGAAAGTCGTGATACGAACGGTTTGACCTAGTGAACTGTGGAATAAGTTACTATTCATGATGTATAAGGACGATGAATATGTACATACGTATATTGCTGTCTTATATGGCGTGTTGTTCTGAGTTTTGGGTTAATTTTTAATGTACAAGCAAGGTATTGGTATTGGTACAGTATTCTCTACCGAAACTGCGGTTGTTTTAGCTATAAAGCGTTTGAGTAGGAGAAAAATGACATACCTTCAAGCAGTAGCCGCGGTTAACAAAATCGGTTCAATGATTGTGATCCAGGCGACGGTCCAACTTTGAGTAAACAAGAATTTTTCAACGTGTTTTCGTCGACCTATTTAACAAATATGAGATGGAAGTAGACGATAAAGTATTCAGACACGTACAAAGATGACAATACGTGCGTGGTCGGTTGATGCATGCAATTTCCAGCATTAAATGGGCTAGGCTTTCTGTTGCGCAGATTGGTAACAACGAAAGAGGATAGATACAAAACTCACCGGCTCTTCGTCGATTCGCGACTTTGATTGGAGGTAACCATAGTCTTGAGATGTCGGGGCAACTTTTGTCCCACTGCTTTTGGCGACGAAAGAAGTCGTTCGTGGTTCCGATTTTCCATTCCTTGTTGTTCACATATGCATAAAGATATCCAGCTCCGTCTGCGTCTGAAATTTTTCGGGTTTGTCGTTTGTTAAAGAGTCGTTGTAGTTTTGGGAGCGACCGACGCATAGTTATTGTACTAAATCACGAATTAGAATGAGCGTTAATGTGAGAAAGCTGTAGATAGACCAGTTGAGTCGGGGTAGGTTATAGAGCAAGATGGGTTCCGATAATGCGTGACCGTGACGAACGAACTTCGCTCGTTAGTCGTCGTTGTTTTGTGAGGTTGATGAACAGAATAAGGCCGGCGGTGAAATGCTTCGTCAAAATGATAAGAGCAAAGCGTACGATACGATGATGGATTGTCGTCGATTTGCTTGTGACAAGCGCGATGGCAGTGCGAGGATGTGTACCAGAACTTATGTCGGTGTGCTATGTGTTTGCAATTGCAAAGAGAGTCAGTTTTGAATGGTACGAGAAAATTCAGCCAATTCATGAAGTAGGTGATATCATAAACTGAGCTGAGGCTGAATGAGATACGACAAGTTATAAATGAAAGTCGAGGCTTTTCCATCCAACATGGTCTGCAAACTCAGTAACGCAGGCGAACCTAATTCTGCACGGAGTCTATCGACGTCGGCCTTGGTGACGGCGTACTCCCCGTCTGAGAGAGCGAGAATTTGATGACAAAGTGTTGTGGACTTGAAAGAAAATTAAGGGTAAGAGATAGGATTGACAAGAGACGTTGCAGAATGAATGAAGTGGCTACGTACTCTCGTTCCAAATCACCTTCTAACAAATCAGCCTTGTCCCTATCCTCGTTGACTTGGCGTAGCGCTAGGTGGACTCACTTATTCCTCTGTTCTTTCACATCTTGTATACTCTTGCTCTTCTGTTCCAGCGCCGCATGCGCAGAAAGTATATGTGTGGTATGTAGATGATCGAGTAAGTGAATGGGTTTGAGCCATTGATAGTGATGGAGCCGCTTAGTCGACAAAGAAAATGAGAGTAGAATAAAGATAAGACAAGTTACCAACAAGAAGGAGGGGAAACGCGTTTGAAGATGAAAACCAAGTCGTTTATCATACAGATGACATTGCGAAGAGATGCACTGATGATTATGTTTTCCCTGAACTTGTAGTGATTCCTGACGCTTGATTGATTCGTGGTTGGTAATTTCTTGGGAACAGTTTGTATTAGCGATGGAGAACGTAGTAGATTGGTAGCATAGATATGATCAGAAAGTGGATTTCGATGATGGTTCCACTCTACAAGATCGATTTAGTTAAGAGCGTAGCTGTAACTTCGTCAATTGATGGCTCGTGTTGACGTTTGCAGAACATACCCTGCATTGTATCGTTCAATGTCACAATGGTACTTGCTTCTCAGGAAAATCCTTATTGAGCACAGTCTGAACAAACATAGTTAGAAACAAAGATATCTGTAGATTGAGTTCAAGTACTGTACCTTGTTGCAGTGTTTCTGCAAGAAAACTTTGAATCTTGTTTGGTTCGAGGGGAGGATGTATATTGATTGAGATTGTCCAGGACGATTTCGAGGACGGGCCAGTGTGAGATATAGTTTTTTTGAGTACATTATTTTGTAATTTGAATTGGTATTGTCAATTCATTTGAAAAGTTGTCTTTAGAAGGTAGCTATGGTTTTCCTGTGGATATGGTGAAGAGGTTACGGATTTCATGAATTGAGTGAGAAATGCTTCAACGAGATATTCTTGTAACTGGAAGAGAGTGTAAGCGAGGACACGAGTAAAGTGATCATGATGTAATAATTCCATAGTCACATGCACAATGTCGGCGTCATTATTGTGAGATGTCTGATCTTGATTTCATCAATCTTCTTGATCATTCTTCTCAAGAGCTATGTATGGTAAGAAGGAAGAAAGTCATTCATGCAATGTAAGTGGACTATCATCGTCAAGACTGTGCTGTTGTAGCGAGGATTGAAGTTGATTAGGGATGATTTGCATGTCAGTGATTTTAACGAACACTTTTTGTGACAGTTTACCCAAGTGTTTTGGAATTAGCGGTGTAGATGTAGGATAGGATCTCAGAACAGACTGTGTAGGTACATGTATACTACATCATTCAATTCTTAATCAGCCAACGAAAATGAATACATATTGCTAATACTTCACAAAATTTACCTGAAATATTTGAATACTACTGTCATCTTCTGATTCTTCTTCATAACACTATAACACTACCTATACCGAGTGGCAGACCTGTAATCGAATATTGTTTTTGTTGTGTTTCACAATATGGTACTATCCATTCCGAAGTACGCGGTGTCGGCACATTTAATGATTGGGGTGTCCGGGAAATGACATTGAATATGTGGAATCAGTAGTAATCACTGCTTGACCTAGAGCATTAAACAAGCTACTTGAATTGGCTGCAAGTTGCACAGATGAGTCCAAATATTATTCAACAATAAATTAACATACCATATGAAAACGATTGAAACGCAGACACCGTTCCAGGTAAATCTTCAGTATATTGTTGGTAATTGCCCGGCATGGCTGAAATATTCACGTTACCGAATAAATTCATCAATAGTAGTAACGACTTACGAGTCAACGGATCGGAAAAAGGAACTCTTCCAAATTTTGTTGCGACTAGTACTGAACCTGGAAATGGAACAAAATGCTGACCATGTGATGGCACCGATTGTGAACTGCAAAATAAAGTATCGACACCATTGTTGAAATCAATAGTTGCAGTACGATCCGTGATTTGATCTGCGGTTAGGTACTTTCATCAACAGTTGTCAATCTCAGCGCAAGGCAACGATTTCTGGGTTATTCACCTCGAGTTCATGCAAGCTATATTGAGGATCGTTTGCGATACAAGGTTCCCCATGTTCTGGTCCAGATATAGTATTGGCATATTGAGTGCCATCCATTACTTCAGCCATAATCAACGTCTACGGAAATATGAACTCCATTGATCAATTAGACATAACAATACTTACAACTTCTTTATGTAATACATTCTTTGGTTCGTTTCTTGGTTCATCCGAATCCATCATACAGCCCTCTTCAGACTTGTTATCTGCGATTTCCTTTCTACCATTTGTCTGTGATTTTGTTGTGAAGCACGTGAAAAAAAATGAGGCATTAGAACAACGTACCGTTTCTTTATCCAGAATCTTCGTACCTACACAGTCTTCAGATTCAGATGTCTCTGAGTCTGTGTACATGAAACAAAATTGGATCTGATAGAATTGGTCAACACGAAGAGTAAGTATTATGAAAAATTCAGAGCTTACATTTTGGAATGATTCAAAATGAGTCTGGTTCTTCGAACGGAAGTACCATAATTTTAAGTCCTCGTATTGGGCTTCAGTAATGTTCATATCCGCCATTACCCGAAACTTATTAATACGAGCAACGCGACTGCACATACGAGTAGGCATGCAGCCTCTGCACCTGATCCTATTTGGAGAAATATCGCATTTGATTCCAATACGCTTGCATCGTTCACAAACCTCACGATCAAAAAATTCAGCAGCGAGGAACGATACTCAACAACATACTTACAATGTCCTTGTATTTTCGATTAAGAATCCGTCTTTGTTTGACCGTCCCGTACCTTCTGAATTGGACAACAAACTCTCTTTTCAACGCATCTGTCATCCAGTTCACGACTCCACCAGTGATAGCGTCAACTGCAGATCGGTGACCGCCTTCGTAAGGATTATCACTAATGAAGACGATATCTTTGTATTCCATGTTGTCGTCCTTGTCAGCTATAGTTTGAATTGCCACGATGGAAGGTTGTGGAACTGGAACAAGAATGATTCTATACGTACTATAAGCAGAATTTTTGGCCTGCCTTATAACAAATCGAAGTTGGCAAACTAACCTTATTTTTTCAACTCAATATAGACGTTCCAGTTTTTCTCTTGCATCGCATTTGTGTGTACGTGTCCGGAATCCGGTAAGTATGCTTGCGGTTGGTCTAACGTTTGATGTCTTCTGGTCAGCATGACGATAAGAAAGCAGCTGTAAAATCTGGTGACGGAGTAGGATGCCCATAGTGGTTGTGTTAAGTGTGGTCTTCGCGACGTATGCAAGGTGTTGACACGATAAAGAGAATAAATTCCACAGTCACTCGTATGTCATATGACCATAGATAAGCCATAGTAGGTATATCTTTAGTCACATGATATATCATTTTTACTGAATTTCAGTCAATCGGAAATCTTACTGGTAGATATAGATAAGCACCGCTTTTTTTGATGCGAGAATGAGCGACGAATACATCGCCATTTCATTCGCGTATGAGTTCGGCCCGTCGTTCCTCGTGGCGGACGACCCGAACATGACATCGTTGCAAATCCTCGTCTTCCTCCCCTCACCTTTAAGATGGAATTAAAATTCGCTTTGCCACTGTGCCTATTGCTGTCAAGTGCTACCGCAGAGCAGTTCGACGAGCTTAACGACAAGACTTTCGGTAATCTAAATGGCAAACTTTGGAAGGAGTGGTGCACTGCTGTTCTGGTTGCCTCGAGCTCTGATTTGCGTTACATCGAGTTCAAGCGAGAAGAGGTTTGGAGTGCTATCTTTTGGTCAGTACACGGTTCTTTGGAAATATATCTTCATTCTCAATAGCCCGAATGGGGATTTTTCGCGAAACCCAAGGACAACGAACCGGCCAATGCTCAAATTAATAGATTATAGACCACCCCATCGGTCGCTTGATTTGTCAAGGCTCCGTACTTTCAGACCAATGGGCTTTTGCTTTATCCAGGTAGGTTCTTTGTTCCACCTTCGTGTAACAATATGTGTTACAAAATAGCCACTATATTTGTTTTTCTGTTATTGTAATCGTCTATGCAACTGAAAATGTTGATCACTTCGGTACAATCCACAAAAGCCATTTTCTTCTCTCTTTTTCATATTCTTGTTCTGCCCGAGATAGGTTCCATTCTTTTCTGCATGAGCCGCTCCGGTCCCTCTCTTCAACAGACTCGATGTCAAACCCTGACTGCGACACGGCACCGATAAAAGATTGCAGGGTATACCGTCTAGTGTGCACCCCGCAGGTATATGCATTCGAGAACCAGACGCTTCACGCAAGGCTCTCTTCGGAGAATTCATAAACAGGGTGATAAGATGATTGGATGATTGAGATATACGACATCGTTCAGTGACCGGGTGGTATTTTTCCACCCTAGAATGTGTGAATAGAACGAAACATGTTATTACTGAGGCAATGGCTTACCATAGTAGATTTACGCGTTTAAATCAGGCTGTGAGAAGTCATTGTTGAATACTTTTCCCTTGCCTTTCGAGGAAAAAGGTACGGAGTTCCATCATGTCGTCATTGCACATTTTGCGGTATAGAGATTGTGAGGAGGCGGAGATATGACTTTGAAATTGAAAAAACCTCGGACAGTAATTTCTATGCAGAGAACCGCTCCAATGAGGACCAATCTGATCGCAAACACCACAATGAATCTGATGATGAGTTTGTCAGTGATGAGACTCAAGTAACTATGATTGTCTCCGGAGTACATACCAACATCGTTCGGAGCGACGACGACTTTCTGAAGGTGAAAGAAGTGAATATCTTGCGACCGGCAGATGTTTTTGGTGTGGCGGGTACGGCCATATAAGCCGCTATTGTCTGAATGGATACATTACTGAAGTTTTGTGGGTAAAAAGAACTTGGGAATGATATCAGCAATACTGTTCGAGAGGGTAGATATTACTCTCGCAGCTTGAGAAAGAAAGATTTCGTCTTCAACAGTTACCGTGAAGAACAAAAGGAGGGCGGAAGAATGAATATGGCTCTGACGTCCCAAAAAAGACGTACCAAGAAGAGGAAAGCTACTCTAGGAATAGATTTCGCACTTGAAGACTTACCAGAGTAGCACCAATACATCATTGATACGGATTTGCTGCCAACAATGAATGGAAATGGAGGGTATGAATCTGTCACCTCGCTAAGACGCGTCAGAAATGACAAAATCCTCATCAAGCGGCACGATGAATATGCTCACTTTGTCACTGTTTCTGATGTTTGCACCTGCCTCGACTTTGACCGAATCCTGCAGAAAAGAAACTTCAGATTGCAAACGGCCGACATCCCAGCCATCTACTCACTTTTTGCTGAGCACATTAATAGCGACCCACTCATTCATCTATACCAGCTCGCTACATTTGATGTTGATATCGGAATAGTATATACGTAGGCTCCACCTATTGATCGGCGACTATTTGATTCATTCACGCGTGAAGATGATTTGAGGATGAACGGATTGTATAAATTGACTACGGAAGGACGGTCTACATCGGAAAGTACAAAAGAAGCATTGGACGAAAAGTCGTGTAGAAAGGAAAGACTGGAAAAAACGAATATCAGATAGAAGTTTCAATGAGAGAGGAGGCTAGCTCAGCTGCATCTTCCCATGAAGCCCGAGGTCCTTCCGGTAGCTTTGTTCATCCATCTGCACCCAGAGATTCTGCTATCTCGCCTGCTCCTAAAACGGCTTCTCATACGAACCGAAAACATCTCCCTCATCCTACTCATACATCCTTCAAAATGTTCTTCAGCCCCACTATCATCTCATGCGATCCTCATGCATCACTCCTTATTAACGCGTCGGCCGCAGAGGAAACACCAATCTTGACCAATGAACCGACACACAACAGTTGTACCCAGTCTTTCGTCGACGATTTGCTAGACCCTGGCGATGGATTTCGACTAGATAGAAGTAGTTACCCACGACGTCGACAATTTTCAGGCAATGGACACATCAGTTGACGATGATGGAGATGGTTAAGAGATCGTCGTCATGAAGGATCTGTGGAGGGCGTATGTAACGGAGTGTCACGCGTTACTACTTATTTAGCGCCTCAATCAGAGGCGCTACATTCGGACTATTCGGACTTTACCTATGCCTGCTCGTACTTATGCTTACTTGTGCCAGATCATGCAGTATGAATATAGTACCATATATGGGAAACCGATTCTTGTAGGGTATATAAGGATACTCGATTGTATTATGTACCCTAGAACAGTTCTCTCGACGACACGCTACCCTAACTTCCCGTCTTTCGTGTGGTGTTATCGTGGTTCGTCACGCTACGCTACAAGTTGGAGCGAAGACATCTTTCGGCCGGAGTAGAACATGGATGTATGGTTATGTTCTTGAATGACAGCCTGTCGCAGGGCTGGCGAAACCGTAGATGAAATCGAGGAGCGTAGATGTGTTTGCGTTGTAAAAAAGGTTTGAGAAGGAGCTGTTAGGGGTCAAATACAAACAGGTAGTGAGAATTCGAATATCAGCTCAGCGTTCGAGCGCCCAGATTTGAGTTTATATGGAAAAGATCACGACAAAGTTCAAATTTGCTTGAACCTTCCTTAGAAAGCTGCGTGAACAGATATTTTCTTGAAATGTGGTTTTCAGTACAATGAGTGAGGCCGGGGAGATTTTTGATGAAACATTGAGCATTTGTCACACTTTGACCAGCCGCATAACCTGGATGTGGAGTCCTACTGGAACTACCTGAAGGTTTGATGGGCGTGTGTATACCATTGCTATCGACAACAGCTAGCGAATTAGAAACATTCCGAAGAGCCTCGGGAGTGGTGAGCAACAGTGTTGCCCCAGTTTCTTGTATTGAAAGCAGTGGGGTTCGCTCGCATTGGAAACTGCAGCTGCAGCTGGCGCAGGAGGGGCGGGGGTAGTTCCGAAGGCAGCAACAGCAGGAGTAGGAGACGGCGATGGAGCGATGACTGCTGCTGCAGGTGGTGGTGTGGATGCAGCATCAGGAGTAGGCTCTGGTGTAGGGGTTCTTGACACGGAAGTAGGAGCAGGTTTTTCGATCTCATACCCATTAAGATAAGTAGAAAGGGGCTCATCAATAACAGGTACCGGAAAAGGCTCAGGCTCAACCATGTCCAACAATTACAGGGGGTTCTTCGACCAGAACAACAGCCGCGTCGACGACTTCCGCTGGTGGAGATGGAAGCGGAGAAGGCTCCCGAGGATATTTCGCAGGAACAGCGACGGGCTCAGGAGCTGATACGAAACCCGACGTGAGGATTAGTTGTGTTAAACGAAGATCAGAACATTATACGGCACCTATTTTTTATGGAGAGGCAATACGACAACGCACGCGCGCTTTGTCACTCTCAAATCAAATAAGGTGTTGTTGTCCTTATACGTCTTCTAGTCAGAGAATAACAGAATTGTTCTTTCGACGTTGTCATATCCTGATTGTAAACGATTTATTAGTTGAACGGATTCCTTTTATAATTTTTACAGTACTTACAAGTTTGACATACTCTGCTACGTGACAGAGAGGACCGGCGCCGGTTCTACTGCTATCAAGTTCACGGTTCGAATTAACATACTCATGATGTGAACCTGACTAGATTGGGTTTTAGATTTGGGTCGGATAAAACATGTAACCTGACTGGTGCATTAATCCACCTCTTGTTGTTGAAAGTTGGTTGAGACGGCAGAGTTTACGCGCATTCATTCTGATGAGAACAAAAAGGTGCGTTTGCGTATGGTATATATGGCAAATAGTACACTCGAGTGCTTTAATCAACATGTGCCGGTAGTTCGATCGGATGAACATGTGGAGGAAGTGTATAATCATATTCGCTGTTGAATATTTCGGGAAACATCGAAGAAATGGGCGGTAAGGTGGGTTTGCTAGTAGAATACTGAGATGATGCACTCGAAGGGCATAAGGATTTCGATGCAATTTCGGATGAACTTTCGCTGTCTAGTGGACACGAGTACACGTAGTTTGAGTTTTGCTTATTATCTTGTCTAGATAATACTTAGGGCGAAGATGTTCTGAAGATACAGAAAACGTACCGATGTTGTTTAGTCGCTATTCGTCGTCTTTCGAATTCCTTTTCGCGTAAGACCCGTCTTCGATGCTATGATGAGTTCATGTCGTTGTAATCATGCACAACTTCGAGCATAAGTATCGAGCTCACATTGAACCAATTCTGAAAGTTTGTGTATTTGCATAGTAGAATATGGGGACAATCTATGTACTCACCCTCACCTGCGCAGACGTCAGTCCAGTATCAATCACTAATTGAGCTACAGCTTCATCGGTCTGATAAAATGCCTGTAGTATAGTCAGCATGACATATGCATTCGAATACTGAGGAGCCACCTTATGCAGCGCCGCTGATAAAATCTGAAATTGTCTGTCGTTCAAAACGGTGCGAGTTTGCGTGCTATTAGGCATGTCTATTTTTTTTTCAAACCCAACATATTTAGTATAACGCCTGATGAAAGAAACTTGAACCCACCCTATACGGAATCATAGAGATATTATCCTCGTTATATATGAGTTGGTGGATCGTGAAGTAAAAACAGATAACTCGATCATTCTTTATGGTAACGCTGTTATGCAATACCTGGGTCATTGTATTAGCACATCTTGCCGAACTGTTCTCTACCATGATATTTTCAATCGTTAACGAGCAGCGTGTCCTTGGTTTGTACCTGCATAGGACACTCATTCACTTGATGTTCAATGTTGTGCGTATGCTTAGCGTCACTGTCGACATGTATCATGGATGGCCGTCGCTTTGTACTCGTCGGCGTCACGAACGGTGGCGATATAGCATTCGAACTCCATACAAAATGAGATCGTTTGTGTGTCTGCAATTATTTAGCATATTGTGCGAGATTTAGTTCATCCGTAGCCTTTCACTAATCACATTGACAAGAAAGAAATTCCCGATTCAATTTCTTAACAGGTGGCATGCAATAGACTGGGTCCGCATCATTCTTCACCGATACAGAAGATTCATTTAAGCAAGAATCATCACTGGATTTGGACTTACCACAAATAGTTTCCTTAGTTCGTTGATTGAAAAATAGCATGCGTTCGATATCCTGTTATAGTTCATGGAAGGTATCAGAAGTTCCGTGCTCAATACATATAACTGACCTGGATCCAGGAAACCAGTTGCCAAAATTCAATCGCAAGAAAGCCTGTACATTTTGGAGAACTTTCGCCCTAAAATTCGACGACGATGGTGACCATGTTATGTTCGTGTACGATCAAGGTAGCTTTTCGTATATATTATGAAAGTCCTCAACGATTTTGCTAATATGACTGTAGTAGGATGTTCAAATATCAGAGCCAGAAGTTTGTTTTGACGTTCAGCGCACCGTGTAAAGCACTCCTGCACACATCGTTTGCTAACAGCTCATCAATCTGTGGTCGCAATTATTCTGGCTCATTTAAGTCAAGAATCTATGATGGTCGCCGTAGGTGCGTCGGTGACAGGCCGGTCAATTCGTCCATCACAAACGTTCAGCTACATGATCAATGTATTTGAAGAATATCCTGTAGGAGGAAGAAGTACTTCTCAGGAGCAAAGGCATGAGGTATTCACTTTGTGTGCGTTTTGTTGTTTAGCATCTTGTGTCTACGAACATTCGGCGTTGAGACTGTATCGGAAGGTCGTGACGAATTTGCGCAGGTCTTGAAACGAAATTGCGCGCAGCTTTTTTGATATGTGCATGAGCGATGTACCATGTTCCTATTAACAGAAATCAGTATTCGGCGAAGACAAGCTAAGAATGGTAACCGTTTTGATATTCTTGACCGACATATTATCCTGATTCATCGAATGTAGAAGTTGTTGGTTATGAGTCAACAGTAATGGGGCGCTTTTCTAGTTGTGAGTAAGGATCGTTTCAACAAAATATGAACTAACGTTCTGGATAGGTTTGGAAATAACTAACCATAGAATTGGAAGAAATGCAGTCGTAGAAGATGTTTATATATTCAACGAAACGGAGTACGCCTATATCGTAAGTCGTATCATCGCGCAGATAGTTTTAGTTCACTGTGCCTATGTGAATGTAGCAAGCTACGTACTTTTTTTGCAATCGTTAGACATCGACTAATCTTCAGTCATTAGACATCGAACTTCAATATGTGGTTATTGTATACGCTAACGTGAATCGACGATTCGTTGTGTGTGCGTCAGAAGGTGAGATTAGATTTGCGAAAGGATGTTGTTGCGTGCATTGATACTGTCTGTGGCAGAATGAGTAAAAGACATTGATTGTGAACGAGGTAAAGAACGCGCGATTAGCAAGACAGTGAATCGACAGGATATGTAGATACATCAGTTGAATCTATGAACGTTCACTGGACACGATGGTAAACGTACTATTTTTTTCCATATTGATTCTAACATAGGTTGACCCAAGTAAAAATCCCATCCTCTTGCGCTGAACGCTGGGTGACCAAAACATGACAAGTCGTCAACTAACGGTAGAGAGGTAACGTATTTCGTAATTGGCTTCCTCTCCATATCGTTTATATGTTTTGTCGCAGGTCTAATCACCATACGAATGATATGTTTTTGTTCGGATAACGTTCGTCAATGACATGTAAAGTTTGTGGTGATACAAATGTGCACACCGATGAATGTGAAATAATTTTAGGCTTGTCCAATGATCGATAATTGCGTTGATATTCTTTTTCAACATGTCTTCGTTGCTGCAACTCGAACTGTTTTAGACGACTTTTGATGAATTTGTGAGCGAGGTGATGAGAATAAAGAAATGAAATGTTTAATCGCTCCCACGATGTCGTTCCCCGACATAACGCAGCGTTCAACCCATGGAATCCAATTATTTTCTACCTCTTTCGCTCATACACCGCTACATTATCGTTGGGAATTCGAAGTTATCGAAAATCGAACGGACAAAAGAATCACCTCTAACGACTGTGATAGGTAGACGGTGAGTGCTTGGTTCATATATCGAATTCGCTTCATGAAACTGGGATTCAGCGTCTTGAATCATTTACTTGACTGTTCTACAACTTGTTGAGACAAATCGATAGCAGGTGAAGTTTGAAGATCGCAGAAAGGATGATAGAGTAACAGGTTGATCCCGGTGTGTTCTCTATCCTCCTCACTAATATAGGAATCACGACCTATCTTTCAAAGGACAAATCACAAACAGAAGAAGTCAATATTTCTGCTTTTCGTACGTCGTTGATACCTGAAAATTTTCGAAATCAATCTTATGATGCAGATACTAGAAGTCGTTGACTTATATCAAGTACTACGCAACTGTACCTCAGAATATCTATCGGCGTTCCTTCGTCACATAATTTTCATGTAACTCTGAACGTCAAGCTGCTGATAAAAAGATATGTTGGATACGTGAGGTCAATATGTCGAAGAAATGGAACTACGAAAGATGATGTCCGTAATCCTTCCATTCTAATTTTCGTGGTTACTTACCCTACTACATCCAGAAAAATCATTGCTGCAATATCGCTGTACAGCGCTAAAACGTTCGGTCAATTTTGAGTCCTAGTTTTGCATCTTTAAGCCCCCCTCGTGTCGCGATTGCGCTTACACCGTTTGTTCGATGAAAATATTTCGGTTCGTTATTTTCCCGTGTCGTTTCGTGTTCAGTTCTGATCATTAATGTATTGCTGCTGATTCACGCAGTACAAATTGCGACTATTCTTTAGCAACGTCCGCCCGGAGATTTTTTTTTCAAACAACTTAACAGTAAGGTTGCGGTTTCTCACTTTCCTGGGCGTTGGCTTCACCGCAACGTTCCGTGTAAGTGGATGTTGGACGGAGATCCATCTGATTTCTCTTTTAAAAGCCTAATGGGCTTCCATACCAATCTACCAATACACATGTAAGCCAATACACTTGTATAACTATATAGTTACATAACATCACACGTAAGATTCGGATAATGAGGTGGAAACAGTCTGATGTCTGATACAGTCTTATTTTCTTCAAACGAAGTCAGCCGCTTTCTATCTGAGCCATTAAGACCCCTTAAGATCTGTAGGCACTAAGTACACTTAAGTACATTGATCGGTTCATGAGCTATGTATTATTGTCGAAATACATATGCACGTAGATGTTCATGGGAAACGCGCCACGATCCACTTTCTCGTACAACAGAAGTACTTGCTTCATAGTATTCAGTACCATTCCGAACACATACTATTCTTTTCGCTGTTGCTCCTCGTACGTATTGTTATGCATGCAGGAAAGACCATCTTCGTCAGGAAGTGAATACTGTCGAGTCGTATAAAGTAAGGGACGACCTGTTTGCTCTTCATTATCAAGAAGATGTTACGGATGAAAAGGTCGATAACATACTCGGTGAGGTTGGACGATTGGCAATATTTATCATACATGCTGGGAATATTCAAATACGAAGGAAGGGGATTTGCAGGAGTTTTTGAACTTTGCACGCCGTAGTCATATGTGTTGTTACTTTGTTCGAGCACTTCCACATAAGTAGGAGCTTCATGCGAGTAATGTTGACGTGCTACAAATTCTCAATGTATGTTTCGTAAAAAAATGTAAGGAATTACTCGAAGTGTAAGAACAATCTTCCGATGACTGTATGAGCGGTTCGACTGTAATGAAATCAGCGAAAATGTTGTCTGAAAAAGACATAAATACTTGCGAAAAGGTAGGCGCCGATTTGGGGAAAATTGAACAGAATTGTGACCATGGTACATGGAACAGTCTTCCAAGGAGTTTGACGACGATGTCGGATACATGGTTGGGTCAGGGGAATCTTCATCAACCTTTTCCTCATAGTCACAAGAAGGTAGTGAATAGTCGTTGCCGACGCCGCCATCGGATGAGGCATAAGTCGAAACGATCGAATCGTTTTTCTGTTCATTGATGGATCTCGTTCCAATTTTTTGCTTGGAATAGTATTCGAACATTGGTTGCCATTCCTGAGATGTCATTGTCAATCCGTATTTGTGGCGTATACATGGCTCGCATTGGTGGTCGGTGCTTGATTGATAGTTCTGGTGCGCACTTGATCTGTAGTCCTGCTTTCCACTCGGAAATGAAGTTGTGTCTAGATTAGTGTCGGTTCTGTCAAATGAAGAAGTATTTTGTGGCTAAGAGTAGATTATCAACAAAGGCAACATCGAAATATGCACCTCGCGTCTTGCAAATTAGGGATATTGTTCGTAGTTGCATCGGATGATTTCTATTCCGCAAGACGATTAAGCAAACACAACGAAATGAACAAGAGCGCAAATATCTCTAACCGCATGAAGTTCGTTGTCGTTCGCCTTCAACATTCGCTGAATAACGCCGTCCCGAGTCGCGATTTTATACCATACTGTAAGCCAGTCGTATTGGTTTTTGGATAGTTGTATTGTATCAAGGACATGAAATTTCTTTAGGACGGAGAGCCGACTGCATCTTCCATGAGTACCGCAACGTTCGCAATGGAGAGTGCTTTCGTTTATCTTGCATTGTATGCCTGCAAATAGGCAAGCCGAGCAATTCTAAACTCGCGACGTGAATAATCCGAAAGAAGACGCAACAAAAACAATCACAATTTCGCCGTATTTTGCGTTCAATATTTTCTTTTGCTCTCTTGAAATTCGCATGCAGTACAACACGCTAAAGCTGCGCTTTAAGTCTTCAGTTGCCCATTCAGGTTTCCCAAGATCTGCCAACTGGAGGATTCATTTAGCGTAGTGGTTCAAGTATGGATAAGAAAGACTTACCATCTTCACTTTTGAATAAGGATTAGTCCTTTTCGACCGTCGCCTGCGACGTTTCGACTCAGAAATAGGATCATCATAGTAGATATACTCGTATTGGCCGCCCATGTTTACTTGTTGGAAATCAAGAGGAGGATATTACGAACGAAACGGCGCGGTCCCATTTATTTGAGTCAAGCTTTGTTTTCTTTCGCACCAATAACAATGTAGACTCACAATCGCCAATAAGACCAACTTTCTAGACCGTCTACATAATTTGAATCCATTCGAAGAGCACCGTACTGCTAATGCCAATAAAGGGTTGTATCAGTTGAGTTCTTGAACGGAGTGGTCGAAGCGGAAAAGTGAAAGGTTATGCAGCAATGAATACAAAAATTTGAATTGTTCAAAATTCGTAATGATATGAGGTCCGCATCGTTGTCCAATAAAAATTTGTTTGCAGAGAGTCATCTGTTCACAATTGATAGGACTTTCCCGACTTTGGGGACTCTTTGGACGGCGTGCAATCTTCAGATTCGATGACAAGCGGTATACGTCTTAGGTTTGTGCCTGCCGTTACACATTACATGATTTTCTTTCGCTCAAACCAGCGACCGCTACAGACGTTCGGGCGAATTTCGAACGATACACAGATCAGAGTTTCAGTTCTTTGTACGTGCCTCTGTAAGCTTGCAATTGATTAATGAAGTACTAACATATTACCGCAGTACTTCGAGCAGACTATTACTATATACAGCTTGTTTACCATCAATGTCCTCTATTCGTCTTACCAGCACCACCGGAGCGTCTCCCACTTTGAACTACTATCACAATAGTCTCTAACTGTTGAGTAGTCTGTTGGACTCGTCTTCAATGAGATTGTATTTAACAATTGGAACATTTAGACACATCTGAACGACTTCCTTTTCAACAATCTACGTCTCATTGAACGCTTCACCCTCTTCGTTCATCAATGCCGCCTAAAATCGATCATCGTCGCAAGGAATTTGATGATGTACTAAGTAAGTTACCACCATGTTCACGTTGTTTTTGTCTCAACCATGATAGACCATATCGCTACGGTGTTGAACGATAGCTGGCCACCCTATATTATACCTGCTGTGTATTCTTTTCCAAAGGTATCCGACGACTTCCCGCAGGTTCAAACGACAACTGGTTTTGACCAATTTATGATGTTGAGACGTTTCGTGGTCAAGTTACTCAGGCGGTCACATACGTCCATGTCAGTCCTATTAATCGCAATACGTTATGTTGAAACAGTTCGGTCCCAAATTTTCCATCAGGCCCGGTCAGGTAGTAACCAGTATAGGGAAGAAACCATCACAGATCGAATTATCGTTGCCGACGAAAGTACAACGATCATCGAACAGCTCCTAGATACACCTGGTTCTACGAACGTTGCCAACAACATCAACGACAATCAGGCAGATGTCCCCAGCAGTATCGAAACAATAACTCATTTTATAGACGAAGAAGGCATCGTTTTCGGCGATGAAGCGCTGCGTTCTCCGCTTCCACTTCCTCCGCTTCCACTACTTCCTTCACCGCTTTTATGTCCTAGACGCACATTTCTCGCGTCACTCATACTTGCGACAAAATTCATCCATGATAAATCATATTCCAATCGTGCATGGGCAACAGTGTGTAAGCTCCCATCTCGGGAAGTGAGCAGATGTGAGCGCGCATTGGGTAATGCTTTACAGTGGCGCTTGTGGGTCGATAGGGAGTACATGCTGCCGATAGCGGTTTTTACTCCGTCGTCAGCGCCAATAGCGAAGCATCGTACTATCCGCGCACACAAGCAAAATCCGAAAAGATCAAGTGATATTCATAGCCTCACAAATGGAAAGACCGGACTGTAACGGTCCCTACACCACATTCAATAAGTATCGTTCTGAAATGAAGTACGCCGTCGTTTTTTTTTGGTTACGCTAATCTTACATACTCCGAATAGAGTTCGTACTATCGACGATCTGCGAAAACTTCCCATATATATTTGAAGCCGCATAAAAAATATCTCCTATGCACGATGAAAATCAGATGTCCCAAATCTGATGCAATACATTTCAAGTAGGTGTCTATGATCAAGATGGATCTCAAACGCGAATTAGGACGCAGAACAGTCGTGCTACGTTATGCTTACAGTCATATAGGTGTTCTGGTTTCCTGATATGTCGAGCTTATTTTGTACGTTGTGTCGGTAAGGCAAGTAACTTACCCTGTGAATATAACCGCTGTTAATCTACAATATATATCATGAACTCTCTGATTGCATTAACATCGCTCTTGTCTTCCTTGTTTCCTGTGCAACGACCGATTGCTTCAAGCTCTGTTAACCTCGTCAATCGTTTGGTTGAATGTTCGAGATGTCGCAGGTGATTAAAATTGTCTCTTACAATTCATCTGTGATTACTTCATTGAGGACATCGTATTTCTAGAAAATGGCGTTCTCCACCTCCTCTGGAATAGTTTCTAAATCTACGCATTCTGCGTCTCACCTCACACGAAGTATATATCCGACTAATGACATTACAAAGGGGTATATGTAAGTTCGTCGCTCTTTCATCGTAATCTGCAAGCGTGAATACACATGATTTTTAGTTCGGTGCTGCAGTATCGTTTGAATGGATACATCTTGATGATGGACGAGGATGATGGATATATCTTATGGTCAAGTCTTTGGAAAGGTACGTCTATCGCTCATGAACGGCGAAACATGTCTGAAGTTGTCTTCGCTCATTCGATCAGCTGTGGGGAATTGTTCAAGTAATTCGAATACATCACTACAACCGTGTTGTCCGTTCACTGATATCTTGCCTTGAAGTCGACGTTATAGAATTGCTCCGATTAAGACCAGATCTTGCCCGGTCAGCACGAATTGTCAAGGACGGTGAAAGCCAAATTCGGGGTACTTGGTTGCCGTATCAAGTACGCTTAGAAGACTATCTCAACTGTCAAATGCCGTTAACGTATATTCGACCATTCTTATTTTTTCAGTTGGTATCAGCGTTAGCTATTAGGTGATCTGTCGGTTCCTTCAATTCTGAACTAAGTTTCTAATATCGCATTTGCAGGATTGCTTGGCCTATCCGAGATCAGTTGACTCCATTCTTTGGGTAATCTACTCAAAATGTTATTCATTAAACGTTAACATTTCACCAATTTACTGTTTTAGTCCCGAATTTTCATCAAAGTGCATTCCACCAAATCATACTGAACAGAAATACGATCTTACTTTTGTAAATATCAAGCCGAGCAATTATCTACGCCGCAAGTTGTCTATAGGTGGAACACAGAATACGAACGCAACTGGCAGCTTCGCTGCAGAATCATCTAGACATTGTCAAGCTATTCCATATTCGTCTTCTCATCGTTCATCTTTCTTGCATCGTGTTCCGTCTGGTTCTGTTTTAGGTGGTGATCCGTACCCAATCTCTATTGATTCACACTTGAATCAAGCCGAGGTTCTTCTTCCATCTATCGCAGATTCCTATAATGACGACAAGATATGTCAATCATATAGTCGGTGGCCGCCTCATTGGGATTCGACATTTTTTTCAGCATCTTCGTTTTCATCTCCAGAGCATCTCTTAGCTGCATCCATACCCAACCTTGAAATCGATATGTTTGGCTCCGCCGAGTCGGTGTCAAAGGAGACATTTGTTCCTGTATTACCTCCCATATCTATCTTGGAGGATTTACGAGGATTCCATGACGATGATGCGCTGAATATCCTTCACCGTCTATCTCGTGATGACAACGAGAATGTTTTGAACGATAATCACAAGTAAGCGTACTCTTCATATCCTTCCGCTATCTTATCCGGACCGTATCTTTATTTCAGTGAAAAATGATGTTACTCTTGTATTGATTGTCGAAGTATCTTGTTCCTTTTCTTCTTACCTATCGCATGCCAGCGTGTATGATCATCACGTGAGATCAGACCTTACTCCTCATTGGGAGGTATTTGACCTTGCAGTTCTATAATAGTACGTATATACATATAATATGTTTTTGAATGAGAGAGAAGAACATATTATCACGTTCAAAAAGTGCATAGTTCATGTAATTGGGTTATGAGCTCAAAGGATAGGATAGGAATTCTACAGTTCGATTGTAGATCTTTCATGTTCCGGACTGATCGGATTATTTCTCGTTTGGATTATCACGCTGCATGACTTTCATCGCGTCATCACTTCCGTTACCAAACTGCTTGTTGCGTTATCCTGGAATTGCCTTTTGTCATATTCTCTGATCAATCATCGACCTTACACTTTTCTGCACATTGGATGTTGCTTTGCATCCATTCTTAATCTTTCATCTGCATCGTTTCAATGTTTTTTGCAGTATCTATATCGTGCGCATTTTTGTTCTCCGTTTGTTGACATCTTATTTTTTGTTGTCCTTTAGACCGTTCATTTTCTGTATTGCCGCTGAGACTATCATCCAGCATGATCCCCGAATTTGGTCTTACGATTGCTCGCATGTATCTCAACCGTGCTGTTGCGGTTTGGTTCTATCGCTGGATTGTCCTCTTCTTTCGCAAGACGTGTAGTTATCTTCTGCGCTAATGTGATCGTTCATATTACATCCTCGCGAAGTTATGATCAGAGATATCAGGAAGTTTGGGTATCGAAGAAGAACCCTAGGGAGTCTCTGACATTATGAAATTGACGTTGAATAATCTGTGGTCTTTTCTGTAAGTGTTGACTCACTTCTTAATTTTCCCTTTTAATGTCGCACCTTTGCAGTCTTTTCTCATTTGGGGGGATATGTACGAACGAGAGATATTGGATAACGCGACCTAGTGATGTTTACTATTCAGTCGTAATAACATCTACATAACTCTCACTCAACCTCTCCGCTCGTCTTTCACCACTTCTCAATTTGTCGAATAACGACTCCCGTAGACGTACCAGTTGAGGCAAGGTGGATCTAGAATCAGATCCTTTGCAATTTGTTATACAGTCAGGAGCCACAGATTCAGCAAGGATATGCCACTTTCCCTCGTAATGTCTAAGAATCGGGCCCAAATATATCATCCCCAATCTTGATAAGCGTCCGCTGAAACAGAGGAGCAATCGTTTCGTCGCGACGGAAAAGGTCGAAATGGACAGACTTCCATCATTCATCGGTATGTTTACTTCACGTTGTCGTCTTTGTTGCATGTTGACACATCATCATAAAGGTACCTGGAGAACCTAAGTTCTACGACAAAAGGTTAGCATGATAACACTATTCTTGATTGCTCTCATGACTTGTAGAATCCTCAAAATTTGAATCTTCTTAGAAATGACACACGGCACTCATCAAGAGGATGCGTCAATCTATGGCCAGCGATAATCGTGAACAAATTATCAAAGATATCGACGCTTTCTCGCTAGCAAGTATCTGGATCAGATTGCCGGGGTTTATCTGGATGAAATATCGAGGTGCAAGACCGAAAGAGACGTATGGAGCGCCGTCGAGGTACGCCCGTCTTATCTACGTCATGTCCTAAACTCAAGCAGTTCAGATCCTCTCTGCACTTCATCTGCGGTTTCCCACCGCATTTACTTCGAAGCTAGCCTCTTTACTATTTTCCGCTTTGGCTGTCTCATGTCGAGCTAGTTTGTCGACTCTCACAGCCGAAGAGCGGGAAAAAGAGGACTCTTCACGAGTAGTGCGGTGGCGCCCTGTACTCCGCATATGTTCTGAACTCGCACTGGTCAGAGTTATCCGTGACGATCCGCTGCGCTCGGGAGGAGAATAAATCATGAGGGCAATGAAGGAAATGGTGAGTTTAGTCACTTACGCCGTGAAAGTACGAACTTACCAATCCTCTCAGCTATCCAATGACCCTACACTGTCTTCATTGCCGTTGTTGACCACCTTCTTCAAATCCTATGCTTGTCCTTTCCTCGGTCTGTTACCCACTGGTCTATCAAAACAAATCTCTTTCGAAACCGAATCTGGATCATTATCCGCATCCCAACCCGAACCTGTTCCTCCAATGCTCGATGAAAGATATCAATTAGTCGAGAATAGGTATATTCAAAGCAGTCGTCTCAATGAATGCGTCAGACTCTCTGAGCTCTTGTGTTTGCCTCTGCCTGATCTTCCCAATAATGCACGCAAGACCGACAGTCTCCAAATTGGGATCAGCAGCTCAAATAATCCTGGTGGAGAAAAGTTGGACGAAATATACACTCCCGGAGGAAAATGGGAAGATGATGAAGAGAGGAAATTCTTCGAAGAAGTTCAAGACCTCAAAGACTTCGTTCCAAAAAACGTGCTAGGACTAGACGATGCAGATAAAGCCACGGACGACGATGCGGAGAAGGCCATCGAGCAGGAAAAGGAGCTGCGAAAGCTGGATGAAGAGTTGCAAACATTGGGAGGCGAGAACGGTATTTCAGAGAATACCCACTCTATGGACGAAGAGGATGAGTGCGTTATTTTTTCCCTGTTTCCAAAGTCGTCAATATGCTTGAAATAGTGTTCCCACACCAGGCACGCCCAGAGTCGCTAGTTCACCTGCTTCTCCGCACCTTACTCCTCAGGGGCCATCTCAGCTGCTCTCAGCGCTCCTCACGCGCTTTCCAGACGCAACGAATCGCACACTAATTGATCAAGCTGCTGTTGAATCTGTATTTTTGAACTCGAAAGCCGCCCGAAAACGGCTCATAAAGGTAGCGAGACTCGATCCTGAACAACCGCTCGTTCGCTCATCTCTTGTAGTATCTTGGACAGGTTCCCAAGAATCGCACGGATCTACTACCTCATTATTCTTGACTAGTTGCTACCCTCAACCCTTACATGCCTGACATTGGGACCGAGCTTGTCTCCATTGTAGGTCCAACATCTGAACATATACTCAGGCGCTATGTAATAATGTAAACGATGTGACGTAGCTTGACGAACAATTCCGCTACCTTCAACGCAAGAAAAATGTGGTCAAAGAGTTTACCGAAGTACGAATGAAGGTACAGTCGCTGTTTTGTGGGTATTGAAACAATCAACTTAACGTTTAAACTGTAGAATATCATGTATCTTTTTTCAAATCTGACCAAGTTTCGTGTCGTACCAACTCACCTTATTCTGCACATCTTAATTCTGTCTGACATTGCTTTGAATATTGGCGAAGCTCCTGAAGACCTCCAGCATGCCAATGCACTCATTGCTTCCAATGTTCGGACGAGGGCTGATACAGGAGGAAGGTCGGAAACATTACTTGATAAAGAGAATCCTCTGCCGAGAGCATTCATGGTGCGTATTCTTTCCCGGACTTGTTCCAACTTGTACACTGGAATTTCGACATAGCCTGCTTCCAGGGTTCTTCGTAACATTGCATTCGGAGAACTCATTGTCAACTTTACGGACGCTCACATATCCGAAAACGTAAATACCCTTTTGCCAGTTCTCATCGACGTTTTACGCGACATACCCGACATCGACTTCGACAAATGCCTATCATGGGAAGGTACTATTCGACTCCCCGTATACCTCATATCCTGTGCTAATGATACAAACAGAATGGGCACTTCCTGATCAGCTTGTTTACTCTGCCTTCCTACGTATCTCGAGCTCACATCCCATTTCCAGCGCACCAGCAACGGAAGCAATTTGCGCGTTCATATCCGATGTGGTAGAAAATATCAAGGCGGGAGATTGTGAGATATCATTACTATGATGTTTTGCAAGTGCTTATCCTTCAGTGTAGCATTGGATGTCCTCACCCAACTTACAACGGCCCTTCATGGAATGTACAGAGCCATTAGCTCCAGGTGTTTCACTTGGAGTCTTTCTCAGTGGCAGATGCTCGCTGATCAACTTAAATACATGTGCTCTCCTGACATGGTGGACCATCTCAATCACCTTATCACTGACCTCGTTGAATCCGACGATTCCGACGAGGGTACTCTTCAACTGTTCAAACTTTCCTTGCCCGATATATTTCCCGTGGACGTCCACTCAGCGGATATTTCATCGTTTGTTGTGTAATTGAAACGCTGTGGACAGTATTGGCACAGGTTTTGGCACCACTTCCTGCTGATATCGTTCCAGGAGTTTCAGAAGCTGTTGCTGCAAATAAAGCCTGGAACTCATTGATGCGACAGGCTGCCATGGAGCTCGATATCGCCGACCAGAAGACCGTTTCTGCCCTGAATAACGTCACCGACTATGCCATGCAATGCTTCACCGACCTTCTCGTCCAGATTGAGGAAATGGACCAGGAGCCTTCTTTAGATACGTATGCTTGGCAGACTATGTCAGAAAGTCTAGTGAGATTTGATCTGGCTTCATATCTACATCAGTCATTTACATTGTCCCTAGAAATTGGCGTCTGTATGTTCAATTGTACTTCGCAAATTCGATGACAAATTGCTTCAACGGCTACTACTTTTGCTCAGTGACGAAGCTCCGATCTTTGATAATCTTGTTCAGGAGGCTGCTCTCAAAGCCACCATTGTTCTCGTTCAAAAGTAAGCTTTGATATATATGTTCCGAGAAATGCTTAAATTTTCTTCAGTTTTCCTAGCAAAGCTTCGCAATTGGCAGCTCATCTTAGACGGTTTGTCACCTCGCCTATCCCCATTTTCGAGTTCGAATTCGCGTCGGAATCTCGAGCACCTCCACCTTTAGCCGCCGCCGCCAAATATCTTGCGTTATGCATCAGAGTAGTTATTCTCTTCCAAATTGCACACTCTTTTTCTGACAGAACTCCTGCAGCTCGCTCCTGGCGATGATCTCATAATGTCAAACATGTACTCGCTACTCAATTATATCGCCGCAACCAGCAAAGAGATATACGAAAGCTCCAGTAATTCACACTTACTGAATTATCCATTATATCAGGGTCTCGATCGTCATTCAGTAGTGAACGTGGAGACCGGCTTACGAGGGCTCTCAGACGACCAAAAAAGATTAGTCGGTATCAGCACGATTTCTGTGGTGACTAGGCTGGCTTTGGAGTTTCGCATGGAAAAGGTCGTGTCTCTCCTTTATTGGTGTTGCAAAGGTCTGACGCGCTACTTAGATGACCCGCTTGACCGTCTTAATGTTGCTTCAACGCTTGCGGTCTGCTGAACCAACTGTGGAAGCAGCCATTGCCTACAACCTTGTTGACCTTGCTTCATCCGCACCCGACAGTTCCTTCATTGATATAATCAGAGCATTCTCCATGATCAACCGCTCAGCCAACCCTGACGACCCAAGATTCTCGAACAACATGGTATGAGCTGTGTCTCATGTCATGTAGTATTTCACTGACTCGCGGACTAGGTTCTTGCTGCCCAAACTCGTTTGGCACAAGAACTGCATCGCCGCCCCGAGCTTTATGAAATATATCTCGTCGAGCTTCTTACGCTCTTTGCTGACAAGGGCGTCGCTACCCAGAACGTGAAGACCGAAAATCATCTCATCAAGGTCTGCACTTATTTTTACCTTACTAACCGAAGACTGAGAGACTTCCAAGTAAGATAGATGATATGATCGAGCAGCTAGCTTCTCTCCTACTCCCCATCGATGCCTTGTTGTCACATGAAGATTTTACCCCTCCAATCGACGAGTCGCCAACTTTGGTTTCCCTGTTCCGTAATATGTGGTTTCTCTGCATACTATTTCACTTTACGACAGATGATAAAGAGGCCACTGCTATGGACTGGCAAAAACCTGCTTTGGCACGTATCGCGACAAAAACACCCGCGATGGTCATGGAGGAATCTCATGATTCCGTTGCTAGTGACGTGGAGTATAACTCTGTCATTCGACAAGACTATGCGCATACGGTGATCCTCTTCGCTACCGGTCGAAGTATTCTTAGCTCATTTGATTAAACAGGTCATATTTAAACATCGTTCGTGTTTGACCAAGCACATTTCGCTTCGTAGTAGCGACATTCGTGGATTGTCTTCAGGTCAAATCATCTTCCTGCTGACTATGCATGACATGGAGAGCATGCGCTCAGCCGCAGGCCTCACCTCTTCTCTCGTTTATTACTTCATCAACGAAAGCTTAAACAGACATCCTGCTTTGAGTGCTTGTATGGATTCTATTGCTGAAAATGTGTGGCGTTACTACAGTTACATCTTTGGCTGTTCTTGAACTACTATTCAGGTCATTCGGGGTTGTATCATTGACCTGAACACCGAGGCAGCCCAACAAGCATTACCGGAAAGACTTTCGGCCGAACTCCGAACGTTGCTCATCTGCGGCATCCATCGTATGGCGAGAGCAAGAGATGTAGCGTCAAAATTCTTAAATCGGCTAATTTCATCTTTCCCATCGCTAATGTGCGATCCCCCGCTGGTATTCGCTATCTTGGAGGTTTTGACATTGCTCCGGCGGGCTTGTGACAATGAGTTCACTGACGAAATATGTCTCGTTGCTCTTTTCGTCTAGTTCTATCAAGCGTGCTTTTCATAGTTCAACCCTGTTTACGAGTTCGAATCTAGGCGCACTGAAATCAAGCTTCATCTACCGGACAGTTACCAAGTTCGAAACGAAATACTTGTTCAACTTCAACGGAATGCCAATACATGGTTTGAACTTGCTCTTGGTCGTGCTCCACTCGAACTTCAGTCAACCTTACAGGTGGGATCTGACATACTCTGGTCTGTTAATATTCTTATATCATACACTAGAAATATCTCGCAGTCGGTCAAATTTCCTCCGATGCTTCTGAACTTGGTGCATATATCGCTGAGAAGTTTGGTAAAGCCATAGGTCCCGTGCAACGTCAACTCAATAAACTCTAGTTATTGCTTTATATACTGCTACTGATGGCGTACCTATATAGCGTCTTTGGCCAAATTGTCAAACTGGAGCTCGGATAAAGCCAAAGTGCTTGCCAGTCAAATCGCCAGCAAGGGATACTTTGCGGGAGAGGCGGCTGGTCTCAGGCTAGCAAGCCGTGTAGGTGGGTGTCTCCTTTTGATTGAAGTTGCCATGATCTCATTTTGTTAAAGCCTCCGACCGACTTGAGCAGCTTCCCCCCCAAGATGCCCCTTCAGGAGAACTCATGGCATTGAAGAAAAAGCTAGCAAAGTCCATGAAGGAAATACGCAGCAAAACCAGTACTCTAACTGTTCAGGACCTGAAACGACTTCTATTTCGGTGCGCTGCTACTTTGATATCGTTGAATAAGGTAAAAAGTTGTCGCACTTCGTAATGCTAAAGTCTCATCAAAGTCTAGAGTGATCACGAGCTATTGCACTATCTAGTATCCATTCCTTTCGAAGTGTCTACCCCTCCTTCAATTTCAGCTGCCATTGAAGTTTGGACGTGGGTCATCGCCGAGAAACCGAGTATCGAAGTTGCTCTTATGAGCGAACTTCTCTCAGCCTGGACTGACACCATCGAAAACGAAAAAGGTATTTTTTCGACCAATCTAAAGTCAGTCAATAATCCTCCATTCGTAATATCGCTCTGGACTAACATACTCCATTGTGTAGCTATGACGACCCATTCTATCATCCTATCAGTTATAGTCCTACTGATAAAGACACCATTGACCTCGGTGCTGCTAATGCTCGTAGACTCTTAACACCTCATGCATTGGTTCCGCAAATACTTCTTAGTCGTCTCCAAGCTGCCAGATATCGTAGACCGGGTGTCATGTTCTTACTTCAACATCTGGTACCACGATCAGCTAGGACACACCAGTCATTCAGGTAAATCTTTACCCTTACTATTATCATCTGCAGTCGGGATTGATGGATGCGCTAGTACCCATGCTTTAGCTCGCGAAGCCCGATTTTCATTCTTGATGTTTGGATTCGAAACTTTAAGGAGCTCGCATCTTGATTCGTTTTGTGAGCATACCATAAGAGAAAGCCTTTATACCATAGCGTACGCCTGGTTTGCTGTTCGGCCGCAGTATGTGATAAATTATGATTCTCTCTGAGTAAGCATGTCTAAATATGAATATAGATGGTCGTACGGTGCCAATCGAGTTCAAATCGATGCAGATGTCAAAGTGCTCTCCGAATTCCTGTCGTATTTGCAAGCAGATTCAATCCGTGATACACTCACTGTTTCGAGTCTCGCGCCGTCGCAATTCGCGCCTCGAGCTTCGTGTAAACCATTACCTGCGTCTTCGGGATTATGTTCTGATATCTGCTCTCGCAGTTTACGCATCCCGTGTCGGGACATCAATCAGCCCCTTCGTTTGTTGGTCGAGAACGAAATTTTCCGTCTCAAGGTGTGAGCCAACCAAATGAATGAGCTTAAAAGCGGCACAGATCATATTGGGATGACATTGATCGAGGTGAGATTTCTGCAAACCCATGTGATTGTAATAAGGTCGAATCCACACAACAGAGCTCGTGGCCTGCTTTGATACGGACTCTCTGGCAACTTAACCCAGCGATTGCTGTTTACTTAACGGAACGCTTCAAGTCGAACGTCATCAGCAGTGAAGTGACCAAACTCGTGCGGTCTTCTACAGCCGATGTGTTGGATGTGCCCGAAGCTTTCAACTTCCTGCTCGGGGAAGGGGTAGAGTTGGCAGCAGTTCGTCGTGATTTAAAGGCTGGTTCTATTGCCCTTTCCCTGAGACGCCCATCTGATTTGATGATTCATCTAGTTGCTTCCTTTGTGGGCACCTGTGCCACCAGTGACCGCCAACACATTCTTTGAACCACGCTACAAGAGCGATCATCTTCTCCTGCAATATGCGCATCGAGTATTGGAGCAACACCCAGTGGAGCTTACATTTTTCTTCGTTCCGCAGGTAGTCCAGGCTCTTACATATGATGAACTTGGTTAGTGGATTACATTTATTGTACACATTCTGTTTAACATTTCAATTTCCGCAGGTTACGTCTCTCGATTCATCTTTGAAACAGCAAAAATTTCGCAGATCTTCTGCCATCAAATCATATGGAACATGAAAGCCAATTGTTACAAAGATGATTTAGCTGAAATTGTGAGTGGTTCACTTTCGTTGTCGTGAAAACGAGTTCTGAATGTTGGCTGTTGCAGGAAGATCCAATGAAACCCATGCTGGACCTTATAACAACTCGGGTGGTCAATTCTCTCTCGGGGGAGGCACGAGCTTTATACGATCGTGAATTTGGTTTCTTCAACGAAGTAACATCGATCTCAGGGAAGCTAAAACCATTCATTAAGAAGACGAAGCCCGAGAAAAAAGTAAGGGTCTCTTTGGGATTTCGAGCTCTATTAAACTTTACGTAATATGAAAGGCCAACATCGACGAAGAGATGGCAAAGATCGTAGTGGACGTTGGAGTATACCTTCCCAGTAATCCTGATGGCGTCGTAGTGGATATACACAAGAAATCAGGCAGACCTCTTCAGAGTCACGCGAAGGTTAGTGAAGAGTTGCATGGATTAAAATCACTTTGATTGATTGCGTCTCTGTTCTAGGCCCCCTTCATGGCAACGTTTAAGGTTCGCAAGGAGCGCATATCTATTGAGAAGGATCCTGAATCTCTGGGCGACAATGGAATCGAGCGTCATGTCGAATTTGATGTTTGGCAACAGACAATCTTCAAAGTCGGAGATGACTGCCGTCAGGATGTTCTAGCGCTACAGGTTATCGCGATGTTCAAAAACATATTTACCTCAGTCGGGCTGACACTTTATCTTTATCCGTATCGTGTAACGGCTACCGCACCGGGTGTAAGTGTACAGCTTTCTTGGAAATTTTCTTGCTTTGACTCGTGGCCTTTCAGTGTGGTGTTATCGATGTCGTGCCAAACGCCACTTCTAGGGACGAGATGGGGCGTGCTAAAGTCAACGATTTATGGACTTTTTTGTGGCTAAATATGGTGGTCAAGATACTATTCCCTTCCAGCGCGCGCGGTTGAATTTCATTCAGTCTATGGCTGCCTACGCCGTAGCGTGTTACATTTTGCAAATCAAGGATCGCCACAATGGAAACATCATGATAGACGGCGAAGGTCATATCGTCCACATTGGTTTGTCTGTTTCTGAATTTATATATATCGAAAATCACGATCTTTTCTTCTAGACTTCGGCTTCCTGTTGGACATTGGCACAGGTGTAAGTCGTGTTTTTCGATCATCTGCAAGTTGTGATACCGATTGTTATTTGATAGGACGTCAAATTCGAGCCATCATCTTTCAAGCTCAAGCACGAAATGATTGTGTTGATGGGTGGACGGTATTCACAGGGATACCAGCTTTTCCAGCATCTGACCGTTAAAGCATTCCTCGCCATTCGCCCTTATGCTGACCAACTAGTCGATACTGTGCAGCTGATGCTACGCACCGGCCTTCCTTCCTTGAAAGGAGAAGGCATAATCAAGCGTTTGAGGGACCGCTACGCGTTAGGGCTAAATGAGCGACTGGCAGCGGAGTATATGATGGGTGTGATTAAGAACGCGCACCAGAATGTGAGGAGTACGGTTTATGACGAATTTCAAAGAGTGCGTCCTCGGTTCTCTTTGGTTGTGCAGAGAGTGATCTTGATCGCATTTTATTTACCCTCCATCTAGGAATTCCGTACAAGTAATATAAGTCCCTATCCATGGTCATGTATAAGTCTTCATAGATACAAGTATTAAGCATGTCATTCCCTGGATTAGATAGCGCGTGTCGATGGACGTGTTTGTGTTGTAACTTCGACGTAATTGAACACGTGCAGAACGCCCAAGTCACGAAATAGTCACACGGCTTCCGCAGGATTAGACGCTGAAAACGTCACCCTCTTAACCTGTTCTGAATCTCTCCGCCAAGCTGTAGAGCTGAGGTTCACTCATTCAGTACTTCCCAATGTCTTCATCACGCCAATCTAATTCGCGATCCCTTCAAGCCTCTCAACCTTTTTTTTTCCATCCGGGTCAAGTTCGAAACCCTTCTTGAATATGTTGAATCTAGTGAGTAGAGGAGCGTACCAAGGCTACACTCAGGCGAATCAGTCTTTTCTCGAAGAGGAGGAGGAGGAAAAGGATCAGTTAGAGAGCGACGCGGAAGGAGACGTAGAACCCGGAGCGCCATTGGCAAATTTGTCCAAATCGCAAAGCAAGAGGCGAATATCTTGTGATACACATTCAAACGTTCGGGGGCAGAACCGGGGTGATGACTCTTCGGATGGAGAAGTACCACAGAGCTTCATGATTAAAGCAACGTTGAAGAGACCGAGGAAGCCGCCGACATCGTCTTTGAAAGGTAAAGAACCTGCCCGAAGACGTCAACAACCTCTACATTCAGCTCCAAGTAGGAGAAAGATACCGCCTTTGCTACCTACCCATACAGTCTCAATACCTCTAAAGCCTTCAGAGGTCGATGAAGGGCCCACTACTCCCGGTGACACATTCAGCCAAGCTTCCGAACGTGAACGTCCAAAGCAGATGCGCGGGCTGGACGCTTATGAACGTGCATTATGGAATTGGGTGAATGTGTACAACTTAGATGCGTTCCTACAAGATGTATCTCTACTACGAAGGGAAAGGAATATATAGTATAGCTTTATCTAGAGGACTTAATCTTTTGTGAGTCTCATACCTCCGTTTCTGTGTGGTGTGATACTAATTCTTTGCAGGACAGTCGGCCTTGTCATTAGTTTCTCCACGTTTCTTATTGGTTGCATTGATTACTCGAGGATTCATCCAGACAAGCAGATGATATTATCAGAAGCAATAGCACTGCGTTTCGAAGTAAGTCATCCATATCTTTTGCTGCGGGATTCTGCCCTAATTTGTCTTAGGTTCTCTGGATTCCCCCTGCTATTCTTCCTCCTCTTTACTGTCTTCTATGTCTGGCAGGTTGCCACTTTTGTCCTAGGCATTATGCGTCTCGTCGACATGTACAACTTCTACACCCATCTTCTCAAGATTCCAGACGTAAGGCCTAGTCTCGTGTTCCCTAAATACTGTACAAACTTATTTCATTCTCAGGCAGACACCTAGACAATATCCTGGGGAGAAATCGTCCGTCGGATAAGTATGATTCGTGAAGAGAACCCGCTTACCGCCATCTCTTCCAATCGTGTCGGCAGTAATGATACGACCACTGCCAAGCTTGACGCGCACGATATTGCGAACAAAATCATGCGACAAGGAAACCACCTCATCGCGTTGTTTAACAAAGACCTGCTAGATTTGCGAGTGCCTCTGCCGACGGTGCTCAAGAGATTTGTTTCTCAAGATCAGAGCAAGACCAGAGGCAAGATGCTCACTCAAGCGTTGGAGTGGAATTTTGGGTTCTGTCTTATGGAGTATCTATTTGACAAACATGGAAGGGTGCGGAAGCTGTTCTTGAAATCGAAGAATCGCGCGGCCCTTATCGAGGGGTTAGTCGTGATCATTCACAAGTTCAGATATATATCTTACATCTTGGCAGACTGGGACGACGATTCGTTTTCATGGGCATTTTCAACGCGATATTTGCCCCCTTCATCGTCCTGTATCTTCTTATGTATTCATTCTTCCGATATTTTGAAGTAAGCATAGTAGTCTTCGAATGTTATAATGACTGACTGAACACAACAGGAATACCACAAAGACCCTTCTACGATTGGTGGCCGGCGGTACACGTCATATGCTCAGTGGAAATTCCGAGAGTTTAATGAACTTCCGCACCTGTTCATTCGCCGATTAGATGAGAGCTACCCATTGGCGAACATTTACATTGTACAGTTCCCAAATGAAAAGATGACTATCATCATGCAGTATGTGTGTTTACTCGTTACGCATGCCTCTGTACGACTAACTTCACGATTGACTACAGATTTGTAGCTTTCATCGCAGGATCCTTTGCCGCTGTTCTTTTTCTCGCCATAGTGTTAGACCCCGACGTTTTTGATCCCAGAAGACAATCGGGTGTTCGATCCAGAGATGCTTATGACGGATGTGTTCAATTACACTCACTACATGGCAGATGAGTGGAAGGAACATTTGCATAGTAAGAAGGTATCTGAATCCATCTAGATGTTTCTAGCTCATTGGCTGATTTTATATGCACGTAGATCCATCAAGACTTCGGAGAACTTTTCGCGATGAAGATCATGATATTCGTTGAACAGGTCCTCTCTGTAGTACTCACACCTTTCGTTTTATAGTTTTCCTTACCCAACTGTGCACCTGCCATCATCGATTTTTTCCGTGAATTTTCTGTGCATGTCGATGGACGTGGTTATGTTTGTAGTTTTGCTGAATTCAATTTTGAACGACATGGCAACGTCAAGGCATGGATTTGGTCTTCGCTGGTCGTTGGTCGTAATGTTCTTTGACTGACACTGTCTTCTTTCCCAGTTTGGTGCCCCGGGCCAGATCGAGGATCAACGAATGCTATCTAACGAAGGGAAGATGGAGAAGAGTTTCCTCAATTTCAAGGCCCAAGCCTAATCCATCTGTGAAAGTTCTGAATCCTGACCCCCGTCTTGTAGGCTGCCAATCCCGAATGGATACCAGACCATTCAGGTTCCTTCTACCTCAGCCGCATACACGACTTCACTGCTGCACATCGTAAGGTGAACTCATTGCTCCGCCGACAGATGGAAAGCTCCGGAGTATCACCATTTACTGCACACCCTGTGAATCCCCCCTCTCCGATACCTGCATGGAAGACTGAAGTTTCCCTGGCGGACAGAGCACAAGAATACGACCGCGCTCTTCTCCAAAGCCAGCATGCTACGCGAAGACAAGGGGTAGGTGGTGGTAGCATCATGGAAATGTCGGTATTGAACCCGCGTGCGGGACCTTCTGCGTCATCGATATTTGGGCCCAGTGTGATGGCGGGTGCGCAGACTGCTGTCCTGGGTGACTCACAAGGGAGTGTGATGCCAGAACCAGCACCAACAAGACCGTCAATTGACGCGGAACTAGAAGAGTCACGGATTGGAGTTATACCTGATGAGGAGGTTGGTCCGGATGGAGAGGTTGGAAGTAGATTGGGTGGATCATATGTAACGGATATGGATATAACGAGTAATCGAGGTTATAGGAGCAGGCGCCGACGGAGAAAGGATCCTTTATCTTTTTAACTTCTACTACGACGACGCTTATCGCTACATCTACGAATACTTGTACTACCCAGTGTCAATTATAAAACACTGTCTGGTTAACTCGTGGCTGAAGCCGGTGAGCGACGTTACACATCATATGTCGACGGCACAAGACGGCCTTCGAGGCGTGTGTACGAAGAAGAGGACGAAGATAGCCTCGAGGATGAAGGTGTGTTGGGGCTCTTGGCGCAGATCTATGGGAGGAGGGATGGACCGAAGCTGGGATGAGACGTATGTAGCTCATTCATTCTAGCTGTTTGTGTCATCTACGTATAACGTTGTAAGTGCTTGCTGGTTGGTCTGCAAGGTGTGTTTGGATAGGATCAGGGCCGGGAGTGTAACGATCTTCAGGTTCATGTTGTAAACAGAGATCTAAACCTGACTAAAGGGATTATAGGGTATTATCCAGGGATTATCATTCTAAGGAGATCAAAGCGTAGTCCGGCATGTGGCGTGATATAGTAGGAACTAATAGTAGCCTCCAAATTTGTTATAGTTTGTTATCCTTCACTTTGCATAATTGCAGTTTTTCACTTTTGGAATTTATCTTGCTCTGTCTCTCTCTGTATATACACACATTCCCAGAATCTGATTGAGCGTTATCTACGCTCACCTCTGCACCTGTTATCTTGGAGTCAGCATGCCCCGCAAAGAGAACCCAGGCCCCCTCTCCGCTCAACAACAACAAGACCTGGTTTCAGAGGGCATCGATAACTTTGAGCTCCCGAAGAGCTTAGTTACGAAGATCGCGAAAAGTGCTGTGAGTACTGACGCGTCGACACGTTGGTACTAATCGTGTTACACTACATGGAATTTTACGGTGATTGAGATGTCGGATGTACTGGCTACTGGAGCACGTACAACCTATTCTCAATTTGCGGATATCAACATTCCTCTATCTTCTGCCTGCCTCGAATGTTGTCATACTCCTAGACTGACTCTGGTCATCTTATAACCTCCAGGAGCTCGAGATACGTAGGAGGGCAGATATCGTCGAGTAAACAAGCTGATCAGGAAGTGCCCATTCCAGAATGACTCTTGTATTCCATTCTCAAAACGTCTACCCATTCCTTGACGATAGAGGAATTGACGACTTCGTCGACTCACAGCCCCTACAAGACGACGACCTTGATAGTAACCATCTCAAACGGTCCCTCAAAAGAATCTTCAAATCAGCTAGGATAGTTTACTGCGATCATTTGGACAACGTTCTTATGTGATCCTGCTGCGCTATAACGGATGCTCTAGCTTAGCGGCGCGTTGTGTTGACGGGCTTAACCTGGTTCAGTTACCACTAATCCCTGACCGTTCTCCTTATGGCTCCCGCTGCCATCCTCTCGGTGCAATCTAGCCAACCAGTCAGCAGGATCCTTCTCCTCTGTTACGGGCATCTTGACAGCTCTTTAGAGTAGTTCACTCTGTCTGATAATAATTTATTTATTCTCAATTCTCGGAAGTGGAACTTTCTATGGTGACGGTGTGGCTTCTAATGTTAACAGTGGCGCTATAAATTCTCCTCGGTTTCTGCCCATCTCCGACCAATTGTCCTACTATCACATCCCATGCTAACAGTATCACGCTCTATTTGTTATTCCTCCCTCTCTTCCCTCGCCATTTGCCGTTCTCCTTCTCGCTCTACCCGTTTTTCAACCTTTTCAACTCTTTTTTGTACTCAAGCTTTCACAAGCACATCGCAACACCAAATCCGGCACAGTACACTACTGCGACAATGAGCCCGACCTAAGCGCCGGAAAGGCCCATGTGCGTGGAAGATGAAAAGCCGAGGTAAATTCTGAAACAAATACCAAAGACATAGGATGCACTACTGATCGTTCACGCAATACACAAGCAAGAAAAATCAGATGCTGAAAATCAAGTGTACGCGATAATGCTCACGAAATGTTTCACACTGCACCCATAACTTGCACCCTTCTTGACCTCACAATTCCAGAAGTGATCCCCGCAGTAGCATCCAATATTTGACACATTGTGAGTATTGGGGTCATAGACGCAACCATTGATAAGACGTCTGAAAAGAGTAACGCAAATAGTGGAAGATGCTTGACGTATATCCACGTACCAACTCCAGCGAGATCCAATTTCAAGAAGAAACTCGAATTAACACACCGTAAGTGATGTATGAGATTGCTAAACTGGGATGTTGCCGTCTGTCTCTAACGATCATCGGAATGGGACCTAATGGCACCAAATGGTGAGGAGAAAGACAAAGAACAGTTTAGTAAACGATAGATAGAATAGAGCCAATGTAATCGAACAGAATCTAAACAAAAATGTCAATATGATTCGGAATCGAAATAGTCCGAATCTAATGCACCTGAACTCTTTGCGTATGTCAAATTGTGAACGCCAGAAACGAAATTTTAAAGCCGAAGGACGCTGTGACATGCAAAGATGACGCCCGCATGAGATGCTATAGTTTCTGGAAAAAGCTTGTAAGAATATAATCAATGTAAAGAATTTGTTGCGGTACCTATGCAACAACCGAAGAATATTGTGGTAAATCGGGATATCGTTTCTATGGCCCATGGAGAAATGATAAGTGATTTTTCGAGCTCATTGGAAGCAAATCGCACGCTAAGGTCGCTCCAGCGAATTAGTGGCGAATCCAATGATGGAGGTAAAAATAGCCAATTTCCCCAAGTAAACGCTCACAAGCATCCACAGAAGTCGACGTTGATCCAGGCCGTAGCACAAGACGCCAGCCAAACTAGAACCTAGTTAAAGGCTACCGGGATTCATCAAATGCGGCATTGAAGCTCACCAATTCGCTGCTATGTCCAATCTTATCTTCTTCATCACTGTCTTTGTCTACTGTCCCATCCTCTCTCTTTGGTTCTGAGTCACCATTATACAATAAATGACGATATACAGCGCGTTCTAAGAGCAGTAAATCAATAAGCAGCCTTATCATGTTCGACGTATGGATCACCGAAGGAAATGACAATTGGGCTATAAAATTACTTGGGGACTGAGATTTGAGCTTTGACTCCAGAATTTGAGGGTACGAACACGGTGGTCTAGTCGAAGGTTGTAGCCAAAACAATATAAAGGTAAGGAACCAGTGAGTACAGGTCACCCCGGGAAGAGAAAAAATTCCGCTCGACGGAATTATCAAAATTCAGTTCGACTGATATATCATGTGACCGGCGATGTGCCTGATATAGCTTATCTGCAGTCACATGATATATCAGTTACACTGAATTGTTACAATTCCGTCGAGCGGAATTTTTTCTCTTTCCGGGGTGCTAGTACTAGTGCCACGAATGGACATGATGCTTATAAAGACTGGTAAAGAAATTGTGGCACTGGTGGTACTCCCTTACTTGCCAAGCGCCCGTATTTCTAGATCGGCTGATTTCGGTCCGTTCATGTTATCTCACTATCATTACTACCCTCGCAAGCTCTTCTGTCAACTGTGCTCCATAAAGAAAATCAATCACATGCATCATCACAGCCTCAAGTTGAGGGCCCTGCCTCCCTAGAATTGCCCTAGAAGCACACGAAACAATGTATCATATGACATAGGATTACCTTGCATTGTCGGATCAATCGTCGGACGAGTGATCCTACACGGATACACTTTTCGTATCATATTCCGATCACCTCCGCCGGAAAAGGAATATTTTAATCAAACTCACCCCTAACGCGTTCTGTTGTCGACGTCGAAGGAGTCATCGTCCCCATCAGATACATGTTCTGTGATGATGAGTAGTAGATGATATCGTCCTTTGTCATCATCGTCATCGTTGTAGGAGGGATTGTGCTGATACTCTTGTGGCGTAGGCGTCAATAATTGATCATCATTCGTCTCAATTCGTAAGCAAAAAAGCCATCGTTGGTGTTGTAGAATTAATGCTTAGAAGTCATCCGACTGAGACCTGAGTTATGCTCAGAGGTCGGGAGTTGCAAGCGTGAATTAAATTGATTGACACTCGAGTATTCGTATTGCCCTCGATCCTATCTAGCTAAATTTCCTCGAACCTATAGGGTTCTCCAATCTAACCTGTGTAATCAAGCTCTCCAAACTTTCATCGGCTACCATTCCACTACTTATGCTGTTGTCATACCTCGATATCAAAGGCGGCCATATGGTGCTTATTCTCGAATCCGGAAAACGATATCGACCAGGTTTTCCGCTTTTGCCAAGATAACCTTGAACATCAGCGACAATGTCCTTTGTGATACACGCAACAGCATCCTTTCTGCAAGTTTGTCAAAATCTCATTGATGCATTCTATCTCATTGGCTGGGCAGAGGATATCATTACTGGTGGTGACATGCGAGGTGGAAGTCCATCCAAGGAATCGTCATCCGAATCGTAATTGGGCGTCATATTAGGAGTACGAGATGATCGAGACGAATGTGGATGTCTGAATCGTCTGCAACGCCACGGTGTCGTTACAGATACGACGGATGTATTGACAATTGTTGATGTTCAGACGGAGGATACTGCGTAATACAGGTTGAGCTCCTCGCCTGCCTTACATCCCGTTCATACTCTTGCTCTTGTTCGTGACAAGGTACATACAGACAGGCTTGTGAAGTAACTCCGATCGACGAGGATTCGGGAATTACTATTCGGTTGGATGAATACAATTTAAGCTCGAAAGCAGCCCGTATGAGTTCGGGTTATTGCGAGAAAATTGCGCTCATTTCAAGAGATGAAGAAGATTCAGCGCCAAAAACCATGAATCAGTTCAACGCTGCGATACCCCCGGCCCTTGCGCCGTTACAATATATGGATCAGGATATCATACAAGGTCGAAACGCTGCCACTCCTGCCTGAAGCTGCAGTAATGTGATTATACAATGAGAAATAATGCAGAATGGCTAAGGAGGATCACCGCCACCTACTGCATATTTCCGAAAACTCGAGTGTTTGCAGGAACTGGCAGCTTCAGATGCAGTGGGCAAAAGACAATGAGGTGGGAGCAGAACCAGAATAAGTGGAATGTTCCTATCCATACGAAGGTATCATGCCAAGCATACGCAAGCTCCTTCAGGAATATGTGATGGATATGGCGCCAATTTACCACCTATCCTGGTAGGTGACTCTGGGTCCGCGTCCTCGTCCAATTGCAACGCTCGCCCGAATGCTATTGTCTCAAGCGTGCGCTCAACTGCTGGAGGAAATAATTCACAACAAAGCTAAGCCTCCTCAACAATCACATTAGCTTTCAAATCACTGAAAAATTGGGGAACAACAACATCGTTATATGTCATTCCCCTGAAAATGCCATCTTCTATAACATCATCCATGATATCAAATACAACCACCAGCTGAATTGTTTAGTAAGATCAGGTGCAGCAATTGGTTAGATAGACACAACGGAGCCATTATCAGTGATGAACACGGAAGCAACATCAACATCCAAACGCTGTGCTTGCATTTATATTTGCCCGGGCCAAAAGAAAAATCCTGGCTACATAACACTTTACACTGACAGCTCAGGCTGAGAGCAAAATTTTCATATTGTTTCGGGTGATTTGGCTGCTGGAAAATGCGCTCAACTTCTGTCAGATTTTTTACCTATATCCACAGCTCTTGCAAATGGAATTGAGATACATTTCAAAAACTTGGTCTACTTATACTGTACCTATATGTAAATTACTGCATTTACTCAGATGCTGTTTTCCATTGCCTAAATATTGATCATTAGATATCAAACATTACATCAGTGAAGTCTATACTCTACCTTCTTCTTTCAAGCCATTCAACAAGCTTGCTCCCATCAGTTTGCCAATCTTTATCACCACCAAGAGCACGGATTTGGATATAGCTTTCCACAAAGTTATTCACTGTGATATTTTTTATAAGAGGCCGCAGATAGTTGGTTTTTCTTCGACAATTAGGACAACTTTCTGAACCCTATCAGTGTAAATATTAAACCAATGAATGTTAATAGAAATGATACTGAAACTTGCTTGATCAAATAACCATTCATCTGCACAAGGACCACAAATTGTGTGGCCACAAGGATTGAGTGTTTGAGCTGAAATACTATGGTACATGTCAAAGAATTGTTCATTCAGAACATAATAATACTTTCAATATGTCTTGGCAGCTACACACAATTAAAATATTTGTAAACCATTGATATAGTGGATTCACAGTGCAACATACATTGGACAAGTCAAATCTGCTTCATATAGATTATCTCGAGATAGACAATCATGCTTGTTGTCAAGTTTTTGGTCATTATTGCTGCTATCAAATGCAGTCACATATAATTCTGGATATGTCTTTGTACCATCTAAGTTGTGTCACAAACAATACTGTTTAACAAATGTAATTGGATATGGTTTGATACTCACTTGTCAATAAATTTTCAGCATTGGAATTTGTAGAATGTACTGAATTATGAGGCAAGGGCGTCGTATGGCTTAAGTTTGAGTTTGGTTCATCTATGACAAGAAGATGACTAATTTGAGTTATAGATGACTGCTCTTCCATCGAATTTCCGTGGTTAGTCACAGCTAGTTGAAATATTGAATATCTTGAACCATTGTTCATCATGAGCAAGTACCACTTACATGATCTTTCAAATGACTGTGGTAATTCCAAATGCCCTGTTTCGTCTACGGACAAGACTAGATAAATACATGACACACATGAGCAAACTAGAAAAATAGATTATATACTCAAACACACCATGTAATGTATGATTTAAAGTTCCTTGATGATCGTAAGCAAGTATAAGGTGGTTGCCCTCTTCTTCCATGACTATGCCGCAGATGAAATATCACAATCGCAGCTCTTATATCATTTCGGTAAATAAAAACTCAATTCATTACCTAACAGACTATGCGCCCATAATGTCCTGAAGTAACGGGTATCACCAGTCAAGTATATGTTTATTAAGTATGTAAACGTTTCGAATTTTCCTTATATGGGTAATTGAAGTCCACAACTAAATGTGATCTAAATACAGCTTAGTGAAATCAACACAGTACACATGTGGTATTTACCAATTTGATGTAAGCCGCATAAGTGTTTGAAGTTTTGACCATATATCTGAATCGGTTGAAATTAACCGTATTGGTGTAACATACTTACATCTCTTGATCTCCGAAGCTTGATTGATGTTAAAATAGGCTGAACCTAACTATATGTAGACCACGTCAAATATTGCCTAATTGAGATTGTATAAGTTTGAATTTCGAACTTCAAAGTATGTCAGTATGGCTAATTACAAACTATGTTTGCCATATGTAACCATGCATTCAACTTCTGTCATTGTTCTACTTTTTTCCCTGACATCTGAACTGATCTATTATGTATATCACTCAAAGAAATTATCTGATGTCATTGTAAATTCTGTACGGAGTATGCCTCAACATGCAATTGGTTCAACATATATTCATCAATTGTTGAGGCATACTCCGTACAACAATACGTTCAAGACAACTAGATGATTGGTTGACTCCCCAAAACCTATGAAATACTCATAAAATACTCATACAGATAAAGATTATGCAGTGTTAGCCACTGTAAATTTTTCCAGACACAAGGGCAAAGATCTAACTCATTGAAATTGTGTCATCCTGAGCCCAATCACTCAAAGCTTCGAATCTTGTCTGCCAAACTTTGGAAATCTTTCATCCAGCAATTCAAAAGTCATCTCCTGTCTTTGCCTTTACTTCACATAATGCCTAAAGCCATTCAATGAATGTAGCTTGCATAGAATTTAACAGTTGCCAGTTAGTCCAAAGTGCATATGTGATACTTTCTTGTGTTTGCTCACTAAAAGGTCTACATATGTTATAGCCATTCAGATTGAAATGACATTTCTGAGTCAGAAGAATTGATACCCAAGTTGAAGAGGACTAAGAATATGGCAATGAAGACAGTGCAGGCTGCAAAAAGTGACTTGTCATGGTATCATAGTTTTCAGCTCAGTTTAAGTAGTTTCAACTTAGTTGTTTCATGTGATGAGTCTAGGTTATGAAGCTCCTATGTCTCTATCTCCATCTGCAAAACCTATAACTCTGTTTAAGAGTCTGAAAGCAGTTCAGAGCAGATCTGAGGGCTATCTGCTCTAAATCCATAGCCAAACATACAGGATTTGCAGATGCTCTTCAGTTTTAAAAGCCCCGGCTAAGGCTCATATAGCCCCGGCCAAAGCTCATCAAAATCCTGAGCCGGGCCCTACATGAAAGCCAGGGCCCGGTTGGGTTCCGGCCCAAGCTTGGGCCCCGGCTGTGGTAGGTGGATGCTGTGAGGGTCGAAATTTCTTGATTTGTTCAAGTATTCACTATTGAATCATATAATATCCAATGTAGTGTGTATGCTTCAGCTTTGTGAGAGGGGTGTACCATTAAGAATAATGTGTACATCAATCAAATAGTAGAATTCCAGTACACTAAACTTATCAAAATAACAAACACCAAAATCATTACTTGTCATTGCAACTACTGTCAATTCCAAATTCAATCAAAATGGTTCTTTTCTTGAGGTTTGTAGACTAATATTCAAAGTGAAAGGTGCTGCCATGTCATGTCAATGTAACATCTTCCCAAACCTCATTATGATCATCAAGAAGAATCCACTGTGAGTTTTCTATCACTAATGTCCCTCAATCAATTTTTCTTGTCAGTCCCTCAAAATGCTCATCTGATTGAAGCTTCAACCTATCTGCAATGACAAAAGTCTCAGAATTGTAATGCTTCAACAATATTACCCTTTAGGTGATGATGGCATTTATCAACATCTGCAAAACCTGTTTTTTCGGCTATTTCTCTCAGAGCAACTGAGAGCACTTCCCAGCAGCCAAAGCACCAAGAGCAAGATGAAATTTTTGCTCTCGGTGCTTTGGGTGCTGGAGAGTGCTCTCCAGCTAGTACCCTTGCTCTGGCGAACAGACAGGTTTTGCAGATGAATACTTATTCCTGCAGCTGAGAATAGTGCTAGTGATGCCCATATAGGTAAATTTTGAGCATTTATCTATAGGCATATCATCCATTGCCAAGTCCCAGGTGAAATTTTCGGCACAAAATTCAGGTACTCAGCCCCGGCTCAGAACCCGGCTTGGGGCCTTTGAGAATTCTGAGCCAGGCTCTCCGCTTTCCAAAGCCCTAGAGACGGCTCCGGCCCGGCCAGGCTCAGTCCGGTCAGGCTCATAGGGCCCAAGGGCTCAGAGCCGGAGCCGGCACATCACTAAGTAAGCCTCAGTGGGGGTGTTACATATCACCAAAAAATTCACAATGCCTTAATCAACCTATGTAATAATTTAATTACAAAATGTACAGTGTGGTAAACTAGTTGTTTGGTAATTAAACCTCTCTAGTATACTTAATTTAACTATCCTATTCCATGCTATCATACAGGTACAATAAACAAAACAATTTGCTGAAATACACAATGGTACTAGTACAATACTTATCAGGTTTTCAAGAAGTCCTATTAGTAAGGTTTACATCTGTTCAACAAAGCAAATGGACTGGCTGAAAAGTGCTCTCCAGCACCAAAAGCAACATTTTCAACTTGCTCTGGCTGATTTAACTACTGGGGAGTGCTGTCAGATGATTAGCAAAAAAATACATGTTTTGCAGATCAGTAGAAGAGTGACAAGGAATTCTCCACATTAAGCAGGTTCAAACTTTCATAACAGCTTAATTCATATGAACTGAATGCAGAATATCCAATTGCTAAGTAGAGTATTTCTGAATGACATTGTACCTATTGTATTACATGACCTTGGGACATGGACAAGTCTAACTTCCCCTTAGCTTCACCCCTACAAGATACAATACATCTACGTAAAAAAACCTTACCTAAAGGTTTGGCAATGATTCATTGTACACTCACCACAGCAACATCTGCAAAACCTGTATTTTCGGCTAAGGGTCCGAAAGCAGTTGGGAGCACTTCCCAGCAGTGAAAGCACTCAGAGCATACTGCTTTCAGTGCTTTCGGCACTGGGATCTGTTGGGATCTGCTCTCAGACCTTAGCCGAATATCCAGGTTTTGCAGATGAAGAATACTAGCTGAATAGCACTATCTAGCACTAAAATCACTCCCAGCACTACCAAAAATTTGCTTGTTGGACACTGCTGTCAACTATTTCTGAGTTCTTAACCAAAAAATACAGTAGAACGCACTGATCTATTATGATATCAATCAGAAACAAAATCTGAACAACATTCAAACACACCAAAACTCAGCAACTTCCTCAATCCATGATCAAGGCAGCGAAATTCACGATCAAACATACCTCAATTTGGCAGCTGAGCACTGGGCCATTAGCATTTGCCGTAACCATGCACGGACTTTTGCGCGGAACATGTGTGTAACTTGCGCGGAACTTGCACGAATCACTGACCCCACAGAGTATAACTTCAAGAAATACTTTTAGAAGAGTTTACTGATATGGATTCCATTCTAACAAATCATTGAGTCCTAGTCAATATCATGAATTGTATGCAATGCCAGCTCTGGAAGCATTGCACTTTTACCTAATTTACTCTTACCTACTTTTGATGAGCAGCATTTTGCCTAGTCTCAGTAATGGGAGAATGAGATTCTTTAGGTATGTAATCCTTCCAACCTTTCAATTATTTCTCAATGACAACAAATGCTTGATCCTCAGTTATTAGACATGATGGGCAATGACTACAGGCCTTGACAATACTGTGTGATATTGAGATGTAAAAGTGGTTTCTTCATTGAGACTACCAGCCTTTTAGTCTGGTGGGAGCATGTATTGATTTCTCTGCTCAGAAGGTCTCTACAACACTGTTGAGAAGTAAGCTTGTAGTTCCTTGCAATTGTATTAAACTAGATCAAGTTAAATAGCTTCTTGACAATCTCTATGATCAACTTTGCAGATTCAATCAACATCTCTGGCAAGTGTACAAACTATGGAGATGAGGGTAACAATGGTGAATGGATGAGCCTCCAAGAATATCATCAAGTATATTCAGTGTATAGTATCCCATTTTCATGCAGGTGTTATAGACATGAAGGTCATTCCATGGTGGGGGTATTACATGTATATTGATCAGGGGACTCAGTTTCTTACTTGTGTGCCTGACTAATATCTGAAATTGACACACAGGAAGAGAGCATAAAACAATTGAACAAAAAATAAGCTGAAAATAATCAGACAGGCAAGTGAGATACATTTAGATGTAGACAGAACTGCAGTGAAGTGTTGCAGTTACTTTGCAAAAACTGTTACTGCAAAATTTCTGTCCCTCAATCTGCATGGATTTGCATGTAACTTGTGCGGATCTGCACCTGACTTGCACGGATCTGCACCTGACATGCGCGGATCTGCACCTAACTTGTGCGGATCTGCACTTAAGTTGCACGGAACTGCATATGACTTGCATGCATCCTGCATGTAACTTGCACGGATCTGCATATAACTTGTGCAGATCCTACATGTAACTTCTGTACCTAACAATCAGAGCAATGAGAGTCTCATTAAACAGACAATCCCCCTCAAACTATTGATGTGATTGTTGCTATTCAGGTACATAGCAGTATTGGCAATGACTACATAGAATATCTCACAAATACCAATTAGTAATTACTCACATGTGAAGATTATGAAGCAGATAAGCTTCAGAATATCTGCTCAATCATATCTTTGCTCTCAATTGTTGAATCATTGTTAGTAAGACACCAGAACAAAGTTAAGTATTAGATAAAATTTCAGGATAGGAGAATCAAATTGGACATATAGAGCTCCATTGTACAATATCATTGTCTGGAGCTCAAATTGTGCAGCAATATAACTATGTGGGAGGATCTTGTATACAATATTGTATATTCACAAATTGCACGGAACTGCATAAAGTTGCGCGGAACTGCGCGGAACTGTGCGGCACTGCGTAGGACTGGTGCCGCACGGGTTACGGCAAAAGTTATGTGCCCCTGAGCACTAGATCAGATACTTGTCATAATATTACAACAATACCAATATTTCACATTTTTTGATACAACATGATGAGTATATCATGAGCTGCAAAAGCACGCGCCCATGTCGTCAAGGTCACCCGATTGACGCGAGTTTTCGCAGGCCCGATGTTTATGATCAACCTTAACTTTGCAACATCATTTTCGTCATGAATAACATACGGATCATCCTGGTAGGTAACAAAGTTAGAACAATATATAAACGTTGACAAAATACACCAACCACAGTCACATCCGTATAATTACTTCGTACAACCATAAACAACTCAATCAATTGTTGCGAAGTGGCAGGGTGCACACTCATTCCAGAGTTGTTAACACAATTGAATATTTTTCGGAATTGAATCCAGAATGAGCTTTCCGTTATGGGTCGTTGATGCGAATCTCGAATAATTGTTTGAATCAACATTATCGCTAGTTCACTCCTGATAATGATATAAGAATATAGTGTTCGATTAGTGTAGATTATTCATACCTGACTGCACCTATTCTGATAAGATCACGGATGGCCGCAAGTTGTGTTCTTATTTGAGCAAGATTCTGGGGTGCAAAAACACAATCCACAGCTATACCCGATATACTAAGCACAGAAACTTTGATGGTGTTGAATCTGGTTGTGTAGCCCATTACCCAACTATTTACTTCCAAGAAGTCAATGTCGGATGTCGTAGTGCTACATTGATGAAATGGTACACGACAACAGTGTCTGTCACCAACGTATCTCGGCACGAGAGCAGATAGTGAAGAAGACGGATCACAAACGAGCCTAAAATCTGGATAATGTATAACGTTGAATCCACGATTTTTGTACTTCTGTATCGGATACATTTCACGGGCATTTAAAGGTGCTTGAATGTCGATCAACATTGTCGTTTTTTCTTCCAAGGTAAGTTTAGAAAAAAGACAATACGCAGCACGATGCGTGAAGACGTTCATTACACAGGCTGAACTTTGATTAGCTTAGATGCAGATCGGGAATGAATAACATGGTTCACGAACTGGAATGGAACGAAAAGATAGACTCCAAAGGTGCCCCACCAGTAGCAATGAGCTGAATTTTGGAAGAGCTTCGCATAAAATTCCAGATATTAACCACCGTATTAAACTTGTATTCATCTGTATCCGCGTCTTCTGGGGTTTCACTTGCTGTTTCTTTATTATATGTCTCGGAGAAGGAGCTATCAAAATCGATAGCCTGACCTTCTTTGGGTCGATATGAATATCCATGAGATATCAACCAATCGCCAGCAATTTTGCAGTGCTGAATATTGCAAAATGTATCCAAATCTCCGTTGTAAATTTCTCGATTGAAAAATTCAAGAACAGTCGAACCAGATACCAATAGTCCAACTGAACTCTAACCAGCAAAAATGAATATCATTTATTGAATTGAAAACTATCATGGTCTTGCCTGCAAAATTTGAAACTCTGCAATTTCTTCGATGTTGAAAAAGTTTCGGTAAGCATGTTGGATGCTAAATACTCTTTCCTTGTACTTCCTAACATCCATGCGTGTTTGTTTACAAGTTTTGCCAAATGAAAGAAGATCTGGTAAGGGTAACAAGTCCAGTATGGCTTCCGACGTCTCTAACGGGCTGAAGAAACATCATTGCATGATACAACGAAAGAAAAGAGAATTATTTGCAAACGTACAGTGGGTGTTTGAAAGTTGTCTGAGACATCGGTGAAATAGATGGTTTGTTTGTGCAGCAAATTGAAGTGGAAATCAACATCTACTGGATATCACTAATTCGTCTTTCGCTCTTCCTTAAAAATAAGAATCATTTGCCTGTTCACAGCAAAGCTTAAATGTCTAATCATAACCTGTAACGTCCGTTGTGATACCGTTCTTATCCTATACACAGGTAGGTAGGTTAACTGACATGAATCCCGTTGAGGAACAGCCGGGCGCCGTACTATACACACTACGCTTAGATCCGTACTACCTTCCTCATATGCGTGTTTAGTATGAATCCGAAGAGACCCATACAGGTTTCTCTCGGCTTTACCCAGTCAATAATAATTCAATCGATGATATACCCTAAATCCCATTTTGAAAAAGGCATTTGCCGACCTACAATCTCTCAAATTCTCAATTAAACTGTCTAATTCCCATTTCCAGTCATCATCAGTTAATGCGTTTGACTGATATGGCATGCGTTGCATGTTATTGGATATCCTTCCTACATACAGCCTATGGGTGTCAGTGATCAATTTGGGATGTGTGTCTGACAAATTTCATAATTCCTTTTACAGTCTGCATCGGTGCATTGTGGATGTTTGACCATTAAGTTTCATTCACAAGCTGTCTGACAATATGATTCTACTACTCAGGATTGTAGTGCATGATGTTAGATATACTAACTATGCTTCTCTTATATGTTTCCCTGTTCTGATTCTTTTCCCTTTCACTCATCATTTTCAGATGACAGATAACTGTTTTGAGAATCTGTGTTACTAATATCTAATTCAATCTATTTCAAGCAATGTTGGTTTCTTTCTGATCGGCTTCAAATATGGTATATGTATCGCAGTACCACGTCCGGTTGTACTAACCACCCATGGTGCTTATTGATCTGCTCAATCACAACAACACATCGCTCGACTTTAACTGTATACTCTACCGATTACCCGTGGACATATGGTGGTATATGTTCACGATCTATGACCTTGACTTACGTCCATTAGTCTTGGTTTGCAAATTGATGCGAAAAATAGTAGGCAACTTGGTGTTCCGATCTGTGTACTTCCCTCGTCCAAATAAACTACGTCTCGCAAAAAGGACATGGGATTCGTCGAAACGGAACGTTACTGCCGACATATTGTTTATGCAGATCGGTAAACCACATCAATCCGATACCGCTTTGGATAACGTCCATTTTCGACACAGAAAAAGATGGATTGCATCCTGGAGAACAGCATCTGGGTTGTTTTCCACTTTCCATCGTTTGACAGAAATCGTATTAGCGGGAGCCGTCCTACCGAGTGACTTTGGCCAAGGCCTTTCCCTGCTAATACATCTGCGCAATTTGGAAATCAAACGCTGCTGTTGTGAAGGTGTTGCTCACTTCAGTGATGTGAACCTTCCTCTCAAAAGATTGCGTCTAGACATGATATGTTGGCACCACCAAAATCAAGACTTGGACATAATTTGTTCATGTGAAAAACTCGTATCGTTGTCTGTTGCATGGCATAATACAACCAGCAACGAATGGGTTTGGATGGACAAAAACTTACCGACAACTGTGGAAGAATTATCGCTGTCTGCTTCTCAATCATTCTGGTCAAATACATCACCATTGGATTCAAACACCATGAGCTGTTTATTCACTTTCTTGCAACAATTTCCCAATCTCAGAATTCTTACGCTGCCTAAGGGCATGGGTTGCATGATGCGCAACTCTGACAAACAATGCTCATTTGGCTATAATATCGAGCACTACTGTGGACCTATTAGGTTTCTCCGATATATTGCATCAAAATCAACCCTTCTCATGAATATACACCTTGTCAACCATTGTTTCTACACCATACGGGTAGATGAAGATCTACCTAATGACTTGGTTGTAGAAAACTTTCATCTCGATATAACCATTTGGGACAACGAGAGTATAGAGATCCTCATGAAGAGAATATCCTCTGTGAAGAGACTATCTTTAAAATGGGATTGGTTACCGAGAAATATTGTCAGTGTAATACCAGCTTAATATAAACTGAACACTAATGATCTTACAGAACACGATGTATGATCCAGTCCTGAAGAACTGTACGCATCTACGGCAATTGTACCAACTTATTCTGTCACCGGCTATTTCGATTGAACGAGAAGTGTTAGTGCGATTTCGAAATGAGTGCCCTACTCTTACTTCTGTACATGTCGGATGTGAACGATGGATCTTTGCAGAGGACTGGACACTTCAACTTTCATCTAGCTGAATCATTTCAAGGAAAATCTATACATTGTCACAAAATATTGTGTCTTGTCTGTACTACCAGTGTACCACCTTTGTCACTTACTATGTTATCATCACCGAAAATTCCAGTTCGTTGCACCTCTGACATTGACTGTATTCAACTTGAAATACTCAACTCTAAATTCATCTTTGCAGTCAACATCCATAAAACTCTTCATCTGTGCAGAACTTGACACCATTCTCATAATCATTCAGAAAATTACTTACTGGCTCCAAATTATTTCAGAATCTACCTATACAACTCAATTTATTGTATTTAAAGCAGTGGGAATCTGCAATGTGAACAAGTTTGTATCCATGGTGACCTTATGAAAACAATTCCATGTTAGATTGGATTTCATATCATAACCATTATATTCACTGATATACATGGCCATTCCATAATATATCACTTTGCAAAATAAGACATTTCCTTGTTTCTGTTCTCTAATATCTGGAATTTAGATTTTGTACTACTGGTGATACCACACTGGGTGTCATAGCTCGAAAGTCGACAACGATCGTGAAACAACTTCAAGAATTTCATGTGCTGGCGACTTTAATGCAGCCTACAGTGTACAAAATGTTGGAGCTCAACTGTTCCTTTGGCACATCATTTGACATTATCTAAGTCTTGTACCATAAAGCTGCACAATCAACGACCATGGGATCAAACTGCATGGAGCGTCGTCCAAGACTCCAAGCCGAAGATGCTCTGAATCCCGAAAGAAATAAAGAACTAAGTTGTGATTCATGAATGCCGAATAAGACGAAATTTGCTTTCATCACGACGACAGCCTCCTGAACAATACAGCTCAATTGTCCATGAGATCTAGAACGACATGTACACATCGTTCGATAGCGACAATAATTTTGATAGCAGTCTGGCCGATAGTTTCCATGCTGTTCCAAATGAAATCCACGTCAACCTCAGATACACACCTGCACGAAAGAAGAAAGAAAAATATTGAGTTTGAAGTAGTAAGCTGATTTTACGCAATACCACCCATCAGACTTCCAAAAGCAAGAAAAGGAACGTCACCAATGGCGGGGCCATCTTGCGCACAAACTGTTTGAGGGAGTATTCTCTTCGGACGCCCCGCATACGAACCACGCTAACCTAATCAAAATAGTCACAAAGAGAGTCACCAGAACATTGAAAAGATACACTAACCTTTACAGCAACAAGCACAACACTACCGTTCACATGCTGCAGTGAAAGAACCACACGTTCACAAATGTGTCCGCTTTCCTTCTCGTCCTCGGCAACATATCAAATCAACGCGTTCAAGATAACAACCCGACCTCACTCTGGGCATTCTCCTATCGCGATTAGAAGCTTCGTGAGAAAAGGCTACAGTTCGTGCAATTGTGTATTGATTGCCATTAACCACCGAGAACATTCGTACATACATAAAAGGCTCGAAACTCAGCGCACCACATATCCATCCATTATTTAATACCTCAAATGTGCGGCATGATACTCTTCCTCGACCTCATCCTCGTCAGACCATCTATCAGGAGTCTCAGGAGTCTCCGAGTCATCGTCGGTATCGGAGCGCGTTGTGTGCGAATGATAAGACGAAGAAGGCAAAGGCGATGGAGGCAAATGTACTAGGCGAGGAGAAAACACCGATAGACGAGGGAAGTATGCCCGTTCGAAGTGCTCCTTTTCCGAATACTCGCTGTTTGGTTTACCGCGAGGACTGACTGCGTGAGGCAAAAGGACTATGAGGGGCACCAGGGGAGACCTGATGTTCCGGTACTTCCTCGCGGTGATAGTCACTAATGTAAGCATCGTCGTACAGATCATCCATTGGACCTGGCGAAAAAATTTCAATCTGGGGACAAGGCGAGGTCGGAGGCTTGGGTGTTCTAGGAGCCACAGTCATATTATCTTCGAGGACAGCTGCAGTGATCCAGTCAGGCTGAATGGTAGGGGCAGCAGCTTCGCGAGGCTCTTGAATCATGGAAGGATCATTCAGATTGAATGGGTTAAGAACATTAGTGAAAATGATTCGCGAGGGTGAGATTGCGAGGCTAACCTTGATGATGGACTCGAATTTGACGCTAGAAATTTGAAATTGAAGCAATGAAACTTGGAAAATATCAGGATCACGCTCACATTGGCAGCCAGATTCTGCGTTTTCCCTATTAAAATCCTCCAATTCTCAGGATCACCCTCCTCCATCGCAATTACATGACTGCGGGCAGTAAATCCACCAACCAGACCAAGGTCGGTCATGCAAAGCAGTCATTGGAACCTCTGCAACCCAACAGATGCTATGTGAAGACCTTGCTGACGCAAAACATCTACCATGTGCGGATACGCTGCAAAGACGACAACGGTAAGGATGAAAGATACCAGCCAAATTATTGTCATGATATAACCAACAAAGACGACCATCGGAAAATACGTTGGTTCCTCAATTCTACGCTCCATTCGGGAGAGAACATATACACCGGTGAAATACAGCAGCGTGAAAAGGCATAATGCGGGTGTCAACCAGAGTGAAAAATATCCGAGGTCAAGGAGCGAGAAGATTAGGAGCAGAAATGAGATGAAGATGGATGAGACTATGATATAGAGCAGTGATCTCGGGATAGTAATTTCGTCCTGCTTAACCGGATGACGGAAAGCAGCAGAAATCGAGAAAGACGATAAGGCAGGATTCTGCACTCCCACCGCAATTTGATGTGCAATGAAGCAAGTGGGCGGCTCGAAAGGAAAATGGGTAATTTCAAGAGTGACCAGCACCAGAGAAATTGTTGAGAAAGTTTCTCTTCGTTGGGAGTGACCAGTGATGGCTAGGAAGTTGCTGCAATGTGAATATTCGTTAAAACAACTACCGTATTGGTTAGTACCTGATCACCAAGTTAATCTGCGAGTAGTCTAGTCACGAGGGATTTGAAAGACGTGCCATTAAGCTACTGTCTGCAACTGTCTCATATAACTGCTCTAAGAATCCAACTGCGACTTCAAACTGGTGCGAATGGAGTTGAAGGGATGGATAATTGTATGGATTCCACTAACTCAGGATCGATTTTTGAAGAGCCTAGTCCGTTCTATTGTGAGCCAGTAAATCCCGAGTCTCCAGCCACACAATGTGTCGGAGAAGGCTATGGTGCGCGCACAATATATTCCTTTTTCTTTCGAGTAACAGCCGAAGGATGCTTAGCAGGAAGCGAAGGATGAGCTAACGGGAGAGTAGAAGCGGGTGTTGTAGGACGAGATAAGGAGTCCTGCGATGCAAGCCTGGCTGAGGATTTCTTTTCTTGACGTCGGAAAGACGGACGAGCCTCAGTTTGAAGCCGCATCTGCCGAGTTGTTACACCAACTCGCTTCCGTTGGCTTGAAACGATGCTAGGACAGTGGGTTGTAGATTAGTTCTCGAACCCCGAGCCGCTGAACGAGGTAAACCTGATGGGAAAATCAGCATTTGACAATGATACCTACATCGAAAAACGAACCCTCCGCCTCATCGCCTCTCTTACTGAAAATAACACTCCTCTGTTGTCTGTATGGTATATTTCCCGATCTTTTGTTACATTTGAGGAGAAGTGAAAAAATGATGCGATCCTACAGCGTGGTCAAATATTCTTTGCTGAAACAATGCTTTTCGTCACCGCATTCGTGAAGTTTCATCCAGTTGTGGTCGCTACAAGTTACAATGCGAAGGAATGCCATGCAATACTTGGTGGTAACGTGTCTAAATTATGATGGCAGATTTCACGGAAAGTTCCGGAGTTTGAATTGATGATTTGTCAAGCATCCGACGTCGAACCTCAAGCAAGCAAGTTTGTGCAGTGTCTCAGGGAAAATGGGTCTAATATTGCAACAACTGCCTCTAAACGTGCTCTATAACTCCCCCATTGACATGGATGTACTTGAGCTTCTACTCTCAAGGGGACTTTCTGCTTTGATATTTACTATAAGTAGTTACCCATAAAAATAAAAATATTAAACTTATTCAAAAAACTACGGATCTGGTAGTACTTATAGTAATATATCTGCAATCTACATCAGCACTTACAATGTAAAAATCAATGCTGAATGAATTCTCAGTTGGTGTAATATATAACTGAAGTTAAATTAATTGTACAATGACAAACTAATCAAAAGAGAGAGCTTATATGCTGCAAGATGGTGGATGCAATTCAATGAAATTTTGAGTCCTTGAGCACGGAGGCTGGAGGATTGGATCATCTGCAAAACCTGTATTTTCGGCTAAGGCTCCGAAAGCAGTTGAGAGCACTTCCCAGCAGTGAAAGCACTCAAAGCATCACTCAAACAAATAATGTATATTTTGAAGTTAGACATAGTACTCTACATTCAGCCATTCAATTCAATGCAAGCTGTAGGAAGTATAGATAGGATATAGTATACAATGCATCTGCAACACCTGGAAAATTAGCTAATAACCAAAAACAATTCGGAGTACTACTGTCCAGTTGCAAAACACTCAAAGCAATTCAAAGAAAACCTTATCTAAGAGCTCTAGCTGCTGGGGAGCACTTTTGGCTGCTTTCAGGCAATTATCTGAACCTACAACTTTTGCAGATGTGACAAATAACTTTGATAAACAGCTTTGACTCCCTGTCTTGTCATAGAGCAGGTAACTTTTAAGCCTGCTTATTTGCTTCACTATTCAACCTTGACCAACTGGAAATTGACATCTTTCCAATATAAATAGTAGGAATATCCAAATTTGAATGTGTTAATGTTAAGCATGGTCTAAATGCAGTCTCCTGCATTGTCACCTCCTAGTATTCTATCCTCTAAAACCTGGGAAGTGCAATGAATAAAAATTGCCCTGGTGGCATTACAAACTCCAACAGTTGCATCTGCAAAAGCTGAATTTATGGCTAAGATTTGAAAGCATCTGACATTGCTTGCCAGCAATGAAAGCACATCTTCAAAAATTGTATATTTGGCTAATCATCCCAGAGCAGCTTAGAGCACTTCCCAGTAGCCAAAGCACCCAGAGCAAGTTAAAAATCTTGCTTCTGCTACTTCTAATGCTGGAGAGTGCTCTCCAGCTAGCACCCTTGCTCTGGCAAACATACAGATTTTGCAGATGCATCCCCAGCAGTCTGATGAAAAAATTGCTGGGAATGCTTTTGCTATTGGGTGCTGTTCTGAGGCTTTTAGCCAAGAATCTAGCTCAATAATGCTCCAATATTCAGCTCAATGTAATGGGAGATGTAAAGCCCAGAGCCATTCAGATATTCAACACCAGTAGGATTATAGGATACTGAAAGAAATTCTCCATCAGCATTCTCATTCATTATAACTTTGTCAGAGCCATGGTGGGTGTGAATATCTCCAGAAATAGTGTTAGTGTTAAGGTATGCAAATATGATTGATCTACTGTATTACTTCTGGGATAAAGAATAGTTCTTTGCAGGAATCAATTATTAGAATAATCAAGCAAAAAATGACCTACATAGAAGCAGTTAGACATCTCTGAAATGAGGACAGAGAATGAGAGCTGCAAGGGAATATATCTGAAGGGAAAATATTATGAACAGCTTAAGTATTCAGTTCAGTGTTCAATATGCCAAAGCTGCCTCACATTCATACAGAGCAGACTTCTGAGCCCTCCGCGCAAAAATTCACAGCCGCTTTGCGGCGATAATGCTTAGTCACTAGCGCACGCATAGCAGAAAAGGCAGCATGCCCCGGGGTATCGAAAAAGGTAATGGATTTGAGGCCGTTGTCGTTACCGCTGGAACGTACTGGGACAGAAAAGGCTCCTATATGTTGAGTGATACCACCGGCTTCGCTTTGCGCAGCTGCGCTACAGAGGTGGATTGTAGAGTGTCGAGCAACGTAGTCTTTCCGTGGTCGACGTGGCCCATCATCGCCACGACAGGAGGGCGCAAACGGAGGGTGCTAGGATCTGGGTGTGGGGGCCTATTGCATAATCACTTTTCAGCTTTCGAAATGGTCAAAACATGAATGACTGATAAAGGGTAGATATCGAAAGCCATTTCGTCGTTAACAACGGGATTTTTACCAAACTTCAGCAAGAAGAACGGCATAATCTGATGTCAGGAATGGGGAAACATGTTAAATGCGAATCAAAGGCCAGCAAGGAGGTAGCGCACCATGGTCATACGAAGTTTCTTCCCCCATTCCTGACTGTTCCATCTTACGTTGCAACCGCGCTGAACTTAGTGAGATGGTGAAATAAAGAGATTGGACGAAAGACTCACCTAGCCTCACGTTCAACAACTGAGCTAAGTGGCCTACTGAGACTAGTGACGGGATGTAAACGTCCACAGATACTTTTTTCTCGACAAAAACTTTGTTCTTCCGAATATTTTATTTTCGTAGTCGGAAAGCGCGGTAATCCTTTTGAGTGTCATTTATGTATTCCCACATGGCTCTCATTTTCTGAATCAAAGATCCACGCCTTTCAGGTTTCGGACCAAAATGAGATTTGCCAGTTTTCCAGCCAGAGTCCAACGAGTCGACATACGATTCCCATACATCTGAGGAAGTAGAACTTGACGAACTGGAGTTCATACCGGATTCTTTGATTGAGGGATGTCTGTTTGAGAAAGTCTGGCGGTGCTTCGTGGAGATGGGGTTCAGTGAGTTCTGACCATCATGTTCCCTTTGGTGTTCTAAGTTTCGTGAACGACTATCACGCAATGGAATTGTATGGGGGGCCTGTTCTCTGTCCAACATGACCTGTTTCCGGAATACAGGAGCGGATTTTGCAGTAGGGTCTCCGGAAACGTGCACAGGTGTAGATGTAGGGGTGGAACTTGTCCGAGAAGTAGGAAGTACCCTTGACCATCTACGTGCAGGAAGGGCCTTCCGTCGAGGAGGTTTCAACGGCTCCGCCTTGAATAGTTCGTGAGCTATCACCATCTGAGCGAGAAAATGACGAGGTTACTTGGGAGTGATTGAAAGTAACAGGCTTTTGAAGTCTCCATTTGCTCATGTCTGGCTTTGGCGGTTGTGAGCTTTGAAGAGAGCTATCTGTGAAAGACTTACCGAAGGTTTCGCCGCCGTGGATGCTAACCTATATTTCTGGAAACATTGACGACAAATGAATGGAACCAAGGATGAACTCTGACTGCATTAACTATTTGCTAACATCCCAATACTTTATCAACTCTCAGTACAAGAACATAACACAACTACAGTTGTTTTAGTATTGATTGAGTTTATCAACTCCTCAGATTACAAATACAGAATCCTAGCATAACTACCAAATGACGAACTCCAGTACAAGTCAACAAAGAGCCTATACCATAATAATGAGCCTGAATCCGAGCTAACGACATTGTGTGCACTAGTGCTTCCTTAACAATCTCTAAAACATTATTGTTGCCTTGAGTTCGAATTGAGTCAAAGGGTGTTCAATCAAAGTAATGACTATAGGACCTTGCCAGTATAATTCATATCCTATCCTATGCTATGCTCCCTAAGTTTGTGACCAAGCCCTGTAATAGGAATCATCCAAAAATCAAAATTTCCTTGACAAAAATTTGCTAGTATCCCTTATAGAGAGAGACATTACCAGTTTATGTACAGACATGGTCAGAATCTATGTCAATCAATTCTTCCTGCTATGAAACATACTCGAAGGGGAAATGACAATCACCTCTCGAATAACTACTGCAATAACATTGTCAGATGTAACACATCTCTCCTCCCAAACAAAGCAAAAGTACTGGCTCAAAAGTGCTCTCCAGCATCAAAAACACCGAAAGCAACATCTTCAACCGATGATCAGCTGAGCATACATGTCTTCCAGATGCTCATGGAAACAGATCCATTGCCACACATTCCAACTCTAACAAAAAATTGCCTACAACCTCTCCACCTCTTTTTTTACATCACAAAAGAAATCAAGAACTACTACACGGATCATAACAATTCTATGACAGTCAATCTACACTCTACTTCCGGCTCCGTTCACACTACAAATATATCAAATTCGTAAACTCATCAATCCATTCTGAACAGCTTAACACCATGCTTGGAGTCAATGTAATTTCACTGCATTCCAACCTATATAAACTGTATACATGACATTTGTGTATTTTCTATCAAACAAATTCAGCTCCAAATACTGTCACATAACAATCCATCCAAACACAGATCTGAACATATTACTGTTACAAAGCAAAACCTGACCTACACCTTTCTTTCAACAAAACTTCATGAAGATCCTTTCACTCTTCATCATTCAATTCAAATCAACAAACATTTCTCCAATGTTTTCATCTTCTTGACCATCCATATCAACTACTCCTTTCTTCAACTCAAGACGTTTTGATTTCCTCAGACTACCACTAGGCAATGAAACCGCACCTCGTTTAGCCAGCGACGTTGTAGAAGAATTCTTCGTCCCTCTAACACGCAATTCTTCCAAACGCTTCTTTTTTGTATCAGCTAGAGACTTTGCTTTTGCCATAGCCTGTTCTAAACGAAGGACTTCTTCTTGTCGAGACAACTCTCGAGCTTCCTCTGCTAATCGATTTTCTTCAGCAATACGATCGATATCATCCGCCCGTTTGACCGCCTCGGTATGAAATAAAAGACGCATATCATCTTCATCTTCTGGCAACACGCGAAGTTTGTGGATAATGTTCGAACAAATACGATTTGGTTTGTTCACTGCTTTCCCATTACTTCCCTTAGTAATATCCCAACTAAAGTAATTGTCAAAACAAGTATTAGTCTAATATGTTTGATTCCACTCACAGATGAAAATTAAATTCAACTGAAACAATGCGGCCACATGTGAGAACGTGATCATAATCCATGGGATGCACCAATGCCCCTTGTGAATCGTACACATCAGGTATGTGCATGCGAACAGAGGATAGATTGTGTCTTTCTGCAAGAGACCTAATAACTCCTTCCGAATCCGGCCAATGACCCAACAACCGATCCTTTATGTCCACTTCTGTAAACAGATAAAATAAAATGAAAATGATCATCATTGAATCAACACAAACCACATACCACTAACATCCTTGTCAGTGATCAGTGCTTTTAGATTCTTTTCTTTTTCAGATGATTTCAACTTTCCTATTATACACATAAAAAACAAATTAGTCATAAAATAAATAAGTCACCAACTTGGATCTGGTAATTGTCCACGGATATTCATCATGGCAGTTGACTGTCTAGTCCTCCGTCCAGGAACATTTTGAAATATATTTGTGGTTTTTGCGCGCAAGCCATAGTGACCAAAATCATGCAGATCGACAAATGTACTCATGCTGATACTTTGCTGAGGATATAACTTCTCTATAACAACTGTCAATATGATGCTCATAATTACTACACAGGTCCTTACCATCAATAGTCTTCACCGAGTCGAGGTACTGCATAGTAGCTTCTTGCAGGACATTCAACAATTTTTGAAACCGAGAACTATGCACAGTGTATATGTTTGCGATTTCATCCGAGAATTCTGCAGATGAAGACACCTCATTGAAAAACAAACGAGCAGAAGCTCTTCGAAGTGAATCCAGATTGATCTGAAGTAAAGAGATCAATATGCTTTCATTGGTTGCTAAATGTATGACATACCTCTTGATTATACACATTCATGTCAAGATATTCACCACATTTCAAATCATCTGGGTATGGACTAATCTGAGCTACTACAGCAACAGATATAACCTCTCTTCCAGAATCGACAAGCCACAAACCACCATGATCGGACAAAGATGGAACGCGCTGCATTGACATAGTCGAAACATTCGGAATAGATTTTTCGGAAAACACGTCGTTTAAAAAATGCATGACCATGTCAAGTGGCTTTAACACTTCCAGGTTTCCGGCAATTAATTGTTCCACTTGATCATACAATGTTGAACGGCTATGAAAATCCAGAGATGTGAAGCTGCGCAAATCTGATGACTGAATCATGCCTCAAAAATATCAGCAAAAACCATACACAGTTAACAAACACAAACATCATTCACTCACATTAACCGAGTCTCCGTGTGAAATGTCCTATTAAAAACGTAACTCCATTTGATTACAACCGTCACACAGTCTACTACTCACCGACATTATGTTAATAAGTTGGCAAACAAGCAAGAGACAAAACACTTGCAAGTAGAACCTCAACTTATATACCAACAAACATCGCTATTGTCCGTATCTACCATTACATATTCCAACAAATTTTACTCACCGCTAAAACCCGACGAAACAAGCACCAAAGAGCACCATGTCAAGTGATTACCGACACATCGACAAAGATGTATAGATTCGAACCAGTCTCGCACTCCAATCTGACAATCAATCTAAACCAATTCATTCATCACTGAATGACCGCAGCAACAGATTCAGATCTTATTTGACGGCAATAGCAATAACCTTTCTCTATTAATTGACTTTCCTCCTGCTGAAGTCTTCATTCAGAATATATACCTACTTTGTCTAGTCTAAATCAACGGGCACTAAATACAACGACCCACTTTGTCTATGTATTTATTCCATCAAATTCAAGTCCCTCGCCTACTCTCCATAACATCATTCCCTTGTATCGCATTTCATCATCAGAATGATCACCACTATCCAGATAACCCTTCCTCAATTATCTTTCTCACCTCAAGATATTCAACAGCAAATCATCCAGTGAAACTCTGAATCCGCCTGACATTAAAATCATGACCTCCTCTACCACAACACCCTTTTATGATATTTTCTTTGAGAGACTGACACAATGCCTGGAACCTTTGGATCCCCCCTTGCGCCCCACTTATGCCTACGACGAATTTTTTGCTGTTATAGTATCAGTACCACCATCATTGTCGTCATCGGGCAAAATGATACCATAATTCAAATACCTTCCTCAGCCCCTTGATAACCTGTAACGTACGTCTGCAAAACTCACGGATACGTTATCAGAAACCCTCTTCATCTCTACTTGCCCTACTGTACTATCCCCCCATCTGGACAATTTCTTAAATTCTCTCATTCGCTGTACCTCGCATTCTACTATTGAAAACAGTTATTGCTGTCATGTATGTCGCATGTCCTATGATCTTGTACCTCAATGGGGCCATATGTCGATTAACCCTACCTACTTAATTGGAATTGTGATATCGAAATCAAACGTCTAACTGAGAGCAACAACAACCGGAATAACACAAATACAGACATTGAAATCGTGCGCCCGGACTGACCACCATCCTATCTCATCCATGAACAAATGACTAATTAAGCATGCCTGAAACCTACGTTAGCTACAATTGGACATCGTACACCGACGTTTTCCTAACTCTGCAAGATAAGGCTAATGAGCTTTTTCCCACACCATTCACACATCACATACATGACTCAATACAACAAGAAATAGTACTACGTCATACGATGTGACACACACTTTCTGTGGGTTTGAACTCTTGCTCGTCGACGTGCCCTGAACGCTTTAGGCTGATGATACGATGATAGCTATTACTCATTAAAGATTTCGGACTACACTACCTCTCTATCTCCTATATCATTCATACAATACATGACTACGTGACATTCACTGCATGAACTGATCACCACTTAAATGAGTATAATACTCAAAGACAACGAACAACCCATCACCTACCTCATTCATGTCGACCAAAACTTTTAACCACTCATTGTACGTATCCAAAACCTTCAATTTCTCGGATACTGTACCTAACAATATTCATTCAGACCTTTAGAAACATCGGAGGCTATAATGGACTGCCTCCCTGTGTCAGATCTTCTTACACTCAGTAAATCATGTAAACAAACACGAATCGACGTCACAAACTACAAGAAACGAGTTTTTAGTATCAAACATGCCTATCGTAACTTTTTCAACATGGAAGAGATTGCACAATTCCAAAAATTGCAGGTATAATCATAACATACATCCACTTCATGACGGATATTAAATTTCTTCTCAGAGTTCGATTGGGTTATTAGTGTCTGGCTCAATTGTTCTCGAATTTTTCAATCGAGAAAGTTACAATGGAGACCTCGATGCATTCTGTAACATTCGTTACTGTACAATTGCTGGAGAATGGCTAATTTCTCGCGGCTACTCATTCCAACCCAAAGAAAATCAACCTCTCGATTTCAACGACTCCTTCACTCAAATATCCAGCAACAATCAAACACGACTAACCACGACCGACGAAGATTCAGAAAATTATAACTTCAACACAGTTGCTGGAGTTTGGGATTTCATGCGAAACACTTCCAAAATCCAGCTTATTGCTACATGTGGTGCACCTTTAGAATGTATCTTCTGCTTCCATTCAAGTTTGTCAACTAAGTTATTTATCACTGACCTACACATCTACTCACAAACTCCTAGCTTGTGTAATGAATGTGTTCACACATCAGGCAGCATATTGCTTCTTTTCCAAGCTTACTCTAGAAGACAAGACAACAATGCTGATTGACCTTCAAGCCCCACTGACGGAACGACAAATGTATCCTATACGGAAATACGAGCATCGTGGATTTAGTATCATGCATAAGCCTTCATTTAGGCTAATTTGCGATCCATCATCCTCCTTATCTGTTCTAACTCCAAGATACATAGGCGACAAACATTGTTGTCGTGTGCCGTTTCATCAATACGACAGTGATGCAACTGGTATAGATTTTTTGGAGTTCAATAGTTGGGCCATGGCTTACACACCCAATGTCAATACAATCAACATTGCTGTGCTTGATATACCAGGAGCAGTCGTTGATTGTGTACTTGGTCCCAAAAATTTTGCACAAGTCAGAACACAACTTACTGCCATTGAAAGCCTTATCAAGACGGGTGCACTTCGGTACGTATAAATTTCTACGATGAAAAACAACATCATTTGATTTGATGATTAGAACTGATGTAGCCATAATGGCAATTCAAACAATCCTTCGAGATTCAAATCAACAACCAATCCATGAAAGCTCATTCTGGATTGAATTTCAAAAAATATTCAACTACATAAACAATTCTGGACTGGACGTATACCCTGCTACTGCTCAGCAATTGATAGAGTTGTTTACTGTTCTCCGACGCAACTTCGCGACAGTAACTGTGGTTAGTATCTGTCACAACTATTTGCATTTCATCTTGACAATATCAACACGTATTAGGATGATCCCTTCATCAGCCGTGATGCAGATAATGTTACAAGTTTAACATTGATAATGAATATTGGACCTGCAAAAACCCGTATCAATCGGGCAAGGTTGAGCTCATGGGCACGTTCTTTTGCAACTCATAATATAATCATTGTACTGCATCAAAAAATGTAGAATACAATAACGATGGAACACTCATATGTTACAACGCAAGATAAAACCTCTTCACATTGCCATAGTCACATTAAAAAATTAAAACATTCACAACCAGCATTCCCCACAGAACTATTTAACATAAAAGCTCAGCTTTGATGAGAAGATAACAGTATAGAAAACATGCGGTATCACTGTGACGTTTGGCCTCCAAGTAGATGAATACTAGCAGAAGAAAAATCTCATCCGCTGCCAATGTTGCTCTGTTCAGCAATAAGAGTAGTGGGTCGGCTTTTGTGAACAAATGCGGTCCATATCGAACGGCAAAGCGACCTACAATCTTTGGTGTACCATCGCTTTTCACCGTCGTAACCTACATAACTACCAATAATCCATAAAAGATGTTGATCAACCAGAAACTTACTACCATCCACTCATCATTCGTGTACTTCATCTCATACTCCCTTCTCTCAGCCGACTACCTCCAGTACCTTGCCTACGGAACACCGGCTATTCACCTTGGAGTCTCATACAACCATGCGCGGGTTCTGTTCATGAACTTACTTATTCAGGAATCTTTCCTCCCTCTCCTCCTTCAAATCCGAGAACAATGTCCACAAAACACACTTCCCGCGGAACAACTCTCATGCCCTGATTTTTCATTGCGAATCCTATCATTGCAACTCCTACCGACCACCCTCAATACCAGGTATCACATGAGGTACAATCACATCCTCTGTTCGACTGGATATGTTTTGATTTAATCAACCAGCTCGTGCCCTTGTACAATCACGGCGTATTGGAGCTTTGTTCGTCAACGTAACAACCCTTATTGTTCATTATGTGAAATTAACTTCGTCATTGTCCTCTAACTACTGAATATGCCACATTAACGATTGACCATCTCTCTAACCTCACTCCATCTGCGATACACCAGGTTGTCCTTCATCCCGACGGCGTTCATAATATCTACATTGAACGTTCAGCATCATCCCCACTAGAACCAATTGACCCACAATCCACATCAGAATCGATGACTTTCCCTATTCGGCGCTCCTTCACAGAAAACCTTGATCATTATGTGGTACCATTAAATTATTCTAATCCACAAAAGTCTCAAAATCTCTTCTCCAGCATTCGGCGTCACAAACGCACTACTCATAGCACCGACGTTCCGTGGAATAGCATTTAAGACGTAGCACCTCCCACTCCACCTGAGGACAATAAAAATGTTTCTAGATCCAACTTTATATATACCCCAGGCGCACGACTAAGAAGCATACCCAACTCGGATCTTAGGAAGGGTCTTGCGCAATTTGCATTCATATCCCATCCCATACCCTCATCTGACGACGAAGTCATCGTTGAACATGCTAATCCTCCTCCTAAAACATTCCAACCGTTTCCTAGCCCAAGCTGTAACCAAGGTGTAGCATTTATCGGTAGCTCTATGATCGTTCTTTTGGTAAAAGAATGGACTTACCGACTGGTAGGATGGTACACAATTAATTATTATCACCACTAAAGGTTACACTCTTTATCCTGACAAAATTTCAGAAAGCTGCCCTTAGAACAAAGCGAAACGGCGTACCGTATAGAATTCCTTGACAAGGTTTGCAGAATAGTCGTGATTGACAGAATAGCCTAAGCAAAGGCAGTCAGTGCTAATCATAAATCATAATCATAGAGGGTTGAATACCTCTCGAATTGGGTACAAGCACAGAAATTGACTTACATGCGAAATTGAATATTCCATGATAATAGGCAGGAGTAGTGAGCGATTAGCACGGCTGGCCGTGAAGAGCCGTCTTCACAGACGTTCGTGAACAGCGCACGAAGTTCGCCTATTTCGTCCAAATAACAGATCCAAACCCGAGAAGAATGCATTCCTTCACCTTATTTATTTCTGGAAAATGGCAGTCTCGTCATCATACAGGGTTGAATTTTACCGTACAGCACACCTCATTTGACCAAAATTTGACCGTTAGATATCTCACCTGTATCTCGCTTCACTGGATGAATTCTGGAGGGCGACCTCGTTCTCTAACAGGCAAGCGAGTCCATATTCATACGAGCAGGTCATAAACGCCAACGAGAAGCAACGAGCAGGCAACTCACGTCGAGGTCATGACTAAGCAGAGGGGTTCAGAATCACTAATCTTATCGTATGTATAAACGTGGCAATAACGTGGCAATGCGGCAAGAATGTCCATATCAACGAACAATCTTCAACACAAACTGTCACCAGTGCTTCATTTGGTTCCGGGAGTGCTTCGCTTTCAAAACATCCTGTTTTTGCTCTTTCAATACAGCCAGCGTTGAATTCTAATCCCAACTTGTACATTTTGGGAACATGCACAGCCCAAGAAACCAAATGTCCTTTTTCATAAAATATACCGAGAACACCAACATCTGCAGCGCCTCAGCGATATAATCATCGTTGTTTCTATCTGGCCAGTTGAAGGACTTTCCTAAGTCAAATCCCATCTTGAACATGTGTCAATTCTTGATCAGGGCAATCAACCGGCACATCTTCACTCCATTCATACGCCGTCCTCGAGGTTACCGAAACTGATAGAAACATTGGAGATCGGTGATAAAAAGTCTAACGATGGGACTTCTATCTTCAATTTGTTCCCTAATCATGCCAATCCTCAATGGACCTTGAAAAGGCTGGCTGTTTCTCTCGTTTTCCTTCCCAAATCATCTCTCTTATGCGCCCCGCATCCTCATACGACGGAAATACTTCCGACCAGTATACAATACACGAACATCGTATAAGAGGGCTCTCATCTGCCATCTGGCTGACGCAGATACAGCCCTTTCCTCTACAAGCTTCCCCTAGAGAACCACGCATCCTTCGAGCCTACCGTGCAATTGCCACACTGCTGACAACCGACTCCATTGACGAAGGCCCTATCACAATCACTGGTGCGCCTGAAGTCGATGCCTCCCTATGCGTGACGATAGTAGCTCCTCAGTTTCTCAATCCTGTCTCTGGATCTGCACGCGCGTATTTTCGGAAATTTGGCGACCAGAAGCCTTCAATATCAGTCAAAAAAATATCAGTTGAAAATACAGAATCGCGTGCAATGCAGGACCTTCCCGAATTTACCCAGTATGTTTCGTCTTATAATATTGGTCTAATTTTGACATTTTATATTATGTAGGCACGGACCCGCACCTATTGATATAGTGAAGCACAGTGTAGATATGTTTCAAAACCTATTGCACACATCACACACCCCAACTTCTAGCCCGGAGAGCTTGAGGGTCTTCCGCCTAATCTTGAGCCGCTGTTGCATACAGGTAAAAGCCCGTGTAGATGCGGCCCACTTTCTTCTCCATTTCTACGGCGCTATGACCCTCACCAGCGTTTTCAGAGACTGGTCTCCTCGGCCTGAGGATGTGTTGGAGTCTCATGATCCCTGGGAGGCAGTAGAAGATCCGTGTCTTGTGCATGAATTGCAACAAGAACGCATTCCGATGCAGTTTTTCAAGGGCCAGATGCTTTTCCATTTCGGAGTTAAAACCGCTACTCACTGGATGGAAACCTTGCGCAAAACACTTGAGGAATTAGTGGACGCCACAAATCGGTATGCCTTGAAGGATTCATCAGGACCCCATCTCACTAGAATGGCGAAAGCGATGAGAACACTGGCACATCTTCTGAATACCCAGCCTATTCAAAAGATTTTCGATTCACGGTCTCTCCAAACACAATTGGACATGCTGCGTAAGAGGAGATCTCACCTTTCGATTGATGTAGTGCCAGCCGGCTTAGTTTTGAAGATTATTGGTAAGATGACTTCAGTCTATCAGTAGGATTTGTAGAAAATATTCTGCGAAACTGACACCATTCTGTAGAAGATGAACGTCAAATCGGCGAGACAGCAGGACATCATGTACTGCGTTATCTTTTTTCGTTGGTTACGTGGTATAAGGCAGCCACAGTAGATCTTCCCAGCCTCATGAGGCGCTTGGCCAATACCCCTCCAGTTCTATATATCGTACGGATTCCAGTTCTACGCCCTCAGGCAAAGGCAAAAATGCACTCTCCTATCTTCATCGCTAGAGAAGAATTGAATCGGTTTCTTACCTCGGGAGATATTGAATATGCTTACACATCAAGGGAACTGCACAAATTTAATACCGCACTCGATGAGCTCTTCGCGAGGAGACCGGCAGTACCTTACCTTACTTCGTCCACATCACTAAATGGAACCCCTTCAGAGGATTTCCCCGGAACCGTGCATTCAGCAGGCATTGCTCTCGCCGTGATGAACGGCGACTCATCTTCCAGCTCCCCTTATCCGACGTCTCCTCATTGGGTCCCAACGGAGACAAAACCTAGGAAACCTCGAACTATTCTGTCTTCTGCTCACTCAAGTCATATCTCTCCTGAGTACCTTGTTAGGCCCCCTCATGGGGGTTTCACCACATCGTCTAAAAAGTGCTGCTATTGCTGCAGTCTTTTAGACGAGATTCTTTCTTCATCTGCTCACAATTCTTCCAGCCCTGATAGTTTTTCAGAACCAACTGCGCCGTTCAAAGACCACTATGGGATCGTCATCCCTTGGACTCCACCTCCCCTCGGATACGGACTGGGCGTCAAGACCCTGGCGCTGTTAGAACGCGAACTGACTGCCCTACTATTAGGAGGCATTCTTAAGAATTTAGACCATGTGTTTTCAACAACTAATGAAGCTAGAGCACATCTTGATGACGACATGTTCGCCTCTTGCTCTGGATCTTCTCACTCTCAAATACCCGGCCGCCTGCAACATTCCTCTAGGCTACCGACAGTATTCGAGATCTCAGAAAGTAATCGTAGCAATAGTAACCACTCACGAACCAACGGGGAGCGCTCCTATTAACAACAACTTCGTTCCTCTCAATCTCATACTTTTCTGCTCCTTCATCCGGACGTTTGTTCAATGCTTCCTCGTTGTATATCGATCGCTTCATCACCGTAGTTCTGTCTTGCGTCTTTGAACTTTCTTGTACATCATTAAGCAGTACTTCGAAATATCCAACGTCTCCTGAACTTTTTGTTTAACCTTTCTACTTCAGTCATGTACAGTACTCCTGGACATGATACTCGACATCGTTTCCCCACATTGAAAAATCATTCCACCGTATAGGTTACCACCCCGACACTTTTTTCCATGCTTTAGGAACCAGCTAACCAAAGAACGAAAAACCGGGGACAACGTGACTTTTGCGAATGTTATACGTTCCGTTACCTGATTTCGAAAACGGCGCTGCGAGAGTTAATGCGACAGCGACGTCATCTCGGACTGCATGCATTATACTGTACATATGACGCTGGACAGAGAGCTTCATGGATGACAGGATCGAATATCGATAAATCCCCAAGCTCTTCGAAAGTCAGTGGACCGAATTTTCTCGAGTGACCAGAGAAGATCAGCCACATTGTTAAAAGATGTATGTTGTTGCTATAGTTCTTAGGATCTGGAAAAACGCGTCCGGGAGGGAGCTCGCACGGTGGAATGGTTCCAAGGGTATGTTGATGAGTGTATTTAAGGAATACACCGATGGGAATGGCGAGAAGATTGGTTTCGGTTTCAGTAAGGGCGCGGATAGCCCGTATTAACTTTCCGGGCCAGGTAAGCCGGGGAGAAATGCAGAGAAACTAGAACAAACTGGCCTCTGCAAACGATACGTCCTAATACCTGAATTCGATAATGCGACTGCCAGCGTTGGCAGGGTAACGACGTCATATCCGACTGCATACATTATACTGTACACAGGCGGATAGACACAGATAGCTTCACCGATGACACAATAGAATGTGGTCAGATTCCGAAGATCCTCATATGCCAGTGTACTAAACCTGCCCTGCCGACCATTGATGCCAAACTATTTGACTTGCTCTTAGTCTGATGCTTTACTATAAGCAAGGAAAACACAGGAATAACATCAGAAAAAATACCACAATGAAAACAAAGCTCACGCCACGTCCTCTCCATCAACAAAATGCAGTAAAGCCCACGAACCGGTAGCAGAAGATATATGTTGGCCGACCATAACCAGCGCTATCATAATCTGTGCAATTTCGTGGTCCCGCAGACTTTTACCAGAGCAATATTTCTCGTTCATAAGTGCGGCAAGCATGTCCTGCTGTGTAATATCGTATCAACGAGTGAACGAAGTTCGACTGAAAAAAACATCCTAACCGGTGACATTTCCTAATCTTTAACTGATGATCCCTCTCTTCCTCCAATAGCGGCCCAACTACCACACCTCCCTCATATACATCTGCCACTCTTACCCCTCTAATCCTCTACGCCACGAAAAATAACAATGTTCAAGTATGATCAAAAGCAACAACTAATAAAACTCACTACCAAGCAAAAAAAAAAATAACAAAATCCTTTCATTGACAACTTGCCTTAATTAATGAAACCCAACAAATGACTAGGAAATCATGTCAAACTCAAACCACCCAATACATATCACAACCTAAAAACAAATTCTACCGACAACACACACACAATGCATTACTTTCACTCACTCAAGATATATAAATACATGTGTGCCTTTCTTCCATTCAATTCCATCATATCTACAGCAGCTTCCCTATTAAATAACATATCATGCTGAAATACTCCTTCATTGATCTGACCATCATATGACCACATACCAGATCCATTAATTACTCTGGCAGTAAAATGATTTTCACCGTAGTATATTATTGAATTCAAGGAATATCTTAAACATATATTTGTGTTATACAATGGTACAATCAACTCATATGATGGAATGATATCACTCACACCATTTAACTCAAACACAATTACTTGTTTTGAATCTCTACTTAACAGTAATGTCGAAGCACAATCTTGGTTACATGTTATGTTACTACTTAGATCAACATGATTAACTGTATACAAAACATCAATATAATCCTGCACAGAACTAATTTCATGTTTATATGAAAATAATGGTTCCAACTGTTCAGCAAGCAGATTATAACACTTTGCACTTCCTATATATCTGTTTGTAAAGTTATGCAAACTACATACACCACTCAATTCCAAGTATACATTACTCCATTCACACACATGAGATTGTACAAGTGTTGATACAGGTAAAAGAACATGACCATGTTGCATGTAACCACTACCAAAAACATCAAATACCTCATTGCGCCATATATCACGCATCAAATTCCACATTGATGTATACATTTGCTTCTCATGACTGTTACAAAGTTCTTGCAAATGACTGAACACCTGTTTCGACGGAGATTGATTATACCACAAATTGCGACTAGCAACAGACATACACTCATAGCAATTATATAACACAACAAATGCAGTATCGAAACAACAACTCCAATTATTGCTATCCCATGAAGGCCCTCTTGATGTAATGCTCACATCCTTAATCAATGAATGTTCATCATGCCTAACTTTCATTAATTTATGTACCTTTTCATTATTCTCAACATTTTCATGCTTCCGTTTAGTACCATTATATCCAGTAAATTCATAATGCACCACAGAAAACTTGAACCTTTGTTCACCCTCTGCATCTGGAACATCCTTCAATTCACCCTTTTCAAATCCCCAAATAATCTTTGTATTATGTGCCATGACTTCAAAACGCCTTGCTTCAAACCAAAGATCATAAGGAATAACAGGCAAATTCAAATCATCTATTGTAACTTTCTTGGTTATAAACAAACCTTCTCGGCTACGAGGCCTTGACACAGAAACATATGCACCATATCCACCCAAATGCAACATACATAAAATTGCTCTCAAAGTATGACCTTGAGCTCCTTGGCCAGTAAGAGCAAATAACGGCTCAAAGGGTAGTTGCATTCTCACAACAGACACTAAAACTTTTTTACATTCTTCATTGACTATATATGTAGTATACCTCCATGACCTTGCTTTAATAGGAAAATATCCCTTTGGTAATCCTGAAAGTTGTGCCTTGCTGTCAGGAAATTCAACCAATGCATATCTACAACATGTAAGACCATTACTATCAGTTGATAATTCCAACTTTCTCAAATAACCCCTTGATCCATTTGTAATACCCAATTCAGTATTCAGATTTTCATGCTTTAATATCACTGGCATTCCAATATATAGATTCAATATACCTGGCAAACCTGCTCTTAACTTGCCAGATGAAGTATCCATTGCTAACAACTGTGCTTGCTCAAAAGGTGATGGAACCAGCTTTTTACTACTAGAACCTAATTTACCACCATCTTTATACTGAATCTGATCATATGCAACTACTGTAACCAAACTAGGAGAGTGTATGCCTCTACATATAGCTGCAGCTTTATATCCATTCAAGGCTCTACGCAAAGAATTTTTTGATACAATTATGGAAGCAAGGTACTGTGATTCATCATCAAAAACCACCCCATTCGGATTACGTGAAGTCTTGATTGCACGACTGTTGAAAAGATCCACATCTGCACTGTTACATTGACGCAACCTCAAACGCCCTACAGCTGCTGCGTACTCAACATCACCCTCCATACGTTTCTGTTTATGTAATTCAACAACAGTATTTATTGACTTCCATGCCATACGGCCTAACCTGCGCATTAACTCTTCATCTGTCTGTCTACCAGAACAACGTATCGGAACATAAAGAGGTGTTCCAACAGGTGGATATTGAAAAGGATCTCCACAAAATATAACATTAACTCCACCAAAAAAATCATCTGGTTTTTCTTTTGCATAACGCAATGATCCATCAATGTCAGCCAACAAAATTGAATCCACCATTGAAACTTCATCAATCAACAGCAAACAAACATCCTTCCATTCTCTACGCAAGGAATTATTTTTCTTAACAGTAGCAAATATAGCAACATTTTCATTCAACTCCCCTAAAGGCCGCTTGGATCTCCCATTCTTAAATTCTCTAACAGAAATATTCAAGCCACTATGTATGGTTTTACCATTAACTAAAGAGGCTGCATTACCTGTAGGTGCAAGTGCCCGATAAGTATGCTCCATGCTATAATACTCCATTACCTTCTGAACTGCACGAATAATATGAGTCTTTCCTGTTCCGCCAGGACCTGTCAGATTCATCACCAATGCTTCCTTTGCAGTCCACTCAGGTATCTTCAATATTTCTCGAAATATAACCACAGATGATATAATCTCAAATGCAACTAATTGTTCATCATTCAAATCAAATTCCTGTGCTATTCTATCTTTTAACTGCATTGGTGTATACTGTTCAGAATTCACATCTGACACTTCACCACAACCAATACTATTATAATATGTGCCACTTCCTTCTGAAACACAACTTTCTTGATTACTAGAATCTTGAACTGCTATGTTGCTTTTGCTATAACGAGCACTTGCAACTTTATCTGCAATTAACTTTCCTTCATTAATCCATTTTTGCACATTATTCTCATTCAACGTAACATTCAAACTATTATTTGAACTTATCCAAATAGATTCTTTCAATTTAGAAGATGGTTCCTTCAACCATGCTGCACATGTCAAATCTGATCTTAACAGCTCTAATTCCTGAATATCCAATGCAGACCTTGCACTTTTATTTTTCAAACTACTGGGTACAACAAAAGCGCTGAGTTCATCATCATTATCCAACACAGAATAAACATCAGGAGGTAATTGTACAGAATTAGCTAAAAAATCCGATCTTTTCCTCAACCTCTCAGCATCTCTCTGATCAGCACATTCATGTATTTCTTCCCAATTACACAATATTCTTTTATGTTCTTCACACAATATTAAACTTTCCAATTCTACTTCAACAACATCTTCAATCAATTTGTTTAAAGTGGAGAATGGCTTGAAATGAGCAAGAACAAACAAAGCATAATCTTTGTGATGTTTACGAGGAGGCACTATTCCAACCATTACAGGCACAAACTCTTTCCCAACATCACCTTGCCTGTAATTAGTATGCCGAATGAGTTCATGTGTCTCATACAATGGATGACCAGCCATAAGTTTATACCTTCTTAAAACACCTAAACGTGTATCAGAAGTATTTACAGTTTTGCTTTTACTCTGCAATTGCAATGAAACATACCTGATAAAATCATAAAAGCACATATCAAACAGCATTGCATCACGATACCAATAATCAATAATCTGACTATAACTGAACATCTTTCCATCTTTGAAGCCTAGTGAAAGCTGAATATCTACTTCACTTCCTTCATTATTGGAACCATCACTCCTAACATCAAGCTTATACAATTGTTTCACAAATGACATTAAATTACCAGAAGGTAATATAGCACTTTGATGAGAAAACATATTATCTCCAAGTCTTCTCAAATACCTTGCACATTGCTGTGCATGAATCTGCTGCTTACGGCCAAAATGGGTCAAACACCTATGTAACAATTTTTTTGAAGCAATAACTGGATCATTATCCACTTCCTCCGTTGCTAATGAAGCAACGGCCTTAGACAATGTTGATAAAAGAATATCTGTACTTAATGGCATTTTTGTAATATAATCAGATATATAAAACATTGCAGCCTTAGCAGCCTTTCCTGACAAGATACACTTAAGATCATGATTATGCCTAGTATATACTAGCAAATCAGGATTGTGACCATTAACATCACTTTCTTTACGACAAAAGATTATTGAATTTTCCTCAATGTCATAACTGGAACTTTCAATGATTTTATGAGGATAGCCAAACCTACAGCTGCTACTGCTACTTCGTCCTTTATAACAAACAGGTCGACATTTATGCCGCTGGAACCGCTCCCCTATCTTTTTATGCTCATCTTCAAATAACCTTTGCCAATCTGAATGCATTACACTATCATTGCCATTATTGTCAAATAAATGTGGTGGCATTTCAATCCGAGGTTCATAACCTTCAGCCAATGGACAATCAACTTTAGGAAGATGATGATGTATAATATCATCAAAAAATGTCAGAAATTGTGAGGAATACCCTTCAACTTCACGCATTTTCTGATGAACCTCAGATGGATTTAAACCTCCACGAAGAAATAACAAGTAATGACCATGAAAACAGCCTCTCTCTGTAAGCTCTGCGCAACCAAAGAATGCTCGAAGATGACCGAAAATCCCTCCATCAACAGTACTTTTACCAGCTTTAAAATCCCATCCAAACAAATGCTCAAAAACAGTATGGTACATGAAATCAAAAAAATCAGCAGCAGCAACAGGATCCTTGACAACACGACAAGCACGTTCACTACGTGGATGAACTACATAGGGAAAACGTTCTGCCAAATCTACTTTATCCTCCCCATATATCACCTGAAACACAGGGCTGTGAACCGCTGATGGATTAAGAGTCAAAAACAAATGTGGCAAACCAAAATAAGCATAGTAACTGCGTATCTGATTCCTTGTAGCAGTCTTTGACGCTTGTGAACCAGGAATTTTAGCAGCAATTATATTCACCTGCTTCAATAACTGAAAAGCATCCAATTCTTCATCTGAAAACTCTACTTCATCTTTTTCATTCTTTAATTTATCTGCTAAATCAGACAACACAGATGAAGATATACTCAACAACATCGGAGCAAGTGCAGAAAATTTGTTTGATGATATCCATAATGTTGTATGAAGATGAGCTTTTCTTCGCTGAATGACATTCAAAGCAACAAATGAAAAAAAATGATGGTAACGAAACTCATGAGTACTCTGATCAAGAAGATGCTCAACATGCGCTTCCAAAGAAACAGCAGGCCTACGGCGACGATCCTCAAAACCCCCAATACCCAATGGAAATAATGTTGGAAACATGCCAGGAAATAGATCCGGATTATTGTATTCATCAATTGGATCTTTCTCATACTTCACAATAACATCCTTATTATTTACTGGCAATGATTGAGCAATATTATTAATTGATGATGCAGTCATAAACCGTGCTGGGACATCTTGTGACTCTGCATCATATATGCCTGAACGTTCCAACAATACATTCTCTTGTTCTGAATCAACCAATAACTCTGCAGGATGACTATCAAATCCAACTGACTCAACACCAAAAAGATCATCAACAGAACTATCATGATCATAAACAATCCGTTCCTGCAACCCTGGAAGCAAATCATTGTCAGGATATAATTCCAACATACTATTATCCAATGTGTACAAGCCTGTATACAAACGATTGCGATGACACAAATCAGATAATAACATCCGGATAACACTTCTACGAACAAAGTATGGCTTTAACTTCCTCAAATCATCATGTTTCAGCCTTGCTTTACTCACAAACACCACAGTAATTAAATCATTCAAATCTGCGGGGCTCCACGGCAATTTTTTTGCAACAGAACAAATGTCAAGTGGATGAGCACACACATTTCCATGCAACTGTAAAGAATCACCAGCATTTGATGATCCATATATACGAGTAACATGTGCTGATGTATGATATATAGCACATGCCATTTCCTCAACCCAAGTAATATCTTCAATACCTTCTATCAACTCTCCCCTATACAGATGGTTATTCAAAGCTAATCGAGGCATAGAAACACGACGCAAACAATTATAACACTCTTGGCAAAAATAAATTTCAAATGAAGAACAATCTATATCAGTAGAACGTATACCACGCTTGTCCAACAACAAACCATCCAGAGCTCTGCAAATATACGTAAACCGAGATTGAGGTGTTTGTGCCAAAATGAAAGGATCCGTAACTTTTAGAACAGACAAACTAGGCCACTCTGATTCCAGCCTGTAACAACCAGTATACAACTGATCAGCAGAACCACAACATGCACATATTTCTGGTACAACATATTGCACTGCCTGCCGATAGTTGTATAAACACTTCATTCGAACATCAACAGGAACAACTTGCGGCCAAATGTTAGATGATTTGTGCAATAGATCATATTCATCATTTGCATGCTGTATCCTGCTATCCCTCCTTTTGTCTTTTTTATCCACATTTTCTTTCGATTGAAACACATACTGTTCAGGAATAGCATGAACTATATCATCCAACAACGTCTCTGTGTACCCTATTGCAACCAACAACTTCAATATAACACCTCGCAATTCCATGCCAACAAATACTGAACCATAACAATACAAGTATCTGTCTGAAAGTGTAACATCATCCATACTGAAAAAATATCTATAATCCCTCTGAAAACATTTAGCTAACAACTTGAACAAATTATTTGATCTCATTTCAGAGAACCCATGTGGAGATGGACAACAAAAAATAGGTGATAAAGTTGATCCTCTTTCACATATTTTCAGAGCTTGTTTCACTCTCACCAACTCATCTGCAGACAACTGTTCAAACACAGACATTATCACAGGTAAAAATTCATTATCTATCAACAACTCAACACATCGACCAACTTGAACATGCACTTTAAGATGACAATGTAATGTATTCACTACAGCTAAACCAAATTCTACAACACATTGTTGATGTACATATGAGTACAAACAAATATCTTCTAGTCCAACCACAAAACTCCTACTGGAGAAATTCAACAATGCTTGGATAACATTATCCAATGCAACATCATGTTTAACCCGCTTTGTGGAGATAATCAATTTCTGTGTCGACAACTTGCTTAGATGAACCCGACAGCTATCAATATGTTCTGGTAACAACCAGAGAGGAACATTGCCACTCAATGTAACAGCGGTACGCAGCAATGAATCCATAGTCAAACACAATCACCATTGAAGTATACTACAAAACCTGTTATATACAACATTGTTTGGCCATCTAACATGCTCTATCTCAATTGAGTTACCATTCGTTTCAACGGCCATGACCAACAAAAAATGCACATTCTCATATATTCTCGGACGCAACCGAAAATCTATAAACATTCCAAAATCCAATCTATACCTAAATATCACATCTCATTCTATTTACTCCAACTCCGCCACAATCAGCAAGTACACAATCACCTTGATTACTACAAGTAGATAGAAGCAAGATACACAACACCAGCAGACCGACACTGATCAAATGGAAACCACCGAGATCGTACGTATGTATACAGCTAAGAAAAGAAGTACCAATCTCGTAAAGATAAAGTCTATTAACAACCGACAACACATTACTTTTCTCGGACTAAACACAGCAAACAGTTGACTCCAAAAGTTCAATGAATGCAACTATCCCTTTACCCTTTATATCATATGTAGCATATAACGTATCTATAACGTATCTACATGAAATAAATTGACATCACAGGACAGAATCACGGATTAACTTCGCATCATTGCAATCTGATCTCACAAAACGCCACCGTTTCATCCCTACAAGGACCTCCTCCTTCAGAGTCGGTGAAGCAAGGACAACAACAGAGAGATAACGATAGAGAATAGAATAACTAACACGATCAAGGCGACGGATTCTCATAGCTCTTCCAATCAACCCCATCCTTCCACAATGTTTCCTCCGACCCTCAAATTTGAAAAGAGCTGGCATCCACACTTCCCGAACCCCTCCGAGCTTCACACCCCAGCTCCACCACATCCCCCAAGATTAATCAATCCCCATCGTCCCTTGGCTCATAAAATGTATTATAATGCATTTGATTTGGATCCATAACACGTATAATATTATGCAAACTCTCCGGATCTTCTTCGTCCGGCTCGACGATATTCTGACCTTTCCGGCCATCGTCTTGGTCGTCTTCGAACCATCCAGCGGGGTCGTCGTCGTCGTCGTCGTCTTCGACGTCTTCGAGATCGGATTCAGAGGGTTTGTAGTTCCTGCAATGTGTGGGAAGATAAGGAAGTAAATGGGTAAGCCGATGAGAGAAAGGGGAAGAATGGCAAGAAAGAAAGTAAAAGAAAGGAGAGAAACACGTACATGAACGCCCATATTCTCGCCTCCCTCTCTTCTCTTGACATAACTTCGTTCTGCATGGGATAGCCATGATGCATGCGCTTCTCTTCGATTCTTTGTTTGCGTTGAAGGTCATGAACATGTGCACGCTGTTCGATCTCGATGGCTTCGTCCATTCCGAGCATCCCTATATGTGACGGTCCAGCTGTGGCGCCCTGCACAACAAGTATACAATTAATCAATGATCTCAGTTGAAGTATTTAATGCGGGGAAGTGCAAGATATAGGATAGACAGAGAAGAACAAAAAAAACTCACAAATCTAGCTATCGCCCTCTTCTTCGCATCTATCGCGTTCTTCATCGGGTGAGCAGGCTCCGGCTTCATCTCAACATCATCAATACCTATCATAGACTCGGAATCATCGTCGCCTGTAATCCTAGTATTCTTCAGTCCGGTGTTAATCACTTCCATTCCGTGGACTTCTACCAGTTGTTCTTGGATCGCTGCTTGTTCAGCGGTTATTCGTTGGACGTATGAGGATGATGTTGCATTGCTAGGGTGTATGATACATATAATATATATATATGTACACACGTTGGAGCAAAGAGTACGTGAAGGAGGGTAAGAGGGGAGTAATAGTAAGTAACAAAATACCACGACAAATCGAACAAAGGGAAACCCACCTAGAAGCCAATATCTTTGCATTCCTGCTGAACTTGTTCTGCAGCTCCCACACTGACATCTCCGAGATCGGTGTTTGTTTGGGCTTGTGAGAAAGGAATCCTGGCGGGACAGCTGATCTATGACTGTTGCTCCTCGGTCGGCGGTGCGTAGGCGACGTCGAGCCTGAACGATGTTCTGAGCGTCGTATTGGTGAATGTGGTGAATTTGGCGGGGAGGACATTGTTGGTTCTCTAGTCGATTGGTCGATGAGAAAAACGTTGGGTTTGTGATGTTGTGACGTCCGGATATTGTTGGTTTAATGACCAGACAGTATCAAGGAGATTACCAGCTGTGTCCCACTTTCTCCAGATAATGCGCAGTTGTATGTTAGTTGGTCTGTAAAGGTGATCAAGTAAATCGAGCAAACAAATCGTTGGGATCCGCTGCTCAATTTATACGTATTCCGGCGCTTGTGTTTCCTTATTAGGGTAGTCGACGCCTGGATCTCCTGACGTCCGGTGATGGCCATTAGACTTGTAATGCTGTACTGACGCCGCCCTCCAATTGACAACCAATATTGTCCCAAAAGTACAAGCGCTTGAAACAGAAGGCAATAAGAGGCCAAATAAAGCAACTCTTCACGTAGTACTATTTAGACCAGACTATCTGAGTATTCATCTATAAGTTTATCAGCTGCTATTGCCACCCGTGAATGAGGATTTTATCTCGACAGCTTAGTTGAAATCACTGGACTCGAATAGGACCAGTTTTATATCCTCTCAGTGTGAGCGGTACTCCAAAACTCCGCACTCCCTCCTCTCTCCTGCCCATTATCCCTACAATTCTAGGCATCCCCGAACTATGACACATGTTAAATATTGCAGATGAGCCCGCGAATGTTTGACCTATGGTGAATGTGGAACGTTGAATGGGAGAATCAGATAGGAAATAATAATCATCATAAGGAACTTCATAAATGAGGTCAAAATATAGCAAATACCTTTCTCCTCGCCTGTTCGATTGCAGATGACTACGATGGTTCTTCTATCGGACGCGCAAACTCCTCCTTGCACTTCTTCCTCGTCCTTGGATTCTTTTTGTTCTTTAGCACTGCTATTGCTACCGGAAAGACGCGCCTGAATAGTATCATGTTGCCGCAATGATGATGATGCCCCGCCCTGAACCCATAGTGGTTTTAATCTGGTAGCCCAGAATTCAACTGTGGTCCAATCAAATATATCGCCAAAGTCCTTTTCATTTTCCTCCTCCTTTCCCCAGTCCGCCTTCATCTTCTTCATCACTTCTCCATCGTCCGAGAGCTTTGACTCATAATGTTTGACCCGGGAATCCAACCACGCATTCAACATCACTACCACATCCACATCCTCCTTCAGTGCATACTCCGCAACTTCGTATGGCGGTCCCCTGGTCTTCCAATCAGCTGGAGGCTGCGCATTGAGGTCCATGCAGATCCCAAGTGTCAGTCTGCCTATAGGGGGTGGGAGGACGAATGAGGCGAAACCGGAGCCTGGAATTTGGGAATCAGAATCACGGGTTATGGGAAGTTGAGGAAATATGAGGAAAAATAGTTGGCAATAAAGTATTAAAAACGGAGCGAATATCAAATCCTAACCTGCCTTTGCCCAAGTCCTATCGGTAGCGAACAAGTTTGTTTTGCGATAGTTACCAATGAAATATCCGTTGGGTCCACAGAGTACTGCACTGTTGGCACCGACAATCGACGAACCTGGAGTCGATATCGCATCTGTTACATCAGAAATACCTGTATTCTCCGCAGACTGTGGGATCTGTGAGCCCGGGGACTGTAGGTAAATTCAAGCTATGTATGCAACGGAACGACACTGACTTGGCTCGAAATTTCACGATCTGAGAGCTGTTCCGGATAGCCAGCCAAGACATAGCATCCTAGTCCCCGGGCAAGGCTTGCGCACATCTGCGACGTCGGGCCTACCTGCGGGAGTTCGAGGAACGGGGATATCTCGTTGGAGTCTTCGAATACATAGCCTAAGTACATGAAAGTGTGGTCAACAAGAGAATGATACAATTTGCACATATATATATGTTTCGAGTGGCAGAGAAATCAACTTACCTGACAGTATCATCTCCGGAAAACATAATAAATCGATCGTTCCCGGCTCGATACTACACATACGAAGGTCAAAGTGACGTAGAAGAACGAATCAAATCGGACACAGTAGATGCGATGAATATGAATGATTTACACGTACGTAGAGCACAGTTCCTTTGCTCTCCGTGCATTGGCCTCGACCTGGCCAACCTGTGAATAGTGATTGAGCCGTGAATTCAGTATTGAAACATTCGTACAAATCTCGGACCCGGAAGAGAGCTCACTTTTGGAGAGAATTGGACGAGTGCGATACGTAGTTCTTGAGCCTCCTGGGACTGGTACATTGAAGATTGAGGTTAGCTGAGGTTAGCTGAGATTTAGCGGAGCGGAAGACGGAAGGACAAGGACCGATAGTTCCGTTGAACCTCGTCGACAAACAGATTAACATTTACTTAGTATTTTGTGTCTATACATAGTACATATACTCTATAGATTGCCTCAGAGATTATAAACAAACCAAGCGCTCCTATCTCCCAATCCACTCTTTTCCTCTTTCTCTTGCTCCACTGTCGTCCTCCTCCTATTCTCCGCCTTCTTCTTGTTCTGACTCCACAAATACCCCAAATTAATGGCACCAAAAATCGCCATAAATAAACTAAAGACTAGCAATGTGATAGTTGCAGAAGTGTATTCCGGTGCAGGACTCAGAGAGCCTAGAAGCCATGTAGCAAGGATGCCTCCAGAGTTAGTCATGATGAACCCTATAGCAATAGCTGTTGCACGCCGGGTCTGGGGAGCAGCGTTGTTTGAGCTCCAGGCAGACAGTGTGGGTGCGGTGGTGTATGTTCCTGGTATGGAAAAGAAGAGGGAACCGTATTGAATGTGGTGCGATCGGGAGCCTGGTTGCCGAAAATTGATTGATTCAGTAGTCAGCAGTGGAATTAGAATTGAATATTCGAGGAATCAGTCGGCATACCCAAGAACATCGCAAAGCCAATGACGCAGAACAGTGAAGACACGATGACAATAAGCCCACGGCATTGATATCGGTCAGATATGAAGGCTGAAATCATGGCGACAACGAATCCCACAGCAAACGGCGGCACGGTCATCAACTGGGCTTTGGCTGCGGTGTATCCAAGTCCTTGAATAATTGATGGTGCAAAACTACAAATAACGAATTCCCATGAGTTCGGCAACTCCATCAAATTCCGAGGCTCGAAAAGTCCTCTCTCAAGGCGCATCGAAGCAAAGTTGACTCACTATGCCAACGAATACAACACCACCCCATCGAGGAAGAACGCAATGGCAAGGAACCAAACCTGCGGAAGCTTCGTCGCTTCCAAAACCTCCTTCCAGCTGAAACTTTCTTCCTCATCCGTATGAGCGTTGTCTTCCAATAACTTAGCATTGACGTAGCGTTTTTCTTCCGCAGTCAAAAACCACGCCGTATCCACAGATCTAGGAAGAGTGAAATACGAAGAGAGACCAAACAAGACGGTGAATAATCCTTCGAGAATAAATATCCAAGCCCAGCCTGGCCGGTTTCCAATTCCTTCCATGTGGATGATGGCGTAGGCTAGGATACCGGAAAATGCGCCAGAGACAGAAGCTGAAGAGAAGAAGGTGGAAACACTGTGAAGAATGTGTGAGTAAGGATTCAAGGATCACATTATTTTCTTGTGACTGACCGCAAGTTCATTTTGTATCGAGGGTAAAAGTATGAGAGATACAGCACAAGACCTGGGAATACCCCACCCTCGCATAGACCAAGAAAGAACCGACACGCGACGAGACCTGAATATGATTTTACGATGCCCTGAAGCGTAGAAACGATACCCCAGAGCGTCAACATTGTCGGAAGCATGAGGTTGGGTCCTACAGCCTGGTTCATTATTTCTAGATTTTAGTATCTCCAAGCGATGAAGGAAGGAAATATGTGCTTTCACCTTGAGCATTAGGTTCGAAGGAAGCTCTGCTACAATATACGGGACGTATGTCACAGTGAGCGCAATACTATATTGCTTGTTCGTCATTTTGAGGCCGGTTTGTAGTCCAGCTACGCGAGCATTGCCTACGTTCGTTCGGTCCTAGAAATGAAAGCAGACGTCAGCAATGTGATCTCTGTGAAATATACTAATAGCTACTGATAGATGCTCAGTAGTAAGTGTTGGATGGAACTCACCAGAAACGAAAGGAGGTAAAACATTGCCACAATAGGCAAAACATACGTATCTATCTTGCGCCAGACTTTCTTCTCCATAGCTGGGTCTTCACCAACGGTAACGTAGTGGCCACCAGAGCTACGGTAGCTGCCGATGGATGATGACTCTGTAGCATCTTTAGTATCTCTAGCACTATCGGTGCTTTGAACAGATTTAGCCATGAAGAAGACCGAGGGGTGATTGGGTGGAGGATATGGTGTGGTACAGGCAAGAAGCAGTGGAAGAACTAGGTGATCAGTAGGTGAGAAATGGCTTCAGATTTTCGTTGGCGGAGCAACCATTTGCTTTAAAAGTTCGGTTTTCTCCTTCAAAAGGTTGAGCGATTCCCGGCCAGAAGACACTTTCATTTCTTAACAGTAATTGGCATGACTGATGAGTCGGATTGTGTTGAATTTGTGTGCGCGTGGTATGTAGTTCATAATTCGGCGTTAGGAACGGGGGTTTCATACACTGACAAGACGAACCGACCGCGTGGGCCACAGTGTAATTCACACGAGGCCAAGCTGAGCTTCGCTCGAAGAGTCCTTTGTCTGCTTTACATATTGACTACTTTTTCGCGATTGTAGACCCTTTACTCTTGATAATATCAACTTCGTAGCCACAGCAGCCGATCTCTGTTTGCATCTTGTTTGGATCATGAACGTCAAACGAGTTTACAAACTTGAACGCAAAAAAAGCAGTGAATATTTTTAGTAAATGTACCCCACTACATTGATAGATCTAATGACATTCCAGACAAGTCTTTTTCAGGGTAGAATATTTCAACTAGCCTTACGAAAGTCGTCTCTACGCATTGCAGCAAGCAGTGGCAACTGAGATGTCAATTTACTTGGCTGGTGATAGTGTACAATATTAATCAGTATACTATATTGAAATTGTTCTTCGATCTTCGCATCACATATGTATAGCACCTAGCCCTCGAGAGGTCCCTTGAGCACTGTGTTGCCATGAAAAGCGCATGATATGTACAATATGAAAATACCGTCATGATCTCGATACTCTGACATTCCAGCCGTATTCGCTTTGTAGATTCGCTGTTCGGAATCTGATTTTTCCTGGTGGTCGACATTTTCCCAAGATTATGGGAGAACGTATATCCGAGTAGCCGTTGTTAAGGAAGGATACTACTTGCCAGAGAGCCTGAGATATACGGTCAGAAGTTTCATGGTTGTTTTCGACCTTCTGGCATATAATCAGAAATAGATTGCGAAGTCGAACATTTTTATCAACTAATTGCTAAGAACGAAAGATTGTCCATAAAAATCATCAATGAAGAGTTAATTACAAGATAATTTACACCCAGGAACTCCTTGAAGTGAAAGTGATGAGTCTACTGAGCTATCCCAGTAGCTGGCCGACTAGAGTCGACGGGGTCCTCGATTCTTTCCACAACCTGTTTGGAAATGATTCGAGACAGCGAAAAGATTATTTCCGTCATACACACACCTTGGTGACTGTGATTTCGAACCCTTCCGAACCGTGGTATATAGAACCTTGCGACTGTGCGCTAACCGCTTCAAAAGTCTTTGCACTCTCAAGCTCGTACACATCGGGCGTACTCATTATCTATGAAAGAAATCAGACTCCCAGCCAGCGCCGTATAGAACAATACACACGTTATGTGAACTGTCTGCGAATCTTATGCCAGTCTGATACGTTGTCAACAGTTGTTATTTTCGACCGTTTTACTGGAGACTCACATGTCTTATGATATCACCCCTGGGTGACGTAGGATCCATTGCACTGCGGAAGGCACCAGACTGAGAGTTCTGGCTGGAGCTCAAAATCCGCGAACGAGCATTCAAGTTTGATAATAAGCAGTTGGTGTAAAGCTTTGATAATGATAGATCCCAAAGAAAATTCCTGTAAACAGTCAAATTAATGACGGATTTCCAGAAGAGATCGAGGTATTCACAGTGCCGTATGCTGTCGAGATTTTCATTGAGCACTCCTGAAAGGCGCGGTTTGAGTCCACATACCGGTAAAGCCATAAAGAACGCTACATCGCCAATAGCAAATATCGCACTAGTTGTGCAGGAACGTTAATCAACCGTTACTGGGGGGAGCAGGATAGTTCCGCACGTTATCATACCGGTTTGCACAGTCACTGTATAAGGGTTACGATCATTAGATGATCAAGGTTTTTTCGTACGATACAAAGCATGCGATTCTTACTTCTAATGAGCTTATCTATTGCTGAGTCTGTGGCACCAAAACCAGTCTTGCGTTTGGACTGGTACAAAAGGAGATGATCAGCGTGAAATCGGTAGCCATTATACATGCACTTACCAAGCTCCGAACCAGAGTGAACGTAATGAGCAAATCCGCAACACAAGAGGGAATAAACCACAGTAAAGCCGACCAATGTAATTCTGGTTTCTTGCTGAAGAGCTTGAGAATAGCTATTTTCACTCCCGTGATGAATCCCCCCGCTGATTATTTGAGTTCATGAGCAAACAGGTTACTGACATATGCTTCTCCGCCTACCTGTAGACGCCAGTGCAAGTACTATGATGATGATTGGAACAAAATATGACTGGGTGATTTTGTTGATTCGCCATGCGAAGAACCATTGAATGGGTGCTGATATCAGAACCTAGTGCATCGATGATTGCATTAGCTACAATCTATCCTTGATTAGAAAATATGAGCTTACAATGACGATTGGTTCTATGATCGATAAATCGATGAGCTACCAGAACCTGAAAGGATGCGGATCTGACTAACCAGTCATGAAGACTGGTTTCAGTATCAATCACTCCACATGAGCAAGGTGTAAATAGTAGAAGAAATCAAGACTTACGGACAGGAAAGTTTGCTACTGCCTTCTCAGTTCCTACAATGGGTGTTAGACAGTTTGGAAACGTATCCTATGTAAGCTACGCACCATACTCCGTTATCAGCGGCTGATACATCATGGCCATATCAAGAATCGTATTCGCAGTCTCCATTACGAAAAGGTATGCCACCTGAAAAATCCAGACACCAACAGTTGCCCCCTTGATGGAGCTGTCGAATATTGGCGGTCACTCACCAAGAGTCGGATCCAGAGTGCATCACTGCAGCAATTACACTGAGAACGCGAGTGCGGGTGAGTTCCGTACCGAGTACTTACGATTTGTAGGTTTGGAAGTAAAAATACATCTACGAGTTTCGACTTTTTCTCAGCCTAAGATATGAGATTCAGGAAATGCTTGTGACGAACCTGGTTGAGTAGGATCTACAGAATGTTGGTCTTTTATTCAGGTTTCCCTGAGCACAAGAAAGCTGACGAGCTGCTCACACCGTACAAAATCATGTTGAGATATACTCCAATGAGCATCGGCCCAAACCTAGCGACGAGAAGAACCTTAGCAAAGTTTCAAAGCTTCGCTGATACAGCGCTGACGCACGATAGCGTAACATTGGGTACAGGAGCTTCAGCCATAGTTGACGAAACTTGCTCAGTCTGGATCCTGCGAAACGTCCTAGAGTGCGATGTTGAAGGATACTGAGAAAGTGAAGAAAGCGACCAGCATCACAGGTGTGACTAGAGAATCACTTGCTTTAAGAGGAGTTCGAGGTCAAGATTTCAATAATCAATTTGTGTACATGTGGTATGCCGCTGAGAAAGGCAGCATGTCCAGTCAAGGCGAGCTAAGCCGGATCGAATCGCTCGGAACCGTCTGGGACCGTTGAATTAAAGGCCTCTGAACTTCCTCACCCTCAAACACGAGAGACCCACGCGGGTACTGGTAAGTTCTTCCTTCCCCGATGAGAGTTCTTTGCGAAAATATTGTCTTCCTTTTTTCGGCCTCATCAACTGAATCAATTTATGGGAAAAATGGCTTTCGAAAAATCATGCCCATGTTTTCCCAAATTTAAACTTTAGGAAACGAGACAAAGGAGGACCTGTAATTCCTGGGCCACTACGGAGCCTGTTATAGTTGCCCGAAGGTACAACGTCAGAAAGAACATCTGCATTCTGATTGTTGGTAACGATATGTAAAGTGCACATATGTACTTACTGCGCCTGTGGGACTCGTCGGGGAAACGTCGCAAACGAAGCCCGAATTATCCCAGACTTCTCAAGCCAATCGCCGCCAACAAATGAAAACTGTGGACTTGAACCCGATTGAAGTTTACCTGTCGTGGGTTTGGACGTTCGGAGGTTATGTCCAATGTCCATTGGTCACTTCTGTCGCCATCGCCACGTATGGACGACATCAACAACAAATCCCGAACCCTCAGGAACCCTCGTTATAGCCAGTAGCAATGGTGGCCCATCTGGATAGATCCGCGGCATAGTTGGAAGGGTACAACAAAGAAAAAAAGTAAAGTAAAAAGGGACCGAGTACAAATTTCTGTGATAGATAGGTACGCGGCGTGCCGCGTACGTAGTGGGCACGTAGTACTGGTTGGCAACATAAATTGGGTTTCGTATAATGCATAACATTTGAAGCTCGAGCTGTAACTAGACTTCAGCATCAGCCTTCCCAGCAAGTACCGTCAAACGTGAATGATTGTCAATGATCTATGAATCATATGTACGCCTGATGGTGTATGGATAAGACTTGAAATCGGCTAAAGCCGGAAGGGTTTGTTCTTCATCTGGCCATCATGCACATGAGTCAGATAAATGCTAGTTCGCCTTCAACGATTCCACCTTCTTTCCCATTTGAAGCCAAAAGTCTTCTTTGAGCAGCATAGATACATGGCTACCGTGACAGCAGAGAATTCCAATCTGGTTAAATTCTCAGATCGGCTGAAACATGGACGGGCTTTGGCTGAAGATGTATGGTCGATTTACAAGTACGTATCGAAATCAGCTATCTCAATGTAGATTCCACTGAAAATCATCGTGCCAACAGCGCTGCCAATCTTCCTGCGGATTGTATTAATCTTGGACAAGGTTACATGAATTTTGCTCCTCCCGAATGGGTCACCAATGCCGCTAAGGAGGCACTGGGTGTCGTCGCTGCAAACCATTACTCCCATCCAAAAGGTCGAATACGTCTCCGACAGGCCCTCAAGAAAGTATATGATCCTCAACTCAAACGCAATCTAGATGTTGAGAAGGAGATTCTTGTAACTAGTGGTGCCAATGAAGGTGCCTCGATTCGTTCACTCAATATCTTAACAGTATCGTGAAATTTCTTTCGCAGGTCAATATGCTGTATTTACTGCTTTCCTGGAGCCTGGAGATGAAGTTATTATGTTCGAGCCATTCTTTGATCAATATCTAGCTTCAGTCACGTTCAACGGCGGTATACCTGTCTACGTCCCTCTTCACCCTCCCGCCAATGCAACTGGTCAATTTTCAAGTGAAGAATGGAAAATTAACCCCGATGAGCTGAGGTGATTATTTAGACGTTTCGTTTGCTATGCTCTTATTCTTACCGGATACGCTGTAGATCTGCTATCACACCGCGCACAAAAATGATCATCGTAAACACACCACACAACCCTGTAGGAAAAGTTTTCACAAGGGCAGAGCTAGAAATCATCGCCGCTTTAGCGAAAGAGCATAATCTTTTGGTCATGTCAGACGAAGTGGTGCGTACATCTGCCGCTGTATACTTTTCAGATCCTCATTCAAAATATGATTTCCTTACAGTATGATACTCTAGTATTCGATGGCAAGGAACACGTACGGATTGCAACTCTTCCTGGAATGTGGGATCGCACAGTGACAGTTGGGTCTGCTGGAAGTAGGTTTTACGAAATCATAACCCAGCCTTTGTTTATATTCGACCTTACAGAAAGCTTCGCTGCCACTGGTTGGAGAGTGGGCTGGCTTTTTGGGCCTGAATATATCATTAAGCCGACCCTAGCTGCCACAACACGTATTGTTTTCTGTTCAAATTCTCCACTACAAGAAGCTGCTGCCGCTGGCCTAGAGCAGGTGCAGGAGCGCAAATTCTTTGAGACTCAAACTGCAGAGTATGCTGAGAGACGGGCCGTCTTGACCAGCTGTTTCGATTCTTTGGGGCTTCCCTATACGAATCCGGAAGGCAGCTACTTTATACTTCTAGTGAGTTTTCACGGATCCTCTCCTTTGGTCATACACATGTACTCACGATCCTTCAGGATATCTCCAGGGTGAAATTTCCTGACGACTACCCCTTTCCCCCGAGTGTACTCGGAAGAGGGCGGGACTTCAAGTGAGATTGACTGCCAGTTATTTGACTTCCTCTGTTTCTGCTAAATTCTCTCTTCGTACTCAGAGCTTGCTGGTTCATTGCAATAGAAATTGGCGTTTCATCTATACCCGTTAGCGAGGCAAGTTCTATCGGATTGTCTGGATCAAATGGCTGCTAATTTCCTCGCTAGTTCTACTGTATAGAGCATGCCAATATCGGGGAAGTTTACGCTCGCTTTGCATTCTGTAAGGATTTGGATACCCTGAAGCATGCCTCTGAGCGTCTTGAGAAGCTCAAACAGTACATAGTCTGAGGTTCTGATGGTGCTTATATATGGAATGCCAGTTCTTTAGACCTTATTTTTGGTGGACTAATTTTGCAGAGACCAGTGACTATTCCGAAGACCACAGCTGGTCGACAAAACGGGACAGGTTTTCGTCCCGTGAACGTGAATGGCAATCGTAATATGATGGGTTCGTGACTACCCTCCGCGCGAGGAAGGTGAAAGATAGCAAATCCATCAAGTGCTGTTTCGACTTCAGATGTCCCCGCGTCCGTGCTGATTGCAACCATTCCTCTAACACATTTTCCAGCAGCTTTGACTCCAACGGTAAGCCCTCTGTCAAGAACCGCACATACGTGTCCTTCACTTCCGCTTGACAAAACAAGTGAAATTGACCAGAGCCGGAATGCCTTACAGCACGACTTTGCATTCTCACTAGTTCCGTTAAATCATATTCTCGAACTTGACGTTCGTCTACTTGAGACGCGAAATGCACATACTGCGTACCCATCACCACCACAGCAGCAGCACGGACGGGCAACGACCAGCATGCTTCCCGGGGGACGATGAGTACGCGTACAATTCCTTCAGCGTATAGCTGCAGTATGAGGCTCCGGTCGCTTCTCTTGATCCCGTCGTGGAAGAAGCCGACACCCTTCGATAAGAAGTCGGTAAGAGAACTGTCTTCCAAACGTGTCAAATAATCTTCCCGAATGTATTCGTGTACTCCAGGTGGTAGATATCCGCGATCAGACTGGTCCTCTAATGCGCATTGGGTGAGAAGATCTAAAGCGGTGGCCTTGCACTGGGTTCTCGAGGAAACGAAAACAATGCCAGAATCTTCTAATATGGCCTGTTGGATGACGGAATGAGCGGGTTTGGCCATGGCTTTGAACAATGATCCGGAATGCGGAATGGTGAACGACTGTGTAGAAGTGATCAGAGATTGGCTGCGATCAGTTGGACGGAAGCTGTGAAAAGCAGACTCATCCGCATTCAACCAAGCAGCAAGATCTGCTGCATCATCCAGCGAATTAGAGATGCCTAAGTATCGTGTAGGGGTCATTTGAGTGGCATGGCGCAGCAGCGAAATACCCAGTTCATAAACACCATCCATTTGATCCAGATTCTCGCAGACGACCAGATCGAGTCCTAACAGTGGTACTCTGGGATCCCACAACGATATTGCTTGGAATAGATGATAAGCGGAAACCACCCTGATAGTTCGAACGTTTGGTCGTTGCAGAAGGTCCTTCTCGCTGTTTGCCAATTCCAATGCAGCGTTGGACCTCCGCGACACCAAGCGAAGCTCTGAAATAATCTCCGCAGCTGAACTCCGCCGGGGTGCTACTACTAAAACCCAAGAGCTTGTGGCTTGCAGAGCAGTCATCCTACACTTGTACATAAGGTGCAGCAGAACGATAGAAGAGATAGACTCACCACGCCACGATATCAGCCATTAATGATTTTCCACTACCAGCAGGTGCACAAAAGAGTGAATGAGATTTTGTATTGGTCAAGCTCCATAAAACCTGTGTCTGGAGCGAATTAAAGTTGTGCAAACGCCTAGAATACATGATCTCGACTTCAGGTCTTCTTAGAGCAGTGAGAGGGAGAAGCGGGAGATCAATGAGGGCAGTCATGCTTCGAATAGGGCGGGGCATTATGAGGCCGTCTAATGAAACTTCGATCTCATTCTCTGCTCCTAACCATCTATCAGAGACACATCGAATGGTGATGAACGGTGGGGTCTGTTCGTATGCAATTGGAATAATGAAATCAAGGTGTATCGTCTCAGTGTTTGGCCGCACAATCAAATGGGACATTTGGAGAATATTGATTCCGTTGTGGTCTTCAATCCAGACCCAAAATGGTTCGGAAGTTCCGTGTAGTTTATTAACCCAAGTAAATTGTTTGGTGAGGCGCACGACTACCTTCAATACCTCAGAGCCCAGAGGGCGAAGTACACTCTGGATTTGTACGGTGGGGAATTGCTTCGCAGCATTCAATAAAGCCTTCCCTTGGATGGAGTTAAGATGAGTGAGCTCCCCGAGCTCTTCAGCGCTCATCGCAGCCAGGTCCGCCGGGGAGTAGTCATCCCCCCAGTTCTCCAAATGGTAGATAAGATCCCCTTTGAGGTCGAATTGCTTCAGAGGTTGATCAAATGGCCACAGCCGCTTCTCGATCGCCTTGCTCATGCCCATCAAAACTGCAGAGACGTTCGCCCATTTTCGACTGATGGCTATCTCCAGTAATGCTCGTACGATACGACCACCGTTTTGAGCAACATATGCAGAGTCAGAGACCAGGGCGAAATCTTCAAGTGTACGTCTTGATATGTATGCTTGCAGGAGAATGTTCACTTTCCCTTCACTTGTGATAACAACACCAACCTATCAAAAATAGGGATGAGTGATAAGCATTAATTGTGCAGGAGTTTACATACGTCTCCTGCACCTTCATTGTTACCAGTATTCTATCGAAAGTGGATGTAAATTTTGGGAATTACTTCGGAGGAATTATACCTACCTCCCTTTCAATTGTGTGGACACCCTATCGAAGATAGAAATGGATGTTGAATATTGCTATTAAGGAGATAGCTTACCTTGACCTCACAGGGAACGATGTTCAACAAGTCTTTGAGCTCACGCTCCTCATTATCTCTCATTTGTATTTGGTTGAACTGATAGAAAACAATGGGATCAGGTTGTAAAAGTAAAAGAACAACGACATTACCTCGGTGCTCTTGCTCAACATTCCCAAAACATCTGCTTCGGACATCTTGGGTCGAAAAATCTCGTTAAAAATTTCAATTGACTGATACTGGATATAGTAACGTGCTGCGATACGGCCCAAGTCAGTGATCTTGAGAGCTCCAGTTTGACGGTCGAACTCGATCATCCGAGCATGAACGAGTACTTGAGCAGCTTGTGTTACAAGCTCATTTCGTTTGCTTCCTAGCATTGGATCGTCTACGACTGCGTTCCGGTCAATGCCTACGATATAGCAGGAATCAGAGGGGAATGATTTCAGACGTTCCTTAAACTAACCATAAACGATAGGATTTTTTCGCATCCGAACGAAAAGATAGGTATATCCTAGCCATTGAACAGCATCGTTTGTATTAGCGACTGTGCCCAAAGCTATTTCTGCATTGAGGGAATCGATGATGCCCTTATTGAACCTAAAATACGCGATAAGTGCCAATAAAGAGATCAAGAAAAACGAGGCTCACTGTGATTCGATAGGATTCTAGTGGAACCATCAAAACGTGGCACTGTATGGAAGGGAAGGAAGCATTCATACCTGAGCAGTGACTAATTCTAAATAATGCGCAAGTTTGTCGTCGGAGGTACAGATATAACCCTCTCCGCTACTTTCTAAGCCAGGTCGACCGGCTCGACCAAATACTTGCAATACGTCCAGAACAGATAGATCTGTGAATTTGCCTTTTGAGCTATTGTATACCTGAGTTCCTTTGATGACAACTGGAATCACTACATGAGAGTTATATTAGTTGCGTCAAAAACACTTCTGACCGGCATGAGCTGGCAGATTGACACCCCAGGCAAGGGTAGCTGTGCAGCAGAGGACCTATGGACGAAGTCAACGAATATCATGGGGTAATAGACGGGAAGGAGTCAACCTTTATGGCTCGAGCTTCAAACATCCTTTCCATTATGTTTCTATCTGACCGCAACATACCGGCATGGTGAATGCCAAAACCGTGATCAAAAAGCTGCTTCATTTCCTTGTTCCTAGATTGCGCGATCTCGCGACGGAATAAAGACCACTGTGGATGATCCTCGCAGCTAAAGTCGTCACTTGAACCCTCCGCGAGCGCAGCTTCCTGGATTGCCAGAGCTGATTTCACTGTCTCTTTCCTAGCATGCACAAAAACCATAACTTGATGTCCTTGAGCAACTAGCTCTGATACCTTTTCAAAAGTAACGTGGTCTAAGTTTTTCTTCGCCTGAGAACTTCCAGGTTTGCCTTTGATCCCCAAAAAGTGTTGTTCCAGTGGAACAGGTCGGAAGGAGGAGTCGAAGTAAAATAAGCCCTTCTGTCTCGACACGCTGCAAAATTGAAATGTTAGCTTCTACGGCCTACAGGGGAATCTATCATGTACCTTAGAAAATCTGCGACGTCGACATAATTGGGAAGAGTTGCGCTGAGGCCGACGATTCTGATCATGGATTGGGTTGACTCGACCTAGAGAAATGTTTCATTAATCTATGGAGTATTGATATTATATGATTGAGCAATGTTTACCTGACGGAGGGTTCTGGCTACAATGGTCTCAAGTACTGCTCCACGTTCCTCGTTCAAGAGGTGCACTTCGTCAACAATTAGAAGTTTCAAGCTCTACAATCGGTCAGCATATCGAGAGGAGCATTATCACTACAAAAAAAACTTACTGATGCAAGTTCTCCCTCTCCTGTCGGTTTTCTGGTGACCACGTCCCATTTCTCCGGTGTTGTAACGATAATTTGGGTTTGTGCAATCTCAACCTTTGTCATTTGCATGTCCCCTTGAGAACTTGTGTGTCGGAATAATCACACAGCTGCTGATACAAGTATTCTTACCAGTCAACTCCCGGACTTGGATAGACAACCACTTCAGCCGTTTTTGGAATTTGCGTACAATTTCCGAGGCCAAAGCTTTCATCGGTGCACTGGAGGATGAAAAAATTATGACCCTGAACATTTCCTCCACAAAGTTGCGCAGATGTCTTACACATATATGATTTTGAATGAGTCCCGGTTAATGGAAGCACCTATATTCCCAGATACGGACGAGGAATTACGATGTTGGTCAAGTACACGCAGAATGGTCAACATAGCGACATCTGTTTTACCCTAAGAAAGAATGAGTTTCAGGATTTCAAAGGCTAGGTGCCACAACACCTACCGCACCAGTAGGAGCTATGAGAAACATTATTTATGATGAAAATAACGAAGAAGCCGATGTTCTTACCACAGATGAGCATATTTTCGTTAGATCCATACGCAGTCGGATAAACTATGGATTGAATTCTGTTCAAAGTCTCGTATCCAGGAAAACATCCTTTTGCTAACGGTTCAAGGTCATTTATTGGCACAAAACGTTCCGTTTGTTTTGGTGGAACTGGACGTGCCGGTGGGATGATTACTTCTTCATATTCCTGGGGTACAACCTCTGTGAGCCAGAAAGCGGACAATTCTCACAAAACCGTGCACCTCTTTCATACTTCGCTGCGTGCCTAAAGGAAGCAAATATCGTGTGCCCAAATGGGAAAGAACGTTGCCTTGAGAGATCGTTGATGAGGATGTGTATACATGGGGAAGGATCTCAGCTTCCGGTCCTGCAACGCCGGTGAATAATGGCCTGGCAGAATTCTCTTGACGTTGCTGTTCGATACGCAAGCGCGCACGTTTAGGATCAAGACTCGCTGCTTCAGAATCATCGGAATTCTTCAAAATACTACGATCTTGGAGCTGCGAAAGCGTGTCAAATTGGGTGATGACACCTTATTCAATCACTCACTTCTTGTACTAGACTATGTCGGTTTTTTATAATGTCCATAACGAGCTCAATTTCGTCAAAGCCAACGAGTTCGGCAAGTTCGCCGGAAATTTCGTCGTCATGTAGTGGAGAAGCAAGGATAGATTGGAGTGAGCCCAAAAGATGCTCGACGTCCGGTTTTCTTACAAGTTGACCAATTAGCCAGTCGTATAGGCAACCTCATATGTGGGGTGGGTACACGCACATGAGTAATCTGGAAAGAATCGTACTCTGACCATTTTCTGTATGTTTGTAGATATCGAGTACAGACGGCCAGACATCTATTTCAACGCCATCCTCCTCCACGATCGACGTGTCTGAGTGCAATTCAGCGACAGCAGCTAGAGAAGCATGATTGTCTGACTTGCCTGCTGGTACAATTTTCTGTAATCTTGCCACATCTTGTTAGGCAACGATTGACTTAAGAGAATCGCGTGCAGACCTTGTCCAATCATCGATCGAGGATGTATCACCTCCAGTGAAATCCTTCGAGGATCCAACCAGAAATTCCAAGTGACCGAAGATTCCTGAGCTCATCGAGGTTCGAAACGATCCGGAAAAATCAAATTACTTGATTAGTCGCGGGCGCTTGACTCGCTAATTCGGTACCGCATTCCGCTTTGACCGGAACTACCAGCGACTGACCAGGCTCCAAATTCAGCAATCACACTACATGGACTCCCGAAAGGCTTGGTGCTCTCGTTCAACCATATTCAACATCGGAAAATTTGTCAAGTATGCTACTCGTTACCCATATGAGCCGAAGTAACTTCAGTTGCGGTCATCTGGCCTTTTCCCCATGGTTCTGCTATTCGACCATCGAAATGTGTCAGACGGTGGGTAACTAGAAAGAAGTATTGTACTATGGAGCAAGAGTGGTGCCGCTCAATAGAATCTCATTTTAGAGGATATAAAAGCCCTTCAATTCCCTCACCGTTTGCTCGCTGCTACTATATATCCTCTGTTGGCTTTTTCTGTGAAGGTACTTTCCTATGTCGAACGAAAAGGCCGAAGATGGATTGGACTTGAATTTTGCGGATGAGGTCCAGGCCGCATCGGATCGCATGAAATTACGAGGCCGAAAGCTCACAGCAACTTTATCCTTCGTAGCGGGAACTGGCTTCATCCTTTTCGGGTCAGTATTTCGTATTCAAATTTGCTCTTCACTTATCGAATTTCTCAGATATGATCAGGGTGTCATGTCTGCGTTGCTTACCGCCAACCAAGTATGTGTTGTAATGCGATGAGTAGATAATGGTGATAATCGACACGTACTCTTGTAGTTCGAAAAGGTGTTCCCGCAAGTCGTGGTCAGTGATCAGCATCCAGACCATGCTACGCTACAGAGCTTCCTTGTAGCTATCTACGTGCGTCTTCGCGTCTTGAGTTTCACAGGTCAGCTCAGAGAAGTCTCTCAGGAAATCGGATGCCTTTCAGGCGCATTGATAAATCTCGTCCTCGGAGACAGATTCGGAAGAAAGCGTACAATCGCTCTGGGTGCGTTTTCTATATTGAGCGGCTGAACATCCAGCTCAATTGTGCTTTGATATACTAGGCTGTTTTATTATGACTATTGGAGCGATCATTCAAGCAGCGTCTTATAGCTATGCGCAAATTATAGTTGCCCGTATCATCACAGGTGTAGGGAATGGGTTGAATGTAAGGTGGTCCATCCGGCAGTCTATTCCACTCATCATGTTATCAGACGTCAACCGTGCCTGCTTACCACGCAGAGTAAGTCCTTTTTTTTTTTTGGCTCGGGTAACCTAAGTTTGAACCCTTGCTAATCGCTCCTCTAATACGCCAGGTGCTCTCCCCCTCATCAACGCGGTAGTTTAATTATGATAGAAGGAAGCTTGATCACATTGGGTATCATGATTTCGTGAGTCACAGGCTAGCTCCTCACTCCGACGTCTCTGACTTGTTGACATATGCCGCTATGCAGTTATGTGAGTTTTTATTTCCGCCGTCTGAATGTCAAGTCCTTCATGCAATGTTACTATTAGTGGATAGATTTTGCATTGTGAGCTCTCTTTTTTACTCGCCTTGTAGGATAATCATCACCTTGTGGTAGGTTTTGGGCTTCCGGATCTTCCGCACAATGGAGGGTTCCTATCGCGTTACAAATTCTGTTTGCTTTGGTAGTAGTTTTCGCTTTGTCAATTGTGAGTTTCCCTATTAGTACCAAAGCCCACTAACACTGTACCCTAACTATTTCTGTCTAGCTCCCTGAATCCCCTCGTTGTATGTCACTAACCTTACCAAATGAATCCTTGATCGTGAACAACCTCTTATGTAGGGCTCATGAAAGCTGGGCGACCGGCCGAAGCTCTGGCCGTCATTTCCGCATTAGAAGATAAACCTCACACAGACTCGACAGTCCGAACGACATTTCATGCCATTAAAGAAGCGGTCGCTTTAGAAGGCTCTAACATAGATACGTCAAGTTCTTCGGAAAAGGCTTCCCTCAGCGAACTTTTCACTGGTGGTCGGACCCAAAATTTCAGGCGGGTCGCGCTGGGGGTCATCATCCAATGCTTCCAGCAAGCGAGTCATCCGTTGCTACTTGGGGATAATGTCTAACGATCTGCATCTCTCATCGTTAGATCACGGGCATCAACCTCATAACATACTACGCGGTGCGTCTTGTGGTGTATAAAAGCGTCACTGCCTCGACACTGGGACTTAACCATTTTCCAAGACTATTCTTTTCGAACGCCTCGGCATCAACGATGTGAAATCGCGGATCCTAGCAGCATGCAACGGCACTGAATATTTTCTGGCTTCCCTCGTTGCCATCTTTCTCATTGACCGTGTCGGACGACGGAAGCTCATGATATTTGGTGGTGTTGGCCAGTGCCTCACAATGGTTCTTCTCGCTGTGCTGGGGAGCATCAACAACTCGGCAGCCGATATTGTTAGCGCTGTCCTCTTATTCGTGTTCAACTCTTTCTTTGCAATTGGATGGCTAGGTATGACTTGGCTCTATGTGAGTCCTGTCATCCGATTCTATGGAAAGCATCATAATCTCATAAGAACAGCCTGCAGAAATAGTTGGTCTACGAATGAGGGGGCCGGCTAATGCCTTAAGTACAGTGAGCTATTGTGGTCCAGTCTTTGGCGGCTATGTACGATTCTGACACATTTTTAGGCCAGCAACTGGACGTTCAACTTTCTGGGTATTTATATTATCTGTTCTATGAAATGCAGCGCCGCCCTGAGCCTTTCTTTTAGTGGTCATGATTACAGGACCCGCATTCCAGAACATATCATGGAAAACGTACATCGTTTTCGCCGCTTTGAACGCATTTATAATACCTATTGTATACTTCTTTTTCCCGGAGACCGCAGGGAGGTCGTTGGAAGGTGGGTTTTTCCAATTTTGTATTCTTTCTGCCGGCCCTTTCATCTCGAATTATTTACAGACATGGACGTAGTGTTTGCCCTTGCGTACCTGGAGAACGTATCTCCAGTCACCGTATCTTTGCGAAAGGATGTGCCTCCAGCAGGATCCCCTGAGGCCGAGCGCATTCTTGGGCTACAAGTAGGCTCGATTTCTAATAGTGATGAAGTTTTGCCCAAAGAAGCAGAGGGAACAAAATCGTAATGACATATGGTTAGGATGATCTGAGGAATGAAAGTTTCACGAGTACTCGATACAAAGACGGCATTATCAGTTATAACTGGAGGCTCGCCGTTTCCTATCACACTTTGACGAACAGAGAGTGACTTGGATTGAGCTTACTAAGGGGAGCTGCGTGGTACAACAGTGACTCGGTTGTTTCGCCATCTTTGCCTTTCTAACTCAGCCATAGCAAGACGATAGGCAGAGTGCTTGTGTGGAGTTGAGGTATCCTGGTCAACTGATGTCGGCCGATATAAATGACCGAAGCGGGATGGTGGCCAGACCACAGCAACCAGTCGTGATTCAATAAGGGACAAAGGCACCTGCAATTTTGTTAGCGAAGGTAAAGAGGTGATAGGATCAACATTTACAGGACCGAATCGATTGCTGTCATCGCTGTGAAAAGGCTCATCACCTGGATGGAGAGGGGATAATTATTTGAGGATCTGGTCGACTAACATCATGCGCACCTTCAATCCAAGCCTTTCCTTGGGGTACAAGAATCACCGGATCGGGATATGGTGGCAGAGTTGTGACACGGTCTCCTGCAAGCGCAACAATTCTCTTCACGAGCACGCGAGTAGGATCTTCTGGAGACCTTATAAGGTGTCAACAATCGACTGTTTATGAACTTTGAGGAAAGCGCGATATGCACACCGGAGAGCAACGATGTCACCTCTTTTGAATTCTAGCTTGGTATGAATTGCATATCGATTGAAAAGACCGACATCCCTCCACAAAGAAGAGTCAGGGTTTAGCGTAGGCTGATCCGTAAACTAAGATTAGTGATGACTTTGAATTTGCTGAGAATGCACGCACCTGCATACTACGCCCAGAAACAATCTTTAAATTGTAGAAATAATATGAGACTACGAACACAGTCGGAAACCAATAGATGTAGCTCCAGCTATATTTCGTCAAAGGTTTCAATGGAGCGACTAAATTATGCCATGGTCGATTTTGACGGTGAAGTACACTGGGTCGCATCGACGATCGTAGCAAAGCTTAGTAAAGACACGACAGCGCATGGTCTGACTCATCCAAAATTTAAAGTCCTCGGAGTTTTATTTTATTTTTTATCATTTTCCTCCTTTTCTCTCTCCTTTTTTATTTTTCTCATGTTGGAAGTGGATGAGGTGTGTACTATCAGCTTCACGCAGTAGCTGAGAACTCAAATCAACTGTCTGTTCTAGGTGGCTTCTAATTTTCATAAATTGACAGTTCGTTCCGAGAATGATACCGCGCTGCAACATCGATTTATTGGGGATATCAACATGGCTGAAGGTATCACTCGAGCTCCTTTCTGCTTGTAATATTTGTCTCATACTTTACAGAGGATGAACCATTACTAAAGAAATCTCAAAGACGCTTTGCTCTATTTCCGGTTCAATATAAGGAGGTGAGCCTTGATCTTAGGCATAAAGTACCTCCAATGAGGGCTGCTTCCATGTTATACCTTGTCCTGATATATATCCAGATATGGCAGATGTACAAGAAAGCAGAAGCATCGTTCTGGACCTCGGAAGAGATTGACCTCACTCATGATCTTGTCGACTGGAACGAGCGATTAAACAATGACGAGCGTCATTTCATCACCCACGTCCTTGCATTCTTTGCCGCCTCTGACGGTATCGTGAACGAAAATCTGTTGGAGCGCTTTTCAAACGAAGTGCAAGCAGCTGAGGCGCGCTACTTTTATGGGTTCCAAATAATGATGGAAAACGTTCATTCTGAAACTTACTCTCTGCTTATCGATACATACGTCAAGGATCTTAATCAACGCGCATATCTCTTCGACGCAATAGAAACAATACCGTGCATCAAGCGCAAAGCCGACTGGGCCCTCAAATGGATATCTGACAAACGAAGCACTTTTGCAGAGAGATTGGTGGCATTCGCTGCTGTCGAGGGAATCTTTTTTTCTGGGTCGTTCGCTTCCATTTTCTGGTTAAAGAAGCGCGGCCTGATGCCTGGCCTAACTTATTCAAACGAGCTCATCAGCCGAGATGAAGGTTTACATACCGATTTCGCGTGTCTCCTTACCACCCATCTAAAGCGCCCCGCCCAACCGGGTATCATCAAGAAAATTATAACGGAAGCGGTTGCTATCGAACAAGATTTTTTGACTGGTACGTTTCATCCCCGTTTTCCACTGAAATCCACCTGTGTTCACAACGTCGTTGTATTGTAGATGCCCTTCCTGTGTCACTCATAGGCATGAATGCAAGTTTGATGCGGCAATACATTCAATTCGTTGCAGACCGACTGCTGGTAGCCTTAGGTGTCGAAAAGTACTACAACTCCACCAATCCTTTTGACTTCATGGACATGATCTCGTTGCAAGGCAAAACCAACTTCTTTGAGAAACGTGTCTCTGAGTACTCAAAAGCTAATATCCGTCACTCCACCCCAAATCCTGAACCTGCTAGAAATTTGTTCGTCATCTCTTTTTTTGCTACGTAATTGAACTGACTGTTTCCTTGACTTTTAGCAAATTGGATGAAGATTTTTGACCTTCACAGGGATAAGCCTGTTCTTCTGTGTAATTGTTCTTCAGCTCTCGCTTGCGGCTTGTACACCCACCCACCTCACTCACAATGTATCATTTATGTCTAGATTTCTTATAGCTATGTACTACAGTTGCGTATAATATGTGCAACACCTACTCATTCTCATACCTTATATACTATCTAGATAATCCCTGTACTTGATTAACTTCACTATTGTATGCAATCACATCTAATGGGCCCTGGCTGTTCCTCAATGGGACCGTGTCGGTTTTCCCTTCTAATAACTGGAGAGCGAGCTCCTATGTTCAAAGTGAATATGTATTGGAGTATAAAAGGTACAACATAGTAGCACGCCCCCCTCTCAAGACAGTCTTTCATTTCTTAGAGATGTGAACCACTGAACAATGGGACGGACGATTGTAAACTCCAGGCGAATGTAAGAGGATAAATAAATCACTTACCATCTTCATCTTCTAAAACATGGTCAAGACCGACTTTTTGTCCTCTGGAATGCTTCGCACTTGATCCCCAAACGACGGCACTCATAAAAGGTGATGACTTGAGCGAGGTGATAATCATAATCTCAGAGATACTCACTATTTCATTTGCTTGGCGATTTCCTTGTGAATAGCATTACAAAAGTCGCCAACTGTACATTTTCCGTGCCGTAGTACAACCGGAGTACTATAGTCCGGAGCCAATCCTCGTGGTTTAGTGTAGATCCGTACAAGGTCCAGCGCTTTCCACATTGAATCTATCAGCTCGTCAATGTTCAACCACTCTTTTGACGATACTGGGACAGAATTCGGAATCTTGTACCTAGGTATCCTGAATAAGACGAAAATCAATAATAGTTGTCAACTCACAGTAGATCAATCTCTTCTATCGATATCGCGTCGATCTGTATCGTTGTTTATACACCTGAATTTTGTATTAGAAAAACTGCAAAGCACCTTGTTAAGAATCTAGAGTTGCCGTCAGTAGCGTTGATGGATTACGGACACAGGAACACTCACATAAAGAGCAGGTATGTAAACACGGTTTCCTTCTATCACATCCACCAGGTCGTCTGCAGTTGCATTGGGTTCCCGAATAGCAACATCCGCATTGTTAATTTTATACTCGCTCAGGACGGCTTTAATTTCGTCATGATCGATTTTTGTTAAAGGAACAGTATTCGTGATAGCAATACCACCGCGCTCTTTTTTACGAACAAGTACAGCTGGCGGTCGCTTGTTCAATCGAATGCCGAAACCTTCCAGTTCAGTTTCAATGATTTTCTTGTCGCCCAAAGGTTTAAGAACGTCCAAAACGATGAAGATGAGGTTGCATGTACGTGCAACTACGCGCATAACCGTGTTGAGTGGACAGGATAAGCAGCAGGCGGTAAAGAGGCGAGCGTACCGGCGATGACTATTTGGGTTTGTCAACAATCGAGATATGGACAGAACGAGGACAACTCACCTTGTCGACCTCGACCTCGACCGTCATTGGCTCCTTCTATGATACCCGCTGATGTAAATTATTAGGAAAAATTCTGGCTTGATCATGGAAGAATTTACGCAAGTCAAGAATTTGAATGGGGGCTCCGTGGACTTTCAGAGTTCCAGGAACAGTGGTCAGAGTGGTGAAGTCGATTTCCGATACCTCGGAGTGTGTACCGGTCAATTTTGACATTAATGTCGACTACGAGTCGTAATGAGAATCGAATAACTAAACCACTTCCACTCGTACCTTCCCCACAGATGGAAATCCGACAAATCCAACGGATGCTACTCCTGTTCTTTGAGTAAGTAAGTAGACGAATGACACTTATGTATGTGTGCGTCCTGCTTACCTTGCAACGTCGAAACCAACTCCGCCACCTCCACCACCACTTCCGGACGATGGTGCTATCAATTCCCGCCTAAGCTTCGCAAGCTTGGCTTTCAGCTGCCCGAGATGATAGCTGGTGGCCTTGTTTTTTTGGGCTGCCGCATATTTTCAGATAGAGCATATCACAGTAAAATCGCAAATACTTTTGGCCTGTGAAGACAAATATTCAGTTACCGGGATTTATTGATTAGTTGGTCTTTACCATTTCATCTTCGATTTCCTGAACGAATACAAAGATATCATAACATTGGAGATAAATAGATCATAAATAGCATACTTTGATTTTCTGAACCGTAGTCATTGTGTCTTCGTTCGATTATTGTCGCTCAAAAAGGAAGTACTGGAAATTTATGCGCTGCGGCAACTGCCGAGCGCCAAACCGTTGTAAAGGCCAGACCTGGGCCAGACTGTTTATTTGTTAGTTTCCAAGTACCATCGTTCGAGTCTGTCTGTGCTGTCAGTTCACTCTTTCTTCCTCAAGTCCACCGCCACTTCCTCTCGCTTTGCAAACGGCTTATGCGACCGGCTCGCTCTCACTGTCTTTGATCACAGCACCCTGACTGCATCTTCACCTCCTACCAACAGAAATCATGTGTAGTGGTCCTAAGTGGAAGCGAGAGATTGTACCAGACCATAAGGTGTCTATGCATTTGATTCATACACTGTTCTATAGCGTTAACTCCTATTCAAGTTCGACTTTGTGGATACTCGCGAGTTTACAGACAATGGCTTTATTATGCGAGTAAAGTACGTCTTGTCGTCCGTTCTCCCACCGTTCAACTTCAACAGCGCTCAACGTCATCCCAGATATCTGTGGATATACATCATAGTCCTCAAGTCCTTCTTGGTCTATGTGTCCGATATCTTCACCGCTATCACCATGTTGACTACCACTTCCTGGTCCAACGAAATTTTTAACAATTGCCAACAATTTGGCTGTGTGAGCATTCCTTACAACACTGGCAAATGGCTATTCGTCGGCTGCATCATCTTCTCGTTTTTACTGGTAACTTCACTGCCGCTCTTATTGCTCCTCGATCTGGAGTTGACATCGATCACTCTAGCTCGCATACGAGACTCGTAAATCCAAGAAGATCATTGCCAGTAGAGACATTTCTTATGCTTTCACAAACGTCATGGCTCAACATTACTACTCCCTTCGTGCGTCTCAACCAACTCTTCAATGATTTTGATATTGATGACTCTACAGGATCCTATGATCACTTCTGTTTCTTTGACCATATCAGCAACTCGACTAAACTCAGCGACGATTTTGCGTTCTTCGTGTTCTTCACTTTCAAGAGTGCGTTTTAATATGTAGTATTCATAGGAATTGAATCTCAACTATTGCTTAGGCTGGAAGCGAGTCTTGTTGGCAGATGGCCCTCGTCAGACCATCAACGGCCTCACACTTTATGCGATATACCTTGCTCACAAAGACGAAGGTCACTGGTATGATGTGAGCAAGTACTTCAAGGACAACAGTCTGTCGACATCAGCCTTAACGGTAACGACTTTCTTTACTGTTGTCGTGTTCGCTGGTTCTCTGCTCCTTCTCATCGTGGCTGGCGTTTGTTACATTCCTCTACTGGCTCACATTCGTGGTAACCTCAAGGTAATTTTCCCGTTCGCTTTTGTGTCGTGTATGCTCATCACGTATTGGTACACAGGAATACTGCTGTCATAAAGTAGACAAAGTTAGTGTTGCACCATTGTATTTGCGATGCTTCATCTGATGTTCTGTCTCAAGCGAATTGACACTGTCATCAAGCGCCGAATGAAGCAGCGTCTTGTTGATGCTGCAAAGCTCGCCAAGAAAGAGGCAATGGGTGACTATTCTCACCTAAAGGACAAGAAGGGGAAAATGGTCGGAAAACCCCTACCTCAGCCTACACTTCCAAACTTGTCCGTCGACGACGATGACGACCGATCATCCATCCGAACTCGCGGTCCTCCTCCTAGCACCTATACCCAAGATTCAAATTATTACTATTATGACAAAGGTGGTGCTTATCCTCCCCCTATGCCAGCGTACAATCCCTATTCCGCCAACCAGTCCCCCGGATCCTATCCGTATCTCAATCCCTCGCAACCCGCGTTGTCACGCGAGGATTATCAGTCCGGTTATGAAGAGGACGACACAACAGGCCTCGCTGTTGCGGCTGCACCGTTCGCGCAACAATCTCAGACACATCTCAATGCTCATTCTTCGTCTTTGACCAACCCGTACAGTCCTGGACCCACTGGTGGGACAGGCTTCAACGCTCATGATGTGTATCAGGGACGCGATCCAGATCATGATGGGTTGGCATATTACTCCAACTCGCATTCCGAGACCTCTGAAGGGTTAGCGTATGACCAGGACTCACAACCGCAGCAAGGGGCTTACCATCAGGATTATGTCCCTCATTACGACAAGCAGTATTCTGGTGGTACATATCAAGATTATTCTACCTCTCAGCCTGTTTATGGTGCATATGCCCTATCTCAGAACAAGGATAATGGTGGTGGAGCCCATGGATATGCTGTTTAAGTTTGGACATAATATTTTTTCGTTTCAGTTTCTTCTTGTTCCAGGTTGAATTCCTTCTTACTGCGTGATATATATGTACAACAGCTGGATTATAACAATATAATACGCGCTAAATCCATGAAGGTTCATTTGATTGGACTAGTGGGAGCACAATGTTTACAATAAATAATGAAGTCAAACATCTAACTGAGTTTACTCCACACAACGATGATAATGAGGAATATGAGTATAGCAATAATGGCACCCGTCACAAAACGTTGCTGATACATCCTATTATTTATCAACAGAATCTATGGTTAATGGACATTCCAGCATCGAGGAAATATTAGACATGACTCTACCTTCTGATCATACTCGTCAACTTATTTGAAGCCCGTGCAATCGAGTTGTTTGCCATTTCAAGCTAGGTGACTGTATTCAGGACGTAAACAAATGACGAGACATTAGCTACCCACTGTGCTCCTAGAGTTCTCGATTTGTTCCCTCTGTACTCGAAGATTTGACAGGATGTCAGCACCTAGATCCTCGGTCTCTAATGCGAGCCTCTGCGAGTCTTGCAATCGTTTAGTGCCGTCCTCCAGCAGTGCCGTACCAGCAAGCAAACGTGAACGATCACTGGAGGAACCATAAGGGTCGTCTGAGGAATAACCAGGACGGGGTGTGGAAGATGCTAGAAGACTAGATCGAGCAAGTTGGGCAGAAAGGTCCTTGAAAGTCTTTTTGAACCGGGAAAGATCAGCCTTAGCAGACTTGAGACGATTCTGATACTGGGGCCGTATAGATTGTGGAATTCCCTGAATTTCGATGTCCATTTGAGATACCTGTAGACACGATAAGAAGGGCTTTCGTGAATGTACTCTAGATAACTTTATGGAACTTACCATTTCGTCGGCCTCGTCCAGTTCCATTTCTACCCGCCGTAGCGATGCTTTGCGCTGTTCTGTCAAAGACCATGTCTAGCGAGGGAATCTAAAACATAAAAGTAGCTTACCACCATCCTGATTCTCATCCCCTTCCAACTTTTCACGTATTGTCTCGATAAATTGCTTGAAGTCCTGCTCGTAAGAGTCGAAGAGGGCAGTAGGCGAGGTATCCATTTCGATTTAAATATATTCCGCTTTCCGCCAGGGAATGAAGATAAGTATCTAGTCGTGGTAGGTGGAAGTACGAGTACAGCAAGTGCCGACTGCGCAAGTGCCGGAGAGTCCGAGGCTGATGACATTCCGAATTTAGTAATCACCTTCTCGTCGCCCACCACGATGTCGAGTCCAGCGTAAGTCTCAGTTATTAAATTATCATACCACGAACTCAATGGACACTTTGGAGTATGTAGGGTATCCCTGTATCTCGACCCGCAGATTCGTGATTGGGTGCTTTTCCCAATCACTCTGGTTATGGCAAGTCCTGTCTACGCGTATGGACGAATACCTCAAATTGAACGTTTTACCTAGATCTTGGTCGGAATACTAAGGCACTATGTTGTTCTGCTTCTCCAGTCACCGCCAAAAAAGCTCGCTCGAGCCGCTATCCGTGAACAGTGAGTGATAGGGTGTAACGCGTTATCTATCTTCTTCATTTAATTAAATATTTTTCTGCTTCAGACGCGCTTTGATTCGTTCTCAAATCCTTCGCGCGACTTCCGCTAACTCTCCTATACCCCCTTCATACTACCGCTCGATATCCAGTCGCCTTGCAGCAGCGTTTGAGGCTGGAACGTATCTCAAAGATGGTCCTTCAGAAGGCGACGCACCTTCCACACCTGCAAATCCTATGACGGATCCTGCTGCAATGGATGGGATGATGGCGGGGATGAAAACCCAGATGGTGATGATGGTCCCCCAAATGGTCATCATGGGCTGGATCAATTTCTTCTTTCAAGGCTTTGTGCTCAGTGAGCGATTCTGCTTGCTTCTCGAAGTTCTAGAGCCCTGATTCTTTACCAGTAAAACTGCCCTTTCCTCTTACCCTCGGATTCAAATCCATGCTCCAGCGAGGAATAGAAACTCCCGACATGGATGTTAGATGGGTATCCTCGTTATCCTGGTATTTTCTCAACTTCTTCGGATTGAACGGGCTATATCGCCTGATTCTTGGTAATGATAATTGTATGTCTTCGCTGGAATTGATTGGTGGTTTTCTTATTTTGAACTCGTCTTTAGCCGCCGCGGATACTTCACAAACAATGATGGCATCTCCATTTGCTGCGGGGGCAAATCAACCTGGTCAACCGCAAGACTATGTCAAGTTATTCAAGGCCGAAAAAGACAACCTTGCGTTTGCTGAGGGCCTTTACTCATGGATGGGAGATGATGTAGAAACAAGACTGCTTCGCAAACACGGTAAACTGTGACGTTGTGTATAATTTATGTGCTTTGCTCTACAATGGTATACCTATTTCCACATTGAGAATAATGGCTACATTGCAACGAAATTACATGCTATGTAAATCGACCTCGTTCAACAAGTCCTTATATCATACAGCCAAAGCACCCAATAAGATATAGAACAACACTCGCAATATAATCATACAACCTGGAGGAAAATAATTAGAAAAACAGGACTATGATTTGATGAGAGGTCTCACTGCAACTAATTTCCATTATTTATACTAGACCATCGTAGAGTGAGAGCGCCTGAACGATTGTGGGATCTTGTTTGCTTCCTTCTACGAATTCGTCAAATGTTAACTTGGCATCTTTGTCCCTATCCATATTCCGGAAGATTTTATCGACACGCTACCGAGGTTTTGAATGTTGGTTCCAATATTGAAAAGCAGATGCGCATGCGCAAGCTCACCTTTTCCGGTGTGTCTTCATCGGATGGAAGTTTGACCATCTCCCCAGTCATCTTGTATATGGACTGGACTATCTGGAGCATCTCATCGTAGGTGATCGTTCCGTCCTTATCGATATCATACAGTTGGAAGGCCCCTACGATGAAGGGTAAATACTTTGATGACGATAGATCAGAAAGACCTGAGGACGTACATTTAAGTTTCTCGTCTAGCCTGCCTCTACTAGTGACACTGAGTGCACAGATGAACTCTTTGAAGTCTATTGTGCCGTTCTTATTCTCGTCGAAAACGTTGAAGACATAGTCTGCAAATTCTCCTGGATCGCCAAAGGGAAAGAACTGCTTGTAGATTTTACTAAACTCGGTTTTGTCGAGATGGCCAGAAGGACAATCTTTCCGAAAACCTTTATACCTGGTAGTAATAGTTGAATAGGGTAGCAACGACGAATGAACTAGTGACTACGCATTACCATTGCTGTAGCTCCTTCTTATCGACTGCATGACCTCGAATTAGACGAAGCAATAGTGATGAAGAAGACACATACAATAAGTATTCTTCTGGAGATCAGCTAATTGTTCTGGGGAGAGCTTTGACTGGGACTTGCCCATGGTGAAGATGGAAGAAGAAGATCTATCCGAAATGCCGGAAGTACAAATGCCGTACACGTTATTCCCGGAAAGGAAAAAGTAAACACGATGAGCCTTGAGGCGCATCGTGTACTGTACTTTATATATGGTGGAAAAGAAAGGCCTCGTGCAGCGTATAAGACAAGAATGGCAAACGCGAAAAGTAGAGGCCCTGATTCCCTGCTTTTTTCCAAGTTGCTCAGTCAAAAACTCACCATGATCATTCGTGAACTCTGTAATCCAATCGACAGCTTCTGGCATGTGGCACCACTCTCACACACCCAGTCATCCACTTTCTCCTTCCTTGTCTCTCTTTTCTTCTTAAATGTGCTATCCTGAGGGTTCTGTAAGCCATGCTGTCAACGATTGTCCTCTGTGTAAGGCCTTCGTCCATTCCAGGTTAGTTATCAGTAACTTTGGTGATTTGTGGGCCCTCATCGTCTTTTCCAACGAACAGATGTCCACATGTGAGGGAAGTCTGCAGAAATCGTGCGCTACATCCTCAGCTGGATGTTGTCTATCTGAAAAATGCAGAAGGTATACTTTGTGTCGCCACACTTTTGTCATCTTCACTTATACGTGCTCCCCCGCAAACAGTTGATTGGTTCAATGGGTGTGGATATTGCAAAGTGTGTACCTTCATTCTGTAGTTATTGTTTATCCTCAGCTCAGATGACTCTTCAGTGGGCTCGTTTGAATCCTTCTCAGAAGCCTGGCTTCCCCAATCCCGGCTGGCCAGGCTGTTGTCGTGCTCCCGCTCCGAGCGAATATCGAATGATACAGGCTGCTGATTGGCGATCTATCAGTATCGTACACCATATCCCAATTCCTCCGGAAATCAAGGTCATCCTCGACGGACTCACTACTGGCGGGCGATCATCTTCCAAACCGTTCATGCCTCCATTGGATCGCAGGAACAGCAATAGTGGCACTGGCACCGGCACTGGGGGAGGTAGCCCTCCAACCAAGCTAGGCAACACCGCTGTCAAACCAGTATCGAGTGCGAACAAGGTCCGTACATCGGCGAGCCCGAAAACTCCCGCCGCCACACTTTCCAAAGCGACAGCCAACGCCGTGGAAGGCATCCGTAATTCTCCGGAAAAGGAAAAGGCTTCCTACAACAATTCTGCACACTCTTCTCCAGGCCGAAAGCAGATTGAGCTCGACACTAACACGACACCACGACGCAATTCGGGTAGTCGAGCTCCGCCAGCTATACCGTCTTTCAACAAAGGGTCTCCCGATCTACGTTCGTCTACCTTACCCTCAGGCAAAAGTTCCCTTGAGTCACGTTCATCTGCTATACCCTCGAACAAAGGCTCTCCCGATCTACGCCCATCTGTTATACCCTCGGGCAAAAGTTCCCCTGAGTCACGTTCGTCTGCTATACCCTCGAACAAAGGCTCTCCCGATTTACGTCCGTCTGTCATACCCTCGGGCAAAGGCTCTCCCGAATCGCGCTCACCTGCTACAACCTTGAACAAGGGCTCTCCTGAGTCACGATCATCTGTCGTACCTCTGAGCAAAGGCTCGCCAGAAATGCGTCCCAGTCTCGATCGACGTCGTAGCAGCAACATCCATCCTCCTACTCCAAGCTCCAAGTCTTCGATCCCGTCGCGGAACACTGCTTCCAGCTTCACGCTTGCTTCCCGCAAGGCATCGAAAAATGACGATGCATCCAGCGTTGCAAGTGGTGGTAGTGGAGGATCAGACTCACTGTCCGACAGTACAGTTACTTCCGATGGGGGATTCACTGATTACCTATCGGACGAATCTGAGGCAGAACTTCAACGACAAGCAGAAGCCAAAGCTGCTCTTTTGGCGCAGAATCAGGCTGAGGAATTAGAGTTCAAAGCCGCTCGTCAACAACTGGCCCATGTTGACTTGCGTCCCCCCAAATCTTGGAACCCCACGAACATCACGAACAACAATACGGCTCTACGTCTCACGACCACTACGAAAGGTTAAGTACCTGCGATGTACACACATGTATCCAAGGGTTCTCTAAGACTTCTGCTTTCCCATGTAAAACCTATATATCCCTTACATACGTATCTATCATCTGTACCATATATCACACGGCATATACAGGAGGGCCAGCATGCATTGATATCTCTCTATTCTGTTGTTTACAATCTGTTGTGTTTGGAGTGGACGAATTGCTTTACTTTGCCTGTAACCACCTGTAACAGTACTTCTATCAGTTCTAACACGTGTGATAAGAAGGTCTGCTCTTCCCATGACGCCACATTAACTTGGACCACGATCTTGAGTCCGTTTTCTCATGAACTTAGCCCGCCATTCCATCACAGCGACAAATCCCGTTCACATATTCGACACCAGGCTCGACGCAGACTGCGAAATATTCACAACCTGTTCACCGGCTGGATTCGCCGTATACAGAGCATGGCCTCTGCAACTGCTGAGGAAACGCGGTATGCCAATGCACTTGTCTTGTTGAACTTTCTGTGCTAACGTCTTTCAACTTCTTCAGAGTTAAGCGGAGGTACTTTGGCTGCTGCGATGCCCATGCACACATCTTCTCTCCTCTTTCTCTTGGGTGGCGGGCGAAGTCCATTGTATCCTCTAAACAAAGTGATCTTGTGGGACGATGCCATCGGTAGTGAGGTGGCTGAGTTGGAATTTCGTGAACGGGTACGGGGCTTCGCTTGTAGACGAGGATGGCTCGCAGTCTCTCTTCGACGCAGAGTGATCGTATTCGAGATTGGCCGTCAGGTCACAAGATATCAGGAATGGGATACCTGCGATAACCCCAAAGGTAAGTGACCATGGCAAGAGGCTTCATCATTACGTCTGATTGGAATTTAGGTTTAGTCGCACTAGCCTCTGGCACTCATGCTACTCTATTGGCTATCCCCGGTCGTCAAATGGGTCATGTACAGCTTATCCATCTTCCTCCATGCTCTCCTCCTCCGCTGAAAGGCCCTCCTCCATCAACACCTCCAAAGAAGCCTCCACCTCCTCCTGAAAAGTATCCTGTCTCTATAATCGCTGCTCATACGACTGCTCTCTCCACATTATCCGTGCCGCCGTCTGGACGATTACTTGCTACAACTTCCTCACGAGGCACACTTGTCCGAATATGGGACTCTCTGACTGGGAAGCTGGTGCGTGAGCTCCGAAGAGGAGCAGATAAAGCCGAGATATTTGGTGTGGCTTTCAGGCCAGACGAACAGGAATTGTGTGTGTGGAGTGATAAAGGTACAGTACATCTGTTTACTTTACTTTCAGCTGTTTCGTGAGTCTACTACATCTTGGTACGTCAAGTTCGGGCTCATGCTCTTGATAATAGAAATCGACAATCAACCTTCTCCCCGCTTGCGCCATATATTCCTCTTCCCAAGTACTTTGAATCAGAATGGTCTTATGCACAGTATCGGATCCCTACGCAATCTTCACATATATCCCTTTCAGCTACAACATCGTCGCGCTCAACAACTGAAGACATTCCAGATGAGGAACGATGCGTTGTAGGCTGGATCGAGGTTCCTTCGGAATCTGCTTCAGCCCCGAGTGAATATCAACTCATCGCACTGACCTACGCTGGAGGCTGGTATCGTCTCTCTATACCAAATACTAACTCCACCATATCTGCACCATTCTCTTCGAGTTCGCCTCCCAGGGTCCTACATGGTCGGTCCCCTAGTGTATCTTCAACAAGAAGCGAACGCGGCTATAGCAAAGGGAAAGAGAAGGAAAAGAGCAATCATTCTAAAGCGAGTCAATGTCAATTGCAAGAGTTTCGGCGCTACGGAAGGTGGGATGGATGGGACTAGAAGGCTCCCTTGCGGGTATGTACATTTGTAGGATTTTTCTACCTTTGGCGTTTTGTTTTTGGTTTATTCGTTCTATACCCGTATAATCAATGCTCTTCCTACTGACATTAATTTGGCTATGACTGCTCGGTCATGCTGTACTTATGATTTCTTCTCTGTTGTTGCATTACATAGATTCCTCATGTCACATCTGTACTGCTAAAACTGTTGGTTCGAGTCATAATGACCTCTAATGACCTATGTACACTTACTTGCTCATTGTTCACACTTTGTCATCAACTATCCATCGTCAACTGTGTGTTTGACCTTTCCCAGACGACAGATTGAACTGAACATTCTTTCTGTATTGCATGGATAGATTGGCTGCAGTTTGGAGATGATAATTTGCTTGTACAATTTCCTGGGAGAGTCACATATTGATGAATGAGGGTGGCTGTTAGATTGTAAAATTGCGAACCTCTAGGCTCTTGTTCAGTTCTAAGATAGTCTCCGTGCATTTTGACTTCGAAGTCCACTTAGCTACCAGCCGACAAGCAAGACAAGCCGTAACACGTACCGTATTCTTCAGGATGCGTTCCAGAAGGACAGCCTGGCGTTCTGCATGGGGATTTTCCATAGATGATTGTAGAAAATAAAGATAGCCAGAAGCGCTTGAGTAATATATTATATATAGTCTAAGCGCTTAGATCAACTCCCATTGAACATTCACCACTTGACGGCCATCCTGGATTGATCTTGTAGGAACCTTTACCTTAATCCTCATAGCACGGCATATATCTCTATTTGGATCCCTAGCAATGATCTTTTCCGTCGGCCAACCAATTGGACGTCATGCGAGCAGTTGTGGTTACTGCTCTCCATCCGGTGAACGAAGTAAAACCGATTCGTCCCATACAGCTGCATCTCTCGTTGCGCTTCAGCTATCTTCTGAAGTGTACCAAATGATGCTTAACCGAGGTTGGCGTCGCTCGGGTGAGTGCTTAGCAGTTTATGTCAACGTTCACATCGTCACTTACCGGAATAAATAGGAAGATTTTGCTATAAGCCGCATCTACGATCCTCCTGCTGTCCCCTTGTACGTCTCGTACGCTACTCAGAAGCGTTTCATGTATTCACTATATCTCCAGTATACGATCAAGTGCTTGCATTCTTCTATGTCCGTTTGATTATTTATCAATGATCTCCCTTTCAGATTAGATGTTTTATGTTTCAAATCATCCAAACATCACAAGAAGCTCGTAAATCGGCGCGTCCCTCTCTTAAGTTCTGGAATGCTTCCAAGGCTGATACGAACCGATGTAGGTGGAACACGTTTATTCAGCGTGGTGGCGATGCAGGGTACTTAGAGGCTAGCTGTGGTCTCGAGCTGATCAATGACTTTTATGAATTGCAGAAACCGCGGAAAGCAAAAAGGGAAAGATAATGCTAAATTCAATCTCAGAGCGTCTATCCATGCCTCTGAGTTTCACTCAGATCAGAATCAGCATTTCGCGCATAAGTTCGAGGTAAGCAGTAGCTTGACGACAGCTGAACTTGACGCAACTAATGATTGAGTTTCTTTCATTTTAGATGACTCTCGAACCTTCATCCTACACTGATGAGAAATACGAGCTATTCAAGAAATATCAGACCGAGATACACTTTGATTCTACTTCTCCTAAAGGATTCAGAAATTTCTTGGTTGCAACGCCGTTACATGTAGGTCTCTGTGTATGATGCTAAAATGTACATACTCAGTGAATCCCCTGAGCAGCAAGAGCCCATCCAGTACTCGTCTCCTCCGACTAGTGATCTTCCCACTCACTATGGATCTTATCATTGGTGTTATCGCCTGGACGGCAAGCTCATAGCTATATCCGTCATCGATATACTTCCTGAATGTGTTTCTAGCGTAGGTTCACAGTCTAGAAAATCATGTCGAACTAACGACCCCCTTTCTGTGCAGGTCTATTTCATGTATGACAAGGACTATGAAGCATATTCCCTGGGAAAGGTTAGAAACGACATACTTCACTGGTTAGTTCCGCTGCTCAATAGTCTTTTCCGGCAGTTGAGCGCTTTGAAAGAAAATGTTCTTGCACAGGAACTTTATGCTGCTGGTGCCCCATCTTTGAAATATCTTTATCTAGGTCCCACCTCTCCGTCTTTCTCGTTCCTCAAAGTTACAATTTCTCTCTATTCTAGGTTACTACGTTCACTCCTGCCAGAAAATGAGGCACGTCCACTCATACGTTTAAGAGGCTGCATGGAATGATCGACAGACAGGTACAAGGGCGAATACCAGCCAAGTTTCCTCTGTGATCCAGTTGAGTACCTGGTATATACTTGAAGTTTCTCCGAGTGGATGCTGAATGAGTTTTGAGTAGGAAACCTTCGAATGGTACCCATTCGCCGATTGTACAGCCCTTTTGGCGGAATACCGATACGCATGTTTCTCTCGACCTGAACGTTCATTGAGAGGAGAACCAGATCATGAACTAGGTACAGTCGTATTCTTAATCCAATACAACAAGTCCGATCCACGTATGTTTATATAGAACAAGACTTCAAGGAGTCCCATCCTCAGGAACCGGAGCAGGATACTTTAGAACGTGTCTTCGTGATCTCGGAGGTGGATGGCCCTCAGATATCAGTAATACCAGCCAATGTGAATTGTTTAAGGATCGATATATTTGTCCACTACTGACTTAAAGCCCTCTCAGCTTTATTCTGATCGGAATTCTCCTTTTCACAATCGCGAATTATTCTGCTGCATAGAGGAGTTAGGAGTGGATCTGGCTTCAAAAATATTTTTTCAGCTTTGATCTTCAATTATCTGGTAAGGCTATACTTGTTGTCGAAGCTTCTAATTCATTGCTCTGAATAGCTCGATCCAAGTCCGACAAGTATAATTCGGCACAATTCGAGAGATTTCGTGTACTGAGATCTGCAATGAGATAATTTGTTTACGAACTCCAGTGTACTCGCGAGCGAACGTCTCTACTAGGTTTGTCTTTGACTCAAAGGACTTGAAGGAACCAACGCCACGATACCAAAGAACCATTCAACATGCAAGTCATATGTCAGATATCTTGAGCTCAGAGCATTTTCGAATTAAAAAAAACAACCTAGGAATGGAAACCTTTGACAAGGTTTCGACTTTCTGTTTCTGTGGCCGTCACGAGGCTATCCAATGGTGATGCTCCAATCACCGTGTGTTGGAGCCAGGCTGGATATTGTCAAGGTGTGCGTTTTTATTATCAGAGGCCCATTGTCGATCCTGATAAAAGTTCGGCGCTATCTGAAGCACGGTTCCGGTGACACCTATCCGCGGCGAAATGAGAGAAAAGGATAAGTTGCCCTATCACGGCCTCAGTATTGTCTTTGTCAATCAAATGTCTTCCGACAATGTCATCACTGACTGCATTCAGCAATATAGGCTTCTCTTTGATCTGAAAACCAACCATTCATTCGAGATCCCGCGAATCGTGTAAATACGCGATCCTTTCTCTCCTTGTTCGACCTGCGGTCCCTCTTTCCAGTAGTCCTTCCTTCATACTATCCCACTCATCCGCTCTTTAATTTCGATCCAACATCATGAAGAACTTATTATTCTCTCCTAGCATTTGGCGAATAAAGTTTCCGAAATCATCTGGTGTAGATGAGCTAGCGGCATCTGAAAGATCGGAAACTCCCACTAGTACGTTTATCGGCCGACTGAAACCTGGTCACAAGGAAACAGGAGCAAGAGCCACTTCGAGCATGAAACAAACTCCTTGTCGTCCACCTCGACCTCCAAGTCCGAATTTGTTTGGTACTCCTAGGCCTGTGGAAGATACCTCCGAAGTCCCGACTTTGAGGAGAGAACTTTCCCAGAGAAAACACATCCATGTCCAACGTCCTAACCGTACGGCTGATTCACTCAAAGCCAAGCGAAGTTTACCCGAGCTGGATGGTGTTTGGAGGGGATTCTTGAACGAAGTGAACGAGGACCACGACTCCTTGTACCAGCATCCCATACCCGATTTGCCTACTCTGCAGAGGCAATCGCCCACTGTACGTCCAGAATTGAAGGACGAAGAGGTTAGTGGTTCTCGCTCACACTTCCCGCGGCGGCGGCCCTTCGGAGGATCTCAGCCCCGTGTCACCTTGCATACTTCGAGGTCCACTACCTGTGTTGCTATACCGGAAGAGCCGTCTTTGAGCCCACGCTCATCGGTGTCATCTGCCGATTATGAGACTGACATGGACTCTCTGGCACTATTTCCTGCACCTCCCCCGTTGAGAATAAGGAAAAAAGTTCCCAAACCGCTCATCCTAGTACCCACCGCAACCATTGTTCCCTTACCACCGTCACCTTGTACCGGCTCTCTAAATCCCACACCAGTAGCAAGTCCGACCTCGCCGAAACTTCCACAGAGTCCTCGGAGAGCGACATCCCCGCCGTCAATTCTGAAAAAATCGCAATCTGCTGCGTCACTGTATAGCATGCCTACATCGCCAAGTTATAATACATATCCATCCACCTTGACGCTAGCTCATCCGCCGCGTATAGCGCATTCTATATCGAGTCCATCCCGCCCCAGTCCTTCAATATCGCCCACGAGTCATAAATCATCTTCCAGTGACACTATGGCTTTATCCAACTCCGGATCTTCTCGCAGGTATACCAATCGCACTAATACCTTCACCTCAAGCTCGTGGAATGATAAACCCCTTCCGCCTTTGATGGTGAGCAAATTCCATTCTCGTTGCACTGGCAGGTGTATCTCAAAGAGAATATTGATAGCTCAATAGACGACAGCGGAATATCAAGCACCCATCACCCGTCGAATGGGGTATTGCTGTTTGAAGACCCTTCTTCATTGTTTCTGGACATAATTTATCTACTTGTCTTCTCTCTGATTAGAACTACATACTATTGTAGTTCGGTCTTTTTCACTACATGTAAGTAAAAATTGTACATTATGTATGTATATCATCATTTTCGTGAAAGGAGCTCGAAGTATTCGAAAACTGTGACAGGATATCATCGTTTTTTCTTGGATTCTAGTGCTTGCGCAGAGATACGAGTGGGAGATTGTGAGCTCTGCTTGTCTTCGAGGATGGAGAGGATAATGTACGCGATGAGAACAATGTTCGCAGCTACAATTGCGGTAATGGCCGCGAATGTGGAATTCCCTAGTGAGGATTTCAGTTCCAGATCTTTGCGTTTACACTGGAAGGTGGTAATACCATTCCAAAGATAATGCAAGCTCCCGTAATATGAGGTGAGTGGCACAATGCCCAGAGACAAGCTAAAAATCACTAGCTTGAAGAGTGTACCACTGTTGTTTGAGTTACTACACAAAGAATTCAATGCTAGAGTATATTCACTCACTTTGAAGCAGCATTTGTGTTCAGCTTTCCTATAGCTGCTTGTTCGCTGGTACTCATGGTGGACGGAGGAAGATCGCGAAGAACGTGTCATTATCCATTTAAAAAATAAAGTAACGTGTTCGATCATTCTCGCGTTCTTCTTAGCCTTACCACTATTGCCGAACGTAACTCGCGTAATTATGCAGCTCGACGCTTCCAGCGTGTCTGAAACATCTTGGCTGCATCCTTCAGAATGGGATATCCTTGTGCTATCTACAGTGATCAAAGTGTTACTGTTTCCCGCCTAGTGAGTCTCATGGTGTAGAAGAGAATTGTGTCTCAATCTCTCAGTCGTTCCACGGACTTTGAAGTCCACAGAAATTGGCTTGCTATAACTCATTCACTTCCTATCTCGCAATGGTATTATGATGTACGTATTCTACGAAACATTCAATATATGTCGACTCTCATGTCTACGTACAGACATCCTCACAATGGAGTGCGTCTTTCTCCCCAAGTCGAAAGTGACACAGAGGTGACACTATATACATAGCCCTTGACTATCCACCATTCTTCGCCTATTTCGAGAAGATCCTCTCCATTCCGGCTTCTGTCATTGATCCCAGAATCGTTGATTTGAACAATCTCAATTACGACTCTTGGTCTATCATTCTTTTCCAGCGTACAACGGTCATTATCACGGAACTAGTACTGGGAGCCGCACTTTTAAAGTACGCCACAATGTCTTCCTTATGATTAAACTTCACTCATTTGATTTATACAGATTCATACGAGGCGCCGTTGATCAACCTACTCAACGTATCATCTCAGCCTCTCTGTTTCTTCATCCCGGATTTCTCATCATCGATCATATACACTTCCAGTACAATGGCTTCATGTTCGGAATTCTGCTCTGGTCTATCCTCATGGCCCGTAACGTCAATATTAGTTTTACGTGGATGTTCACAAGCTGGCACTCACTCAGTGATGTTCTAGGGAAATAAATTAGCAAGCGGGATTCTGTTCGCTGTGCTGCTCAACTTCAAACACATCTATATGTATCTCGCTGTGAGCATGATGGTGTTATCGCTTTACAAAATCTGATTTTGATCATACAGCCTGCGTACTTCATTTATCTCCTCCGCTCCTTTTGCCTATGGCCATCTGGACAGATAGAGATCAAGAACTTCCTTGCGCTGGCCAACGCTGTGATTGCCATCTTCATAGCATCTTTGGCACCATTTGCTCTTATGGGCCAAATACATCAATTAATGTCACGATTGTTTCCTTTCACTCGAGGCCTCAATCACGCGTATTGGGCACCCAATGCATGGGCTCTGATCACTGCTGCTGATCGTGTCCTTCTTAAATGTGTGTACTTTGCATTTGATTTTATCTGTAAGCAACATGTAAGGATTGTTCCATACAGATGCCAAAAGTACAGGACAGAATTTCCACATAAACATGGCAGGTGTCTCTTCGACGTCAAGAGGGCTTGTGGGGGATACCGTCTTTGCGGTCCTTCCGAACATAAAGCCGTTGCATACTTTTACAATAACGATAGCTCTGCAGTCTGTTAGTGAATCCCTTCCTTTTCGGACATGCATCTGAATTTCTGTCCCAGATTGTCTTAATCAAGCTGTGGTTTCACCCAACTTACAAGTCTTTTCTCACTGCCCTAACCCTTTGTGGTTACTCTTCTTATCTATTCGGGTGGCACGTTCATGAGAAAGCCGTACTCCTTATATTGGTTCCACTCAGGTAAAGCCTTTCCTTTCTTGAACCTTCTATAACCTCAATCGGTATCTCAGTCTTTTAGCTGCTGAGCGTCATGCATACTTTCGTACGTTTGTGATAGCTACTGTTGCGGGAGTATTTTCTCTGTTTCCCCTGCTATTCACTCCTGCAGGTGATGCTCGTTCTCTTTCTTCGCTTGAACATAATTCTCTAATATGAAAATAGAATCCGTCATTGAAGTAATATACTCAATCGTATGGTTTGCCTTACTTTACATCCCATTATCTAAACGGGTCTACGAGTGAGTGCATCCGTTTACTTTCTTGCCCTTTACTAAACTTAATCATGAGGTTCCCAAAGTCCCTATCTTATGTGATACTCGATGTTCTTGAGAAATTATACCTCGGAGGTTTTATTTTTCTGCAGATATTTGTCGCCTCTTTCCCTGTTTACGCGTCGTGGAACTCTCGAAGGAAGATCGAAGAACCTGGCAATCTCAACACCAGCGATTCGTCCGCTATGGAGTTCTTACCATTGATGGTGACTAGTGTATACTGCGCGATTGGGATGGTGTGGGGATTCATGCGGTTAATCTTTATCTATTTAAATGAGGATACGACGTACCAAGGACAATTGAGTACAATCCAATAAATCTCGAATGAGTGCTGAGATAGCATTCGTATAGAATTTCACGTTTCCTAAGGCCGCTGAACGCTGACACCTACCTACTTAAATGGCACCGGATACTAATGCGTTATCATACTTCGATGGTCGCATGACGATACATCCTTGTCGGGAGCAGTAACAATTGTTCGAGGTGTCATATACACATACATAGAAGACTTCATCCAAAGAACTTCACGAAGCGAATTTTTTGGGGGAGTAACATGGAGAAAGTGACCGACGGGACACTGGTCTACAGGATGTACGCATACAAAATCATTACTAAAAAGTCCAAGAGAATGAGTAGGGTCTGAGCATATCTGTAACTGAAAGATGTGAATAGATGATTGACCCAAGAGCGTTGCAGCTGGTTAGAGCTGGTTCACAGATGTTACAGAGGACGCACGAGCGGGGGCTGGCACGCATTTCCAGCCATTTCTACCATGGCAAACACTCAGACAGATCAAACCACTACCCATGTTGGACAACGAACTAAAGAGGGGAGAGACATGACGAAGAGGCAAAACTTGGCAGCCTCAAGAGAGACCGCTAAAGACCGTGACCTAACTTGAAGTATGAATGAAAAGAACAAATTCACAGGCGTTGCGGAATATACAAGAAGAAATAAAGGCAGCGGTGTACAAACGGAAGGCGACAGCAATGCTTGCTGGCTTAAGGCATGGCTACGGTGGCATGTCTGCGAGAGGGGAAATAGTAACCCAATAAGGCCAAATATCGTCCGGGTGTTGTTATCTGACTTTCCTTCATTCGCTAGCTTGTTTTCTTTGTCGTTTCCTTCAATGCCAGCACGTCCTTTTGCCTTAGTGTACTAGTGACCGGTTCGAAATGGAACAAATCCGTCGACCTCCCAGAAGCTGCCTGAGTTGGGCCAGCCGGCCCAGCCATGGAAGTGCCGGCTATCAGATTTTGATGAATTTCGGCACCTTCAACACTGCTGAACGCCGTTATCTTTGCCGTCCAACGGGCGTCTATCTCTCAAAATTTCACCTTCATGGTAAGTTCATCCACCTATATTCCAGCGGCAAATTCAAAGCTCCCAACATTAGTTGCGCCGTCAATCTAGAGAACGGAGACAATACGTTTATGCCAAGTCGTTGGAGGCTCAGGAAAGACAAACATATGAACGGAAACAACAGTTAAAGGATGCTTTAGCGACGGGAAAATCACTACCAACAGAGTTGAAGAAGGATGCGAAAACGTTGGGTCAGGAGCTGGCTTTTGACGAAGCGCAAGTAGGTTAGCTTGATTGTGCTTTTGTGTGCCAGTGCAAAGCTAATATTTGACCAGAACCCACATCGCATATTGATAATGAATATTCAAGAGCCGGGATCCAGGATCCAAAAATCATTATCACTACGTCGAGAGACCCTTCTTCCAAATTGCTTCAATTTTCCAAAGTTAGTATCTAGTCTATGATTGGGAACCCTTTCATAAAGGTTTGGAACCATAGGAAATCAGACTGATATTTCCCAACTCGCATCGGATAAATCGAGGAAACTATGTTGTGAAGGAACTTGCAGAGGCTTGTCGGGCAAACGATGTTACAGACCTGATCGTACTGCACGAACACCGCGGCAATCCTGGTGGGTACATTTCTGTGTCGCTCCTTGTACTCGAATGACCTTTGTTTTCAGACGCAATGATTATCTCTCATTTTCCCCATGGTCCGACTATCTTCTTCACTCTCAACAACGTCGCGCTACGGCATGACATTGCAACCTATAAAGAGTCAACTGTGTCAGAGCAATACCCTCATCTCATATTTGAAAACTTCACGTCGAAATTAGGCGAACGAATTCAGGATATCCTGAAGTATCTCTTCCCTGTACCCAAAGAAGACAGTAAAAGAGTCATGACTTTTGCCAATGAAGACGACTTTATCTCTTTCCGGTAGGGTCGCGTCCCGTCTCTTCCCTGCGTTTCGCTTCTTAATCCTTTCAGACATCATGTATTCGTAAAAATACCACGGCAAGTCCAGCTCGCAGAAGTAGGACCCCGATTTGAAATGAAGCGTATGTCCCCTTATCTTTATTGAGTCCTTGGTCCTCATCCGCCGCCCCCTTCAGCGTATGAAATTCGCCAAGGTACCATTGAACAGGCGGAGGCAGAACGTGAATGGGTATTGGCACATTATTCAAGAACGGCAAAGAAAAGAAGCGTGTTATCTGGCTCGGGGAGTTACTCAGCCCCTCGAAATTCGCGTAAGCCACCAATGAAAAAGATCAGACGTTGAAGTGTATATTCTCGTACGGTCGCCGTACGTTGCTACGCCAGTCTATTACAATGGGTATATGATCACCCCGTCCCCCCAGCCCCATCCATTTGTATTCTCTTCCCATGCTGTATAAAACTTCTTTCTCTAGAAGATGTATGCTGAACTAGACGTCGATTTCAAGTTTCCGAGGCATAAAAATTCGAACAAGTGAATTCACCCGCAAGCGTCAATTGTACTGTATGTTTTCTACTACGTATTTGCGTATGTGTGTAGTGAGCTCGAGGTGACCACGATCATCGCCAGTCGTTGCGCCTGGTACAATACTGGAGGTGACCCCTGTCAGGAATTAATTCAAGATCAAAGTCATGTATATCTTCTTTCAATCTTTTCCCTCCTATTGCTTGATTCTTCTCGCTAGATTGTTCATAGTAATCTACCGTGTCCAGGATACGTAGGTGCGATGCCACGTTGATAATATGATATTTCTGTCGGTGTCTTGGAGGACGTTCCAGAGCGAGTTATTTACATACTTAGAGTGAGTACCCTCTGGTCTTTGTACAACCATTGATCTTGTGCTCATCTTTCACATTGATTTCCTGGGCCGTTGAGAATTATTTCCATGCAAAAGAATCCCAACGTCGCTTCCCCAACAAGCTCCAGGATTTTGACAGATTCTGACCCATGTATCTCCTCCGAGTCTTCCCGAGGAAAAGCTGAGTAACTCAATCATCGCTTCTTGAATTAAATCGGAAATGGTCCTTCTACAGCGGGTGAGGATGGACGGTTCACGGACGTGTCGATGAACGGGCATCATTAGCCTGGACCACTTTCTTCATCGGTCCATGGGTGATTCCTTCCCATCCACAATATCATCCTCAGGTCCACTATTTGATGGCGCGAGCTTCAAAAATTCTGTGCCATTGTAAGAGATTCGGAGTAGAGTTCAGCCCGGTTCAGCCTGAACGCCGTGCAGACAGCGTTTATCGATAGGCACAAGCGATAGGATGATTTCTCCACGTTAAGCCGCTCAGGAACTAAAGAGAGAGAGAGAGGCTGTTGATGAGGAACATGAACTTTATTTAAATCATTTATACTGTGGTTACTCCTGTCGCGCACCAGAGGATCGATGTAATGATCAAGTACTTACGTGGAATAGATATAAGGAACCTCTTATTTTTCTACGTTCGGTAATCTATAATAACTCTGTCGGTGTAACTCATCTCCCATGTTGACCATCTTGTAAACTCTTGCCTATCTTGGACTCCGGATTCTGAATTCAACATATTTCATGGCTCGAAATCTCTCCTCACCCTATCTCGTCACCTATCAAGGTATTGCCATGACACGAAAGTCCAGGAACTCAGTCTCTCACAGGGAGTGCAAAGGAGTATCAAATGTATGCAAAATATTACGGCTCAATTCGAAGTTTGAAAATGCATCGAAGGGCTGGACCCCCGGTGTCGTCAGCTTGTTGCGTTAGTGCCTGAGTTAAGTACTAGTTAAGTGGCGACTTGAAGTCACCCGTTTCCCTCCGAAATCACCATGAACATCTTCAACCCCAAGATCCTCGATGCGAGCATCCGCGATGTTTCCCTCTGTCTCTCTGATAACCAAAAAGCCGACTTACTATTATACGCACTGAGTAGCCTGGTTTATGAAGGGTGCGCCCATTATGTCTAAACTGATTTTTCTTGCAAACTGATTTGATACTGCATGTTGTTTTTTCAGTCGCTCTAGAATCGTATTCGAGAACGCCATTCAGTCCTGTTTGCAGGTGACTTCGCTATCTCCCGAAAACACTGCCAAGGCCCGTATTCTGAGAGCCAGGGCTAGGCTCAACACCGGCTCCATTTTCGGCGCACAAGAAGGTATGTCGTTGCGCCTTTGAGCATAATCAGCTTGACAGGCATACGATGGGGATAGATCTTCAAGCTGCGTTAGTTGCCGAACCTGATAATCCTGAGGCGACTGCTTTACTACACAAAAGGTCTGTAAATGTAGAAAAGGTGCGTGCTGTGCTCTTCAAATACCATACTCTTCCCTCAACTTGCAATACAGCTGTTGGCACCCAAACCAATCATCAAAGGGCAATTCTCCGTGGAGATCTGGCGAGAGATCGCGTCATTACTACCGCGAAGAGATCTTAAAACGCTGCTCTTCGTCCCAAATTCTCTTTCCCGCATAGCATCTCAGCTCTTGTTTCGAAAATTGGACCTTCATTTTTCTGATTTTTCTGACATAGCTGAAGAAGAAGCTGATTCTTGGAGAACCCCCCTTCTTTCTGCAAACATCAGGGACCAAAGCAATCGACACGCACAACGTACTGCGGACATCCTCACCCGAGTGATCACAGATGCTTCTTTTGCGTTGGTTGTGCGGACATTAAGGATATTCTCGTTTAGGTCGGATAAGGATGGGTGGAGTTCTTTCCAGATTGGTGAGTGGGTGCTGGATTGCACAATGTAACGCTTAGTCTGACCGTGATTTCTGGCAGGTATATTATCCAATGCTCTTCCGAAGCTCATCAATCTCCGGAATGTTCATATCACTGCTCCCATTGATGGGACAATGCCCATCCTTCAAATCTTGCAAACCTCGCACCCACGATTATCCGGACTTACACTTCAAATACCTAGCGGATCGCTTGGTCTCTCAACTCTGACTTTCCAGCATCTTGCCCACTTCGCCTATGAAGCAAGTTATGTGCCAAGCTCTGCGAGTGGAAGCGATCCTTCCTCCTCCGCTTCATCCGAGTCTGAATCTCTCTCTGAGTTCCTTTCCCAGAACCGTGGAACTTTGCGGACACTCTGTATAGAGAACCCGACCTCTACTTTTCCTGCAACTTCGTCTATCTCAATTCGGAATTTCACACACATTGGATATATGGGTCAACTGCCTGTTACTTCAAGTCAGTTGATTCCTGATCTGCTCACGCATGGGCGGCAGCTAGAGTGCCTCAATTTAACGGTCCTTCTGGATTGTGCGCTTTCTCCATATTTCCGTTCACTCTCGACGTCACTCCCGTTCCTCCGCCATTTTACTCTCTGCATTGCTGGGAGCGTCTCTAGACAATTGAATGACCGAGACTTGTTACCCTCGATTGCAGATTTCTTGCGAAATCGAAGAGATCTCAAAACCTTGACTTTGACAGTTGGGGGTGGAGAATTTGTTCTCCGTTCAACGGGATTCGACGCTAGTATTTGGGGTGTCCTTCCATCCCTTACATCTCTACTTGGACTGACGATAACTTACCCAAAAGATTTGGCTCCTGGTCTAGGGGCTTGGCTTATCCCACGGACAGTTGTATCACTCACGTTAGATGGTTTCGCTGCCGCTTCTCTTCGAGAACCTTTGATATTCTTAACTGTGAGTTTTGGTCACACGAAAGGTTATTTCATGTGCACTGATCTTGCCCTTTTTTTACAACAGCAACTTCGTCCTGGAATCCCTACGGGGCTCCTATTCATTACTTTAGCCGACTTTCCTCTTCCTTTCCCTGCCCAGGTCGTAGAGGTTGGATTTCCCATGGTTCGATTGATTCGAATGGGGAACAACTATTTCACGGTTCTCAACAATCTCCCTGGATATGCAGGTGGAAATCGTCAACACCATCGTCATCACAGTTCTCGTCACTCCAGCTACTCTCATCTACCCAGTTCTAATTCTTCGCCTGCTGCTAGTCCTATGTCTACAATATCAACCGAATCCGATATTTCATACGACCTTGAGCAATGGCCTAAGCGACGAGCAGTCTTTCATGCTAGGGAATGGTTTGAATGGCTGGGCTGCGAACCAGGCGAAGCACCTGATCTTCAGGAATTCTCTTTGAAATGAATGCAACTTTGTCACATTAGATCCAAGTATCATATACTCTCCATAAAGATCCATCCAGTGTTCCCCAGGTTCATGAAGTAAGATGACCAACTGTAGCGAAAGGGTCCAGGGCAAGAATTAGACTGAGTAACGGACAGGATGTAAAATATCTTGTGTCCAATTGTGTCCAATTTCCTGCTGTATTTCGACTCAAAATGATCATGTTAAGTGCAGGTGTCAGGCTTGGCCATTAGCAGCGGCTATCAGTAAGAACCGTTCCAAGTAAACCGACTTAACAGAGGTGTTACATATACAGGAACCTCCATAGATTTCGTCGTAGATGAGTTCATCATCTACGTCGTGGGGTTCGATCAAATCGTTTTATTACAATGTACAGACTTTATTCTGCAACGAGCTTAGCATCCAGCTGCGCGAAGTTTTCAAAAAGTGACTGGAATAGATCAATGCAGCTTTGCACGTCACTGTCGGAAGACATAAGACTCGGCTATTGCTACCAAATCATGTAGGAGCTCACCTTGTGCCCGCAGTCTCTCGGATGGAATGCATCGATAACATAGGGCAGCCGACGTCGACTACTCGTAAGCCCATGGTAGACAAAGAGGGACCAACAGTTGAACCACATGGCCTGCGCGAAATCTGAATGAAAAGCTATGATTTGGGCATAGGGGAACGTACATGTCATTGCGTGCTTCATACTCCTGAACCTTCCCTCCCTTCTTTTCGACCAGCTTTTTAATCAAGAAGGATCCAATAGCATCACTCGTATATCGCTGTTTAGCATTAGTTTTGATCATTACGCCACCATTTATACGAGGTTGATGGTTTTCTTCGTGTTTGTTTGTATAGTTAGGGTGGATAGCATGCCCCATATCACACGAAACTAGAAACGAACTGGCAATGCTCTGAGCCAACAGGTCAGGAGTTGGAGAGAGTCGACTGAGTACAGAAGGGATAAGATTCGACTCGGCTCCAGTGCTGGAGACACTGCCAACTTCTTCGTGATTGAATAGTGCTATACAGTTGACATTTCCTTCGAGTAACGAATTAGATGAAAGACTTCCAATCAGGGCATCCACCGCACAAAATCTGCATGGTAATGAACGTAAAGATTGGCTGCGAGTCGAGAGAAGAAAACTGACGAGGAGAATTGGTTGTCCATTCGTGGGCTGAAAACGAATTCGTTTGCAATGCCTCCTAATTGAGAAGGCTGATTGTCGTAGAGTTGTCTGTAAGCAATTTCTCAATATAGATATACGGCGGGAAGACGTTACTCGCAGTTCGAAATCGAAAATGTCATCTGGCGCTATAGATAATTCAGAAGCCAGCAGAGATAACAGCGCAGAATGATGGTTGTTTGCAATGCTTGAGGCTTGAACATCTCTAGTGCTTGATTTAGGTGACTCGGATGTCGTGTTCAGTTGTTCCGAGATCAGGCCTAGGATGGGAACAAACTCAGTTTCCTGATTGAACTTGAGGCTATCATTGACGCCTCGATCCACTGTGATTATGATTTGAATTAAAACCTGGGAAGCTATTGAGCTTTCACTCACAGTGTATAGCAAGAGAGGGGATGCGTAAGATAGGTCGATCGACCTTGATCAAACGAGACTTGAATTCTCCAGATCCATTAGAGGTAATAACCCTTCCAGCAACGGAAAGATCACGGTCTAACCAAGAATGCCATATGCCACCTCCATATGTTTCGATACCAACCTTGGAGAATCAAGTTAGGGTATCAGAAAAGCCAGGATAGATATGTCCAACCTCACCTGGAGGTACCCGGCCTTGGTTCGTTTGGATATAGGACGAATCTATTCCAGAAATGAGGGTTGAGAAGGGGAGACGCACGAGGACTCATCCACAACTCACCCTAAGATTCGGGCTGTCGATATGCGTAGCAACAATACTCAGCCCAGCTCCCTGTTCTACAAGGGATCAGTATTCTACACCAACTGTGAATTTAGTACACGCTTACTCCAGTTCTGGGGGGTAGTAAACGCGACTATGGTAGATTGGTTTCGAGTGAAGAAGTATTTTCCTCCTGGTTTGACTAACTTGTCCCAGCCATCTGATTCCTTCAATTTGCTAAACCCGACCTTCTCGAGGCGTTGCACCGTAGTTTGAACTGCATGGAATGGGGTAGGAGAGGCATTCACAAAGCTGAGTAACCTGCTGGCAGCTTCGGGAACGGTAGACGACAGCATCATCCTGAGAATATGGAGAGCAAATCGAGTATGCAAACGGACATCTAGTTGATAAGCGCCAACGGTTCCCGAGGCTTTGGCGCTTATTCTGGTCCAAAAAAATGTGCTGATCCTCTTCGCTCAACTTATGGTTCAGAGCTATCTGCGTCACGGGCCAACACAGGTAGATCTGCTTGCATTTTCCATATGAAAAATCTGACTCCTTTTACAGGCTTTTGGCCTTGTTTGCAGCTCGTCGTCTAACTCTGTTTTTGATGGAAAATTGGCGTATGTGCCCGCTCTCGAAGATGTTTTGGTATGGGACTTGAAAAAAGGTCAAATGGTGCGAACGCCATTACTCATCGTATGATAAGCCTACTAAGGTTCTATGTAGCTAGCAATGTGGCATGACACTGGCCACCGAGCCGAAGTTACTTGTATTCTCCGTTCACCGCAAAAAGATCACTTTGCGGTTGGTTATGCCGATGGTTCAATTCGTCTTTGGAGTGCTTCTACAGGTTCGGTTATCACAACCTTCAATGGTCACAAAAAGGCTGTGTCTGCACTAGCTTTTGATCAAGAGGGAACCCGGCTTGCATCTGGATCGCAGGACACTGATCTCATTGTCTGGGATATTGTTGCTGAAGCTGGACTGTACAGGTACGATCGAGAATTCACGACTGACAGAAATGAATCAATCATTGTTCAGGCTTCGAGGTCACCGAGACCAAATTACTGCAATAAAATTCATTCCAGCGACAAATGATGTCCCTTCCACCTCGACGGCTTTCACGTCTGTAATGCTCCTGACCACGTCCAAAGACACGTTTATGAAACTCTGGAATATGTCTACTCAGCACTGCATACAGACTATAGTTGCACATCGCTCCGACATATGGGCAATGGATGTTAACGTCGAAAGAAACATCATTTTTACTGGAAGCGGGGAAGGGGAAGTCAAAGCTTGGAGTATAAACACTGAATCAATTTCCAAAGGTTTGACGGAGTTGGATTCTGGAGAGGTTCGTAATCATTCTGTGTCACATCGATTCGTTGCACTGAAGCTGCTTCTAGATCAACAAAATTATACTTCCCATAGCTACACTTCCTCTGTCTTCACGGCATCGCGTATCTCAAATATCCTTTCATCCCACTCAGCCATTTTTAGCAGTGCAATCTCATGACCGATCAGTCGAACTGTTCCGAATACGCACTGAAGAAGAGGTTCAAAAAAAGCAGCTCCGCCGGAAAAAGAGGGCCAAAGAAAAAAAGGATAAGCAACAGTCTAATTCCGAGAAAGCTGATAACGAGAAACTCGAAGATGATGAGATCACTCTCGTTTCCCTGTTTACTCCGCATGTAATCGTTCGTGCTAGCAAAAAAATTCGCTCGTTCGACTTCGGTGTTAGTTTGAAAGATGGCCTACAGGTGAGATGATAATACTTTCGCAGTCCAGTGTCTTATTATTGTTACTTTCAGGTGATGACTGCATTATCCTCCAATTGCCTAGAAGTTTATGCCGTCCCACTTCCTTCAAAATCTAAAGACCCACTTGAAGCATCCCGCTTGTATAGTGTCGAATTACCAGGCCACCGAAGTGATATACGAACGCTTTGCCTAAGCTCTGATGACCAGCTTCTATCATCTGCTTCTAACGGTGATATTCGATACTGCTCTTTGATCATACTTTGTTTATGCTGTTATAAGATTCTCTCAAAATATGGAACATGAAAACCACCGCATGCATCCGCACTATGGACTGTAATCAAGCAATATGTAGCACCTTCCTTCCAGGCGACAGACATGTAAGAGCAAGGATGTCAATGCTGTATGACCCCTACTGATGTTTTTGGTTCCAGATTGTGGTCGGTACCAAAGCCGGGGAACTTCTGCTGTATGATCTTGCATCATCATCATTAATAGAAACTGTGAAAGCGCATACCGCCACGGTCTGGTCATTGCATGTGCGTGCGGACGGTAAAGCATTGGTCACAGGGAGTGCGGACAAGGACGTCAAATTCTGGGAATTTGAAAACAAAATAGCTGCAGAAGACAGTGTATGTCCTTTTTTATTCCTTCGCAATAATTTGAGGTTGAGATTTATGTAGACACAAAGTGGGAACCTGGTGACCTTGGTGCATTTGCGAACATTGAAAATGACGGACGATGTTCTCTCCGTGAGATATAGCCCTGACAACAGATTCCTGGCGGTCGCACTTCTCGATTCCACTGTGAAGGTGTTTTACCAAGATACTCTCAAGTTCTTTCTTTCTCTCTACGGCCACAAAGTATGTCCATTCCCATATGTGAAACTCCTCAATTCCTCATTCGTGTCTTTAGCTTCCGGTGCTAGGGATGGATATATCGTCAGATTCAAAATTAATTGTTACTTGTTCAGCAGACAAGAACGTAAAAATATGGGGTTTGGATTTCGGGGATTGTCACAAGTCGATCTTCGCTCATGAAGAAAGCGTCATGCAAGTCCTCTTCGAAAAAGACAGTCATTACTTTTGGACTGTTGGGAAAGATAAAATGCTCAAATACTGGGACGGTGACAAGGTTTGACATTCTAAATTTGGATGTTGTTCTTTGCTAATATCGCCACAGTTCGAACACATCCAAAGACTTGAAGGCCATCATGGTGAAGTTTGGGCCCTCGCACTGAGTCATTTTGGTAAATTTGTAGTAACTGGTTCTCACGATAAGTCAATCCGTGTTTGGGAAAAACTCGATGATCCGGTTCGTTCAATGATGCGCTTTACCCAGTTGTATGTGTGTTGATTTGTACTTTACAGCTATTTCTTGAAGAAGAAAGAGAAAAGGAGCTGGAGGCATTATACGAAAACGGAACTATTGAAGCCCTCAATCGTGCCGACCTCGCTATTGGCAGTGGCGTCGGTGATGGGTTTCCAGAATCGTCCATCAGTGCTGAAGCCACGGGCGTCAGTAAACAGACTGGCGAGACTTTAATGGCTGGAGAGCGCATCATGGATGCGCTAGACCTCGCGGATGGTGAACGACGTATATTTCGTGAATACGAAGAAACAATGTCTCGTACGACTGAAGACGATGCAGTGAAGCTACAACCTCCACCTAGGAACCCTGTACTAGCGGCGTACGACCTGGAACCTGAGGCTTACGTCCTTAAAGTCGTTGAAAAGGTGCACAGTACGGCGTTACACGACGCGCTTCTGGCGTTGCCCTTTTCTAAGGTCATCTCATTGATGGAATACCTCAATATTTGGGCGCAGAAAGTGAGTAAATCCCATGGGTAGACGGTTTACCATTCGATTTACTCTACGACTTAGAACTGGAACATCATTCTCGTCTCTCGTATCATATTTTTCCTCCTGAAAGCACATCATCACCAGATCGTGGCCAACCGTATTATGAGGACGTCTTTGATACCTTTGCGAAAACATTTGCGGACGGCGCTTCAGCGTCAGAAAGAGGTCATTGGATATAATTTAGCCGCACTACAATATCTGCGTCGCCGTGATCAAACAGAACGTGTTGCACATTTCTTCGAGGAAGAGTCGAGCGCAGAGCAAGTACGTCTTCAGATATCTGAAGGGAAAAAGAGGAAAAGAGTCAATTTGGTGTCATGATTGGATTGTAGGCTGTGTAATACAAAATGCGTAGTTGTGAGGATACAAATAGACAAGACCGAGAACTACAATAGTTATGCAAAGCTAAACCTGAAAGAAAGTAACAAAAACCGCGACTTAAACTTGTGGTCCCCACAAAGCCACATTCCTATAACAATGCAAGTCAAAGACGGCAACAAATTCAATCATTGAACAATCATACCAGTCTGATTTTTGAGGAGGGTCGGTAATCCTCATTTGGGTGATCAAAGTACCTACCTCTAAGCCTGCGAGCTGCTTGAACGCGGCCTGTGTGAGGTCGACATGCTTCGATCCGACAGCGCACCCAGCGCATGAATCAACTACCCTAACGTAGACACATTTCTTGTCCTCGTTGCAAACTACGTGTATTGGATTGTACTCAGAGCTAATTTCATATTGGGGAATGGCTTACGCTCGAGAAAATCGAAACATTTGGGCTTAGTCTCCCAGCCGTCTAAGGTCAAAGCTGCAACAAATGACTCATCCTATTCGCAAAATCAGTGAAAACTGCAGGGATAGAATTGAGAAGCTCGCTCACCGTCGGGGTCCATGCCGTGTTCGCCCAGCAGCTCGGGTTCAGTAGATCGTGACCAGTATACCTACACCTTGTAAATCAGAGATTGAGAACGGCGATGACAGACTACACGCACCATGTGATTTTTACACTCATAAAATTACTGACGGCCTTGAGGGTATCGGTAATGGAGACTGTAAAATTCTTCTTCGTATCCTTGTATTTTGCTTTATTGGATCGCGTTTCAAGAGTAGTACTATTTTGAGGGAAACCGGTCGCGTTGAAAGTAGCCCAACCGTCGCGAGGATCAAAGTTGTAAGAGTCGCCGAGTGAGTGTGCTCGTTTGAAATTTCTTGATTCACTTGATGAGCTGGAAGGAAGGCGTAGAACCGAAGATGTGACGCCCGGAAGGACGATAATGAACGACATGAGAAACAAAGAAGCCATAAGAGCTGCAACCGGGCGAGCCATTGTAAGCAGTAGGCGTGGAAAAGAAAGCTAGGATATGAGCGCGTTGTACTTGAGGATTTGATGAATCGAAGTGGTGGTTCAAGTTCACTATGATCGGGTTTTCGTGCGGACGCGCTTTAAAAGGCGAGCTGCTCACGTGACTGGCCAAAGCAAGTTCTATCGAGCAGCCGACTTATTAGATGTACTCTCCTGAGTCTCCTCCGTCCGCTCACCTTTACATCGACCAAGAACCTTGGCTCTATCTCATCTCTCCGTTTGTCTCTGTCTCCGTATACATGAAGTCACTACCTACATACGTTCCTTTTGTGTACTTTCTCACCACCGGGCCATATTTCAATTTTCACATACAGTACATCCCTTATCTAGACCTCACATACAGCTCGATAGTGAGCCTGTCTTTCCGTTTTGCCTTTATCGTTCTCCCTTCTTCGTTCATTCCTTATTCTTCTCTTAGTTACAGTTCTCCTGTATGTGTCGCCAGTATCGGCTTGTCCCTTCTAGGGCCTGGCAAGCAACAATTCAGTGTTTGTCCCAGACCCAGATCATCGAATTATCGATTATCCCTTGCTTGCTTCATATCATCATCAATCTATAGCTAAGCTGCCGAGGAGCATAGATCGCGCAAACCACTCATTACGATTCTAAATCGCTTGTCATCTAACCTTAGCCAAGTATTCAAGCCTATCATATTCCTTGCTATGCAAGTAGAATACGTGTATGGCGTCTGTTCAGAATTTTCAGATGAACAGAACTGGAAAACTAACCTCGTTCACTCCGGCCGGCATGACTCAAACGCCGATTGAATCCTTTGTCAGTGTCGCCGACTCATTCCCTCCTCCGTCGCTGTCCTTTGGTCCCCATGCCAGCAGATTCGTCCCATAACCCACAAGCCCGGAGAAATTCCAGAAAGCATGCCAGTGAAGATGACATAGATGTTCGTAGAGCTAGGGGGGAGGTATGTGCTCGTTAGGCGCCGTTACTTTCTCCCGTTCACCCATTCTACTTAGGTTTCCTGTGCGGAATGTCGACGGTACTTCTGTTTTTCGCTGCCGAACATACTCCTACTGAAGGGGTCGATAGACTCAAGCTGAAATGTGACAAAAAGCTTCCCTGCAGCAGCTGTGTCCGGCGAGGTGTACATAGTATATGCCCGAATGGCAAAATGGCGGCTGGCCAAGGCACTCGGTGTGGATTTGCGACTCAATACTTTGAATCTTCTACTTGCTCAATCTTTCCGCTCTAGTTTTGTGCTAGCCGATACTTCTCAGTTACATACTAAGATTACCGAAATGGGTCAGCGGATTCGTCAACTAGAAGACGCTCTTGCGATATCTCACTCCGGAATATCTAATGAACCGCATCCTCTACTTCGTGATGAGCTTCTATCCATTAAATTTGGTCCTGAGAATGGCACCACATCTCGAGCACCTCCCTCTCGCGATCCGTCTGTAGAATCCATTGATGCTTTCGGGACGCTCACTATCTTTGATAGAGACCTGTCAAAATACTTTGGTCGCTCAGCAGGATCAGAGGTGAGTGTGATTTTTTCAGAATTTTGACTACCATGCTCATCCTACTACTCGAAGACATTACTGCTGGTGAAAAACCTTCATTTTACTTGCGTTCCAGAAAATTAAATAGCTCCAGGCAGGTGCCGAAATGGAACCCAGCTGGATTCCTGACGACGACCAATCATCTTCATCCATGTTGACTCAAGATATCTTGCGACTTTCTAATCTTTTTCCGATGTGTGCAGAAGCAAACAGCGAAAAAACAATGGACATACTCTTTTCCCATCTTCCTGAGCAACCTCGAGCATGGGCACTTTGTGAAACTTATTTGGAGCAAGGAGCATGGCAATTCCAGCCAATTCGACGCGATGAACTTATTGATGACATACTCGTACCTATATATCGATCCCGAAAAGAAAGAGCTTCCTCTGACTCGAATCAACCCCATGTCATATCTCCCCACCGGTTGGCTTCTCTATATATCGTCTTCGCTATAGGCGCCTTGGTTGATCTTACTTTGGATCCATGTATGTAAAACTTCAAAATTACAGAGAATTTTGATGTTCTAACCAATGATTGATTGACAGACAGCTCTGAAGCTGAAAGTTTTGCTTTGCTATGTCGCGCAGCAATATCCCTGCGTTCCGTTTTTGACTCTCCTGAAATCTGTACAGTGCAAACAATTGCTCTGTTAGCCCATTATCAAACATTTGCCGGAAAAAGGTATACGCTCGATGCTGCGGTTAGTTGTGCCTTGCATCTTATCTCTGTAATCCAGAACTCAAGTCTGAAACAGTGGACTGTCATGTCTCTAGCTGCAAAACTTGCTCAAAGCGTAAGTGATATGTTCAATCTTCTTGCATACACTAAGCCTTCAATTAATATAGATTGGTCTTCGCAAGTCGAACCTTATTTACGATATCTTCGATATCTTGGCTGACACCAGTTCTCAGATCGCGATGGTTCTCGATGGGACTTTGATGCTAAGACTGTTGACCGACGAAGGTCTTTGTTTTATGAACTTTTTTGCTCGGAACAGTTTCATGTTCGTGCTATCTCTCTCCTAGTTGTACAACACTGAACACTGTCATCCAGAGTCTAGCAATAGGTCGTCCTCCAGCTTTACGGCCGTCTTATGTTGACTGTGAATTTCCCACTGACGATGTACCTATGATGGACGAAGAAGGAAAACTACAAATGGGATGTGAGTATTATTCTTCGACTTTGAGAACCTAGGACTTTGGGTGAAATTGGCATAGATTTTCAATGGAAGTATGAATTCTGCAGGGACATATTAGCTCAAGTCCTCGAACTCACCCTGACCGCTGATATACCAAGCTATCAAACCATACTTGATTTGGATCGTAAAGTACGGGAAAAGACTCTTCCTGCTCACCTCAATGTCTTCATGAGCGCGGAAGACGAACACTGTACACCGGCGGCATACATGCGTCGTTGCAATTTGGGGCAATATCGATCGGTCAGTGAGTATATGTTTCTCGTTTTTCTACATCAAACAGTAACATCGACTGTAGCACTTTTATTCCTCCATCGTAGTTTCTTTGCTCAGGCGATGCTTGATCATCCCGTGAACCCTCTGCGTAGTCCATATGCACCCTCGTTCCTTGCAGCGTACCGGTGTGCATCGGGAGTGATCAAGTCCTCTCTAAATCATTATGACAGATTTCCGGACTTGTGCCGCCGCTGGTGGAATGTAGGGTCCCAACGTCAGTCCCTCTCACTTATTTTCATTCTGTGCATGACTAACCACTCCTTTAGTATTTTCTGCGGCAGTAAGCTCCACTTCGGGCTGAACAATAGAACAACCTTCTTAATTCTGAATTAGATCATCGTCGGGTCCATTGTGACGCGCTCTCCGTCATCTGCGATGGCTCCAAATGCTTTTATAGAGCTAGGTGCGTGAATCTCATGCTTTTCCACTGGTACAGTCAGTTGAATCTGAATTAAGGACTGGCTTGTGATTTGTTCGAGAAATGTAACTCTGATTCTCGTCGTTCCCGTAGTGGTCTAGTATGTGCCTCTTTCAATATTTTCTTGTTCTGAAAATCTCAAAACGATTCAGGCAATTCTCAACAGATTACGAGACAAAGCTTTCCAGATATTCTCACAACTTCGGAGTGGTACCTCGCCAATTCCCAGTTCGCTGTCTGTTGGCCGCGATTATGGGGACGATGAACTCGCTCTCTTCGGTGGCCAAACAAGAGTATTATTCAGCAAACTCTTGTTGCTTCAACGCAGCAAGCAGAAGAATCAAACTGAATCTTTTGTAAATACTCCCATCTCAACGTCAGATTCTGACTCGCCTGCCCCAAGCGATGCTACCGATTCCAAAGATAACTCTCCTGAAACCCTACCCGACGTGCATCCTTCCCTTGTTGAATACATCTCTTTGCTCCCCCCTTCCCAACATCCACGGTCTCCGCCCCCTGAATCAGCAATGGAACAGTTCTACACAAACCCATTTGCGCAGACGAGCTTCCCAAATTCTCAAATGCAAAATCTCTTGATATCTCTCCCCGATGTACCTTCCCAAGTTTCCAATGAACAAAGTTTTCCGCGATTTTTTTCTGATTTGGGAGACTTTTCAATGGGAACATTTACTGCAGAGCCAACTGTGATGAATGGCACCGCGAATGCTGGCGATCTTATGAACTTGGATCTCATGATGACGGACTCTGGTATCGATCAACAGTGGAGGTCGTTTATGAGAGATTCGGGACTCTTAGACCAGGGGCCGAGTTCTTAATATTCGGATTAAAATAGATTTTTTGTAGCCAAGATGTTGCTTGTACTTCTGCCGCACTTGTATCAATACCTTTATACTTAAACATCAGATAATTCTGTTCCTTTGCTTTGTTCGATTACTTTTAGGTTCGACCAACTGACAAATGATAATTGCACCAGGATTGCGTGACGTACCTCTAAGCTTCAAGCATCAGTAACTGAGTCAGAATCTCGGCGATTGACATTCTGCGATTTCGCGAGATCTTTCTCGCAATCGCACACCACGATGACCCCGAAAATTAGAGCCGTCGATCTCCTACATGGCGATACCTCCGTTCATGGCGAACGAATTGAAGTCGCTCCGTCCATCTCTGTCTCAACGAGTATGTTCATTGGAATCCGACTTACTAGATCGAACTCCGAAGCCTTCTTCTGACCCCCTTCGTTTTAGCTTTCCGTGCAGATCCTAACGAGCTCCCCCTTGATGCTATCGATGTGCAAAATCCCACCCGTCACGTATATTCTCGCTACACCCAAGAAGTTTCCACGAGGGTTGAGCACATCCTAGGGAAGATTCTGGTTAGCCGAATTGTGCTTTATTCTGCTCCTTTTTGCTGAATCATATTTCAAGGACGGTTATGTAGCAACTTATGCTTCTGGACTGGCTGCATGTTTTGCGGTGAAGACTTAGAATAGTAACCTGATCGACGTCGAGCTCATGTCATCGCAGGCACTTGTCTATTATAAACCCAAACGGGTTGCAATTCGAGGAGGATATTTCGGCTGTCACCATACCATCGAGGTCTACAGCAAATGTAAAGAGATCGCAGTTGAGATCATTGACTTAGACGATGAATACAAGCCCGGTGACTTATGTTGGGTGGAGACACCAGTAAATCCCACTGGCGAATCGAGGTGATAGTCGCGTATTCGGACCTATACTTTTCTTTGACCTTTGGCATACAGGGATATTCAATACTATGCTGATAAGGTCTGTTCCTCCGTGACCTTTTGAGTCCATCAATTGAATCGAACTAACTCTATATAAAGATTCATCAGGTTGGGGGGAAACTGGTTGTTGACTCTACTTTTGCACCTCCCCCGCTACAATACCCGTACAAGTTTGGTGCCGATTGGTGAGTTGCATATCCATTTTACGAAGAACTTCCTGGTTTAACGTCTGCAAAGTATTCTTCATGCTGGTAAGCTGCATTCGACTGGTTTCTCATAAGAGACTGATTGTCCATAGCCACCAAGTACATCGGGGGTCACTCGGATCTCCTTGCAGGTGTCCTGGTTGTAAAGACCAAATCTGAATGGTTAGAAGTAAGTATTTTCATCGAGGACCTGAAGAGTAAGTGATATCGAACTTGCAGCTCCAAAACAACCGTACCTACATGGGAACCATGATGGGATCCCTGGAATCGTGGCTACTCCTCCGCTCCATCCGTACTTTTCATCTCAGGATAGTCCATCAGTCCGCTACCGCAACTGCGTTGGTCGAATGGCTTGTTAGCCTTGCTTCAACACCCAAGGGCAGTTCATTCGAGGGCGTCCCCGGAGGTGTGCTTACAAAGGGTATATGCTATTGGCTTTTTTTGATCATTTACTGACGGGACGGAACAGTTTTCCACTCGTCGTTGCAAGAGGTCGACTCCCGGGGATTCCACCCTAGTCAACAAATGCAAGGTGGATGGAGTGCTACATTTGCAATCTTATTGTCCACCTCAGAATATGCCAAAGCGCTGCCTCATTTGACTAATTATCTTGTCGTAAGTCCAAAACCAAAACACTGTGTATATCGAGTTTTGAATTGCTTGTCCAGCCGGCAACAAGCTTGGGGGGTGTTGAGTCGCTCATCGAGTATAGAGCAAGGGCTGACCCGAATGAGGATCCTACGTTGGTTAGAATTAGCATAGGAGTGGAAGATCTTGAGGTGATGACAAACAACATATGCTACACCCAAATTTGCAGCTGATGTTCCCCAATTTTCTATATAATACAGGACCTGAAGGCTGATCTGGGTCAAGCGTTTCGACGATGCGCAGAGGGTACGGTCGACAGTGTCTAAGCGAATATGTAGAGAATGTGACAGTGACTAGATTCGAGTAAATAATAGGCAATTGTAAGGATATAGCAGATTTATGGAATGTACTGTGTTGGTTCTCATATGCAAAAAAAGGCATGCCGAAGCTGAAATACCACAGAGGTACATAAGAATCCCAGTAGTCTATTTTTGTCGGCTGGACTGAACGAACATGGCACAATGATTTGAGGACGCTAGCACGGCAATACTCCTTTTCAAGTCAAACGAGAAACGGTCTTTATCTATGTACTTTTACTCCCATAAAACTCCAAGAATCTCACTTTATCCTCCCATCCCATTGTCATTCTCTTGAACTTACCCAATTGTGAGATCAGGACAGCGGAGGCTTCAGTAAGTAAATCATCGCGCGCAGAAACCCCGACAATCTCATTTACCAGAAATGTAGGAGAACTCGGCGATTCGGATTGAGTGAGCAGTCTGATGGTCAGCGCGGGTATAGTCAGAGAAGATGCCAGTGTGAAGACATGGGAAAGCGGATTGAAGGAAGAAGACGAAGGAATAGAGTACGTGACTGTGGGCGAGTGTCCGGTTGGTGGATCATATCTGTTTTCTTTTCTCTCAGACGCAATGATCAAATAAGTACAAGTGACTTTGGACACACCTGACACACATGATGAACACATCATATCCCTTGACAGGAAGAGAAGTTTGTTTGAACAGTTCTGCGAACCGTAACAAGCCTCGCCCGTTACTCGTGGTACATTCAGGGAAAACAACGACAGGTCTGCCTGATGTTTTCCGTATCTCGTCCAGCGAACGCGTCGTTGTGGCGCCAGTTACAGACGTGTACGGAGGGGCTCTGCCCGTCTCTTTAAGCAAGGTGAATAAAGATACCGGGGTAAAACCGATTATCTGAATTTGAGAAGAGGGGGTTCGACTGGAAGATGCAATGCCAGGCATGCTGCTTCTCCCTGAACGGCGTCCAGGTGTACTTGATATTGGAGAGGACGTGACAGAAGACGGTTTCTGAACAGGGGATTCTGGTATAGGTATTACAAAAACAGGATCAAATCTGCGAAATTTGGTTTGAGAAATTACGAAAAAGTAGTAAAGAAATACCGCACCGGTATGCAAGCCACAAAAGCTCAACCCACGAAGCCCAATTTGAGATAATCAAGTCACCAGCACTAGGATTCCAATCATCTGTAGATTTCTGGCTTCGTCTGAAGGGGCGACGTATAAATGAGCTTGATCGGATACAAATGAGTAGCAACTCACCCTCGTTTTTTGGAAACCATCTCAGTTGGAATCCAAAAAAACCCTAAACAGAATAGTACTGTGCGAATAATTGCAGACGATACGGGGCGTTTTAATGGCGGTATTACCGCCTGTGACTATGAATAATCTATTCACCCTCTCGCGAAGGGAGGATTGCTCACAAAAACAGTAACAACGAGAACATAGACGATTGCCAAGATGAAAATGAGAGCCAGACGAACAAGCCCTACTACATATCGAATTGGTAAAAGAGCCGCTGACAAGACTGCCGAATGGGAGCTGGGTGAAGGTATTGGGGTGAGGAAAGGCTGAATTGAAACTCTTGAATTCCGCAGCGCCGTAAATAGATCGAACAACCAACCTGAATACCGGTACCAGGATCCTGTATACCTGATTAGTGCATGATTCAGTTCATCGCTGAAAACGTACCCGGTAAGCGCTATACTTTTCCATGGTAATCGAGCAAAGAAGTGCGCCACTCAAGTAATTCTCACAGTCGTTGTTTCTCGTTGTCGACGATGACCAGCGACAATTCTGATTCACGCTTGCGACAACTAGCTCGTCTCCCTAACATCTATGCCGCTCATGCTTTGAATCGCTATAGACGTCTGGGGACTTTTGGAAAGGTGAGCTTGTTTGCTTTCTTAGAGTTATTTATATGTTGATCCCTTCGGGCCAGATGGTGTTCTTCATATGGGCACTCATCAATGTATCACTAGGTATATCCAACAGACTCGTCCAAGCTCACTTTTATTGACGTGGTCCACATGCCCAGTTGTCTTTGTCGTCGTCGTGACCCCAGCGAAAATCTTTCAATTTCTGTACGACAAGTCCACTCAGTTATCGCACACACGATTTGGATTCCTTGCCCTAGGAGGATTAATCTGTACGCTAAACACCAGCAGGATTCACCAATGCTGACTTTGGAGAGAATATCACAGTCCTGGTTTCCTTCCCTCCACTGATTGGACACACTACGACAGTCACCGTTTGCGGATTCGCGTATGGGTGGAAAATAGGTTTCCTCATAGCCGCGATAGCTTCTATTGTTGGCTCTGCAAGTTCATTCTCTGTCCTGCGGCTTCTCTTTTCATCCAGACTCCGGCAATGGTCAATGAAAAATGACAAATTCATGGCGCTTGAATCGGTTGTGGTGAGTCGGCGATTCCCTTTCACTTCCCATTGATTGCTGATTGACTTTCAGAAAGAGAAAGGGTAATCATGCAATACATTCGCCCACTGCATCTCATAACTATCGTTCATCCCAGGCTTCCTCTCATTATATTGATTCGAATCTCCCCATTTCCTCCTTGGGTTTATTCAAACTCACTGTTTGCTGTGAGACCACCCTGATTTTCTCACTATTTCTCTCACGAGTCCTCTCCATGTTCTAGTCTATCGAGTCTGTTGCGTTATGGCAATTCGTGGTTGCCACGACTTTCGTGTTCCCAAAGCTGTTACTTCATGCTTTTATTGGTTCCCGGATGGCTGCATTATCTGATGGAAACCAAAGAGAAGAAATGGACACTAGTAGAACCCTTCGACCCATCCCTACAACCACTCTACTAATATTCATGTTTAGGCACCAAGATATTGAATGGATGTCTCGTAGGCGGTATGAATGTTGTTTTCAGCGGTTTTCAGTCACGCTGATGGTCAACGCAATAATACAGGTGGTATCGTCATCGCAGTGCTTGCGAGTTGGTAAGTCCCCGTTCGATTATCACCATTCGCATTATGCTAACATAATTCATCTAGGTTTGTGTACAATCTCGTCCAAACTCATATAAGAAAGCTAGAGGGTGTTTCACCTGCCGTGGATGAATTGGCTGCAGAGGCTATTGAAGATTTCGACGAAGAAGCTCCATTGCTCGGTGGTGCTCCAGAGTCTTAGATGTAGTACCTTTTGAATACACCGGAACATTTTTATACATGTAGAGCCATCCTTATACGCATTCGTACTGTATCCGTTTCTAGTAATAATGTAAGAATAGTAGGCTCAAACTCGAAATGATGAAAAACACGAGAATGAAAAATCTGCTATCCTTTGACCGTCTTCGAGCTTCACGAAGCTGGGCATTCCCCTTTTCCACCATTGACGTCGACGCTATGGCGTCTTCGTATAGCTGATCAGTTAACACCGTCTGCTTCGTCAAGTGTTCTACTAACTCCATCTGTAACGCACTTATTTCCATCAACCGTGATTCTGCTTGATGAACAGAATCTAGGGTTTCCTGTACTGAGCGCAGGATATTCGCATTTTCAGTCTCGAACTGCAGGATCTGTGATGATGATAGCTCGAAATCATCTTCATCATCGGAAGGAGGTGCTGTATCGGGTAAAGGAAATGAAGGACCAGGACGGTGCGTCTCGTCTATGGTTGGTGCGCCTATAGTTGCAGCAATTAAACTTGATGATGTGTCTCCCAACCAGCTGCTGGAGGCAGAGACTCGAGGTTCCGAGGCGTTATGTGTCCGGAACGCATCATTCGTAGTCATATTCAACACCTCCAACCCTGCACCTGACCCTAGCGTCCGCGACCTCTCCAGTTCGCGCTTTACACGCTCCTCCTGCATCTCTTTCTGCTTCTGACTAACTTCTGCAAGACGCCTGCTTAAATACCAAGTGATGCTGGAATGATGTGCTGCTAGGAAATCCGAAGATATAGAAGACGCGTCCTGCCTTAGCCGTGCGGGAAGAAGACGTGTTAAACGGTTGACTTGGCTTGAGACATGTTCTGCACGCTCTGCCATACGTTTGGGATTAGTGGGTTGCATTAAATGTTAGAAGACCGAAGAAGAATCGCACTCTTTTCCGCGCTTTCCATTTGTTTGATATTGTCGGAACAACGAGTGAGGATTTGTCGAGCATGGATGTCGATTTGGTCGCGCTGTTCATTGGAGAGCTGCCGTATATTTGCCCATGAGTTATCCTCGCTAAAGTCAATGCGCATCGTTTCTTGGTAATGCGACGGCCCACTACGTTGGTCGATATTCAGATAGGGTTTGCGAATGCTAGAAAGCAGTCGCGTCAACTTGTTGATAGAGTTGAGCTACAGTATTGTGTGACTTGACTATGAGGTAGAGCACAAGGTTGAAAAGGAACTTACAACGGTATATGCGTTCGCAATGTATTCCTTTCCCAATGATGCTTCTTCTCGTTCTCGATCATGTTGTTTCTGAGGGTGTTTGCTTCTGGGTTGGTCTGCCAAATTGTTAGACTGCACTGCATCTAGAAATTCTGATGTGCGGTCACTGCGAGCCATTCAGATTTTCTATGAGGAGGGCCCTGGGGAAACGAAATTTACTCCGCTCGGCGCTGCCACGCGGCACGCTCATTATCTGGCACGTGATTGAGTCTATTTAAGTTTGTTCAAATTCACTTTTTCTGTCTTGTCCTCTTTGACTGTATCCTCTTCGCGATCGCAACGCAGATAATCGTGGAACGTAGTCTTAGAGGTAGAAGGAACCGTCCTTGTTTGAGGCGGATTGTGTGTTACTACCACTTTTTGCCATAGTTTGTTGACTAACAGTCGAATTCGACTCCAAGTACTATAATCAGTGCAGTCTATAATTCCATGAGTGCTCTACGAGTACGGTCTATACCCATCTTATATTATTAGTCTACGCTTTTTCTTTTGCTCCATTCCAATACTGAACCCCCGGAGCATTAGTCTATTTCTATATCTCCTGTTTTCGCAACATCCAGCGGTACCTGCACGGTTTCTAGTCAGTAAAGGATACATATGTATGTCGAGACAAATCTACTCACGACAATAATCATTAGAATCAATGACTAGTCTACACACAGTGAATTGAGCCAAATCCAAAATATCCTGGTCCTCCACGAACGAGCAATTGATAACAGTGATGCTTTCGATCGGCCTAGCACTCATTTGCGAACGATCTCTGACGAAGCTTACCAACGCATGGCCTGTCACTACACTACACCATCGTAAATCGACCTTGGAAAGATGAGGACAGTAACCCTGGTCACCGTGTAAAGATTCAAAGACAGCATCTGATATTTCACTATCGTGCAGTTTGAGAGTTCGGAGTTTTGTGAGAGATTTGAGACAGGAAATGAAAACGTCTTGTGCGACATCAACATCGCGGAGTTCGAGTAATTCCAACGATGTGTTACCAAGAGCTAGCCATTGGAGGAGCATCAGACCAGACCATTGGTGGGAAACCGGAATAGGTTCAGAGGAGGACATCAGACGAAGACATTGAAGGGCAGGGGTATGAATGTTTTGCAGTAATGCAAACAGGTCGGGCTGTCCTATGAGTGTCAAGGCCTTCAAGGTAGGTAGAGTTGTAAGATGTTGCGCATCACGGTTGGGTAAGAATGACGTGTCTTGAGCCCGGGCCAAGGAGATAGAGAACTCCTCTAGTGTCGAAAGCCCGGCTATGATATGTAACACAGTGGTAATGGATAAGGAGACAGTGATGACACCATCTAAGTTAATGGATAGATTGGTGATGTTGGGAGGAATATCACTCCCGACTAGTACATTGCGATTAATGATATAAGACCGTAGGTAAGGAGAATCATTGAACGCAGTTCCCAAACTGAGTCCTGCGTCCTCTTCCACTACGCCACCTATGGTTCCAAATTCTTCAGCTATAGACACGCATAGGGTCCGCAAGATGGGATAGATGCCTGTACATCGGCGAAGAACGTCGTTTGCAGGGGATAGATGAAGAGAAATCAGGGTGAAGCTCCGCCAACGCGAGCGATGAGAGGATAATAGGCTCATAGTTTCGGACACATGTCCAGTATAGTTGCGCAGATCAATAGTGATGTCTATCGGGACGCTTTGAGACTTGATGAGCCATAAACGAGTCCGCTTGTATGGATCCAAGCTGTCGACATTGATATAAATCTGGGACCAAATGGAGGGAGCCTGTGCAGCTCGACGCCATTCAGAACATACTTGCGATACGACGAGAGGCGCACGAGTCCACCGATCCAGGATACAGGCTTCGAATATGGAAGCAAGTATTTCCGGGGGGAGGCGGCGAGCCAAGGTGATCTTTCCCTTGAGAAACCAAATTTCTTTCTCGTGTTTCGCAATCTGTAGATGGATGCTTCGAATTCCTTGCATGAGACTGTTGATCTCAGTCTGTAAATCCGCCACAGAACGCTCATGGTCGACAATTAACCGGCGAATTTCGTCTTCAGCATCTGTACCAGTGTCGAGCGACTTGTTTCGAGGTTGGGGCAGACATATTATGTGGTCTAGTGGTTAGTTCAAGGGTGAATCTATATCCTTACTGAAACTCACCAGCATCTAGGTCTGGCTATGTAGGTTAGGTTTTGATTTATGCTGTTATGCGAGCGCCGTGGGAGTATTAATTACAGCAAAGGTTTACAACCGCCGGCGACAAGTATTTTGCTGCAAACCGTCTTCGGTGAGCATCCCAATCTTTTACCTGAAATCAGAATGATGATTCAGAGTGGAATCATGATCAACCCGCCAAAATCCATTCTGGGTTGTTATGTTGACTAGGAAATGTTCGAGATACTGCTGAACTTGTTTCTCCGCCCACTCTCTTTTTGCTTCCAAAGGCTCATATTTATCCCTTCTCTGAAACAGATTATGAATCCTAGTAGTAGAATGGCGCGCGATCCTCGACTAGCGAGACTTCAGTCCCAATCAACTCCCACTCCTCCAAGTTCTTCCGAAGCTCCTGCTCCGGTCATCAACACTGCCCACAGTACATTGTCAACACTTCAATATCAAGCCATTAACCAATACCCCGAGCAAGCAAATACCCCGGCATACAAATCTCGCCCCCTTTTCTGTGTAGTCTGTGCTAGCAATCAAGTGGGTCAATCGTATCAAGATCCTACAGCTTGGAAGTTGACAAACCACAAAGAACAGGTCAATGGAGGGACACCATGTTCTCGCGTAGGCTCTTTTACAACTGGTTTTTTTACTCGTCTTATGATATTCTAGTAAGGCCGGATTTCATGTTATTTCGTCAGGGACGGGCTCAGCGGTGCGCTTACCTGGACCGTCAATAGACAAGCCTAATGTCTACAACTTCGGAACTCCTTACAACTCCATATACGAAGAGTTGCAGACGAAAGATCCTCGATTGTCAGTCTTGCCATGTTATTCTGACTGGATGATGTTCTAATTCTTTGACCATCTTAGATATACAGCCAACGGGGTTCTTCAAATGATAGATCGTAACCGGCGAATCAAGCTTGCCCCAGAACGTTGGCAAGAGAGTAAAATGGTTGCCGACATTGTTATCACCTGCGAAGAACGATGTTTTGATATTGTGTGCGACGGTAGGTGGTTCGGTTTACTGGTTGGATTGACATACATCATTCCATTCTAGACCTCCTGGCTCGAGGAGGGGATTTTAATCGACCTGTTCATATTGTCAACGTTGAAATCAAGGATAATCACGAAGAAGCATTGCTCGCTGGTAAAGCCATTCTTGACCTTGCTACAGCGGTGGGTAAAGCTTGACCGTATCATCAAAGGCTGCAAATAACATTGAACCCGTAGATTGAAGCTGCTGAAGATATTGATGAAGAGTTTGACAGGATATTAGAGGTCCAGCAGACGAAACACCCTCATGCCCTTTTGCATGCAGTTGCTTTTTATTAAGGCAATCTCTGTGGAAATATAACCCACCTGCTAGCGATCTAATTTCAAGCTCCTCCAACACATTCAATCAGGAGGATGTACATACACTAAGTAGTTCAAGATATGTATCTACGATAGAATAAAAGTTGTGATCCAAAATCTCCTAAGTACACTAGATGTTCATTGGCTTACGGCATCCCATACGCGCGTCGAGCCGCGTCAGACGAGTTGTTCTTACCATTCACCTCATACTTCCTTCTCATTTCACAACATGGCTAGTGCAGACGGTGGTGCTTACAGGTTCACATCCATGTTTCATGATCTAGAATCAAACTAAGAAGTTTTGCAGTTATTCTCTTACTGTCTTTTCCCCAAGCGGGAAGCTTGTTCAGATCGAACATGCCTTGGCAGCTGTATCTCAAGGAACGACGAGTCTTGGGATAAAAGGTTTATCTCTTCATGTGAATATCGTACTATCAAGTAATATTTCCATAACTTCTAGCCTCCAATGGAATAGTCATCGCTACGGAAAAGAAATCACCCTCAATCTTGGTTGACGACTCAATGTTGGAGAAAGTGGCAGTCGTTTGCCCAAATATCGGCATAGTCTACTCTGGTATGGGCCCAGATTTCCGCGTCCTGATAACAAGAGCGCGGAAAAGTGCACAAGCATATTGGAAGATGTATGGCGAATATCCCCCAACCCGCGTGTTGACACAAGAGATCGCGAACGTTATGCAACAAGCAACTCAATCTGGGTGCGCCTCAGATCTTCATTGTGATGTTATGCCACAACTGAAACGGTATCAGTGGTGTACGGCCGTATGGTGTTTCCCTATTAGTGGCGGGCTGGGATATTACTCGAGGGCCTACTCTATACCAAGTGGATCCTTCCGGATCGTACTGGGCATGGAAGGCCAGTGCCATAGGAAAGAATATGATTAACGCTAAGACTTTCTTGGAAAAGCGGTACGTTCAGATATCTCATCCCCATTCCACATGTTCTAACATTCCGCAGATACAACGACGATATTAGCCTCGAAGACGCGATACACACGGCGCTTCTAACCCTGAAAGAAGGATTTGAAGGGCAAATGACGGAGAAGACGATTGAACTGGGTGTGGTCACAGTGCCGACGCCTGCAGAAATTGAAGCAGGTCGCACCGGTTCAGCGACGGGAAGACCTAAACCGACTTTCAGGAAATTGACGGAAGAGGAAGTACGCGATTATCTCGCTTTGTAACACTGTGAGTAGTTGTGTGTTCATAATTTGATTACTCTGATCTCTCGCACCAGTAGTATTTCTAGTACTTTGGCTCTGTGCTCTCGTGGTCTGTTTCACATTGATAGCGGTAATACAGTCAATTCGACATCTTATGCGCAGTACCATCTCGTCCTAGCAAATTTGTCAACGCGCCTGTTCAGCATTCAACGGACTTGTTGACACCATCTTTGATCCATCAACGTCAATACCATAAATGAAAGATCTGATCGTTCACAAGAACTCGCGAGGTGGACGATTCCGAACTACAACTGGGGCCCTTGTTGCTTGTTAATATCATGGATAGCTTGCGCCGCGCCTTGTCCCAGGGACGAGGGTAAGTAATACTATTTCTTCTATATAGAACTACTATTGTTCCACCTCGAGCTTGCTTAAGGACGCTCAGAAACTATCAATAAACGTCATCACTTCATGCCGAACTCACCGTGTTGACGCGGAAGGTTTCGAACTCTGTACAAACCACATCAGTTGACTGTTGACCCAGTTGATGTATTCTTTGCACAGGAATTGTTTCATGTTGCAGTCAAGACAACTCCCAGGGTATCCATCTTCATTACATGGAAAAATTGGCCGTTGTCCGATGTGTGCTCTTGTGCTGATAGATAAGTATCCTTATGGCTGTCCTACACGTGTAAGATCTTGATTTTTGAACGCGTCACTTTTCTGGATTCTTCTAGCTTTCCAAATCTCGTTTTGTTTTGTATATATAAAAGCCAAATACATACTTCTAGCCACCTCTTTCCTACCTTCCTCTTCATGTCATCCAATTCTGCGAGTTCCCCCGCGACGAGAAGAAGGAGAGCCCAAATAGCCTGTAGGAACTGCAGAAAGCGGAAGATCAAGGTAAGCCGCGCGCAACACCGCTGTTTGTGCCTATCGTAGTCCTAATATTGTTGATCACGTCTCCTCCAGTGTGTGACCAACGAGGAACCTCCTCACAATCCTTGCGAAAGATGTCAGAGGAAAGGGCTGGCGTGCGAATACGTCGCAGTCGGTGAGCCTAGCCCGCCGTCGACTCCCGCATTAGAGCACGCTGTGAGTCCAATTGCACCTGGGACATTTAGTGTAAAATATAACTGCTTACTTAGGAACACAACCGTCTTCCACCTAACAGTCAGGGATATACTTACGCCAGTCATTCACACTTACCGGACTCTACATACTCTATGGAATCTAGTCTGCATAATCAAATGACTGCCAGATATCCGACTTACCCTGATATGGGATCCCCCAACAGTTCCGCACATTTGAACCCCCTTCGTTTTCCGTCTGATCACCAGAGTCCTTGGCCTGTCTCAAACCCGAATGCTGGGATGCTGGCTAGCCAGGCTGGACCCACATTTGATAAATCATACTATCCTCCAGATTATCTGGCATCATCCGGTTCAAACCTATCTCAGTGGAATCATGCACATGATCCCATGCGCTCAAATGCATTCGATACCAGGCTTCAATATTATCCACATGTGCCCAATACGCAGAATACTGCACTTTATGGCTCCCCTCAATCTTATAACTCAATGCATGGGTGAGTACCGCACGGCAGCCAAAGGGTTATATCTTTATTCATAATTTTCAGTTGCTGGTGCGGGCAAGTACCCTGTACTTGCGGTGGTCGTCGCTGATCGACGAGGCGTCGGATTTTTTTCACTGGAACATCATCAATATCATAATTTATAGTACTGTCAAACCCCTCAACATAGTACGCATACTTATAGACACTGTAATACTATTCCAATTAATCGCCTCACAGGCCAGCCAGTTCGCAAAAACGTCCAACAACGCATGCCCGAATCCAACGGCATTTTCTGTTCCTCAAGGGGAGAAGATTAATTCTTTGTGATATGTCATGAATACGAAACACTGTGTACTTAATACCTAATTGTACGTTGCAAAAGAAGATATACATGCAGTAAAGAGGTGGAGTGGATATACCTACTGACATAAACTGCATTCAAATCTGGAATATGTGGCTAACGAGCGAACTTTCTGACTCAAAGAGGCCATTGGAGTTTCTCCCCGATATTCCAGTGCACGGCTATCCAACAATATTGATGAGCTCGAGGTACCGTATGGTATAATCAATAATCGGAAACGTGCCTTTGACCGACGTATACTCCTCCAGAGCGTAACTTCCGAGTTCGCGACCTGAGTGACATTGTAATTAACGCCTCTGAAACCAAATATCTGTCCAATATCCGGTTGACTCGTACCTATACCTGATTGTTTCTTCCCCCCAAAAGGCACATTGTTACTTAGCAGGTTATATGAATTGACCCAAACCTATAAACAGAATGCTTGAAATCCTGATAGACCCCGAGGCAGTTACGTCGCTCAGATCACGTACCGTTCCAGCTTCTAGGAGGCCAGATACTCTCATACATTGACTGGCATCAGCTTGATTCAGGGGAAAGTTAAGAGGTGCATCAAGTGACATGAGAAGGAGAAATGCTTCCTTACTGGAATGCAGGCCAGCACCCAGACCATAAGTGGTGTTGTTAGCTGCATTTGGATTAGGATAGATTATACGAAGATGAGTGATTCCTACCTAGGGCTACAGCCTCTTCTTCCGTTTTGAACCGGCCAATACTCAAAACAGGTCCAAAGATCTTTTAGGACAATAAAGCATCAGATGCCTTATAAGGTTAGCTGCGACGTACTTCCTCCTTGACCTATAAAGATCAAATATATCGTTGAGTGCCATGAAAGAACAAGATCAAGGAGTACGAACAATTTTCATGTCTGAACTGACATCTGTAAAGACTGATAATGGATGACAGAGGCAACGATGATTAGCGGTTGAAGTTCAAGATATCACTGGTGACTGCATACTTGTAGGGTCCACAAAGAAACCCTTGGTGTTTCTCCTCTCTCCTCCTAGAACAACCTTCGCTCCTTCAGCTTTTCCAGCGTCGATATAACCCCATACTCGATCAAATTGAGCCTTCGAGACCTACAGTATCACATCAGTTTGAGCATCCCCTCCGCCACAAAATTTCCTAACCAAGGGACCTCCTCCAGTCTTTTGGTCAAAGCCGTTACCAATGACGGTCTCCTTGACTGTTGATACCAAAACGTCGATGAACTTATCGTAAACGGTGTCCTGGACGTAGATTCGAGATCCCGCAGTACAATCTTGGCCAGTATTGTAGCAAATACCCAACGCGGACCAGGCAGCAGCTATGTGTTTGCGCAGGTGAATTGAATTAAACTTAAACTTCCATGCGTGTGCAGATAACTGACCTTGTTGGAGATCAGCAGACTCAAAGATCAATTGTGGAGACTTTCCGCCAAGTTCCAGAGAGACCTGATGCGGTATTGGTGGTGATACGCAAGAACGGTATCAGCAGCTCAGGACACACCTTTTTGAGATTGGACTTCGCTGCAGCTTCCATAATTTTCCTACCGGTTAAGGTAGATCCAGTGAATGCAATCTTATCGACGTCCGGGTGGGCAGAGAGCGCTGCACCTCCGACCGAACCCAGAGAAGGTACGGTGTTGATAACTCCCGGGGGGAACCTGAGGGTACGTCAGTATTATTGATTCGACAGACCAAAACCACAAAATTTGATCAGTACCCGGCTTCGACTACTAGTTCGGACAGTTTCTGTGGTTGAGTTAGTCGCTTGAAGTGAGGAACAGTGTATATCAGTAGAATTACCAAAGCAGTGAGAGGAGTAAGTTCAGAGGGTTTCATCACAATAGTGCAGCCTACTGCCAATGCGGGGGCTACTTTCCAAGCCCTATGCAAGAGGTGAGTCAATCCTTTGTTGAAGCACAAAGCAAGTTTGACCGTACCACATATTGATCGGATAATTCCAAGGGATACTAGTAAATGCAAATTCCATGAGAACTAGTGATAATATGAGGAGCATACTCAGCACATCTGCCCACAAACCCCAATTGGTTCATGACGAGTGAAAGCCATCTTGGATTTGTTGTCCACTTCGATAGTCTATGAATGATTGAGGCTAAGTAAACCGAGCTTGAGCGAGCAAGCCGTTACCTGACCAGTGACTTTGTCGGCCCACCCAGCATAGTACCTCAAACACTGGATGCTATCTCCGATATCGAAGTCTCTATCAATGATGTGAGTTGCGTTTCACAAACCCCACAAACAAGTACTAACCTAGCTATGGCGACCGGTTTTCCATTGTTCAGAGTTTCCAGTTCAGCTAATTCTTGCGCATCCCTTTCTATCAAATCAGCCAGTTTGTTGATCAAGCGAGACCGCTCCCAGCCAGTGACATTCTTTCCCCAGGACGTTTTGAATGCCTTGCGGGCAGCAGCTACGGCAACGTCGATATCCTTCGAAGAACCTATTATGATTATGTTTTGATGAATCCAACTGGTCGAGAAAGACTTTTGAACACACCTGCCACAACGCTCGCAATGATTTCTTCTGTAGCAGGGTTGAAACATCTTGAGAAGTTCGGTATCATGAGCTATATTATTGAAGAAGGACTAAAGGATAAAGCAAACATACTGTATGACTTCTGAAGAGTCCACAGAAGGGACAAATTCGTTGTTAATAAAGAGGCCAGTGGAAACGCTGATCTCTTTGTTCAAGGCGGGTACAGGTATTTTTACGGTGTTAGCCATAGTATCGAATCGTTCCACCGTTTGGGAAAGAAGGGAAATCGCTGGTTTGACCTTTTAAACAGCGTCATATGCTGGCATATGCTTATCCTTCTCACAAGAAGCATCAGATAAGAGGAGCAGATAAGTAAGTAAGCCATTCAAAGGGCATTCAAACACAGATGCAATGCGGACTCTGTCTTTTCAAGTGACTGCCCGTCTCTTTGAGAGCTACTGCAGTACTCGAGTACTGTTTCAATAGCCTGAGGAACTCGATGAAAATAACTAGAAATTTCAAGTTCAAGAACGCGTTGAGTCACGTAACGTCACGTGCCACATTTATATACGGGCGACCTCGGAATTGAGTCTCTTCAGTTAAACTCTATAGACGACGTCCTCCTAGACTTTTAGACCTTAGATTACAATATCTTCAATGTCCCTCGCTCTTGCATCTCGCTCTGCCGCTCGCGCACACTCAGCTGTTTTCAGGCGCCAACTTCATGCTAGTGGCGCTGTTCGTTCGCCCCACGGTGAATACCACGTAAGTATTTTTTTCTACACCTGGGCCTGGTCTGGACTGACATTTCTATTATAGCATCTCCCTTTCGCCTGGCCTCATGACAAGAAAGCTAGCTTTGCGCTCAAATTGACTGCTTACCTTGGGATTGGGTTCGCCATTCCATTCATTGCTGGAGCTTATCAACTGTGAGTCTCACACTCAACTACCGGTTCTTCTTTATTGATTCCTGTTGCTTGCAGCAAAAAAGGGGGTGCTTGAATGCGATGGGTTTTTTGTATATATGGTTGTCGGATAGTTGTAGATCACTTCAACTGAACAATGTGATATTACTTGTCACGCTCTCAAACAAATCAATCCGAACATTTTAATCCCTTCCAATTGTCTACTTCGCCTTCCTCCAGCAATCACACGTCCGAGCTAAAAACCCTGGGTCGCCCTCCAACGCATACAGGCCAATGGATGACGCAACTTTGGCACCTGATATACCAACCTCATCTTGCGTAGAAGCAAGGATAACATCATGTACAAGCACTATTCAACACGTTCGTGAGCTTGTCCGCTATGCTTCAACACTGTTCCATTCACTTACCAAGATATTCATTGGATTCCTTGACAAGTGAAAACTTTTCACAGCCTTTCCTCTGTAATAGCTCGAATAAGATTTTTGTTGGATGATGCGACAACGTCTGCAGTGTGATGTGGCGGTCGTAGAATGGTTTGAAGACCTTTTCAAAAAACGCATCCGATCCAACCGGTGAATATTTATCAGAGACATAAAGTGCACCAAGAATAGATTCCAGAAGGTCCGACAACACCTTTGAAGGTAATGAGCCGCGAATCAATCAACCTACGTGGGGTTTTCATACCTTTGGAGATTCAATATTGTGCCAGAATTGACCAGCAGGACGGCCTTCTCTTTCGGCTGAAGTGTATTCTTCGGTTTGAGCTCGTCTCAGTAGATACTCATACTCGCGAATATCGTGGGCGAGCTTGTCAGATTCAAACAAGAGATGCTGATGCAAACCAGAAGTAACACACACAGCCGCCAGAGCAGCGTTCGAAACCATCGCGCCCTGTAAAACGGTCACTATCTAGATTGCTATTTGACCCAGATTGTCAACGCTCACTTTTAATAGGCTTAATAGTCCAGGACTCATTTTATGATGGCGATGAAAGACGTGGCGGACCACCACTAGAAATGAATGGCTAGTAATTCGTTTCTCCAATAGTATAGCGATAACCACGAACTAAAATCCAATATTGCATCCCCGATGAACTCGAGACGCTCGTATGTTGTTGAATGGACACCGGTTTTCGAGATATGAGTCTGGCCTTCCAAAATCAACAACCGTTGCAACTCCTGTACAAAAATGCACGAACTAACGCCTGAACCAAGAATTGTGGTCGTTTGAACCGGCAACCTATCACTGCTTCGACTGCCTTGATTGTGCTCGAAGAGATCTCTACCGAAACGTGTTCGAAGACCTTTTCTACTCTCTGACCAAAATCAGACCATTTCTCGATGCCAGGCAGGGGAAGATTCAGAGCTTTAGCAGCTTTGAGCGCCACATCTGTGCCACCAGATAGAAGTGCTGCACCCATGATCGCTTCAACTACGTCCGCAAGTGCCTTGGATCACATTAAGTAGGCGCGTGAAAGTGTAAATATCATGTACCTTGTCACCAAGGCGTTGCACTGGTTGTGAACGGGTTCTCGTCTTTCTGGGGCTTTGTTCTCTACCTGCGACGGTCGAGCCCGTTCCACTCTTTATCTCGCTGGCGCTACTTAAATTATCATCATCCGAACCAATGTTTGCTTTCATATTCGTAAAATCTTCATTCGTGTTCCTCGAAGAAATTTCAGGGGGGTGCCATCCCTTGAAACTGAAAGGCCTCGACTGAATGAACGCAGGTAGACCAACTGCAACGGCGTTCCTCAACAGGGACTTGTTAGCAATGATCGCTTGCCTGTAGTTATGCATGGAAGCCTCATCAGCCTCCGGATACATCACAAAAATGTAGATAGACGAAAGAAGCTTCAAGAACGCATCTCCTGTTGATACACCATCAGCCGGGCGAATTTCTCAATGAAGATGAATTTACCAAGCAACTCCAAGCGTTCATAGTCATATTCGATACCAGCTGATGGCGCTGAGATAGCAGCGTGCAATAACCCCTCTGATACACAATGACTAAGAAGGCCAGCATTTAACTCCTTCACGAGTAGAAAATCATCGAGTCTCCGCATTATACATGGGAGTAACAGCGCTGTACGGAACGTACTGAAAGTCTTCGTGAGGGATATAGATCAGTTGAATACTGGTTAATTTACCTTGCAGGAATGGTAACCTTAGCACATAACTCTGGGATCAAGTCTATCTCAGAAATAAGGTTGAATAAACCAGCAGAAACAAAAACGGGAATACGAACACTTATGCTGCGAAGTCGATGGTGTAAAAGGGGCTGCAGCAGGGTTGAGTCGATCTATGAAAGAAGGGAAAAGTGATACTTCTAGTAAAGGTTGTGTGTAGTCTTTTAGGCCCTCAAAACCTCTTCGGTGCGCCTTGCAAAATTCGACAAGATTGTCATATTCCTGGAGCTATAGCGCTTGATCAATGAGAGAAGTTCAACCCGAAGATTTAGAAGGCATTCACCTCCGGATCCCGAGGTTTGCTTAAAGGATTGAGATCTAATCTAATCTTGACTGCATCATATCTTCTAGTGTACTGAGTCCATCTGTCCTGAATGAGCGCATCTTCTGTGTCGATCATTAGAGCCTCCAGACTGTCGTAATTCAGCGGCACGATCCAATTTTCGACGGTGGCAGATATTAAGTCCCAGGATATATGGCTGGAGACATCGAGAATGCCCGAGCGCCAACTGGAATGAAGGGGGGCATAAAGAGCAAGGGTTTCGTTAAGGGCGGCCGAGTAGGGTTTGTTCAGAACGCCCCGCCATAATTGATTATTGTATGAATGTATATCCTGCAGCTGATGTTCGTTCACCATGAAAGGCTCAGCACGAGTCAAACTGATTCGAGTCGGTAAACCTGCAAAGAACACATTGAACATCGGCACATCGGGCAAGGGCTGCCGTGTCAATAATAGAAGAGGGGCGTGGGGGGGTATTGTGTTTGCACCGGATTCAATTGAGATTATCACTGGATAGAGACGATTCAAAGAACCGAGGGAAAATAATGCACTGTTTGACCAAAAAGTTGGTAACTTTTTACCGTAAACCCGAGTTCCCACGACTATGGGGTCAAAGGCAGGGAGTATGTCACTGTCAGGCGGAATCGTCCAGTTTTTCGGGAACACGCGAGAGTCAAGAAGACCGCGCTCGTAAAGATGGGCACAGGCGTCGTAAGACGCCAAACGACGGGCTCCCGCTTTAGTGGAACTGGGAGTCGACCACGACTGCTGTACGTCCTGAAATTGACCAGCTGCCTTTACGCGACAAACAAAACGGCCATCATCTTGAATATCGAAGTCAAACATAGGGTTGTACAAAGACTCCTCATCACCCGATTTGCCGTCGTCAACGGCAAGAATATGCATGGCATTCATGGCATCCTGAGGATACAATCTACTGCCAGTCGTCGGGTCCTTGATGAAAGAGTGTTCAGATTCTTGTTCGCTGTCAGAAAGATAGGGGTCTCCATTTGTGTAAGGAATTTCACGAGCGATGGAGCTTTGAGGAGTCCGACAGAGAACATTCATCCATGCACGGACTCGAGTATTGGAGTTCGACAGATGTGAAATAATGGCGGAGTGCACTGGGTTGCCACGCTCGACCATGGTTATGAGATGACATTCGCTTCCAGAATGCGAAAGAACATGTGCATGCGATAACTGACTATCGAAAAGGTCAAATCTGTAATGATGTGAATCAGTACCGAAGTATATCGGTTTTGAACCCCTTACTGGATGATGACCGAAACCTTCGGTATGTCGAGGTCCTCGATAGATTTAGTTGCTATGAGTAGATTATAAAATCCGTCTTTCAAATGAGTGAGTACGTCGTCCTGATGGAGTTTTATGGTTAGTTTGTGAACGAAAAAGATAAAATAACAAACATAAGACGACGTGTCGAGACTCCTAGCACCAACCAGAACGCATACCCGCAGAAATCCAAGCTCAGACTCAAGCATTAACAATAATTCTTCTAGTATGTATGCAACTATACGCCGGTGAACTACGGCACCATTTGAGCACAAATGACACCAGAATGGATGATAAGATTCACCGAATACGACGCCCCGAAAGCCATCACCAAGATCCTGACAACATTTGAGTATCTGAACCAACTTCAATACCTTAGGAGTGAGATTGAAACCCGGGGAGGTTATGTCGATGTTTGGGGATGTAATTTTACAGCCTTGAAGGAGTTGATGAACCTCCGAAGAAAGCAAATGTATTTGTTCGCTCCCGCGTCTCCATACCAGATCAGCAGCGCATGACCCAAGTTGAGGCAGCGTGTGCTGGTAATCCTTTAAAAGACGTCGCACGCATGGATCGGTTGAACTGAGCGAGCGAAGCTGTCGGACTAATGGGGTTATTGGTGATGAATGAGGCGTATCGTAAGGAACGATGGTTTCTTGAACCAAGTACGACTGGGCCAGACACTTTGTACGTGTTTCGGCAGTCAGACCATAGATCTTACAAAGCAATGTAGCTTCCAGGACGAGCGAATCGAACGTTACGTTTGAGCAGGAACTGGGAGTTTCAAAAATACCGGCAAGAATGAGGGGCCTTGACAAAGGGTCTAAAACGGCATAGAAGTTCTTGATGATACGAACGATTGGGTGGGCGATGCTTGAAACCTCATTACATGAAGGAATATTTCCTAGTACCAAAGATCCGATGCGTTTCAATTCGATCGAACCATGGGTAAGGTCGCCAAGGAGTGACTATTAACAGTCAGTAGATGACTAGAACAAACGCTGAAGAGTAAGTACATACAAACGAATTCATAATCACGACTTTCCTCTTGCTCTGTTTGAAGTTGGATCCGACTGATTCATAAGTTACCACGTCGACCTGGGGAATGGTGGTATGTAAAGTGCGTTCAATATCAGAAGGGGCGCTGTAGGAAGTCTTTTGAGTAAAGTAGTAGAGATCATGGTATGACTCGTACTCTACTACGACCACAGGATATTCGATATCCTTAGTGTCTTGTCGATCTTCCCAGATTCTAAGTATGTATTTTGCAAGAAACCCGACCGCAGCTGGGTCAAGAACTTTGTTAATCTAGTGAAGCGTAATTCCTTAGCACCCATACCATCACTATTCGGGGCTGTGAAGATGGCTAGATAAAGAACGTGAGTATCTGATGAATTGAACAGAGGGAAAACCGACTGTTTTCCCTCAATGCAAACCCCAAAACTTCATGGCCATCGGCAGATTCAACAAAGCCCGAGAGTTCGGATGATAACTGTTTGCGTTTGCGCGAGTCAGATGGAGAAGTCTCATGGTGGCGCTTTGAAGGACCAGACGACGTTTCCCCGGCCGACGAAGAATCACCATTGGGTAGAACTGCTTCATTGCTTTCCAATCCGGATGCAGTGAGGTCAGGTCCACCAATAGAGGCTCTTCGACCATCGCCCTTTGGATCATGACTTGCTCTCCATTTCTTTTTCCAGACCTCAAGCATTGTGTATAAGCAGTGTATAAGAATGAAAAGAAAAATAATTGATTAATGTCGGCCCTCCAGCCGAGGTTGAGTAGGCGCCCTTTTACCGACATCGGCATATTAATCTAATCGCCGTGCCGCCGACACCGAGCAGGTCAACATTGCAAAGCGCTTGATTGAACTTTCTGCAATGACTTGCTTACATCTTTACTACCACACTGTGGAATATGCTCTCTCTTGACCCCTTCAATCATGAATCGATAATTGAATCAATTGGGAGCCAATTAAATGACAATACAACTTCTCGCACCTCACCCAAGCGTCAACGTCTTCCTTCGTCCCTCTGTTTACCAGATCGGCTTCCTAACAGTTGTAGGTCTCTTTTATTGATGTATTCGGTCTCTATTCACTAAATCTTTCAGCTTTTATACAGCGTGAAGCCGAAATGGCTGCTCCAAGGGCGATTCTAAGACAACTCCGGCGAAGTCCCTCCCCTCCGTCAGAGGCTGACGATCTTGACTCCGAAGACGGGAGACATACACGAAACCCTAGCTCTGCTTCTACAGAGTCTACTTCTCCTTCAGCCTCTCCCTCCAGATCTAGCTTGGAAACCCAAAGAATTAACTCGGCCTGGAAGGAGCCCCAAGTATGTCGTAGTTCACTCTGTCATCTCAACACTAGCACTTACAGCATTCTTCCCAAGCCTTTTGAAGTCCTACGTGCTGTTGAGAGGAAAGATTTGATTTACCTCATGGAAATCAGAGATCGTGCATTTCATGTGAGAATACCAGTTGAATGAGTTCGTGGACCACATTCCCATATTCGCCAGCTACTTCTTCGTAAATGGGGAGACGTTACGCCATTACTACATGCTATGCGGATAGGAAAGTCGCATAGAGATGTTGCGATCATCCTGTTAGGCTCTTTCTCCCGTTACATCAATCATTTGGACGACTCAGAGTTACAGAAACCTCGGACGAAGACCATTTTGAAAGCTTTACGCGCGAATCTCAAACTCGCAATTGACGTTGGATTAGCGAAATCGCAAAGCGACCTCACAGCGTCATTCATGCAAACTTTGATCATGTCTGAAGGTGACAAGTGGATACATGCTCAAACATCCAATGTAGTGATTGCTCTACGAGCTGGTACCGCGGGCGAACCTGTGAAAACAGCGGATGCTGCTGTCAGAAAGTTTGCTACCAAAGAGTTAGGAAAAGCCGAGCTGATAGCGTCTTTGGAGGATTAGTAAGTGAGGCCATGAATGTTATATCTTTACAAATCTTACATTTGCATCTCCTTCAGTATAGCAAATGCTGTCATTGATCTCCTACTACTTGCTGCATGGACGTTGGCGTTGGAGACAATCAATGGTGACCCTATCCCAGTGCTCATTCTCGGTACATACTTCATCATCGCAATTCTCACCCCGTTTCTTACTAGATATCTTATTTCGCCCGAGATGATCGTATGTACAAAGCCCTCGTCGAACGATTAGAGAAGAACGAAAAAGTGATACGTCAGTCGCTCAGTCGTCGGCTAAAATGGCAACTAAGGGTTATGAAAACCGCTCTGGAAGGCAGGACAACAACATACAGGGTACGCACTCAATCATCCTGTTTTTTTATGTCAGATACCCAAGCTTTCTGTATAGCGGAAAGTCGAAGTCCTTGCAGAAGAACTGGACCAAGGCGACGGCGTTTAAGAAGATAAACAGGTAGTGCGATTATTTTTGTTTTGGTCAAACCTGGGCCTGCTCAGAGCCTTGCTCGTAAAAGGTGCCCTGCTGGTCAAAGTACACATCCAGTTGTTTGGCGTATCACCGAGCATACATTATTGTTTTTCTCAAACTTGAGTCTGCTCAGAAAAGGTGCCCTGCTGGTCAAAGTATGCACAGCCAGTTGTTTTGGCGTATTGCCGAGCATACATTTCAATCCCACAAGTCACTATCTCAGAGTGCTATGTTTTTCTCTTTATGAGACCGTACCAATAGCTGTTGCCTGTGTTCATAATGATACAAGTTGGGGATAGTCAATGAAAATTATTTACTGCAATTTATCGCCGTTTCGAAAACAACGCTTTTAGACGTTCATGCCCTGCCGAACTTCACATTCCGCTGTGACGTCAGTTCCACAAGATAAGTCTGTATGATCACAGGCAGGAGGGGGCGACGGAGTAGCGTGAGTACACTGAGGGGTGGGGGCAAAAAGAGAAAAACGGGGGATATCCTGATTCCTTACCCTCATTCATAACTTTAGGACGCAACACCTGTTGAAGCACACATCGGTCAAACCGAATCTGAATTTTATCATAAGCAGGGTTAAGAGACGGAAGATTCCAATTTGAACGACGAGAGAGCCAGATATCCACAGCGCGGCTCTTATGTGGATTCGGAGCGTGTGCGTTCTTTCATGAAGCACAGATTTAGTAATTTGAGCGAGGCAGGGCCAGCGTGAGCAATCAATATTTACGAGAAGAGATATCTCTGAAGACCTTTCCACCAGACAAAGGATGCTGTCACCGTGAGACTGACGACAGTTGGAACCAGATCAAGCTCAAGAGCGGTATAAATCCAGATCGTGGCCAAGGGAGGACACTAACAAGGTTATTAGCGACAGTATTATATACAGCTAAATTCGCTTGCCTGACGCATATTGACCAACCAGGACCCTAAAGCTATAAGATACATCAATCTCGTACCAGCGGCACACGACAGTATGAACAAGAAAAGCTGGATGCTTCTGCTTCGTTTATGCCTGTGAACTATGAATAGCCGTCAGCTTCGATATATATTTCAAATGGAAAGATTATCGAGGGCACTGAGACTGATACACACTGTAGAAGATGAACAGTGCTAAAACTGCAGAGTAAAAATATGGTTAAACAAGTCACGGAGCGAAGATGCCAGATGCTTACTGGGTCCCCTTGAGCTCATACTATCGAATAGCTCTTTGAAGCTCGCATGCCGACCATATTGATTATGGATTAAACTTTCCTGACAGTGTTCGAGTGAGCCCATCTATGGACGAATACATGAAAAGGCGTACATATCCATGAGCAGTAGTATAGAGCAAAAAGGTATGATTATCATGTTTGTGTCCAGAATCTCGTCCATCAAGGAATATTCAGAATCTGTTGACTCTGACGGCCGCTGGTTGGAATTTATTTTGTGTAAAACACCAGATTCATTGATGAGTCTCCATTGTTCTTCTTCTGGGATGTCTATGAGGGGTTTGGCATCGGATTTCGGTGGGTCAGTGTTTGGTCTGCGTTGGCGAATCCGAGGCATTGTGGGACGTGGCGCAAGGGAGTAGGATGTGCAATTTTGCATGTGAGCGCTAGCATTTTCACGGCCGGCAAAAATATCTACTTTCCAATGGCCAACCACGATGAACTCTTGAGTATCTTGCAAGCACACGGTCAACAATTTCTCTCTTCCTTCCAAGGCAGCGTCAAACAAGAAATCCATAGCGGAAGGAATGCCACTTTTGTGCAACCTCGAGATGACATTGAAGAAGAAGAGGCAGAGGAAGAGGAATGGGAAGGTATAAGATCTGAGTCTGACGCGGAGGAAGGTATGTTCTGTTACCTCGCATGCTCGTCAATTAATGAAAAGAACAGCAATATCATTTAAGGCTTCGAAGAAAACGACGATGAATTCACTGCGACGTCTACGTCTACGTCTACGGCCAATGTAATTGTTTTCTCAGATAAACCGTCGATATCCCAACAGGAACGAGACGCTACTACAAAATATCAGACAAAGGCTTTCATGGTACATCATCTACGTTACCTCGTACTGAACGATAACTGAAACAGCGGTTAGTCGTCTAAAATATCCAAGCTTCGTGAGGGAGCCGCTCCTGAACTCAAGAAGTACTCTTTGGAAACTACTGATGAGGATATAAAGGAACGGTAAAGCATTATCAGCTCTGATTGAAGAGAATGCACCGTTCCTGATACCCTAGTTCAATGAATATAGGTCAAATATCCAGAACGATGCGTTGCTCCATAAACTAGTTCACACCAAACTTTTATCAGGTTCTTTGAATTCCGAGCTGGAGCTCACACCAGCGCAAAGACGAAAAGCGTTATCGGGTCGAGTCATAGAATTGACCGGAGATGCTAAACTCGGGCGTGGAGAGCGATCAGTGCGTCTTGCAGAGCATAATAAAGCATCTAAACGCGTAAGAGAGGGGTTGATGCAAAAGCAAAAAGAACGAAGGGCCGCTCAACTTCAAGAGGTACGTCTTTTTCCATGATCTTTCCACTTCTTGAATAGAAAAGGCACTTCTCATTGACCCTAGACGAAGAATTTGGGAAACTATCACCCGACACTCAAAAGGTTGTTGGACCCAGATTCCGAGACGGCAAAACCCAAGAAGAGAGTGCGAGGACTACAGATGGGTATCGGGAGCTTCAAAGGCGGTACACTAAAGCTCAGCCGTGAAGAAATTAATTCGGTCCAAGGACAACAGGGAGGAATGGCGAGTCGCGGCAGAGGGAGTGGCAGAGGAAAAAGAGGGCGTCGTTGATTTCTTTCATAGAATACATACATATCTGTGTTACTGAAAATACTAACTTCCGACTCTTTCACTCCGCTGAATTTTCTTGACCTCCGCCAACGCCTGTGTGGTTTTGCTGATCGTATCAACGATGGAGGAGATGGTTTGAGGATCAATAAGTATAGATTGTGCAACCGACGATGTTAATCGCCCGGACAAGGATATTAAGGTCTGTTCCAGGGCATGCGAGGTTACACGCAATGCTGACATGGTTGACCCGCCATTAGGCTTAAGAAAGATATTCAGGCCAAAGTTATGATGGACAAGCGACAAAAGACTAACAGATGAAGGGGAAAGAGAACTGGGTTCGGCGGGCTACAGTTGCATGTCCATAAGTTTTAAACACTATGGTTCCAGAAAAGGATACATACTTGTTGTCTTTCAAGCGGAAGCAATGCTTGATTGGAGTTTTCTGTCACCCTGGGGTCCTAGAAAGAATATCGGATGAATATAGATGAGAACCGGTCGGGTTTTGTCTCACTGCGTTGGGTGTATTTGATGCAGGAACGATTGCGTTGTCTGGAAGAATTGGAGGAGATGAATTTTGAGCAGGTGGACGCGGCGGCTCGGCCTCGCCTTCGCCGATGTAGATTCGGCCGCAAATTACACATTCCTTATCGTTAGGTGAGATCCAAAGAACAAAAACGGAGAAGGTGTTCCAGACGAACTCTGCGAGGATCCTTCTCTCCACCTGACTTCGGAGGCCTGACGAGAGGGATCCCAAAACAAGCTTCGTTAAGACACTCTTCTCCGAGCAAAGCCCAACCCTTCAGCAGACGATTTCCAATTTCCGAGGAAGCTCGATCTGATTGTTCACGACGACGTCTACTTTCCGGCGTTTCCACTGGTAGTGCGAATGTGGGTGAGCTGGGTGCCTCAGACACCTCTGTTGCTGGTGTCGAGGATCGGGATACAGGGTTGTTGTGGGATAGCGACGAGATACTGGTCAAACTGGGAGAACTAGAGGGTTGAGCAACTACGTTTTCGAAGGAATTAAATCATTTCAAAATAGATATGAAAAGTAGCAGTTCCCACCTTTACGAGGATCTCCGTCACAATTCGCGCAAAAATGCACGATGGGGGTTTGATTTTTTGGTGACCTCATCAAAGGGATGTTTTTGCAATGGGGGCATGGGGAATCAGTTAGAACCTGTTGTGAAAATTTGTTCAATCGGCAATTGTGGGCCTTCTGTCATGATATTGACTAACCCATCCTTTGAGCATGTATTCACCGATGACATTGGATACATCGTTTACGGTCGACATGAGAAGATTGAGGTAGATGAGGAAGTTAGAATTAGATAAAAAAGTTGAAAAGGCGCTCATGGGCGGCAAATTAACTGCTTCCTACTGCCACGTCCTCGGATGAAGTTGGGGCGATTTCTCCCAAAATGCCTCGCTGCACTTGTTTTGATCTCTCTTGAACGCATTCAATGTGCCGCGGCTCTCGCTTCAAACTACTCAGGTTGGACAATTGAAAGGAAACTAGCAGTTCGGTCCGTGTAGAGTATTCCGTCTACTCGGTGGAACACTTAACCTTCAGATCCGCAGAGAAAGGACTCGAGCGCTTTGGTATCATGGTTTTGATAACTACATGGATCATGGTGCGTTGTATAACCTCATCAATTAATCATGATCATCTGAAAATTTCCAAAGCTTTTCCTCTAGACGAGGTAACTATAGACACGGATTCATCTTTACTTCGATTGAATTATTTCTAGTTAACGCCTCTAAGCTGCTCTGGTCAGGGTCCAGACTGGGCAAATCCGTGAGCAAAATTTAGTGACACAATGAGTTCACGAACTATATCTTTTGAACAGCGCAAATGTTGGGGCCAATGATGTCGCTGGCAACTTCAGTCTGACCCTTGTAGACGTTCTCGATACCTTTGTTGTCCTCAATGATCGCATAGGATTTGAAAATGCAGTCAAAAATGTCATACACTGGGTCTCCTTCGATGTCAACACGAAGCCGCAGGTGTTCGAGACCACTATCCGAGTTCTTGGAGGTCTGCTTTCCGGTCACATTTTCGCCAGTCAATCCGGCCCATTCCATCTGCCATGGTATCGTGGAGAACTACTCAGTATGGCACACGACCTTGGAAAAAGGTTACTTCCAGCATTTGCAACTCCGACTGGACTTCCATTAGCTCGAGTCCGTCTCTACACTATCATTTAAAACATTTGCCTCTTCATATTCAAATATTTCCTTAGATTAACCTTAGGCATGGACTGTCGCGAGGGGAAACGCTTGAAACATGTAAATTAATTCATGCCTGTCGTCAATGAACTAACGTAGCCTGTATCACAGGCACTGCTGGTGCTGGGTCATTGATTTTGGAATTCGCAACTCTCAGTCGTCTAACTGGTGACGAACGTTTCGAAAAGGCTGCGTACAAAGCCTTCTTTGCTATCTGGAATAGAAAGTCCGATATTGGGTTAGTTGGTAACACAATAAATACATGGACGGGGGTATGTATATCTTGGCGTTCTCCAATCTGACTTCATCTGAGTGTTGTATATGTAGGATTGGACTTCGCCTGAAGTTACAGGCATTGGCGCAGGCATAGATTCGTCAGTGTGTCTTTTCCTTTATGGATTCGTTGCTTATGCATTGACGTACGCACAGATTCTACGAGTATGCCCTGAAGTGGTATATACTAAGTGGTTAGCTCAGCCGTTTCTGGTCTGTTTTTTATACCAATATTTATGCAGGAGAGACTGAATTTCTCGATGTTTGGGACGATGCATATGCATCCATCATGCGGTATTCGCGTTCCATGGACGGATTCTGGGTGAACTGATTTTTTTGCATTCCGCTCGATTGCCTAGATCTGACCCAAAGGCTGTTACAGTATCGACTCGTCAACATGAGAAGTGGTGATGTTGCTTACAACACCGTCGACTCTCTGTCTGCTTTTTGGCCTGGGCTGCAAGTATTAGCTGGGGATATTCAAAGCGCAATAAAATTACACATGGCGTGTGAGTTACGCCATGATTTACAAGACCTGTATCTCATACAGTGGACAGACTATAATTTATGGCGGAAGCATTCTGGTATACCTGAGGTGTACGACACCAGCTTCAAACAGGCAACATCCCATGGGTATCCTCTACGACCCGGTAAATTATCTTCATGATCAACAAAGCTTAATCCGTTCACCTTTCAACCTGCAGAGTTCATCGAATCAACATGGTATCTATATCGAGTACGTGATATTCAGTACAAGTTTCATGATTTACCGACTGATTCTAGATATTAGGCCACCCACGATCCGTATTATCTAGAAGTCGGGGAGCGCGTTCTGTTCGATATCTCAACACGTTCAAACGTGACTTGTGGCTTGGCCGGTATAAAAGACCTTCGTTATAACGAACAGGATGACCGTATGGAATCTTTCGCGCTATCAGAAACTCTGAAGGTAAAAGTTGTGATGTAAATATTCGATGACTTTTAACCATGAGTCTAGTATCTCTTTCTCTTATTTGACGAAGAGAACCCTCTGCACAAAGACGACTCGAACTATGTGTTTACCACCGAAGGCCATTTACTGAAGCTGGGACCCGAACACCTTAGAGAAATGTCTCCTTCTCGTCGGAAGCTACGCAAGATTGAGGACCATCAATGTCCGGCGTACCAACCATTTAGAAGCGCTCGTGGTCGTCGTGTGAACGACAGCGGCTTGGTCGTGGGCATTCAAGGTCGGGCAGACGCTGACTACAGCCGAGAACTGGTCGCACTAGACGCCAACGAGGCTGACTCTACCCACTGGTCTCGTAGTGGGTGGTGCGAGAGACCCAAAGTCGAGTTATTCGTACGTGAATCAATCTACCTTTATCTTCAGCTTCAAACTGTATCTACCCCACAGTCGTACGACTTCATCCTGTCACCTAATGGGAAAGTATCGCCCGAAGATCTTAGTCCCAGTAAAGTGAAGCTGGAGCCTGTGCCAGATGGATATGTCATCCAGAATGTCACAGGCATTCGAACACATATCGTACAGAGATTTGACGGAAGAGGTTACGATGTCCGTAAACGTGCGCAATCTACTGTGTTATGGTAAACATGAATCTAACTCTTTTCAACAGTAGGTCATTATACAGTTCGGCCAGGACAGTTGGTCTATATCAACGACTCATCCCTACTTCTGAGTGCAGCATCACCTTCAACTGCAGCGATAGAACATTTTGGTGCTATCCAGCTACGCTTCTATGTTGACGCCGTTGATACGATGTTCAGTATGCTCAACATGATGGAAACAGTCAACGACATGGATCTTTCCGTTACCGGTCATGTCGGCTTTTTCGGTGGAGACTTATTAGATAGCGAAGAACTCCCCAGCAAATTTCAAGGCCTAGTTCCAGTCTATCGAGACGACGACAATGAATTCGGCTGTACACAATATCACAAGTCTTTCCAGGACGGTATTTTACTTGTTAGAAGGGGCGAATGTACCTTCATTCAGAAGCTTGTAGAAGCTCGGGATGCGGGAGCTGCTGGTGTGCTTGTCCTTAGTGACGAAAACACCGCGATCAATCCTACTGCTAATTCTGAGGACCTCGAAGCTGCGGGAGATATTAGTCAAGTGGCTATAATAGTCTTGCCACGGACAGCTGGGCAATCGGTCGAACATTTACTGGATACTACGCAAGGTATTGGCCAAGTCATGCTCTCGTTGGAACATGAACACCAACCTGGTGTCGACGCAGAAGCTGACGAAGGTCCTGAGCCAGGCGAAGGAAGCAAAAAGGATCCCAATCGAATACTTTATCTAAATGGGCATCCATTACTTAACACCCGATTATTGGTTTGAGTAACTTTGATTAAAATATCTATTATCCATGTATTTATGTGTATACTAGCAGCAGCCTTGGTAACCAGTCCTTCTAGTAAGCTCCAGTAGGGGCGAACCCAGCGTTTACGCACGTCTATCACGCCGTTACAGACATCCATAGGGATGATCGGGGAGATCAAAATTGGTGTAGAAAAACATAGAACCAATGTATATGTACGCATCCTACCATTGCAAAAGACCAACCTAATCATTGGACTGGACAATGGAATAGACTGAGGCATCCAATTTTGACCCCCCTTTGAGAAACAAGAGTTCAATGATAAAGAGATACTCGACGGTCTTGCCACCGAGTTTGGCGACAAGTTCTCCAGCTGCTTTAGCCGATCCTCCTGCAATATCTCAAACGTTAGAGGACAGTCGTTCCAAACAACAAAGGACAGTAAAGACTTCCTACCTGTGGCAATAAGATCGTCGACGATGATAACAGATTGCCCTGGTTTTATAGCATCACTTTGCATCTCGAAAGAATCCTGTGCAGTGGTCAATTTTCAACATGTCGGACGAGTTGAAATAGATTTACTGTTCCATATTCCTTCTCATAAGTAGCCGTTTCACAAGTCCCAGGTAGTTTTCCTGTCTTGCGGACAGGGACAAATGCCGCACCGAGACGGAGAGCAATGATGGGACCTAGGAGGAATCCGCGGGCGTCAAGGCCTACGACGACATCGATTTTCTTGGAAGGAATAGAGGGAATAGTGTGCGAGGTAAGGTGGTACAGGAAATGCGTGATGAGAGTCTCGAATGCTATCGGATCGCGGAGAATGGGGAAAATGTCCAAAAAGACGATACCCTGGAAGGTACTTGTGTTAACTAAAGATGACAGTTGAAAGAACAAGCCACCTTTTGTGGAAAATCGGGATGCGACGTGAGCTTGGAGCGGAGGTACTCAACATCACCCATGGCTGAAGGAAAGCAAGAGACCCTTTCTCCTGTCTCGATGAGCAATGATCGTACATTTATCTAATCATCTTTCTTGCGTGGCCAACATGACATGAGGCGTAATTTTTCCATAATTTACGTCCGTGATGATAATGGCTTGCTCATATAGATGGGAAAGTAGTAGCATAAGAGTAGTACATAGAACTAAGCCATTCATACAGATTCCAAAACTTCAGGCTCCTTGAAGTCTTTCGCAATTTTGGTACCTGTCTCCTGCAGGGACTGTCAATTTCACAAGAGTAAATGACTCAAAGAGACACTTACATCCGTCGACTCCCCGTGCAGTTCCATGAGTTTCGAAACATCAAACTTGGGTGCTTTGAGAATTTTAGCCTTTCGAACATAAACGTTCTGCAAGGGGTAGATGCTCCTCGACGCCTTCTCAATCTCCCGTCCAATAGCCTCTGGCACGAACTTCTGCACAAGCTCTTTCAAATCGCAGTTTGTGGCCTCACGGGTCATTATCTCGAACATCTTCTTCCTGATCTCTCGCACCTGACTTGACTGAGCGTAGGTTGTTTTACGGACCTGCGTTGGACGACGCTTAGTGAAGCCGATCGCAAAAAGACGGAGGAGGTAGCCGTCAGTGGTCTTCACATCGACATGGGCTTCAATGAGAGTCTGCCATTTCCGTACGAGAGATCGCAGCTTGTCGGAGGTGAAATCCATTCCGTGGAAGTTGGTGAGACAGTTCTTGCCCTGGACCTCGTCGACACGTAATTTGATTTTACGGAAGGACTGTTCCTCCTCCTTGTTCAGGTCACCCAGAGAGACCTCAATGATACGACCCTTGAGAGAATCGTTGGCGTTTTCTAATTTAATATGAGTGCTGCGCAGCAAAAAGAACGAGGACTGCACACGCACTCAAACCCTGAGATCTGTTCACGAGGGTCTTGCCCACATTCCGGACGTCGAAAATTGACGGCGCTTTGATATCGTACCAGTCTGGAAAGCCAGACCATTAGTCGTCAAGCTAGCAGCGGTAGTGATAGCCATAACACACCCTTTCTGGAGAACGGATCGACGACCTTTTTCTTGATACCCTTCTTGCCCTTCGAAAGGCGCTTGTTCTACAGAGATCAGACGTTGAGGACGCGCTTGAAATTCAAGTGAAAGCCACTCTGACCTTTCCAACAGCCATGTTGTGTGATCAGAGGTAGCGGCGAGGATCGAACCGTAGATGGTAGGCCGAAAACTTGGCGGCTTTTTTGCAAATATTAACAGTTACGAGCCTTGCTAGTCCTGGGTAATGACTTCACGTGGTAGAAACTGTATAGCTTTTCCACGATCTTCTGGGCGCTTACACCCCAGCGCTGTTGCTCTCACGCAATGTTAACTCGGCCTCAATTCGATCGCGCCTGCAAGCTTCTTGTCCAGAAATGCGAAAACTTCACACCATCCAGGTCTAACAATGCTATGAGGGGCTGGTCTTGGAATGAGCATCCTGTACAAGTCTCTACTTCAACATATTCGGTCTTCTTTTAAAGATCTTTCTAGTCGGTATCAGGCTTGGGCTATCTGTGTCGCACCTCAAATTATCTTTCCCGAGATATCAGACTATCTATGGACGTAAATTCGGACGAAATCTACGCCGAGATCGATGAAGCGGCCGCAACCTGCATTGATTCTGAAACACTGACTTCTCAACAATATGTGGTTTATTCCGCAACATTTCAAGTTCCTTGCTTTTACTTCGCAATGTATCGCTCAAGTATGTGTGTTCAACGAGCATTTTATGCTCTTTGATATTCTTATAATCCGGCAGATGGTGTGCCGTTGTCGATCAACGAGTTGATTTCTTCGACACTGTTTCGACCCGGTATTTTCCAGGATGCTGACATCACTACTTTCGCTCTTACACGTCGCGATACACCGTTTCCGCTGATATCGCAGGGAGATCACCCAACAACAGGAAGGCCGTGCTGGTTCCTGCATCCATGCGAGACTACTGTTGCAGTCGAAGAATTGTTGAAGGAAGTCGAGAATGACATAGACGAGGAAGACATGAGGTTGTTGATGTGGCTCAAATTATGGTTCACGGTTCTCGGAGGGGTTGTGGACTTACAATAATTGGACTAGAATAGCACATACATGTAAGACACCTCGGGACCGGGTCATTACCGGAGCAGAATATAAACATACATAAGCAATCTTGTTCTCGTACTCTTGTATACCCTGTTCTGTCTTGATCCAGTGCATACGCTGGTCAAACTGAAAGTCGTCTTACTCGTAATTTTTTGAATCGTACCATTTCGGCAATCAGGGTAGATTGCAAAACAATAAATACCTAAAGGCGTCAGTATGTTAGCACGTCTCACCCGTTCCTCTTTACCTCCACTTTCTCATATCTATCATCTTAGAACAATGGTTTGTCTCTATCCAACTTGTCAATATTCATTCTGACGGTGTTCTATTCAGGCCACTGAAGCTGTCATCGTCGCTGCCTCCCGCACTCCTACCGGTTCCATCAATGGTGCTCTGAAGAGCTTCACCGCCCCTCAGCTCGGCTCTTTGGCTCTTAAACATGCCTTTGCCTCAAAGAACATTGACCCCACTATTGTTGAGGAAATCTACTTCGGAAACGTGGTGCAGGCCGGTGTCGGTCAATCTCCTGCGCGTCAGGTTGCTCTCTCGGCTGGTATGAGCAGCAGATCGGATGCTACCACTATCAACAAGGTCTGCGCCAGCGGCATGAAATCTATCATGCTTGCTAGCCAGAGCATCCAGCTCGGTCAGGCCAGCGTCGTTGCCGCTGGTGGCATGGAGAGTATGAGTAATGCCCCGTATGTATTCATTTGTCCTTTCGGAGTTCCGAGGCTAATCGATCTCTTACTTAGCTTCCTCCTTCCCCGTCAAAATCCTGTTTTCGGCAAATTTACCGCCACGGACTCCCTCGAATATGATGGTCTCTGGGATACCTACAACAACCAGGCTATGGGTTGCTGTGGTGAGTCTGCAGCCGAGAAGCACTCTATCTCTCGTGAGGCCCAAGATGCACATGCAATTGAGTCTTACAAGCGAGCGGAGCAGGCGTGGAAGAATGGTGCATTTGACGCAGAGATTGTACCCATTACCGTAAAGGGCAAAAAAGGAGACACAATCGTGAGGGAGGACGAGGAGTACAAGCGGATCATTTACGAGAAGGTTCCTAGTTTACGTTCTGCGTTCAAACAGGGTGGCAGTATCACCGCCGCCAACTCCTCGCCGTTGAATGACGGTGCATCCGCTCTGATCCTCATGTCTGCGGAGAAGGCAAAAGAACTTGGTCTCACACCATTGGCCAAGGTCATTTGTACGTTTGTTTTTCTTATATTTGGTATAGCTCTTTTTGACTGGTATTCTCAGCCTATGCGGACGCCGGTATGGATCCTATCGATTTCCCCATTGCACCGACAGTCGCATTGCCCAAGGCCCTGGAACGTGCAAATCTGACAGTTGACGACATTTCCCTCTTTGAGATCAACGAAGCTTTCTCTGTTGTTATTCGTATCGCCGAGAAAGTCCTTAAAATTGACCCTGCAAAGATCAACATTAACGGGTATGTGTCTGTGATTACCTACAAGTGAATATAAGGGCTAATTGTTTTACTATAGTGGTGCTGTTGCTCTCGGCCACGCTATCGGAAGCTCTGGCTCGCGCATTGTTGTGTCGTTAGTACATGCCTTGAAGTCCGGACAGTATGGTGCTGCCGGTGTTTGCAATGGGGTCAGTTGTCATGCAATCTCATGGGAAACACTCGTACTAACTCGTCATTTCATGCAGGGTGGAGCCGCTTCCGCCATAATCATTCAGAAACTGTAGTATTTCTTCCTTCGTACATAGGACACGTATTCGATGAATAATTGAAGATCAGAAGTTAAAACCAAAGAAACAGCCCTTCTATGAGGCTTGATAGCAGGGAGTAATAATAATTGTGATGCAAGTGTTTCATAACCTGTCAAATCGTTTATCTCAAGCGATTGTACTACGCTTTCGTAAACCGAAACAATACCCGTTCAATTACCTCCAACCAAGAGTATGACCATACAGGTTCCCGTGCCACTACAATCGATCTGCCGTCCCGCTTTTCTCCAGGTGTGAAACGATAAACAGATGAACAGTGCTTATCTTTCCTGTAGTGGGTCATGTTATCTTCGGTTCAGCGCTTCCAATGTGTGTTCTCATGATAAGGAGGGAGTCCCAAGACTGCATTTGGGACCTTTGGTGGGATATATTGTCTTCTTTCTGAATTCTTGAACGAGTCTCGGTCTTTGTGCTTTCCAACACCTCCTAGGATTTGAGAACAGCCATGGCGACTCACGAACCAGACCAGAAGAATTTGGAAGAAATCCCCGTCGACGAGAAGGCGTTTCCTGTATCTCCCGTATTTGAACATCTCAGGTCGGATTCAATTGAGGAGTCAGACACAAGCGTCGATGAGGCGTTGCAATTAGTGGGGAAGGAACGAACATCAGAGTTCAGTGATGAATTCAATCATAGAGTGAGAAGGAAGTTGGTGGGTGATGTTTTTCAGATGAGATGTAAACTGGAATTGCACTGATTATGTATCGCTCGTACGACAGGACCTTTTGATTCCCCCGCTTTGTGCAGCGGTATACTTTACGCAATTTCTGTGAGTTTGAATATCTTGCGAGTCGTGATTGCAGACCGACTGCACTTACAGGGACAAGACATCGTTAAATTATGCCAGGTGCGAGGAGTTACATACTGGTAACTATCGGGGTTGATATAAGATTTCTACTAGCATCATGGGTCTACCCATAACTGGACAGGTAACTTTTCACTTTTCCTCTGAGAAGTTATTGGCTTCAAATATATTTTGAAGAATTACAACCTAGTTTCTATGGCTTTTTACCTAGGTGAGTTGTTGATTTTTCTTTTTCGGGCTAACCTTGCTGACTCATTGCCAGGATTTCTCCTTTTTGAATTCCCCACTGTCTATATATCCCAGAAAACGAGGGCAGCCAAATACCTTGGTGAGTCACGCACTGTTAGGACGAGTACCCAAGGATATTGACGGTCTTCGAAAGGTGTCAATATCGTTCTGTGGGGTGTGATATTGATGCTACACGCCGTGGGGAGTTCATTTGGAGCGTTTTTCGCTCTTCGGTTTCTACTGGGTGAGTAATAATTCTTTCGGTTTGGAGAGAAAATTTTTTCACTGGTGACAGGAATGTGCGAGAGCTGCGTCGCCCCCACATTGATTCTGATTATCTCCATGTTCTACAAGAAGGACGAACAGGTATACCGGCTGGACTTGGCAAAGTGTATAAAGCGGTGGATTTGACATCTTCCAACAGGCGTCGCGAATTTCGTGGTTCTATGTGATGGTACGTGGAAGTTAAGGAAGGCTTCATCTCATTGGGCGTTGACGAACTCTGGTGATTTCGCAGAATGGGCTTACACAAGTGTTTGGTGGATTCATTGCCTATGTCAGGGTTGCTTACCTCGAACGAGGAATTCAATTGACACTGACATTAACATTAAGGGTGTTTCATTCTCAAATGACAGTCATATAGCCCCGTATAAGATCATATACGTATTGCTCGGCGGCTTAGCGATTATCGTCGGCCTTTCTGTCCTAATATGGTTGCCTGACTCGCCTGTTCATGCTCATTTTCTTGATCAAGAGGAGCGCATAGCTGCCTTAGAGCGAGTTAGGAATGACCAAGGCGGGGTAGCAAACAAGAAAATCAAGAGGAAACAAATACTCGAAGCTTTCACGGATATACGAACATGGTTGATCGTGTTGACCACTATGATGAGTACGTTCCTTGTAACTTCTTCCACACCTAACGTATATACTGCTGGTAGCAAGCATTCCTAACGGCGCTCTGAGCAACTGTGTGTACTGGTTTCCTGGTCATGGATACACTAATATTAACGGATACAACGGGGAATCCCAGTCAGTAATATCATCATCAGAAATTTCGGGTACACGTATGTACAATCTTATCCTTGGATGAGTTCCGCACTGTTCCGTAGAACTGATCGATTTGGAAGTTCGAGACAGACATTAATCTTATCGACTCCAGCCGGCGCAGTGGCATCACTCATGACTCTTTTTTGTGGATGGTACTCGGATCGAAAGGTCGATATTTTGCTTCCGTCCAACACAATGTTTCCCTCATATTTGTACCTAGAATGAACGCATGATTCCCATCATAATAGCCTTGATTCCAACCATTGTTGGTGCAGGTAATTAGTCGTATTCACGTCAAATGTAAATCAGAACACCAACGCTCACTGGCACTAGCTATGCTAATTGGGCTTAATGACTCGGGGAAAAAAGGCGCCTTGTTATTCGGTGCATTGATCATTCTTAACTCATCCATCGACAGCTCACTCACTTTGGAATGTAGCGACGTACCTCATTGGCACATTTGGAAGCTCACTATCCACAGTTTATGCCTACAATGCAAGCAATACTAGTGGACACACGAAAAAGAGCACAGTAAACGCTATGACCCTACTAACTTTCAGCATTGGGAACATTGTCGGGACGGAAATCTTCTTACCAAAGGACGCTCCCGCATATATCCCCGGTAAAATAGCCATCATGGTCTTACTGACTGTTCAGCTGGGGATATCGTTGCTACTTAGGTGTATTAATTTGCGGTTGAACAGAAGAAAATTCGCACAAATCGAAGAGCTGAAGAGAAGTCGCGGGTGGACAGACGCGGATGTTCAGAAAGAGCGCGAGAAGCATGCATTTATGGATCTCACTGACCAAGAGTATGTTCTGGGACTTTTAGATTAAGACACTGACCTCTATCACTGATATGATTATACAGGAATATCTACTTTGTATACACAGCTTGAGCAATCATTGAGGGGTTTGAATTCTGGATCCAGTGGATGAGATGATTGAGGAGCAGTGGTTTATGTAGCTACCCATGCAGCTCCGGACCATTAGCTCCTAATATAATATCAGTTCAACGCCTAAGTAACAGAACCAGCGCTTGTGACCTTCCACGTGTTCTCGCCACTGCTACCACTCGACTCTACATAAGCCATTGTCCACTCACGACTGCGATAACTCTTGGATAATTCTTCACGACTAGCGACTCTTACTGGCTGTGGAACTTCTTTCATTTGACGAACAATGATAAATTCTAGGCCAATCACGCCGCCCTTAAATGGGGGTGGGGGGAAGAACTATTTTTCAGATCGCATTGAACGATTCAAGCGCGAGGATATGACCGACTGGAGTAGTGCGTTCACTTTATTAGGTGAATCAAAGCTCTTCTACGTATCCTGCACCATTACTCATTGATTCTTTCACTACGTAGACACGATGGAAACATTTTTCGATTCACATGTGGATCTTTTGCAGCGTAAACTCCAACGACACTCGGACAGACTCAAGATGAAGGCAGAAGAAGCACTCAAAATGCGCGACTTCTCGGCTGCCGGAGACCAATTAGCGGAGAATTTTGAGAAGGAGGTAAAAAGTTTCAAATTGAAGGTGGGAGGGAATACATTACCAGACCTTGTCCTTCTCATCGTGTCCTTCTTAGGTGTCCTCACGGATGACCAAGCTTGCGAGCTCATGGCAATCAGCAAAGGTTGTCCGAACGCGCGAGAAGATTTCCTTTTTCTTCGGTGTTATGTCTCTGTTATTTTCTGCGTTAATGTTTGGGCTAGCTCCTCAGTGCGTCCTCCGATCAACGTGGCGTACTTCATACTAATTGCTTTTAGATGGGTGCACATAGCGTATACAGTACAAGGACTTTATCTCCTGCCTCTTCGTGCCTACATCTACAAAAAACGCGCCTGGCATTACTTCCTTTTCGATCTCTGCTATTATGTCACGATATTGAACTTCATATATATCTGGTTCTTCCCTGGATCACCTGCGCTGCTCGTCGCCTGCTACTGTTTAAGCCACGGTAGCCTTGCGAGTGCGGTCATTACTTGGAGAAACAGTCTCGTGTTTCACGACCAAGATAAGGTCACCAGCCTTTTCGTGCATATTTATGGCCCATTCTCCTTTACGGTGATAAGGTTCGCTCCTCTTCATTCATCCTCATGATCCGAAACATGCTGAAAGGCTGATCCTGTAGACATTTCTATCCCAACGCCGACGAACGATTCCCTGCTCTCCGAGAGCTGCCCCACCTGAACCCCTTACATGCCCTCTTGCTTAGTGGAGGAATATGTATGTGTATCATATCCTTTGATTTGTTCTTTTCTACATCTATCTCATCTTTCAGACGTACTATGGCAGCTTCTTTATTGGAAGGTGTGTTGAATATACCATTGGTTTCTCATTGTTCACACTTTTTGTTCAGTTTGTCCTCGTCGATCGCCGGGAGAAGATTGAATCCGGGCAACGAACGACGTCCATGTCTTGGATGTTGAATAACAAACGAGGCGTCATTGGAAAGGCACTGTGCAGTATACCACCAAATACCCGTATTCCAGCTTTCATGTTTGGTCAACTAAGTAGGTCTTCCATCTGAGATAAATATTCATTGTTAATTTGATGAATGTGTGCAGTTTACAGCATTGTGACGGAATTGCCGGCTGTTTTCCTGCTTTACGACTCTCCGTTCTGGAGTGGGGCTTTCCTCATATTCATATTTTCCGTTAGTGTTTGGAATGGCGGTGGATTTTACATTGAAGTGTTCGGTCGCAAGTAGGTCTTCAACAACGGCACAACGTCTATTTAGCTGTACTTATTTCAACTACTCTGCAGGTTCGAGCGTGAACTCGAGGCTCTGCGTAAGGAACTCGCTGAAAGTGCCCAAGCACGGTCAGGTCGTTCGAGCCCAACCGATGAATCCTCCTTATCTTTGTCCCGCTATACCAGCGAAGACAACTTGACGTCTTTCAGTCCTGGCAGCTCCTATTCTTCCAATTCCTCCCCGACGCTTGACACTCACCCTCTGCCACACATTGAAGTAGCTTCGGAACCGAACTTCGATGGTCTTCAGATGAAAGCCAAGAAGGAGTAATAGTTGCTCACCTTCTGCTTTGTGCTGTATTATGTATTATGCTCAAGACTGCGCGTTTCACTGGTTTCTTTCCTATATCTTACTTGCTTCTTGATTTACTGTTCACTTATTCTATTGCCTTTCCAGTATCGATACATTTTCCTGTTTATTTTTGACCCATGACCTTCTGCTGTGATGAACCATACGACATGTCTCAATACCTTACGATACGATACCTGTGTAGTCACACCTAAAAGCTTGCTTATGCTATTGCACTTGTCTCAGGTACATGTATACACTCGAAGCTGTGGCTCTGAGTCTAAGCACAACCCTCATGCCAGTCCCAGTCGAATTCGCAGCGCAAGTCAGCTCTACCCTACAACTTGGTTCCATTCCCAAACTCGATAAAACACGTTTCATTTCTTCATTCGTAGATACCCAGAGATTGCATACCAAATATTATGCGGAGGAAGGCCGTACGCTATGGAATAATCTCGTCGACACGGCGCGTGACCCAAGCCCTAAAAGTCCGCCTCAAGAAAATACAGTTTTTGGATTGTCTACGCCCGTACTGGTCCCTAGAATTCCCCAAGTTATCATCGCAAAGGAACCTGGTTCAAAAACTTCGACCCCAAAGGAAAACCCTCCCAAGAAAACGAAGTCAAAAGCGAAAAGCACCTTCCACGCGAAATCCGGTCAAAGACCTAACGAACATCCTCAGAACGCGCCACACACCAAAAAACGAGCTGGGAAGCTTTCTGATGACGATGAAACTGCGGCCAGTTAGTTTTTCATGCTGCTTCATTGTATACTTGCTACACGTATGCTGCAGGATTGGCCGAACGCCGTGACAAGAAGCGCGCTAAACGAGAAATCGTGCGACCTGCAACAAACGCCAACGAGTGCGATAAGGAGGACATTAAACAAATTCAGGCTGTCGCAGACAAGAAGGGCAAGCAAAAGAAAGCTTCACCCGGACTAGCCCTTATGCACGGATTCACAGCAACAAATGTCGGAAAAAATCGTCTAACGGTTAGTTTGATTGCTGAAATCTAATCACTATCTCTTCAATACTAAGGCCATTTGAAGGTCCCTCCACCTACATTAGGTGTGTTCAGCAGAGGCAAGGCTTCTAATAAAACCCACATCAACACTAAAGGTATGCCTGGCATACTCACTAATTCACGTACTTCCAATACGAAAAATCTGAAATTCTCATTTTCTCATGAAGCCATTAGACCACCTGCTTTCTTAGAGACTGTCTTCTTGAAAGGGACCTCTCATTGCGCCAAATCAGTCCCAAATGAACCCTTGAGCGATAATTCGACATCGTCCCAAAACGATTCAACTCCGTCAACACCACCCAAGCTAAAATTGCGGAAAGTACCAAATCCTTCTGTTAAGAACCATTCCCGAAGTTCCACGGTGTCAAGCTCCTCTTTCGATAACGAGGTAACTGAAACACCAATCGCTCAAGCTGAATCGGAGGTGTGGGATATCGAACGTGAAGGTTATAATCTTCCTTCGACAATGTCATCTACATCCCCTGAGCGTAATCAAAGCGTAGTTCTAAATACTTGCAGCTTACCATGGGTATTAGAGACTGCAACCTCGGGGGAAATACACGAGAAACACAAGAGGAAAGCTTTAGCTCATGAACGCGATAGGACATCACAGCTCAGCAGTTCGCTAGCTCCGTCGCAGTCGGCATCTCAACATGGTCTTAATGGTCGTTGTCGTACAACGACTCCTGTTCCTCTCCTTGCTTCCAAATACTTTATGCCCCAAAGACCACATTCTGTAGCTGATGCACTAGCTAAGGACGAAACGGCAATACCGTTCAGCTCGCCGTCCGCTCCTGCGTTACAAGCCCCACCTATTCAGACTCACGAAAGCTCGCTCTCCGACTATTTTCTCCATCTTCCTGTTGCGCCAAATGTACAGGCGAATACTTCCTACCACCCCCCGCATCGAGCTGACGATATCATATACGAGCCTTATATAGCACCCATATATGCTGGTGAAAACCCATGGGATCCTCTTGCATTCTCGGATCCCGTAAATTTCAGTGATACAGACGCGCCACAACCTCCTCCCGAAACTGTTGCGCCAAATCTCACGTTAGGCATTTCCTATCCGTACGATTTTTATATTCCACCGAGGGTTGATGCCCCTCCGTTGCAATATGATTCAGGGTATGACGTGGAAGACGCAAACTCAATGTTTTACTTGGATGACGATGGCTGCGGCCACACAGGCTGGGGTCTCCAAGAAATAGTTTGTGATAACCACGAGGAAGAATATCTAGAACATGGTCAGATGTATGACGAGCATGAACATCTCTCCTGCCAAACCCAACAATTTGGCGCTGAACACGAAAACACCACTGACCAGAATTGGCAACGCGATTTTTGTTCCATTGAAGACGATGCCTTGTTCGGGATGGGGATTGACTCGGAAGAAGCAGACATGCTCCAGTGCCCCTCTGAGGAGTGGATGGAGCCAATAGGCCAGGATCGCGTTCTCTCAGAGGCCAATAGTGACGACTCAGTCGTCCGAGAGATGCCTCGCTTTTTGCAAGGTCGGGAATTGCTGTTGGGGTTTGGCGCCACAAGTAGACAGGAAGACATCGTTCGTGACTGGTCAGGGTATGCCTCAGTGGCAGAGGCGGATGTTGCAAGGAATCTAAAGGGTCACTGGTTGCCACAAAGGCTGTAATAATCCTGAATCACGTAGCGCATGTGGGACTTGTAATATTCTGTTCATGTAGTTGAATCAGGTTCAACTCAAGTTTTGTGAATCAGTGTGAATCATACACGCGAAAAGTCACATGTGCAACCCGTCGCGTTACTCTATTAGTATCTGGTTTGGACTTATTTTGACCCTTCTTTAAGTTCTTAGCCCGCTGCCCGCGTTTTTCATTTCTTTACATATCATCCACGCCCATCCCACTTTCTAAAGTCTCAATCACGCGTTCAGCACGCGTTTCCTCTATACTGCATGAATCGGAAAGAAAATTCCCGTATGAATACTTCCATCGTAATATTCCACTGAATTCCATCCATGACCGCAATCTTCTCACTATTTCATCCTCAGGTCAAATCTGAGCCTCACGAAGCTAAGATTCCTCCTGCGCCCCTATCTACGTCTGCTTCTGTGAACACAGCATCCTCAAACGTTCAGGTCAAACCAGAGCCAGTCTCTGACTCTGTGAGTATTTTTGTCATATTTCTGCTTGTAATGAACTAATACTTTTCATTAGCTAACAGCCAACTCTTCCCATCTTTTCCGCAATATGGATGATGCGCATTCACCAAACGCGTCGCCAGTTTCAGCCGAAAGAAAAAAGTACACCGTTTATCGGTCTGTCGGGGACGTCCCTTATTCGTCAGATTCAGCTCTTCGAGAGGGTTTAGAGATGGTTAAATGCCTGAAAGCCTACATGGGCAGATTAAATCTGGGGAGCAAACTTAGACAGAATGTTTGGAATAAGGATTTGTTAAAGTAAGTACATTTTGGTCTGTTTCTGTGTTTGCGTTGCTGATTTCCTCTCGCCTGCTTTGCAGCCTCCAGGCTCAGTCCACTCCAAAAACATTGATCGCTGTCTGCGGAGGTTTGTCTTCCAGCATTCTTTCCTGGTCAATCTCCTGTTGAATCCATTCGTATCTAGCCACCGGCGCTGGAAAGTCGTCCATTCTGAATGCTCTTCTTGACGGTAAAGTCTCCAAATAGTACCGTTGTGCAATCCTGTTGTCGCTGACTTTGGGCGAAAGATAACATCGTACCCACTTCTGGCATGCGAGGTAAAAAGAGAGTTTGCCTATTGTCCATCGTACTAAATGACTTTCATACTTCTTTCTAGCTTGTACAGCGGGTAAGTTTTGTTTCAATATTTCTCAAACTTCAACCAGATTCATCTCTTCTTGCAGTTGTTACCGAGATAGCGTATCACTCCGAACGTACAATAGACGCCGATGTTTCCTTTCTGAACGCTTCCGAATGGAAACAAGAGCTCTCAATCCTTCAGTCTGATCTAGTCGAGGAAGATGGGAGTCTCAAACGAACTCACGACCTCAAGAGTGATGCTGGTGTCGCCTGGCAAAAGGTCTGTGTGTAGCTTGCACTCATTCGAACCTTACCAACTTCACATACAGGTTCATGCTGTATATCCTACTCTAACGCAAGAAAGACTGGTTACAATGACTACTGACCAGATAGTCGTTCATGATCCTAGTACGTTCGAAGCTCCGTTTGGTATTACCTTGTTGTAATGCATGCGATCAGGGATTGCGCAGCTTCTTGGCAGCACCAAGCATATATCCGCTCGGAACTCTCGACAATTTGGTGAGGAGATTGCCAAGTATATTGATTCCAAAGACCAGAGTCGCGGTAAAAAGGACAAGAAGAAACAGAAGAACGACGAGAAATCCCTTATGGACAAGGTTCGTGAGGCAGCTGGTGTCAGTAAGAAAAAGGATTGCAATGGACCGGCTTTCTGGCCGCTTATCCGGCAAGTCAACGTTCGGTGTCCTGCCGAATGTCTTTCTTCTGGATGCATTCTTGTTGACCTTCCTGGTGAGTGATTTCGTTTTGGGACGGAGCGAATAATTGCGTGAGCTGTCGATATTGATTCATATTGTAGGTGTTGCCGATGCCAATGCTGCTCGAAACTCTATTGCTAAGGACTATATGAAGAGAGCTCAGGTGAGTGTTCTAAATGCAACCAGTCTTTTTAGCTTACTGATCAGCTTATATGTCCAGTGCATTTGGATCCTTGCACCTGTAAGTTTGACAGCACAAGGAAGCACTCAAGTTCTTATCCGCTTCACTTACGCATTCTAGATTACAAGGTACTGATGTCTGCGCTTTACTATTGCGATGTTCACTGATGTTTTTTTGTTGCAAAGAGCGGTTGATGACAAGACTGCACGCGATCTACTTGGAGATGCGTTCAAACTGCAACTGAAAAGTGAGTTTCCAATACCAGGTCAAGAGTTTAACTGATCTTTCTCTCTATATACTCAGTGGGTGAGTACTAGATTTGTGTTCTTGCATCGCTCATAACTCAGAATTGATGTAAAATAGATGGAAAGTCAGTGTACCCTTGACTTCACTGCTTGGACCACGATTAACCTGCCTCCGTCATACAGTTATGACGACCACGCCATTACTTTCATAGGTGCGTTCGAACTACTATATGTATGTTTACTTTTGAAATGGTCTCTACTCAGCGAGTAAAACCGACGACATCAGTTGTTCAGAAGTCATCAGTGCATTGCACCTCGAGGATGACCCCGAGCTTGAAGCAATTGAGGATGACCTTGAAAAAATCAACGAGGAGATAGAGGAGGCCACAATAACGAAGAAAAATCTAGATAGAACCATAAAAGGTCAGTTATCTTCAAATATCTATCTGGCTTGATCTGACCACACTCTGAAAGGTATCGAAAAGGAGCTTAAATTTCTTCGCGCTGTTTATAAAGAGCACGAAGAGCATGTTGAGGCTCTCAAGGATGGTGTCGAGTTCACTCCTGTTCTCACCCGAAGTGTTGCGTCCAAGTCCAATGCTAAGAAGCGTAAGAATCAACGTAAAGGCAAAAAAGGATCTTCAAAGCGCAGACGCAACTCTGTGAACTCGGGGCAGGACAGTACTGACGACATGGAAGAAGACGCAAGTGATGACTCGGATAGTGAAATCGACAGCGACACTGACAAGGAGTCTGATTCCGACGCTTCTGACGACAAAGGTTCTGAATCCGATCGCAGTGAACACTCTTGTGATGAAGATGGTAACAGTGATATTGAAGTCGAAGAGCTTGTTGAGGAAGCCACGGTAGAGAGCGTTAAAGCAAAGCTGGAGCACACGAAAGCCGATATTACGGCTTCGCGGGCTCGCCTGTCCGAATCACGCAAAGACAAAAAGACCGTGCTCGATCGCCTTGCCAATTTGAAGAAGTCTTTAGGCAAGGTTCAAAAGACTAAGAACGGTTGGTGCTCTTTGAAGCGATCTGAAGTAAAATTATATCTATCTGTTTGCTAAACCAGATACTTATACGGCACCCTTAGTTCTCTCGTGACGTATTGAAGGAAGATTTCCGGACTGGTACGTTCTTCCAGCCTCGTAATCATCCACCATTGAATGCTCCTCTTATAGGTCTCAAAGAGCTCGATGGTAAGCATGAAGTCCAGATTCTCCGAGTTCGATACCTATTTGTAAACCAGACGAGGCTGCCGAAGAAAAAGATCCTCAAAATTTTGACAGCAGTATCAATCAACGAGGTGCGTTGTGCTGAAGGAGATGGGTGCATTCATGATAAATTGTTATAGACTACGAGGCTATCAATTTGCCTGTTTTCACATGCTCTAGTCGCGACTACATACGCCTAACTAGTACGTGTCATGATTTTTGTCTCCAATTTGGACCTTGATTTCTTCTCAAGACCAGGTGAAGGGAGATGGAGAGCCCACTTGTTTTTCCGACAAAGCCTCCACCGGTGCGGCAATTCAATTCTACTTGTGGAGGCACGATTGTACTCAAAAAATGACCAGGTATTCCTGATCTTCAGGCGTGGTGCCATACCTTGACGGTTGCATCTCGTACACGTGCGGTCAAGAATTTCTATGATTCTCTGAAGACTTTCGCAACCAACATCAATAGCTTCGTGAGCGGCATTGGAGGCGTCACACCCGAAGATCGACAAGCTTTGCAAGATAAATGGGAGTCGGAAATGGACGATGAAAACGAATATGAATATCCCTATACGTCTGATTCCGAAGTGGATGACGATCCATTCACCGCATTCCTCAATAGCCGGGCAGAATACCAAGGTCTAATTGCAATGCAGCGTGACAAAAAGCCTTCCACAGGCATCACGCCTAGATTAACTGATGTGAAGTTTTATTTTGTCGATAAGATTGCTTGGGTGCTCATATTCTTGTCAGGAGTTTGGCAGACTCATCCAGGATTGCGTCGTTCAGCTTCAAGAACGGTTCAAGGTATGTTTTGTAATGTGGGTAGCGTTGGCGTGATAGGTTTAATAAGATACCGAAGGATGGCCTCGAGGACAAGTGCCGAGTTGGCGCTTCTCTGGTCTGTAACGTCTTTTGAATTGATCTTTTCCCGTCTGATTGGTCTATGTCGTTAGTCTGCTAATGGAGCAGTTGAAATCTCAGACTCCTTTGCTGCATCTATGCACTGGTGAGCTTTCTGGAGTGGATGATATCTAGAAAATGCTTATATGAAGAGCAGGGGTTCATACCGTGCGACACTGCGAAGACATGGCGAATTCCGTCGCAATTTAAACATAGAACTTCTTTCTCCATTCACCAAAAACATCGCAACCTCGTGGGGTAAGCTTTTCGAAACTGACCTGCTGTCCCACTTCGAGGAGACTGTGCAAGCTGCCATCTGTCGTCTTCTTGATGACATGGTGGAATCAGCAGCGGCCGGACTAAGAGAACGTGTCGGAATGCAAGGTGACCTTTGCAAAGCAGAAGCGGACGTCGTGCTCAAACAGGTTGTTGCTGTTGTTCGTGACACAATTACCACACAACAGAAAGATGTCTCTCGATGCTTGGCACCACATGTGCAGAACAACCTCATTGACGGTTATGATCTAGCTATGGAGGAAACGGGTAAAGGTTCGGTTGCTCGTCAAAAGGTGGGCTCTGGATTGCAATGTGCTTCCTTGGAAAACAACCTCTGAACAGCCATTCTGAATCCAGCTTGTTTTCCGTACTTTTCTCTCCGAGCGCAAAGATGATGTATTCGATGAAGGTGCCGATACCATAATGGAGCGACTATCAACCATGTGTTCTTCGGTTGGAGATGCACTCAATATTGCATTCCGAGAGCTTGCGAAGAAGGTACGCGTTTTTGTGGTGTATCATGAATCATTGTGATGTCAACTTGATTTCATTCTTACTAGATCGAGGTCAACCTTGCGATACTTTGGGAGAATGTCCAAGATGATCCCAATGAAGCTGTAGGTCGAAAAGAAATGATGGAAACTATCACAGAAATCCTGGGTCAAGCGCAACTGTGGCTCAACGCTGCGAACGAGAAGTCCAAGAGCGCGTCTACCGTTGCTCAAGCTCTTCAGGACGTCGATACAGAGATGGACTGATTCTCAATGTTTCTGTGCTTGCTCCTTCGTGCTTATTCTTATTTGTTTATTTTGCTTGTATTGCTGAAAACCACCCTATTGGAATATCCTGGATACCATAGTCCCCATCCTATTCTAGATATCTTGCTATCATATTAAGTAGTAACATAGTTTACATACACTAACTCTTCCATTGTGTATAACATTCATTTGTCATTTGACTTGCTCGATGGAGCGACGCCTACCCAGGGGGCACCACAGGATAAAAGCGCTGAGATCGCAATACCCGTTGGGGGTTGTTTGGCAACAGCTTTAGTTGCCGTATTGCCGTGTTGCCGATCAGCGCCGTGCGCTTGATTCACAGTTATCGGATTGTGCTTTAGTGTGTAGAGCTGTTGAAAAGATATCTCCTCTCTTCCGTGTATACGAGGCAGTACATGCTGCAATGCAGCGGAAAATTATCTTCTTCAACTACGCTTGCCTGATATTATTTCTCGGGATCATCTTTATATTATCAATGCCAACAATCTCTAAAAATAAGAATGCTTCTCCTCCGACGACAGCGAGACTTAATACTGGCGATCGCATCATTGCATATGATGTTTATCTCAAGGATGGAAAGTACACTGTAGACTGTGACATTTGCAGTCAGTCAATTGTTGTTGGAAAGGGTGCCAACACTTATAATTTGGGTTCTCATCGCTCGGCATGTTTGCAGCGTCAAATAACACCGGTGCGTATCTTCAAAATCAGGTTCTCTCAATCACATACTCATTGTCTACCATGCAGAAAAGTTCTCCCTGTATTTCCAGCCTCCTCTATCACAAAATCTCACCTTCCATACCGTGATGGAAATGGGGACTACCAGTTCCAAGTTAGAGATCTCCCACCCAAGGTCCTGGTCTCTAAAAAAGATGCAAAAGAGGGAGTTCCATGCAAATTATGTGGATTGTATAAGAAGCTTGCAGACATGCGGAGACATGTTGGAGGACACATCTTACTCATGCTTAGGGAAGATATGGGTTCAGGGTGCGACTATGCAGATAAGATGGGACCAAATCCATGTGGCTGGTGTGGATGCGACTCAGATCAATTCAATTGCTGGAGCCGGATTGTGGTCGACCCAAAAGGAAAAAAACAGCCCCAGATCGAGTCTAACTGTGATTATCATTACACCGGAATGCGGTATACTAGCGCATCAACATGGTCAATCTCCAGTCCCTGTACTAATGTGCCAATGCACTGTCCACTTTGTCCGCCATCTCTTTCTGGTGAAACACGGACATTCTGGAAGTACAATGCATTGTATCATCTTCTTTCTGAACATTCAACAGGAGGTGATAATGGGGAGATTTCATTACCCAAAGTACCACTTGATTTTATCATTGCAACATATACAAGTCGGGAGGAAGAGAGTGCACTGGGGATTGATGAAGAGTTGACTATCGAGTACAGAGATAAGTACGGCATTCCGATGTCTGATGACCTTCAAGAAGAGATTTTGGCACGGAAACGGGCTCTTTCAGTCGCAGAAAGTAGTGGACATGTATCAAAACGTAGATAGCAGGATAGATCACTACGCGAGACACGGCGCTGATCGGCAACACGGCAACATAACTACTAAAGCTGTTGCCAAACAACCCCCAACGGGTATTGCGATCTCAGCGCTTTTATCCTGTGGTGCCCCCTGCGCCTACCTGCTGTGCTCAATGTCGATAAGCAAATACCATAAGATCCTACAATGCGTAGTAATGTACGCTGTACATACAAAGACTAAAAATGTGATACATAAAGTAGACAGTAGATATCATCTGAATCCTTGTATAGATTTAGTATCACCGGTCGTAACAATCGTTAACTCATTTTCCCGAGCTGTAATCTTCGCATCAAATTCCAAATTCCTCCAACTTTGGACTTCAAACGCGGTAAACAGGCCTACCATGCCTGTCAACTTCGCCACCCGTGCGAGCATCCATGTATCGTCGTCGACGTGACCGACCAAGGAATCCCCAAGAGCTATTTCTCGATTTGTGCTTGTACTGACGGTGCTTGGGGCCAAAGCCAAAGAAACGACGGATACGTTCACCGAGTGTTAGATGGCGAGTATCAGTAGTGTATGTAGCATGAGGACGATGTTTAGAACGACGATGATGCCGATGCCCATCCTCAGCAGCGTACTGTATCTATGATGAGTTCTCGCTCCAGGCGAAGAGATGTTCGCTACGTACCACAGTTACGGGCGCTGTGCTGTAATGATGAGAGCGGTGACCATGGCCATGACTACTGCTATGAGTTGGAACATAGACTACATTCTCTCCACCGTAGGAAGGCTGGCTGTAATACTGCTGACTTCCGCTGGGGACGTATGGTACGCCATGAGAGTGATGACTTGACGTGTAGATAACTGGTTCATGATGATGATGGGATACATGTGAGCCTTGTGAAGGGTAATAACTGGGCATTGTACGAAAAGAGGGGTGTAGTCGAGGGCGAGAATCAAGAAACGCAGTGGAGTTTTTCTTGGCGGTGCTTTTGAGTACACATTCAAAATCTATGATGTAAGTCGGAATGTTCGGATGTTGTATTCATTCATGTCTTCATCTTAAACGAGGGGACTGTATGTATATGGGTCGTATGCAACGGAGGCTAATCTACATAAAACAACACTGCTCGCATAGCATATAAATGGACATGAATTTTACTCCAAATCCTGGAAATCGCCTTCATCTAAGTCATGAGGCTTGAAGGTCGTCAGAAATAGCAAAATTTAGAAAGAAGTATGAAAATCCTAACCTCCTTTGGCTCCTCACTTTCACCGTATTGCATTGTATAGTCAATATGGCTTATAACATACTCCAATGAATCAGTATCTGTGAGATCCAACGGCAGAAACGATACTAGTGGGTGGTCTTCAATCTATGTAGGTTACCATCAGCACAATGTCTATCGGGGGTCAACTGAATCAGAAAAAGTTGTAACAGAAACTGCTATTATAGGTCATGGATGCAAACCTATGCAGACAGGAAGCTGTTCTTTCATCTCCGCAATACAGCAATTTGATGAGAGATTTTTATACACGGGACACGAACATGCAGGTAGAAGCCAAGGAATGAATGACTGCACTCACCAGCTGAACGATAGCTTGATTAAGGGCATGGAAGCGTGGATTTGTTTTATCTGACTTATCGCCTCGTGTAGTAGCAATTAATAGAGGGTCTGGGTCAAGATATCTGAAGGTGAGGAGCCAAGGAGACGGTGTCAGCGGAGATTTCATAGTACAAAACAGGACTAAGGAGATCAAGGTCGAGAAGCATTACACTAGCTCCGGCTCAACGAGAGTTGACATTATATTAGTATCAATGTTCTACGCCGGAACAAGCAGAAAATAACTCGACAAAGAGACAGACCTCGCGATATCTTTTTTTTTTCGTAGGCCATTTCGTGCACCTCCCGAAGGATCTTCGGGGTTCAATGTGACGAGGTCCACTTTGGACATGACATTGATCCATGGTATTTCGAGGTTGACCATTGCGGACATGGCAGACAAAACTCCACTGCCCAAGGAACATGAGGATCGCAATTTATTCCCAGGTCAGTTAATACCTACCTGAAGAATTTGTACTTGTCCTCCATGAATTGAGACTCTATAAGGTACGTTGCACATGTACGGATGTCCATTCGAGAGAGATGTTGCACAAGCGTCGGGATAAATGGATGATGTGTGTATAATTCTATTTGTCCTTCATAAACACAGTTGAGATATAGAACGAAAGAATCTGCAATGCCTAGCAAACCTGGGCAATCAATGATCAGATAATCGTCCTCATAGCCCCCAAGTTCTTCTTCTAGCCAGTCCATATTTTGCAGAAGATACCTATTTGTATGTTGTATTCAACTGAGGTTATCCAAATCATTATAGCCATATTTCACTTACTCACTCAAAGCAGTAGACTATTCCACCATTCGGACCATACTCCAGCTCACTCATGACATCCTCTAGGCTGATAAGGTCTCTGATGTCAATAGTTGGCTCATATTCGAAACTTGACGGATCTGCAGCTGGATCAAGGTTGACGAGATGGCCAGTCCTTTTGGAAGCGGCAAGGTGGGTCATAAAAGATTTTGCGAAAGTAGATTTGCCAGCACCTGCTGGGCCAGTAACGAGGACTGCGTAGCGCATCTCAGAGAACAAACTGAAAAGGACCTCAAGCTAGGCGCCCAAGCTTACTGTGCAATTTTGATGTGTGGCTGTGTTTCGCAATCATGTCCAAATCCTCTTTGCCACCAATAGACCCGACCAAGACTGCGTCGGGAATCGCTCTTGATCCTCAGACACTCGAGCGGGTGATTCCTGAGTCCAGGCGGTCGGATGGAAGGTGAACTTATCTCTCTTTATACGTGACTTAATCGCTCAAATCCGCGCAGCGTCCGTAAACAACTCAAAATCCGTCCAGGATTTACGCCTCAAGAAGATGTGAGACGCTTCAGGGGGACGAAGCAAACCCAGGCGGATTCCAACGCCCTGCCAAAAGGCCATATAATCGGCTGGATTCCGCCATCGTCTAAAGAGGCCGATTCCTCAAAGCCTTTGAGCAAGAGCGCAAAGAAGAACGCGAAGCGCAGGGAGAAGAAAGTCAGCGACAAGAAGGCTGATGAACCCGTGAAGGACAACTGGGAAGATGATGATGATGATGAGACTATTGCTGCTGCTCCGCAGAAAAACGAAGAGCCCACCAAGACTAATGGGGCACAATCGACAGATGCTGCAGAATCGTTGTCGTCGGAGATGGAGAAGCTAGATGTGCGCTGAGTTGGACCTTGGATGTAAAAGTAGGGGATCCCTTTAGTCGCTGATAGATACTTATGTTACATTGTATATAGATTGATTATAGGCGTTTGTTGAAATATTTCTACCTGTGTGTTATTACTACTGCAATACAAGATCTTGAATGATTGGGAATGAAGCAGTGGCGCGAACGGGCCACCGTTCAATACTATGTGACCCATTCCATCTTTTCCAACGCGTCCGCTGTAGTCGGTGCCAGGTCAGCACGCGTTATAGGCGTCGGAACAACTGGAGGGGATGGTGGAGGAGGTTTCGGGCGCAACTCCATGCCGATGACTACGGCAGTCGCGAATGTGAACAGCCCGCCTGAACCATTGAAGTGAGCTTAGTAAATTGAAGAATCAACACTTCGGGACATACCAACAGCCCGCCTCATGTTATCCCATTTCACTTCCTCAACGTCGGTTCTGAGATCACTGATGCTGACGATGGATTTGTTCAACAATTCCTGTAAATAAAATGTTAATATTTGCGAGCTGCGCATACATTTATAGTAAGCATACCTCGATAATGATATCTTTACGAGCGAACTCGTCCTTGACTTCATTCTTACGATTGTCAAGGTCAATCTGTATCCTATACAGAGCATATGTGAATGCATTCTGAATAGCAGACGAAATTTAACTTACTCATGTTTGAGTGTTGTAATGTCTTCCTTCATCTTTACATCAAGCCTGTCAACCTCTCGCCGAAGTGCGGTCGTGGCAGATTGCACTGTGGCAGAGTCATTTTTCGTATTCAGAGTCATTCCTGAACGAAGCTCTGACAACGCGGCACGAAACAAATATGCTTGCTAGATAGCCTTGGTCATTTAGTAATTCATAAACGGAAACATGTAAACTAAGTAAACACACATTATCCAAATCCTTATGAGTTAATCCTTCTCTCCGAACTTTTCCGATCCGGTCAACGAGCAACGCGCGTGTGGCCCGCATGAGACTCCGTGCAATAGACGTCGGGAATGTACCCTCCAAAACCTTGAAGAAAGCATGGGTATGAAATGGCGGATGAGAATACGCCGGGGTATAAACTTCATGACGCTGCACTGTCGAAGGTAGATTCGAAGAGTTCGAGCGTTCAAATTCAGGTATGGATTTCGGTATTGCAGGTGGAGGTGGCGGTGAAGGTGGTGGATCCAAAGACGACATCGAAGACGAAGGTGCTGAGGGCAGTGATTCATCGTTCGGCAGGTCATTTGTTGTATAAGTCGGTTGCTGGGCGTCGGAATTTGAAGGATCCAGAGGATGGGCCATGGAAATAGACTGAGATGAATGGGGATCACCTAAGCTTGAAGTCGTGTGCGTATTACGATGAGATATAGCAGTAAATAAAATAGAGTGTGGTGGTAAATGTGCTCCTGTATGAAGTCTTCGACTCCAGCGAGGAAATTGTCGGATGATCATGATAGTTCGATAGAATGCCTTTACAAGCGCTTGGTACGATCGACAACGTAAAATATAGTTCAAACTCATTATTATCACCTTATTCATTCTGAGGGCTCTTCATATTTTCAAAACCTCATCGGATACAATTTTCTGCATGTGTGTACGTCTACCTTATCACCATGCGGGATGAGCACTCACCGTGAGGGTAGTCAGACGACCCCATCTTTGACCGAGATGCATATCCATCTATCGATTCATTGCATCTCAACTCGCTTTCCTTCTTCCGAACTCCTCACAATCGCCTGTAAAATCTCTTTCACCTTCAAAGCTTGTTCAAGGTCCGCATACTGTGATACCTCTCCATCAGCGAACGCCTGCCAATTCAACCCAGTCCTCCTAGTAATATTGTCCGCATCAATAGCGACTTTCTCTCCGTTCAAATACACATCCGGAGTTGCGTCGAAAAATCCCCGTTTGGTCGTCCGGTCAGACTCATCAACAATCCGAAGAACACCGTTCTCTCCGTTGATGATCCAGTTAAAGTCAGCTTCTTTCACAGGAGATTGAAAGTGAACGGTAAATAAGGCCCCATTGGCTAATGTGCCGGTAACGCAAACTTGGTTTGGCGAATCGTTTGGGACGGTTCTATCGGTGGGATTGCCGTCTGAGTCCGTGAGTGTTGTCAAAGGGAATTGGTTTTTTATGATAGCAGATAGAGAAGAGATGGGCCCGAGGATGTGGGTGAACATGTCAAGAGCATGGCCGCCAGGGATGTCAAGCATTGTGGCTCCGTTGGACGAGGACAGGGTGTAGTCATAGTTCGCGGGCATTAAGCGACCCCAGTATCCAGTGAGGGAAACAATCTTGATATGATATTATACCATGATTCGAGTTACATTTGAAGTAGAAAGCATGAAGACTTACGAAAGTAGAGGAAAGGATTTTACCAAGGTCACCGTTGTCAATGATTTCTTTAGCCTGTTAGGATCCAATATCAATAACTTTTGAGTAAGTCAATGGACTAGATGCTTACCTTCAACGCATACGCGGTAAACCTGCTCTGGAACCCGATCATGGTTCTAATTCCTTTGGCCTTCGCAGCCTCATACAATTCCTTCGTCTCTGCAAGACGAACACCAGCCGGCCACTCAATGAAAAGATCCTTCCCAGCTTTAATTACCTCACTCGCAACCTCCTTATGGTCCAGGACTTTGACGGATACAGCAACCATACCGACGTCTATATTTGACGCGATATGCTTTGCTGACCCGTGGTACGGTTTGACAGTGACTGAGGTACCTGTGGAATTCGAGGCGAGTTCGGAATATTTCGCTGCACTGGCTGCAGCTGATTCGGGTTTAGACGTGGATACGGCAACGAGAGAGTATTTGGAAGATAGAGGTTCCTCAAAGAGTGGAGGTGCGAGAGCTATAGCGGCCCATCCAGTTGCTGAGAGACCGATGAAGCCCAACTGAATCGGAGTTTTTGATTCTTGTGCCATTGTGGGTACACTGAGAGATGTTGATATAGACGTTGACAGCAAAGATACTTAAACTCCCAAGCTATTTGTAGGACTGTTGAACATACATTCAAGGCAAAAGATTACCCAGCTCAAACCCCGGAGGAAGCGGTATATTCTCAGACCGTCTGCAATGGACGGTGGCCATGAACCTTCCGCTCAGATTGAGGAGTTGCCGAGTGTTTTATTTCCCGTCGTGTCGGGAATCAGTAATGAGTCGGGATATTCGAGGATGATTATTCATGGGAAAGGGCCTCGTGCCGAGGCACTGACCTTGCCTGGATTGCCTGACTTGTCTTTGTTTCACAATAGTGTATCAGGATATTGTTGGAAGATTTGTTATGATATGTGCTGCTTTTCGAATAACATTGCAATGAAGTGGTTGGATTGAGTAGCCAATACGTAGGACAGTGAGATGAAGTCGAAGCGACAAGCCGGGCCGAGAAGGAAACTGTGCTGTGGCAGCAAAGTGATCCTACCATTGCACAGACAAATCTTCAAAGCTTCAACCCTGATTGGTTGTTGCTAAGCGCTCACGCTGCATTGCATGGTTCAGTGCTAGTAGCTATCTATTTCTCTATAATTTTATTATCCTAGTCAGAACAAAAGCTCGTTTTCTCTCCCCAAGCCATGTGTGAGACCAATGGACGACAGCAATGGCTACCCCTAGTCTTCCGTGAGAACAGGTTTGAGACATACACACTATGGCCAGGTGGTCCTTTCATGTATATATGTCTAGTGCTTCTACAGTTACATTATGTAGTAGAATAAAATTTGAATCACAACTGGTACTGATACTGCTTCCCAAGTAGGACTCTAGGTGTAGTAAGAGCATTCAAACTTGCTAGGTGACCTCGGAAGACACAGCAGGCAGTGATAGTGAGAATATTAGCAAAGATACAGATGCCAAAAGATTTCGAGTAGTCCGGCCCCCAAGAAGAAGGCCATGCATAGCTGTTATTGACTCGTGAGTAGGCAGGTTTTTGTAATATTAATGACATTAATAGTAACTCACGGCACAAAGATACTCGCAAGAATGCCCCCGGTGTTGATCAAAGCCAACGCCGAAGCACGTTTGCTAGGTGGATCGGACACTGAAGTACTGGCCCATGCCATGAAGCAAACGTATCCCGCATGGATTTGTGTCATTAGGAAGCTATGAGATTGATATGGTTATCCACACCTAAAAAACCGATCATGTAAACACGCACAAGGAGATATATCGCACAACTGGATTCATAGTTGATATAGCGATAAGATAACCAATGAGAGCGACACCCATGGAATATGTTATATGCCAACAACGTTCAGACTTCTTGTCGGAATGCCTAAAGTGAGCAAATAACTGTTAATATGATGATGATGGAAACTACAAATCATACCTGGATATAATGATCACTGCAACGATAGCGGTCAACCAAGGGGGAGTACTAATTAGCAAAGTAGCAATGGGATCATAACCGATCGTTTGTACAAGAGTTGGAAAGTAGATATGAAACGAGGAAGAAAAAGTATGCAAGCCGAGGATCATCGCTAGCGACCAAACTTTTCTATCCGATAACGCCAATAAAAGCCCATTGAACGGGTGTTCGGGGCTGTCATCCACTGTATACTCTTCTTGAATTCGACGGATGGCGAGACTCTGTTCGGCGGAAGAAAGCCAGCCAGAGGATGTCTTGGGAAAATCTGGAAGTATATACATTGCGCATATTGCAACGGAGATAGTGAGTGCTCCTTCGACGAAGAAGAGCCATCGCCATGCGGCGATCCCGTACGCATTATCCATGATTCCAAGAATTCCAGAGGCCAATAGTGAGCCAGCGGCGTTCGCTATCAAAAGTCCATTGGCTAGGTAGGCGGTCCTTTGGCCGATCTCGTCTCTCTTGTACCACTTTGAGATAAGTAACTAAATTAGAAACGATTAGGACAAATATAGTGGCTCAAACGTTTAAAAAAGCATTTTCACAAGGGCTCCAGGAAAGAAAGCTGCTTCTACGAATCCCAGACAGAACCTCGCAATAAGAGCATCATAAAATCTACACAAGGTCAGTGTAAAGCGAGAAGTCATTCACTGAAAGAGCGTACCCTCGCGCTGCGCCTGTCAACATGGATATAAAACCCCACCTGGATCTATCATAAGGTTCATTCTATCACGTCAGATGGAAGCGAGCTGCTTACAATATCATGCAAGACGATAGGTATATCGACGGCCTCCCGATGTGCTCAAGGTACATATTCGACGGCACCTGAGTAAGTAAATATCCGACGTATACTATAGCGAGACATGAGGCATATTGCGCGCCCTCGAGCTTAAGGTCTTCCTCAAATCCGCGCAATCTGGCCACACTGTAAAGGAAGCGAGTAGGTCGAAGGTACGAAGAACCACAAAATCTCCTTACGCAATATTTTGTCTGTCAATATCTGAAAAGATTGCAAGAGTTAACTGCACCCTCAACGCGAGGTTTGACTGATACACACAATTCAAGATGTAGATAACACCCAACAGGTACATTCGCCGATCAAGTTTCTTAAGGAGACTCCTCTCTACTTTCGCTCTTTCTTCTATATCTTCGAAGAGCGGCTCATAGTCTTGTTGTATGTTTAGCGCTTGACTGAGGGGAATTCAAGGGACTCACCGGACTCGAGAGCCAGTAGCGGAGCCGTTTCCCCGTATGCTGGGTTAAACACAACAGCAGACTGTGCCATTCTGTTGATAAGAGAGTTGCTGGAGTTATGAAAAAATAGAAGGATACATATTTTGGGGACGCTCCTTTCCGAATGGAGCGGGTTATACATAACTTCGAATGAATTTCTTCATGATTGAATCATGATTGACGACCCTTGCCCTTGCAGCAAAACGTCGACAGATAAATAAGTAGGGAGGAAACTGACTCGTTGTGCTATCGCGTCATAAAGTTATTTATCAAGTTTATTCAGCTCCAGCACCTGCCAAGTCCCTGTATTTAGCGTGTGAAATTGATTCTATTAGTCGTACTCATTGAAGACGAAGTTCATTATGTAGGATAGTGTAGAGTCCATTGCACAAACGGCATAAAATCCAGAGACAACGTGAGAGTATTGCTGCTCGTCGTCGACGGCCTCGGAGCGACCCTCTGAAAAAGGAGAAGAACAGGAATATCAGCGTCTGATTGGACGGATTTTCATAACAGGGTTCCTGCCACTATAATCATCTTCTCTCAGGCTATGGACCGGCTATATAGTTAAACCGTAGCCTAACTCTAGCGCACCAACTAGTACACGAACTTGAATCGTAATGGGGAGCTTGAACGGAAACGGACTCGCCAGTCAAAGACTAGCAGTTCTCGACAAGGATCCTTTGCGTAGAGCATGGAGGGGTAATAAAGAAGGTGAGTCTTAACAAATATCTGTCGCTGGCTTATTCCTTCTTACCCGATCAAACTCATAGACACGATCCAACTCAAAGCCGTTCCATCTTTCAATTCTCCCTATGAGGAGCGAGAATGGATTAAGGTCGGCTTCAACGGGAAATAAGTACAAGTTGCTCATAAGCTTTGTCGTGCAGGCACATATGGCTGCCGCACTTCGCTATTGGGGTAAACTGGGATTTGGAGAAGGTATCGCGGGCCATATAACTGTTCGTGATCCTGTCTTTCCTGACCACTACTGGTACCAACTATGTTTCCATCTGAGACAAAATCATACTGACATACGTTAGGATGAATCCATTTGACGAACACTTTTCGACAATCACCGTGAGTTATTTGATTGGGCTGATGATAGCCTATTAACCTGGGTTTTACTCAGAAATCGATGCTCGTTCTTGTTGGTCCGGATGGATATGTCTCGACTGAAGGAGCGCAAGCACCCATCAACGCAGCAGGATTCTATATTCGTGTGCCATTCTTCTTTACAATTTGCATCATCTTCTAACATCCATCGTCCTCAGATTCTTCCATCCATAAAGCTCGTCCTGAAGTGAAGGCAGCAGCTCATTGTCACTCTATTCACGGTAAAGCGTGGTCGGTCTTTGGCCGCCCAATCGACATGCTTGTTCAAGACTCGTGTCTCTTCTATAACAATCAAAGTGTATATAAAAATTTTGGTGGAGTTGTGCTCTCTCACGAGGAAGGAGCTAACATAGCTAAGGCCCTTGGACCCAAGTCTAAGGCATGCATTCTCCAAAATCATGGGTTATTAACTCGTAAGTATATCATATTTTGTGGCACTGATTAGTGACTGGCGCGTACAGTAGGAGACACAGTAGACGAAGCAGTCTATCTCTTTGGTGCATTAGACAGACTATGTCATGTACAGCTTATGGTTGAAGCTGCAGCTGCCAACAATATACCAAAAACCCTTATTTCGGAAGAAGACGCTGAGTTTACTGCCAATTCCATCAATGAATCTAGGAGGAACTACATCAAAGTGGGCCGTATGTTTTCTTTTACTACGACTGTCCCCTCATCTCTCCATTCATAGTTTCAGCTTGAATACAAACTTTTACTTCAAGAAACACAGGGGGCCTTCTTGCAGTGATACATCGGATTAAATGATAAGAATGGTCCCTACATATGAGGGTAATGATTTCCCAGTGTACGACTAGGACCTGCCCACGTCAAGACCTGCAGAAAACCCAGGTCGCGCGTGCGCAGCTTCAACCCATTTCTGTAATTTTGAGATCTCAATGAAAATGACCAATTACCAAGTTTGCAGAAACTTGACTTACCTTGACGTTAGGCCACTCATCCAATGACTCGATGCCGCCGTAGACATGAACACGAACCCTTAATAAGGTGTTATTAACTAACAACGAGAAATTGTGACCAACTGACCATGATATCGCATTGATATCCGCGATAGAGAACACGCCGCGTCCTGGACCGACAAGCCAGTCACGATCTTGACTAAGACGAATCTCAAGTACACCATAAAGACGCTTGGTCTCGTCGTAATAACCTGGACAAAAAATGAACCATGATCATGGATGATGAAATAAGTTGATAGTTAGACCAACGTTGTTTGGCGTAGGGTATGTCCACCGGGGCAGCCTTCATGAAATGATTGACTACGATGGTATATACAGGTCAACATCATTGGTTTAATGAGAACTGCGACCGAATAAACTCACGTTGACCTTGCATAGGTCCCACACCACTATTCTGGTTAGCGGAGATACAGTCAGCAGAATTGCATGCGTGGAAGCAAAAAAGAGAAAAAATCGCACAGCAAAGAAAATCCACTGCAATGTTTGACTATATTCCTCAGGGTCGACCTTGGGGTCCCATCCAAACTTGTTCTCTTTGTCGTAGTGTTGCTGAAGATACAACAAAATCGCACCAGTCTCAAATACCGGAAAGTTATTCCGGCTGCGATCTACGAGCACAGGGATACGACCGTTCGGGTTGAGTTTGATAAACCACGGTTCCTGAATGACGCGGACAGAGTGATAAGCCCTCGCAGCCTCAATGCCAGTTGAATACACATACTTTCTGAGTGTTCTTTGAAATGTTGATGGACTCAACGCTGAGTACGCGCTCGAGAGATGAGATTGTGGAGGTGGGGATACAGAGATACACGTACTCGTATTCGATGGAAGGGTAAACAGACTTCAATTCCTCAAGGAAAGCTGACACCTTGACACCGTTGGGTGTCGGGAAAGTGTAGAGGACAAGAGGCTTGGACATAGTAAAGAGTTGGGGAGTTATGCGAGTAAGACGGCTGACCACGCTCATGCTTTAAGGTGTGAGGGATTGTGAAAAGTGATTACGAATTATCGATGTTAATCAGACGTTAATTATCAATGCGTCAGCTATACTTGGCTGAATCATCCTTTTTTCTGCTGGGATTACGAGTCAATCGGAGGCCCGTCAAAAGAGACTTTCCAGTCCCACGCACCGATAGGTATTTACGACTCCGACCCTAACTTTGATTGGGAAGGAGGTCTGTCTGGATCATACTGAAATCGAGAACCAACAATATTGCCTCTGAACCTTTTCCTCATATCTAGCTGGTTGAAGAACATTAGTAATTGTTGAGAAAGTTATCAATGATAAACACACCATTCCTCTCTTACACTCGAACGTTGCTTTTCTAAGAGATCGACATTCCTCCGGTAACTCCTCCATATGGTTCTTCAAACAATCTGAGGGTAGATTTCCCTGCTTCATGACACAGTCTGAGTGCTTGAGACAGTCTTTGAGTGCATCTAGGAGGCCTTGGCAGGAAGAGGACATGGTCGTGCGCCGTAAGAGGCTTGATAGGGCTTGATACACACGTGAGCTGGACGCGTCTTTGGAATTCGTCATTGCTAACCGAAATGGCGCTTCTCAAGTTGCCTCCAGCAGTACGAAATATTTTACCAACAGGTCCCTCAGTTGCTCGTTTGAATTTCAAGTCTGTGCTTTCAGTGTCTGGCTCTCAAGCTCCCGATTTTCTTCATGGCATTCTTTCTTCTGCTGTTCCGACGTCTAATCGCCCGTTCTTTTCCGCTGCCCTGAATGCGCAGGTCGGCCTCATTTTCGGAACATTATTACAACTCTGCTTATACCTGCTTAGGGACGTGTACTCTACGATTTACTTGTATTCTCTGATTATAGCACGAATGGACGACCAGCCTATCTGTTAGAATATGATTCGCATTCTTCCGACGCTCCGTCCCTCCACGAATTACTTCAACGCTATGTCCTACGTGCCAAGGTCAAAATCAGGGATGTTTCACAAGAATATGACAGCTGGGCATCTTGGGGATCGGAAAAGGATGTAGAATGGGATACTGAGCGAGACTGGCTTTTCGCTGAAAGTGGCGCCATCGAGCCTGTCTGGCCTCCTACTACGTCGGAGGACTGGCCGTGGGGTTCCCAAAAACATATCATTAGAGACAGAAGAGCAGTCGGGATAGGGCACAGGCTTTTAGTCAGGAAGGGCGATCCACGTACGTTCTGTAAAGTCACCGTATACCTAGGATTAACAATGTATCAGCCCCACAAACTTCTGATCACGACATAGTGCCGCAAGATGCCTACAACCTTCACCGGATACTCCATGGGGTCCCAGAAGGACACATCGACATTGTTCCAAGCGTTGCTTTTCCAATGGATTCTAATTTGGATGTAATGGGCGCAGGTACGCACTCTACTCCCGTCTCCTTATAATTCCCCTTGCTAAAATTTCTTCAGTCGACTTTAGGAAAGGTTGTTACATCGGCCAGGAGCTCACTGTGCGAACATATCATAAGGGTGCTGTTCGTAAGAGGACGGTGCCAGTGCTGATACAAAGTTCCTCCCGTCACAAGTACGATCCACACAATTGATTTCACTCTCTGCTGCTCATACATACATTAGGTCAACTGAAACTGAAGACATTCATGAGAAGTTTGGAACCAATATTGACATCAAACCTGCAAATATCATGGAGGGGTCAGGACCACGGCCTCGAGGTACCGGAAAGCTCCTAAGTACTTCTCATGGAATAGGACTAGCCCTGCTTCGAACAGAGCATGTAGATGGAGTAGCCTCGGGTAATCTGAAACTAGACTTTACTTCTGAAAGTGGTGCTACTTGGTCTGTTACGCCTTGGTGGCCTGAATGGTGGCCCAAACGGCTACTGTAGACTACACAAAGTGCATAATTATAATACATTTTGGGTTGGATTACTTTTCAACGACGACCGTGGCGAAGACATAGTCTCCATCGTGGGTGACGGAGCAATGGAAAGACAGATCTTGTTGATACTTGAAAGATAAAACCGGCTTAGAACCGAGTTTTATTGCGCCCAGAGGATAATAAGTGAGATCCTTCCAAGTTGGACGATAATTAGGATACAAAGCCTTGTAGGCGGCTTCTTTCAATGCCCATCTATATGTATCATCAGACTTTGCTGGAATAAAATCGAGTGGATTCGCACCGAACCGCCAAAAACCGGGCATCTTCGAGTTTGATTTCACTACCTGAACGCGAGGCATCCCAATGGACAAGTTCTACATCGGAAAGGATGCGATGTGCTAATTTTTCAGGACCTCTACGTTGTAAGAAAGCGAAGACACGAGGAATTAGGACAATATCTGCCCCTATACCAAGGATTGCCATCAAGTGACGCGTTCAGCAGGCGAATACCACATGCATGGTGGAGGTCAAGACGCGAAACAATATCTGCCACGTGCCAACGCGTGCAAAATTATTCTTATCCACCTCCGATGAACATATCGACAGCGTACATCGCCGCATCAACAAACCGTTTCTCTGGAGCTTCAGATGTTACTTCTGAAGGAATAGTGATATTTGGATCGTCCAATTTGATTGGTATCTGGGACATTGTGCGTACTTCCCTCTGTTGGTCGTGATCGTGATTGTGAGTTTAACCAGAGGTTTGTAGAGTAATGACGATGAGGGAATCTCTATGACTATCCCAGGGCACAGCGGGGCGATCACTTGCGTCCGTGTAATAGACTCCCACTCGTTTGTCAGTGCAGACGATAAAGGTGAAGCGCGGATATGGAAAAAAACAGAATCTACGTCCCAGGCATGCTCTAAACTATCGTGTATCGATAGCACTTTTAATCAATGACAATCATCCTCCTCAGTGGACCTCATTCGCAAAATTTTCTGCTCACAAGCAAGCGATATCCGCGCTCGCTGTTTTAGACGACTGGATTGCGACAGGTTCTTCCGACGCAACTGTGAAACTTTGGAAATTGCCTCAAGATGGCACGGCTGTAGAAAATCTACAGACGATCTCTCTGTCTGGACGGTATCCACTCGCTTTAGCCTTTGCACGCCTACCTCAGTCAAATAGTTTGTGTGCACTCTGTCCCTGAGGTTGCCCTACATCTGAGTTTTGATTTAGGTCTTGTTCTTGCCATAGGAGGCACGGATAAGAATATACAGCTATGGACACGTTCTGAGACCACGGTGAATTGTTCTTCTGTATGCATCTCTTGTATTAATATTCAATCTTGCAGTTTGTTCAATCTGCAGTACTGGGGGGGCACGAAGATTGGGTCCGTGGGCTTGCATTTTGCCCTCCAGAGGCAGAAGGGCCGCTTATTCTTGCATCTGGTTCGCAAGACGCGACTATCAGGTTGTGGAATATCGAGGTATACAAGAAGGAAATGATCTCTCGACCTCAAGAGGGTCTGAGCGATGATTTACTCGACGCATTTGAGGAATCATTAGGAGATTTTGGGATTGCCGATGAAGGGGGAAGACAAATCTCTCTCAAACGACATATCTTGTCTGTAAAATCTAATCAAGAACAGTGAGCATGGACCCGTTTTCTGGAAGGATAGTGATCAATTTGTTCAGCTTCATCTTCTCTGTGACCTTTGACGCTCTTCTCGTTGGACATGAGGCAGGAGTAACATCAATTTCATGGCGCCCGTCAAACTCAACGCAATCTACACTGACACTTCTCTCCACGTCAACCGATTCCTCTCTCATACTCTGGTCCCCAGCGACAATCTTGACGGATCCTGAAAACCGTACGAGCTCGAGCACAATTTGGATCAATAGACAGAGGTATGGTGACATTGGTGGCCAAAGATTGGGAGGTTTCGTCGGAGGTGTTTGGAGGCTCGATGGTGACGAGGTACTGGCGTGGGGTTGGTCTGGTGGTTGGCGAAGGTGGCGCCGTAAGCCTTCTGCCACAGATGACGATGAAGTCTGGGAGGAGGGAGGAGCTATCGGGGGTCATCGCGGACCTGTCAAAAGCGTGGACTGGAGTTCCACCGGCACATTCTTGATTTCTTCGGGGTGCGGAATGCATATTTGCCCCTTCAAAATGACAACTCATATTACCTTAGAATTGACCAAACAACTCGAATACATGGTGCAGTCCCACAAGTCAACGGACCTGCTACTTGGTATGAACTTGGCCGACCTCAAGTTCATGGATATGACATACTTGGAAGTGTTTTCCTCAAAGAACTCAAATTTGCCAGTATCGCAGACGAGAAAGTACTTCGAATCTTCGAAGCTCCTCGCCGATTTGTAGATCTGATGGAAATCCTACATGTATCCCAATTTTCCGAAAACGAGGTTTGTTGGGTTCGTCTGAACTCACTCGATCTTGAATGATCAATATTCGGCTTAGAAAAACAGACCCATGGGAGCAAGCGTCCCTCCTCTCGGTCTCTCAAATAAAGCTGATGCTGATGGTAAGAAGACATCTATCCCGGCTGCCGTCCCTAACTGTTCATTTGATTGTAGGTGCTGTCACTGTTGCTGCGCCAGAATTCCGACGCCCGTTTGAAGGGGAACTAGCCTCCGTAACGCTCTGGCCTGAGGTCGAGAAGGTTTTTGGACATGGTTATGAGGTGCAATATCTGTCCGTATCGTTTGCATTGTTATTGATTTTCATCCTACAAGTCTATTGCTCTAGCTACTTCTAGCTCGCGGCAATACATCGCAAGTGCATGTAAAGCATTATCACCAGAACACGCTGTAGTCCGTATCCATGACACAACGACTTATCAGCCCGTGGGCGAACCTCTGACAGGTCATTCGCTGACAGTAACGCAAATCGCGTTCAGCCCAGATGACCAATTGATCCTGACGGTTTCTCGAGACCGTTCTTGGAGGTTGTATCAAAAATCAGAGGGAGGAGGTGATCAAGTTGATCATTTTTTGGTTGTGTATGCTCACCGTATACTCAGGTTATATACCTATGGTCCATGAAAGTAAACCTCACGGTAGAATCATTTGGGATTGTGCATGGGCACCAGAAGGTGATATTTTTGCCACTGCCTCGCGCGATAAAACCGTATGTCTTTGCGCCGTTTTGCCAAAGTGTGTTTTGAGGGTATTTGCAGGTAAAAATATGGGGGAAGGATAACGCGGACAACTGGCCTTGCGTCGCTACTCTCAAGATGGATGAATCCGCTACCGCGGTAAATTTCACCGCCTTTGACAGTCAACCCAAGTAAGTTGTAGCCATACAAGTTCTATATATATGTTCAAAAAGTCCTCACAGACGGTATCTCGCTGTCGGACTTGAGAATGGAAAAATTTTGTTTTATTCCAGCAGTAAGTTGGAGCCAATATGGACACTCGAAATGACACAGTAAGTTTTTTGTATTGGTTAATTCTTCATCGAACTCAGTTCGTAAAATTTTAGTTCCGGGCATGTAGGCCAAATCAACTGCTTGCGTTGGCGTCCTGGGTCAGGAGAGCAATTTAGAGAGATAGCAAGTTGTAGTGAAGATGGTACACTGAAAATATCGATTGTCCAGATTGTTTAAACATCGATCCAGATATAAATGAAATGAGACAGAGGAAAGAGCTGCTATACAGTGTGAGAGGTTTAAGGAAACACCAAAACAATATTCAGTAACGAGACAATTCGGAGGGTGCGAAGGGTATCGGAATGCGAGGTGTAAAAAATATAGAACTAACAAGCAGAGAAAGCTAGGGGTGTGCAATAGGGATACATGAACAATTGCAAGGTCATCATATTAAATAAGATCACGTAGACTCATAGGGACTTCAGGCTGTAGAGAGGCTGAACTTCAGTATATGAAGATTCAAGACAGACAAAGACTCACGCATTTGATTCTGTTTGTTACCGAGATGAGGGTTTTCAATCAGTCAAAAATCGTCGAAATCAGGAAACCCTTACTTATAGAAACACTCTATGGATCGTAGCATTTCGACGTCTCCGCCCGTTGCAGTCACAAAGTTGATTACGACTCCGGCGCGCGTATAATTGTTAGGAGAAATAGCAGGGGAAACACTATCAACAACAAAATGAGGAACCAGGCCAAAGACAACAAGAAAAGCTCTACCGATGTGCATATTCTTCGACTGCTTTAGGCAAATCTATAAAAACGGTTAGGGAAAACAAAAGAGACACAAAAACATGAACGAACCATAGTTGATAACAAGTGGGATATGAGAAATTTCTTTTAATTGAACATCGTATACAACCAAAACCTTCGTCACTGGTTGTCGCATCATCGCAGTTGTATTGATTCTGTATTTATTGAGAGCTGCAAGCTTTGTTGCAGGGCTCATGTCGCCATGCTTCAAAAGAAGCGAGTCAGAAAATGCTCTTCAATGCAGAACTCAACTCACCAGTGGGACAGCCTCCAAGCCTCGGCTGGCTAGTTTGTAAACCACAGAGTCCAGAGCAGTCATTCCACCCACGTGAACAATCGCTTGTTGGACGTCTACGTCATCGAATAAGTCAGCGAGTGCATCTAATTTCCATTCTCGTGCTTGTACGCTTTCAGCATTTGTAGATCCTCTTCCTGACCCAATTATACCAAGACCACCACCAGAGTTCGCGGCTGCAGGATCTGCCCTGCTACCAGCGGTAAACGCTAAGTATAGATAATACTGGCGAAGACCGCGGGATCCCCCTTGGGACGCTTCGGCCTGAGTAACATTACCATCCCGTCGTACAAGCACGCGAACTGGTTCGCGCAATTGAATCGCAGTAGCAAGATTCAAGACATCCTGGGGCACTGTATTGGAAAAGAGCGCTGTCTGTCGCTCAACAGATTGTGGCGTGTTTTGACCACTAGGATCAGGTGATGGAGCAACAGCGGAAAACCTTCGACTGTTGTTATTTTGGAAGGGTGTAGCACTGGGGTCGAAGTTGGATCCAAATGCACCGGATCCAGGGACTATGTTGCCACCAGGAGCACTGGAGCTAAGAGGCCGTGAACGAGGAGAGGGAAGGAGTTTGACGATATTGAACACGAACTCGTGTAAATTACGAGCGATGAGTTGGTCAACCTCATCTAAAACAAGGAATCTTACTTCAGATCCTGGTAGACCACCCGAGGAGGTGAAAAGAGCATGGAGTTTCTGAGGGGTACCACAGATAATGTGGGGTACGTTTTGATGAAGAAGTCGTAACTCCTGCGTGAGATCAGTATTTGTGGTACCGACGCCCAAAGCTGATTTAACGCCAATAGGTCCACCTAAGTCCCTGATCATTCTCTGCGCCTGCGTGGCTTGGTCGACTGTCGTGGATATCATGATCACGATTGGCCCACGGTTGACCGGTTGATTCGCGATGCCGTTAATCGCAATCTGGATGGCGGGAATCACATATGCTGCGATTCGTTCTTGGGTAGGCGGAGCTTGCGCGATAATATCAGCGCCGCGAAGCAGGAAAGGCAATGCACGTTGCTGGATCTTGTTCGGGGGTCCGACACTGAAGAACGAGATTTAGAGCAGTGATGCCATGAGTGTACAATGAAATCTAACCCAAATTTGTTTAAGGATCGTAAGAGATCAGGTGAAAGTGTTAGCTGTTCCCACTTGGATATTAGAGGACCCGAATCTCGCGAGCCCCAGCTATCACCTTGAGAGTCAACCATCTACACAGATTATTGAGAATCAAGCTGAATATTTAAGATAGCATAACTTACCCCAGATGAGTCTCGGCGTAACAGTCCCGAAACGGAACGACGTTTGTCTCCTCGTGACTGGGCGTCGGGACGACTACCATTCATATCAGCTCCCCGAACAGGAAGATCGAGCGTTCCTGTTGACCAAGTTCGCAACGGGGGATTAGGCAGACGAGGAGATGGCCTTATATCAGAGCGACTGGGCAATCCATGCCCCAACATAGTTGGCGTAGAGTTAACTTCCAACCCAGCACCCGTATTCATCAGCGGGAGTCCCGGAATACTAGAAGCAGTCTGGATCTGCTGCGTTTGCAAAGCGAGCAGTTGGCCAACAGACGACGTAAGAGTATTTAAACGTTGCGAGATCGTAGAGATGTCGTCGGCGGGCGCAGACTGATTAGGCGCAATATTTACGATGGAAGGACGCGGACTGAAAGTTGGCGTGTTGCTGCTGGCAAAAGGATCTTTGAATTCAGGTTGAGAATTAGCGCCCAACGACCGCTCAACGAGGAGATTGACTTTGCGATGCATATCGCCCAAATCCCTCTGTATCTCTCGAGTGGAGAACTCACATCGAACAAGTCGATCGAGTAAGTCATGGATCATTGGAGAGGCTTTCAGTTGCGCTTCAAAGCTCTGAGTCTGAAGATCAACGCTAGCAGCGAAGTGGCTACTGGAGTCCAAAGAAGAGGCTGGCGAGGAAGAAGTAAATCCACCACCAACGCTACTGTAGGATGTGTGATTGCCATTGTTGATTGCGACGGGTAGTGTCGGAGTCGGAAGCGACTCTTTGCTCTGCTGGAGATTGAAGAAACTCAAACCGGTCAAACCACGGGAAGAAAGTTCTAACGCGGGTCCAGGAGTAGTTTGGATGTCCTCTGCTTCAGGCAACGCCTCCAAGCCCCCCATCATACTGGGTTCTCTCTGAATCCGGTTTTCTAAGCCCGGGTAAGGTCTGTTGGGGTCAATCTGTCGGACACTTGGCGAAGAACGAGACCCATCATTCGCGAGTGGAGGGGAAGGGCGACCAACTGAAGTATTTATCACTTCTTCTTTGCTTGGAGGACTGGGAGATGACTTGACAGAGCGAAATTCTGTGGGAGATACAGACACAGAGGAGGTGGAACTGGGGTCTTGGTCGTGCCGTTGGAAAGAGTGACGGTAGGGAAGACCTAGACCAGGTAGGCCATCATCGTCGGTGGATCGATTGCCAGGGAAGAAAGGCATGGAAGCTGGATTGAGAGCAGCACTCCGAGCCATGTTGTTGGTGACAGATGGCAACTACAATGGCGTAAAAGTGAAACAGTGCGAAGACTGATTTGGTCAACAATACATACTTTCGTGAGAGTGATTTGTGTATAGATATCTGACACTTCACCTCGAGTGTCGTACGGTGATGAGTGGTTAGGTCGATTCCATACAGCCAAAAGAGTATACGTAGAGCGGAAGAGGAAGATGGACCCACTTATAAATTTGCCTTACAAATCACAATTCAACAAAGCAAGTCGTCCAAAAGGTTCAGACAGTTAACCCGACGCGTATACAACCGGTTTACAATTGAAAGGTGCGTTTGTTACAAGGGATTCATAGGTACTTAGTAGTGTACTTAAGAATGTGGGACTACGACTCGGGGACTATATACATCCTACACCAGAGTGATGGGCATGCGAAGCGGTTGAAGGAGACTCCATATGACTACGTCGCCGTGTTTGACTTCCTCGGCAATAATTTCTGTGGGCTCGGAACGCAAAGGTCTGCCACTGTAAAAATACCAATTTCAACAAACTTTCTAAAGGAAAAGAATCAGCAAATTTACCCATATTTTTTGCGTCGCAAGGATCCTACTCCATGATAGTGCTCTATATGCATAGTTGAGCGAAAAGACCGATGTCATTTTTTAGAAGGGGAAAACACACCATAGAAGATTCGATCCATTTCCGGAAGAATGGCACTGGTTAATCCAATCTGAGGGATTACCATTATTATGAAACGCAAACTAATGAAGTAACTTTGACTCACCACAAGCCTCCGACCTCTGAGAGTCATTCCGTTCATTTTCATGACTTGAACGAGACCATTCCATTCCGTAAGCTTGATAGCTGCATATTGCACGTCTAAATCATCAATGAGGGTGTCTGGGGTAGCCTGTACCACGGAACCTTGAGCTATACGAAGACTGATTTCACTAAGCCCGTCGCAGTGCTCAAAGCAATCTGTGAGCTCTGCAATAGTCGTCAAAGGATGGATCTAAAATGTTTGAATGAGCATAAGGTTTACTGAGGAAAGACAAAATGTTACATTTCCAATGTAGGCCCGGAATGTCTCTGATGGAGCCTTGCGTTTCTCGATTGTTTCTCGCTTGTCAGCGGCTTTCTTTGAGTCCAAGATACGTGAGTCCCTCCTTAGCGAGTCATTGAGATTGATTTGGCTCTACCATTATCACGATGGTGTCAATAGCAAGTGGTATTTCCCGGTGTAACGACTGACCGAAGTTTTCCTCATGTAGCAGGCATGATTCTGGTTGTAGAGGCGGCCCATTTACTCGAAAAATAGCTCAACGGTTAAGATGGGTCAATATTGATATTACCACCTCACTCCTGATCGTCATTTTATATCGAATGTTCGGCCAAAGCTGATATCGCTTTGGCTGGGCAATGTGATCAAGTGTGGAACAATGATCCAGCGAGCGGACAATGTCGATGAGCGAGAAATGGATATCCAAGCTGGGAAACGAGGCAGAAGAGAGACAAGCTTTGACTTCAGAGCGCGTGATTTTGGTGAGCGCTTGTCAGGCAAAGTCGGCTTTTCGGAGCGGTGCCGGCGCAACAACCATATTGGACATGCTCTCTCAACATACTCAGGTGTATCGAGGTCTTCTACGCGAATTGAAGAGATCTGTGAGTATATTCTCGTGAAACCAAGCTCACTTAGATGCTAATAGAAGGCTTTAGTCTCTTCCTCCTCACAAAATCAACCCGGCTCTTTCTTCAAATTTCCGGAGATTGGCTGAGCAGGCTCGTCGTTCGGACCCCGTTCTAGAGGATTTGAGGAATGCGCTGATCTTTCTGGTTGCGCAGCGAGAGCACAGAGTGCGTTTCAAGCTAGTCTTTCTCTGAATTTGCCTGAAGGTAACTTTTAGGTTTTACTCGACCGTTATAATCCCCTGGTGGACTTGACTGCTGAAGAACGGATTCATGCTACCGCTCGTCGGGTCGGACTAGACATGCCAATAACTCATCAGCCAGAGAACGACAAGTAGATTTTAGTTCAGAATTAATTTTTACTTTACAATCATACGGCGACAGATAATTCTCTTTTGTTTTGGAGCACAACAACCCACAACAATGCGAGCAATTTTTCATCCGGCCTCGACGGCTCGGATACAAGGCTGGCGCGTCGCAACGATGTTATCGACGCAGGTCCTTCGCTGTGATCCTACATCTATCTCCTTTGACTCTACCGGCAAACCCAAAGTCACGTCTCAGGACACATTGAATTCGTTATCCATCGCTGCTAAAAATCTCGTCGACCTCCAGCCTGTTGCGTTCCCAACAGAAACTGTGTATGGCTTGGGCGCACTGGCTTTGGATAGTTCTGCAGCCTCATGCATATTTTCCGTCAAGGGTCGACCTCCAGATAATCCTCTCATCGTTCATGTATCCTCTCCTGACATGTTACACACTTTACTTCCTTCGTCGTTTAAAATGCCCCAGTCATATGAGCTGCTTATGAGACGATTCTGGCCGGGTGCCTTGACCTTATTATTCCCTAGCGACCCAAACACGATCCCTTCTATCATCACGGCTAATCAGCCCACCGTTGCTATCCGCATGCCTTCTCATCCCGTGGCCCGCGCCTTGATCGCGCTTGTGAACGCGCCTGTTGCAGCACCGAGCGCCAACTCTTCTGGAAAGCCCAGTCCGACCACAGCTGAACATGTCCGTCGTGACTTGAGCGGGAAACTGAATGTGATCCTAGACGGCGGTGCGTGTGATGTTGGCCTGGAAAGCACAGTCGTCGATGGCCTACAAGAAGACGGCAAAATTCGGGTACTCAGACCAGGTGGAATCAGTGTGGAGGACATCCAAGAGACATTACAGGAGGGCTTCCAGGATCATGCGCTTGTTCCCCAGGTTCTCGTACATCGACGTGATTATCGTGATAAGGAATTGGAAGCAGCACCCACGACGCCGGGCATGAAATACAGACATTACTCTCCCGCTGCTCCAGTCACGCTCTTAATGACTACATCTGCTCCTCCCGAGAAAGTTGTTCCGTCAAAGGCTGAATCGTTTTTGATCTCATTAAAGAATGAGATGGAACCTTCAGCATTTGTTAAAGTCGGTGTTCTCGTTCTCACAAACTCCATCTTGGGGACCTTGACCCTTCCCGTGGTAGATGGTATCGAATGGCGTCGATACGAACTTGGACCCGTGGATGACCCTTCGGTCACCGCACGGCGTCTCTTTGACGGTCTTTTGACCCTTGACCAACAGGGTGTGGATATGATCTTGATCGAGGAGGTTACCGAAACAAAAGAGGGATTAGCCATTATGAATCGCGTTAGAAAGGCCGCGTCAGAGGTACGATGGATCACATTTTAGAGGGGCTTTTACGATATGTATGTGTTTCCTTCCCTTTTTTCCGAGTCCATTCGGAGTACTTGTCGCTAGATCTAGCCTGGAGGTCCTATATGCTCCTAATTTACTATCATTGGTTCATCTACATGAACCACTCAGATCTTACTTTCGATTCTTCTTGCTCATCTAGTTATTTGGCAGTATCTATAATCACTATACGACTGTACTGCTCTTTGTTCATCCTAATTTAGAAACTGACCAGGGATGTACGCCCTTTCAATAACGGCAAAGGCACTCAATCTCACTCAATCATCTCAATCTCATCAAGCTCACACAAGAATCGACAAGCAAGGCACCAACAAAGAAATGAAAGAAACATTGACGGTATTTTAGCTATCGCATCGGTGTAGACGACGTCGGCAAATCGCGTCTTGATACTTTTTTGGTTTTCTTGCTATGTTATCACATGAAGGGTCTTTTGTACGACAAAACCTCGTTTCTTGACCTACAAACGTTTATGGCAGATTTTCGACTGAAATTGCTTGGGACGGCAAGTATAAAGGCCTCACATCGGGAGTTCTCTCCGTTGGGATTATTTCACGCTGCCGGTGAGCGATCAATACTCTAGTACCTACACATCAACCACTTGGTGGTCTTTTCAATAAGCCCGGTCAGTACCAGTTTTCCAGCCTAGCAGTACGCATTGCTAATACTCTTCTGTATATAGATGACTTCAAAGGAGGAACCCTCCGCGGATCCTTACAATTGCACACAAAGGACCGAGTCTTCTTCTGCTTCTGCGGTTCCAGTTTCTCTCATACACGCGCCTTTGCCTTCTGTTCCACGAATCAGATTTCCAGTCGACTGTGACTTAGCACACTATTATCAGGACGTCCCACATCTTTCCACGGCTCCCTCTCCTTCCCTGTGTCCTATACCTACTCCGCCACTATCATCCCCATCCCCACCTCCTTTCAACAGCCAAATGGAACACATCCCTCGACCTCCAAATGCATTTATGCTTTTCAGATCGGATTTCTCGAAACGAGATGTCATTCCTCCTTCTGTTGAAAAGCGCCAGCAGACACTTAGTCAGGTAGCCGGCGAAGTTTGGAATCTAATGCCTGTAGAGGAAAAGCGAAAATGGCACGCAAAATCGGCGGAAGCGCTCAAACTACATACCGAGAAATATCCGAACTACAAATTTTCTCCTGTACGAAGAGGGAGTGGGCGGAAGACCAAGGTGAAGGCAGCAGAAGATGATGATATGGAGAGCAAAGATCGAATCCGTGAAATTCGTGAGACGTATCTCCATATGCGTGGACCTGCAATTGCTCCATTGCGGCGTCGGAGGGGTAGGCAGCAGGCTTCAACCTCGGAGGACGAGAAGACTGGAATGTCCTCAAAGTCTTTCATCGATCAACTTCCAATAGGCCGGTCAGAAATGCAAGAAAGCAACCTCTCCGATCCAAGAGAACCAGCACTACCTCCGGTATTTCCGCGACCCACAAATTCTCATGTTGCAAATCATATATACTCAGGGGACGACGTGAAAGGAGACTATGAACATTACCCGAAGAAGGCACAATATTATGCCTCTACGGTCGAGAATCAATCAAGGTGTAATCCAGCATCAAGTAGTGTGTGTCGTGAATAGTTCCCTTAAAATCTGGCTGATCTTGATGTTCTTTTCCAGTACCGTTCAACCAGAACGAGCAACGGGATCGGCGAGATCCGTACCATGGATATAAAGCCTCAGCTCCCTACAGCTTCGGAGGCAAATTTTGAAGGGTTTTGGTCTTGAAGAATTGAGGGATCGCGATGGGAAAAGGCACAATATTAGTAGCAGCCTCGGTTCGATGTAACGAGCACAGATCATAAATCTATGCAGTCAAGATGATTTCATACAACATACAATTCCTCTGCATATAACTATAATTGCAAGATTTTTAAATTGATATACCTATACATCTACACATTGAACCTTTGGGGTTTATAAAGAGGATGAATCCGGTGACTCTGATATCACTTTTCTGATGAGGGCCTCGAGTTTTCCGTCCAAGGATTCAGCTGCAGCTTTCAGAGCTGCGTTGTCGGATATAGCATAGACGGCTGATGGAAGATGGTAATGTACCTCCGTTCCTGCACCATTTTCTTTCTCGACCACCAATACACGAGGAGGAATATTGAATGATGCGCGGATGTCCTCCACCATCATAGTTTGAGCGATGACAGGGTTTCCGATAACATAGACGACCACGGAGCCAGTCCCAGGTTTGTAAAAGTTCACCCAGTTGTGGGGGAGTTGTAAGAAATAGCTAGGAATGACAGATGAGATGGACGAATCACGCTGGATTGAAAGATTACACACATAAAATCATCATCCCCAATGATATCGTGTAACCCTTTAGCGACGTCCTCCTTAGACTTTGCAGCTCGCATCGTCGGGAACCACTGGGCACTCGCAGCGGGCTTGTGGACCGCGGCTTCAAGGCGGGCGGTCACCTCCGCAAAGGGTACGGAGGTGGAGAATGTAATGAGCTGGCCGCTGAATGGAGTGACGGTTTTCGACATGTTGGTGATAAGGAAAGGAGGGAAGAAGCACAACGTTTAAGTATTATCAAGATATCTGCTGAGTTGATCGGATTGTACCCTGCTCCGCTGAATTAATGAGGCTGAGTCGTTATTCAAAGTACCGGGGGTCAGAAGCTTCGATATCTGATTAGTATTACTATTCCCGCAACCTCTTTAGAGGTCGATGTTCAAGGATCTCATAGGGCCAACTAGTCGATTTTGGCGACACCTCGACTTCTCCCGCCAAGTCCGATACTTCAGCTAGATGACAGCCTACATGGCAGGGAAATTCTGGGATCGCACAGAAGAACCACGGAAGGGGATCTGTTCCTTCTGTAAAATTGAAGAATCCATGGAATACATGCTCACTGAATGCCGAGGCCCTGGAATGGAGGAAATATGGCAAGACAAACACACGGAATGACTAAGACCATCGTTCGGAGAAATCCTTAGCAGCGGCCTCGCCGAACTTGAAGATAAAAGATGGCAACCAAAAGAAAGGTGATTCACGCTTATACCACATTATATACAGTCTCAGACTTGATATATGGAACCCGCGATTGAACGCAAGAGTTCTCAGTTATCAATGGGAAAGGTTTCCCTTCAGCACGAGAAATTCTGAACAAATGGAACAACTGTATAAACAGCCGTCTAGAGCCGTTTACAAATAGACTGCCTACTAGCAAACTCACGTTTCGGGAGTAAACGACTAACTCAAACAATTGTAGAAAGAACTTGGTAATAGGTGTGAAGTACTTCAGGATAAAGAAAGTCCACGATGTCTGGACTAAGAGTACGGTGAGTAACCGGGCTGGTGTAGGATGAGGGGACGGAGAAGGGAAGAAGGACGATGTAATCTATAGTAAACTATGCAGTTTTCTTCGAGCTCTGTACGACGTACGACGAAAAGGACGGGGCAAGCGATGGGAAATTTTAGGGAAACCAGCACGGATTCTCACCTAGTCTCAAACACAAGGCGTACGATCAAGGCGCTCGTGCGCATAGTTTTGTACTTCTTCTATGCTACATACTCAACTGTTTTGACCATTCTCTCGCAGGAAAAATTTTACTTACGTCCTGGACTTAGTATGCGTTCAAAGTAGCGGGCGGCGCTGTTTGGATATCAGATAAGTAGGCTCATTGAGGAACTATGCTAGTCCAAGTGGCGAAAAAATCCGCGGGAATTTTTCCCCGGTAGCCCGACTTTTTCACATGAGCGCGACTTGTTCACGGTGCGCCCGACTTTTTCTTGTCAGCGCAAATTCTTTTTGTTCAGCACAAAAGAACAATCTGCCGCAGAAAATATTATTTGGATTCCAGCACTTATTCAAACCAGCAGAAAACTTGCTTTTCTTGCTTTTGTAGTAAAGAACTTGTTCATGTTCCCGAAAAACTGTTCTCCTCAGAAAACATTTATAGCCTCCAAATTTCCAATAGGTACGACACTATCATATACAGTTTTCATTGCTATTGTATTGTCAGAGTATCCTAAGTGTCTTGCTATGACGTCTGCAAAGCCACTGAGGGAGCTTAATACACTGTCAGCTTGGTACATAGGTATAACTGTATAGTTTACGGTAATAAGAACATCTCTCAAATGGGAAGTGTCCAAGCTGTACCTACATAACGGTGTGCTCCCTCACCAGGAACCTTACTCCTCAGTGAAACCTTTTTAATTTACGGTGATGACTATGGCAATGACTACAGCAACAAATAACTGGGAAAAGGGTAATGGAAGTAAGGAAAATTGGAGATGATTCACTAGCCCCAAAGAGAATCTATGAGTTGTCTATACGCTATATGTCCCCATGAAATTTACTCACTGCGGTAGATAAGAAAACTAAGACTTTTCAGATGTTGACTCTCTGAATATCTACAAAAGGCAGCTGAATACTGCAGAATCTCGTAGTAAAAATATTGGTAGCTTACTGGCTTGTTCGGTGGCTTCCTGGGGAAAATTCTTCCAAAATTGCTCAACTTTGACATCTGTATAGCAGAGCACAGAAAGACTTGAGATAAGAAACCAGAATGGAGATAAGGCCAGAAACTTACTGCTTTGTTTGATGTTGCATGAGCGACAAACTGAAGATTGAGCCACCTGAAGGAGCTGCTGGTTTTCCTGACTTTTATCAGTAACAACAGAGGGTTTTGAAGATAGAGGGGTGGATTTTGGCTGAGCAGTAGACATGGAAGCTGATCTGTACTATTTGCAAACTGATGTGGCTGTTAGAGAAAAATTCTGTCGGTAGAAGGTGAGAGTCCAGAAGGAAAGATGTGACTGTCACTGTGACGCAAAAGTCAGAGCTTCATCTACTACTACTAAATCAGATGGCCGACCATCCCAAACCTAAGCCCAGATCCACAGAGGATATCGAGAACCAAATGTTGGTTGACAAAGCAGAGTGTAAAATTTCTGTGAATGTTGTGGATTTTTATCATAACAATCGCATGGTGGTTATCGAGACCCAAGAGATCGACGAAGTACACTTTCAAGATGTATTTAAATAAACTTGTAAAATCACTGACTGGATCTCAGACAGGCAAGGCCATTTATTCTCGATTCAAACTCCATTTGTCTTCGCTAGAGCTTCACGCTCCTGTTTTGGCCAACTTCTTGACCCAGGTGTTAGACAGTGTTGAAGGGACGGAAGAAAATCCAGTGATCTTGCCTTTCACAACTCGAGAATTCACTGGTTTCCTTGATTGGATTCATGATAGGTAACTTTTTTTTTCCTTCCCCAATTATTATCTTTAATTATGTTACGGTAGAGAGTGGCGACCTTTCAAGATAACGGAAGAAAGTCTGGTGAATCTTCTGAGGGTCTCTTCAACCTTGAAGGCCGAGGATGGGATTTCTTACGCTGTCAGTGGTCTGGAAAGTTTACGTCTACCTTCTGCTAGGATGTTACAACTGGTTGGTGATTTTCATCACCTTCCAGAGGTTCATTATTGGGTTGGTCCAGCAGTCAAGGATCTTATCCGGAGGCCTCTTGGTGAAATAACGAACTCTGAGGCTCAGCAGATAGCAGCTGCCTATCCGACCATAGCTAGAACCCGGGAGAACATTCAGCGTTTACTCACCCAAGTATCTCAGAGGTCGTTTGCTCTCAAACTCGCAGATAAGGACCAGCAAGAAGAAGCTGATCTTTGTTTAACCCATAAAGAATGTCAAAAGGCCTGGAAATTGGTTTGGAAAGAGAACATTGGCTATCTTCTCCTTCACTTCCAGAAGCCTCTCACCTACAGGGAGCTTCTTGAACTACTACAAAACACAGATTTCCCCAAAGTAAATCCGTCTTGCAAAGCACGCATGTTGAATTGGTTATCAAGGAAAAGCGATTATCCTGGGATGAAGGAACTGGTGGAAGAAGCAGTAGCTTCAATTGAGGACATATACCACGTCCCTAGAAGAGGTCCAGCTCCAGGGAACGGTAGGTAAACCCCTCTGTACTTCAAGCCCTTCTTCTAATCGCCGTTAACTTACTTCTAGCTGAAGTTTGAACTATATACTCCGTACTCAGTACTCATAGCCCTAAATCTGTGTCTATCTGGATATGTGTTGCTTGAGAGAGGGATCAACTTTTATCTTGTGAACAGGTGAGAGCAAGAATGAGTATGGTTTTTGACGCCCGTGTCGCCATGGATTCAACATCCAACTGTCAAGCCCATGCCTCGGGCCTCCATGTCGCCGTTCGGTATTCCGAAGATCTACCTTTTATTGTAATCTCTTCCTTATTGTTCTTTCTCGCTACACATACCCATTCACTCTAGTTCCTTCTTATTGTCTTTTACTTTACCCTGCAGGACTACACGTATAACTCCTAGTAGTTAGTCTGGCGCTCCGCACCGTTGCGCCGCTCCGTAGATATAAATACTGCTTGTACGCTACTGTAGTTCCTCAGTTTAATTATCAACTTAGATCGACTTAGATTCCCTCTTCTACTCTGTGCTCTCTAAGTCTTCAGGCTCAACGCCTTGAAGTACTCTCTGCGCTACCTTAGGACTAGACGTCCTCTGGCTCGCTCCTCGTCACCGGCAATACCGCCGCTCCGACTTGGCTGCTTCTCAGTTCCTCCCTTCTCTACTCTCGATCTCCGGGGACTAACGGCGTAATGGCGGTGTTGTTAATAACTTCACTACTGTCCCACTCGTCTTCCGCACTTAGACACCCTGTGGCTCTGGCACGGTTACACGGTGTACATGATCTTAACACCAACGTTGACTATTTTATTCAAATTAAAATATGGAACTGCAATTGGGGTATAAAGAGATTCCTGAAGGGAAAATTCGCTTGAAAATATGCAAACGGAAGAACCAAGAAAGAACGCAACTTGCACTTGGCACACACGCAAAGAAAGAAAAAGAGGGGCTATGGAGGTTAACAGGTGGGGTTGATACGAACGCGATGTAGAGACGTAGACAGTTAGATCTTGTGGTTCGTGAAATGAAAATCTAATGAGTGTTTTGATCTAAAAGAGTGAAGAGGCCCGTTCATAAAGAGGGCGACACAGCGAGAATAGAAAAAGGATGAAACAGTCTTCAGACAGTAGGGAAGCAGGAGAGATGAGATGCGACCAAAACGCAGGAAGACATACAACAGGAAAAAAAGAAAAAGACAATAATCGTAATTCAGAAATGAGATACTACTACAATGACAGCACCGAATCGCCACTGAGGAGAGGACTCTTCCTCCCATGAGCTCATTTTTAGAAACCTAGCCAAAACTTCCTCTGATCCACGTTTGAACAATTCGACACCTCTTGCAAGGTCAAACACTCGCCCAGCTTTTCTGGAAGACACTACTGAGGGGATAGGCTGTCCTTCGTGAGGCGATACAGGACCAGCAGACGAAGGAGGGGAAGTGATCATCAAGTTGTTTGATGTATTACACAAAGGACCCAACGGCGGAGCCTTGGGGCCTTGCGGAGTGGTCAGCCGACTCGCCGATAGTGACAACGAAACTCCTGTATCTGGCTTGTCTAGGTTCATCGGTGAGTTAAGGTGTGAAATCCAAAAAGAAAGAATATCCAGTATGTGGCGTTCAAAATATTTCTCCAGAAATGCGGGAGCAGGCCGTTTAAGTTTCTATTCTTGTGGATTAGCCAAAGGTATCGAACGCACCAAAACTATTGCAAGATCAGAAAATTGGAAGCCCGAGAAGAAGCTCTCTAACGCTCCAGACGGGTAACTCGAGACCACCCCCATGGACACATCATCAGTTCCAAGAGCACTACCACTGAATGACGCATCCAACTCACGTACTTCTCCGACTCTAGATCCTCTTTCTTCTCGCGAGTTTGGATTTAAGGAATCACCCACAGCTGTGCAACCGCCAGCCAGAAGCAGTTCGTCTTCTACTATAACGCCTTCTAATGCCAACGTGGTTGCCATGGCGGGTGCGAACCCACGTTCTTTCAGATCGTTCATCATCATCCGAGTCGGTATTGTCTTCATCGTCTCCATCTCGGCTACTAGCATCAGTTTGCTCATCCCAGCTCTTTTTCCCTCGCCGGTAATCTTCGCTATCAAAAGGTACAATGGGCGGGGGTTGACGCCCAAGTCAGGAAGCGTATTGCTGTATACTCGGCACTGTATCCAAGGGAGTTGCGAAACTTACGTGTAAGCTGCCATTGGAGTAGTGTTGTACGTGAAGCTAAGTCTGTTCCAATTATCTCCTCTCCACTCGTTGAGAATTCCCTGAACCCCACCATCCCAACTTCCATTCATTTTTAAGAGTTCCCGAAGCTCCGAAAATTTCTCTTCACCCGGAGAAAGCACTAGAACACCAGAGTTGAATATATCAGGCCAACCTACATCCGGGGCAGCTGAAAACTCGTGGGGAATCGTAAATAGGTGGGACAAAGGTTGAACTGGAAGGAGGTTGGTGTCCAGAGATACAATTTATTTACGGTCGTCCGAGTCGGTATTGTGATCAGCAGCAGAAGGATGATGCCAATGAAATCCTGCCAGTCAGGTGGCTGACCTTTGCCATTAGACCAAGCGATAGCAAGGAGCAAGTTCTGCTCTTCAATCTCAAGTTTGTTGGGTTAGGCGCGCGCTTATCTGGCGCTTATAGCTGCACAGCTTTGGAAGTGGACGCTCAATTAGGCAAAGCAGGGATTTCAGACAGGTTTGCCTTTTTCGGCCTCCACCTTCTTGGCTCAATTCACAGGCTAATTATGGCTGATCTCAGTCTTTCTGTAACTCAACTGCAGGCTCTTCATACCCTTCTTCTTCTTCAAGGCTCCCATCTTTCTGATGACCTGAAGTCTCTGCCTGCCTGCCTTCAAGCTCAACTGGCCCTCAATTCCTCTGCTCCTTCTTTTCCTACCCCATCTCCTTCCCCAGAGAGACTCCCTAGGACCAGCAGTATTTCTTTGGCTAGAGCTAGACTTAGGTCTCCTGGGCTCCTTTCACAGCCTAGGACAACTTGTGAGGTGGGAATCCAGGTAGCAGACTCAGATTTGGCTCCAGAGGTACGCAATCACTCCTGACTATCCTGGGGAAACTGCTAAGTTAAGCTTTCCAGAACTTCTCGAGACCTCCTTCTCCTGCTTCTACCTCTGACTACGGAGCTGGCTCAGAGTTGGGAGGAGAAGGCCAAGGTCTGCGGGATGACGCCGGCGCAGCGAACTACGCTCCGGATACTGGCGCCAACTCCCGCAACCACAACAACTACAACAACTACAACGCCCACAACACCAGCAACAGCACCCACAACTACGCGCAGGGCGCGCTCCCCAAGGCCTTAGACCAAGGCAAAGCTAAGGATGGAGCGCTCCTCGGCCACCCATTCTACTACGAGCACAGCGAGGCAGACTACGAGCCACAAGAAGATCCCAGCCTTGCCAACGAGAACCCTTTCCCCAGCGACCAGCATCGCGAAGATTCTGCAGACCCTGACTCACTCCTTGAAGCTCTCCTAGACGAGCTTCTCAACGACCGCGAATTGGACGACTGCAAATTGGGCGAACGTGAATGGGACGATAGCGAACGGGACAATAGCGAACGGGACAATAGCGAACCTAGCGAACGGGACAATCGTAAATGGGACGATCGCAAATGGGACGATCGCAAATTGGATGACCACGAATGGGATGATCGTGAATTGGATGACCGCGAACGGGACGACTGCGAATTGGGCGACCGCGAATTGGATGACCCCGACTTCGATACCCGCCGGGCCTGTGACTCTCATCAGAAGGAGGATGCAATCTTCCTCTCAGACTTAGACCCTCTAATCTTATCCCTATCAGAGGAGGAACAGAGGGGGCCCTTAGTCAACTCTACTGCAGGGCAGCCAGGCTCACGTACTGATCCTGTTTCTTCTCATTTTGCCACGGCACACGAAGATCCAGCCTCCCGCAAGCGACGACGTTTACGTGAATCTCTTGGGGAAGAGGTTCCTGCCAGGGTAGCGGTACCAGGGGTAGCTGACGCAAGACCAGATTGCAATCGTAACGGGGCCTCCGCTTCACGCAAGAGACTGCGAGTCAATCATCGGACCAACCTGGCTTCAGGAGAACGGGGGGAGGAGGAGGAGGAGGATACTGGACAGCAGTTTCTTTATGAAGCCAGCCTTCACCCCCGCGCTCCACCCAAAGAGGTTACCGATGCATCTTTGGGGTTAATGTTGCGTTTGACTGGGGGGGCTGGTTGGGGAACTGATGTTTGGGCAGAAGATATCCTACGAATTGTGGCTTGTGTGGATTGGGAGGAAGCATCCGGAGCGCTGAGTAGCTACTCCTTGCTTCATCTAGCTCAAAGATGTAGTAGGGCTGAAAAGATAGATACTGGGGCTACCTTTGTCAGAATGATGTGCGAACTGTTTCTGGCAGCAAAAGTGAACAGGTAAGCTTTTACTGAGTTTTTGGGAACTGTTTTTCAAGGCTCATTACAGTATACTTCACGAGAATTCCAAGGACGGGGCCCCACTCTCAAGTGCCTATCCCGCAATCACTAGCGTTGTAAGCGAAGGTATAACCCGAAATAATATGCATAATTGGTTGAACGCGGGCTCACGCTGGGGGCGTCTAGCTTCAGCCGGTAAGTGGAAAGGCTCAATTCTAGCGGTCACAGAGTAATTAATTTTGATTCAAAGGTTCTATCTATCTCTTGTTGATAATAGCTGGACAACCTGGTTTAACTTCTAAATTAAGATCGAAAGCAGTTAGCAGTACTGTATTATTTGCTCTGTGTAACGACCTACGGTGGCCAGATAACCCTTGTGAGTGTATAGTTGAAGAACGAACAAAATTCCTCAAAACTCTTTAGTACCTAGGTCATTTGTGGCAGATCGTCTAGTTCCCGCTATCGCAAAATTACAAAAATTGATTCCTCTTCAGATCCCCACATTATATTCTCCTATTATTCAAAAACGGAAAAACATTCCCAAAATTCTTCTCTGCCAGGACCTTGTAACCAGTGATCGGTATTTTGATAGCTTTCACCAAAGGTGGTTTCATTGTTTTCCCTCAATACGCTAACAGTAATCTTTTAATTTTTCAGGGCCTCATTCAATCTCGCACATAAAGAAGAAATATGGGAACCAGTTTTATCTTTTGCACCAGAGGAAGGAGACGATCCTATTTCTTTTAACAACCTTGGGAACCGATACCTTACCCAGTCATCTGGGGTTGAAGACATGGACCAAGACTTGGACGCCTGGGAACCTGGACTAGATTTCGACTATCGGGAGAGGGGAGAAGGATTTTCCACATCAGATAATCAGTTTGCTAGCTCCTACGGAGGGAGTCCTGAGGAGGGTAATATCCTTCAATTGAAGAGTTGGTTCAGAGAAGATTCGATTGGAAAGAGTAACCCGTTTCCAGCTAAAATATCTTCACGTAAAACTTGGACAGAAAAAAAACGCGCAGCAGCTTCGAAAGCTATTAGTCCTGGAAATACAGAAGAGTTGGCAGAAAAAGTTTGTTCTTATTACCCGCTTCTTGGATCATTATCTAACTTCCCTCCAGCTGAAGGATAGATACGACCAGGTTACGGGAAAGATTAGAAAAAATCAGAAATGGCTAAAAGTCCCTCAACATATTATCGCAGGGTAAGATAAATTCATTCTCCGTATTATTAGTGCTAAGTTTCTGCTCTGTGCTTATATAGGAAAGAGATTAACCTGCGGGATCAGGACGGCAAATTGATTTTCCACATCGATGGGACTCTCAGTTCAGAAGTCCGGACCAATCTGTTCAATTCTCTAAAGGCCTGGTGTCAAACAGCCAGCTTGTCTATGTTTGGCATGGATTTGAAGACTACGGATTCTTCCTCCAATACTGCTTTCACTGCTCTACATTTTTCCTACCACGCTAAATACGGGGTTAACGTAAGCTTTCGGAGTTTTCTTATTTCAGAATCTGAGCTAAGGGTTATATAGGGCAAAAATGCGCCAACAGATATCCATCCCCATTTGCTTAGAAGAACGGAAGAAAAAAAAACCAACACGTCTCAGTTTCACGTATACGCTTCAGCTGATATGAGAAGGTATCCAGAACCTTACGAGCTTTTATATATTGCTCTGGAAGATACTCTGGAATACATAGCCAGCAAGGTAAAAAAAGGATTTACGTGCGTAGGAACTGTTTACTAAATTTTTCGTCAGACTATTACCCGACTACCAGATTTCTTCCAAGGTTTGGCTGGGGAAATTGACATCGTTCCCCTTGTCACGAAGCGGCAGAGGCGGAGTGACTAACGGAGCGGGAAAGCGGAGCGACTAAGCAGAACGGTGAGGCGGAGCAACTGGACAAGGCAACAAGGCGGAGCGACTAAGCAGAACGGCGGCAGGCTGGTCCCAGATAATGACAGAGATATATTGAGTATCGTAGTCATAGGTAATAATAAGTAAGCACATACCTGGTCCCAGATAATGACAGAGAGGTCAAGATAAGGGACCAGGCTGTGGAGGGTTGGCTATATATACATAATCCGGTCTGCGAGAAACAACGATGTAATACTGTACAGTTTAGGAACAAGGAAGGTGGCGGAAGCCAATAGAAGGAGAAGATGGGTCAGGTGGATCAGTAATCGATGGGGGTTTGACAGTGATGGGATGATGTATCGTACAAGTAAAGGCGTCGAGACGGTGAGAAAAGGAAAATGATAGGGGCTGCGTACTTTATGACATTACCCCCCTCCTTATGACCATTGCCCTCGATGGTCAAGGCTTTGCCGCTGTTGGGTGTTTTTTATGAAAGGCCCGAACAATTTTTGGTGCTCGACTGAGGTTGGCTGCGGGTTCCCAAGAGTTGTGCCCTGCGTCGTAACCTTTCCACTTAACCAAATATTCCAACTTCTTCCATCGAACCCGGCTGTCTAAGATCTCCTCTACTTCGTATTCCGGTTCGTCTTCATCCTCTAAGTATACCGGCTCTGGTGGTGTTGGTATTTCGCCATTAATGGAGTTACCTTTCCAGGGGTATAGTTTATCAACATGGAAGACGGGATGGAGGCAATCTAGGGATAGGGGAAGGTCAAGGCGGTAGTCTAAAGGGCCAATTTTCTCCAGAATGCGATAAGGGCCAAGCTGTCGATCTCCTAACTTTTCACTGGAAAGTTGAAGGTTAATGTCCTCTGCACTGAGCCAAACTAGGTCTCCAACTTTAAATTGATGAGCTTTCCGCTTCCCGCGTTCGTATCCCTCCTTCTGTTGTTTCTTTCCTAGGTGTAAGGCAGCTCCGGCATCTTGTTGCGCTTCTCGGAGAATCCGTATATGGTCATCCACAGCTGGAATACCGCTGCGTTGGCCCACTGGGATATTGAACAGGGGAAGATAGCCATAGGTTAGCTCGAACGGGGACATGCCTAGCGCAGAATGAGTCCGTGAGTTAATCACAAACTCCGCCATGGGAAGGTGCTCTGCCCAGTCATCTTGTCGTCGTCCTACATAGAGGCGGATGTATTTCTCTACTTCCTGATTTGCTCGTTCGGTTTGGCCATTAGACTGAGGACGGTATCCGGAGGTTAGATCTGATTTAATTCCTAGCCTAGCGAGAAGGGATCGCATGAGTTTAGCTGCAAACTGGGGTCCACGGTCGGATTTAAAGTGAAGAGGAAGACCATGGAGGCAGAAGATCTCTCGATAGTAAATATCGGCAACGCCTTCGGCTGTGATGGAGCTGGTGCAAGGAATAGCATGGATTTGTTTTCCATACAGGTCTGTGCAGACCAAGACAGCATCGTAGCCTTGGGAGTTAGGTAGCTGTGTTATCAGGTCAACCCCTACCTCTTCCCATAGACCGGATGGTACATCTAATGGTTGAGTTACGGCCCGTGGGTGTCGTTGGATCTTCTTACAGGCACAAACCTCACATCCCTCAATGTATTTCTCCACAAAAGAGCGCAGCATTGGCCACCAGAAATGGGTACTGACCAAGTCAAGTGTCCCATGTAGTCCGGGGTGTCCTGCAGTTGGATGGTCATGGCATTGACGGAGTACCTCAGTGCGTAGGTCGTCGTTTGCTGGTACGTATACTCGACCTCGGTAGTAGACCAACCCATTGTCCTCTTCCCATTCAGCTATCCCATTGGCCAAGTGCTGTAGTCCGTGTTCTTTGACTGTTTTGAGACCTTCCAATACCTGTGCTTCCCATTCTGAGGCTTTCCGGATACGATCCTCTAAGGGGTTCCGTAGGATTGAAGCTGCAATTTTTACGAAGTGGCCAGGTTTAAGGACTGTCTGTTGTCGGTTATCATCGCTGTCCAATACATGATGAACTGCCATGCGGGAGAGAGCATCAGCTTGGGTGTTTACTCTGCCAGGGCGGTGGATCATATGAAAGTCAAACCGTGACAGATAGAGGGCCCATCGGGCTTGTCGGCGGGTGAGGTCTTGTGCAGTGCGCCAGAATTCGAGGTTCGAATGGTCCGTAATGATGTCGAATGGTTGAGGGAGTCCTTCTAGAAAGTTCCTCCAATCCTTCAGTGCTTCAATGATAGCAAGCATTTCTCGATCGTAGATTTCGTAGTTCCGTTCCGCTGGCTGCATGGATGCTGATCTGAAGGCTACCGGATGCCATTGGCCATCGTCTTGCTTCTGCATAAGGGCGCCTCCCGTGGCAAAGCCTGATGCGTCTACCTCGATTCGAGTAGGCCTGTCTGGTGTCCATAGAGCAAGGATCGGTGCGGAGATGAAGGCTTCTCGAAGGGTATCAAATGCTTTCTGTCGAGTGTCGGTCCAGGTAAAGCTGGTGTCTTTCTTCGTCAGGTCGTTCAGAGGTCGTGCTATTTTGGCAAAATTCCGGATAAAGCGTCGGTAGAAGTTTGCAAATCCCAAGAACCCTCGTAGTTCCCGAAGATTAGTAGGGACTGGCCAGTCACGAACAGCCGCTACTTTTACCGGATCCATTCTCACCTCCCCTTCTGAGATGATGAGTCCGAGGTATTCAATCTGTTGTTGTTCAAATTCGCATTTTTCTGGTCGTAGGTAGAGGTCGTGCTTTTCTAACCGGGTTAATACTTCCCGTACCATTCGTCGGTGTTCCTCGAGATCGTTACTGAAGATAAGGATGTCATCTAGGTAGACTGCCACCTTGCCGGCTGCAATGAGATCAGCAAATATAGCATTCATAAGTGCTTGGAACGTGGCAGGGGAATTTGTGAGACCAAAGAACATGACCTTAGGCTCGAACAAGCCTCGGGTTGTTGCAAACGCGCCTTTCCATTCATGCCCCTTCTTAATCCGTATGTTATTGTAACCCCAGCGGACATCAAACTTCGTGAAGTATCTTGCTCCCTGAAGTCGGCTAATGATGTCAGCAACTAATGGGAGAGGGTATCGGTTCTTCACAGTGTACTCGTTCAGTTTCCGGTAGTCTTGTACGAAACGGAGTTTCCCATCCTTCTTCTTTACGAAGAAGACCGGTGATGAGATTGGTGATTTTGAGGGGACGATATAGCCTTTCCGTAGGTTTTCTTCTAGGAAACGATCCAACTCCTCCTGCTCGTTTAGGGACATGGGATAAATCTTGGTACGCATGGTTGCCGGTGCTCCAGGTACGAGATCAATCGCATGGTCCCAAGGTTGGTGGGCAGGTAATCGTTCGGAGGCGGATTCTGAGAAAACCTTCTTGAAATCACGATACTGCTCAGGGACCATTTCTTCGAAGGTTTTAACGGGTTTGTCTCGGTTGGCTTCCTCTGCTAGCTGCTGGGAGTAAGTGAATCCTGCGGCGCACCAGACTTCCTCCGTCTGTTCCTCTAGAATTCCTGCTTTTACCCATGCCCGGCGAGTTTTATGATTGGCTCGAATTCGGTGTATTGGTGGTTCTTCCACCGCTGCTGATTCACTCGGTTCAAGGGTCGCTTCTAGTGGCACCTCAATGTGGGGGTTTTCTGCGGGAGGTTCCAGTTCCGGGAGTTCGAGGATTGGGGTTTCTGTGTGAGTGGCGGCTAGATGAGAGTACAAGATCTCCTCGTCTGGGACTTCTTCTATCGTTACTCGAGGAGGCTTTACTGAAAGTCGTCCTTTCTCCCAATCAATCTCCGGATTTACCTTCCGTAGCCAGGGGAGTCCAAGGATGATGTCTTCACCTCCTAGGTTGGTGATCAGAAAGTCCATCCATCGCTCTTGATTATCCACTGTGAGTGCTAGACGTGCAAAATGGGTTATCCGTCCAGCTCGGTTAGGTGTTCCATCGATATTAAAAATGTTGATTGGTTTATGGAGGGGTGCACATCTTACATGGTTCCGGGTGACAAAGTCTTGGTTTAAAAACAGGGCGGTAGCTCCACAGTCTACCATGGCTGCAGTTGTTATACTGTGATTCCTTCCTCTTAGTCTCGCATGAATTCGGAAATGTGGGGAAGTAGAGTTTAATTCCCGGATCGATGATATTGTACATGATGGGTGCGAGTCATACGAGGAAGTAGCGAACATAACAAACTGATTACGGGGTACTCTCGGTGCAGCCGAAGCGGGTACCCTCTTTAAAAACCCTGTTGAAAGCCAGAGGACGAGGAGGACATAGCGTTAGCGCGATCAAGTAATTCCCTTATCTGACCAATCTGGTTGGAAAAGTCCTGGTTAGGGGGGCTCGGAGTAGCAGCTACGGGTGCAGGAGCAGATGTTGGGGTCGAGGACGCGATTTGGACGGATTCGTTTGGGAATAGGGAGAATGGCGCGGGTCCCGTAGCGGATATCTGTTGGCGTCGAGGTTGCTGGCGTCGGCCTCGGTCTCGTCCGAGTCCCATGAATTTGTCTTGGCAGACTGCTTCCAGATGTCCTCGACGTCCACAGTAGCGGCAGGTGGTTTCTCGGTGTGGGCAGTTTTGCTTGACATGACCTTGGGCACCGCAGCCGAAGCATCGTCCTCGCATGCGAGCTAGGAATGCTTCCCTAGTATTCCCATTACTGGTGTGGGTTGCATCAATGTCCATAGCGTGGGGGTCAGCAGGGGTAGTATGAGCGGTATGCGTGGGAGGGTATCCAGAGTTCCGGCCAGTCATGGTGGGATCGTGCAGGTAGACATCCACCGATATGGCCCGTTTGATTGCCTCCTTCAGAGTCGGAGCAATTCCTTGGGCAATGTTTACGGTGATGAGGTGTTGTCGGATCTCTGGGAGTAATGCAGTGAAGAAACGTTCCCGCAAGTCAATATCAGACATTTCAGTCCGATCTCCGATATCCTTGAACTTCTGAGCGAATTCCGCAACTGTCTGTCCTTTACTTTGCCTGAGATTCTTGATCTCGCTACG